CGCGATGTGAATCTGGCGTCGCTGCCTTGCTCCTACCAATGATGTTCGCCTTCCGTAGGACGTCTGGCCAGTTGACAATTGACTCGGACAGCAAGTCTTTTTCACCACTCGCGCGCAAAGGATGTTGCAGTGCCTCTGTCCACAACGATGGCAGATATGAAGCTTGCGGACAGTGCTATATGGTCGCCCTCACAAGTTGTTGCTCCCCGAGTACCGCCCTCAGTTGTCGCTCGCGTGCGGAATGATCAGCTAACTTGAGCGTGTCTAGGACAACAACCACAGCTCTTTTCGCAGACATCCACGTCCGGTGTAGGTACCAACAACGTCGCCACAGACTCGCATGTAGCCTAGTGCACCCCTCAACGTGATCTAAGTGTCTCAGGTGAGTCATATATTGTTCTGGATTCAAAGGGCGAGGGTTTGTCGAGGCCATACCACTGCGGAAGGTCAGCATCTGCTAGCGTTCATGAGTGCATAGACATGCATAGGTTCTCGGGAGGTGGCTTGATCTACGTCCCACGCCCCTGGTACGAAGCTGTACTATCTGACTTCTCTTCATGGTGGGCGGCGTTGATGTCTTCGGTGCGCTGTCAGATCCTTTAGTGCTACCCCCAATTGATGCATATATCCTGAAATCGGCGATGCGATACTGCCAATTCGCGTTGCAATTCGTCCGGCGATGCGTACCGTCATAGTGTGTTAGTTGCACTATACGACGCTAGCGCGTCAAATAGAAGATTTAGGTGCGTCACACTTAAGTGTGGACGGGGCACACGTTCATATAAAACCAGCACTCAATGCGTCGCGAGTGAGGGGCAACAACCCTTGATTGAATGCAGGTGACACAGGATCTATACAATCGCGTACTTTGCTGTAAGTGTTTGACCGTGGCGACCAGACACGACTGCTCGCGGTTGTCCTCGCGGTCGATGAGCCTCTTCCCGTGCGCGTGGTTGGATGCTGTTGTACGTCCACTCGCTCGAAATGTTTCATGAACTGATAATCACGCTCTGCTTTATGGGGTATTCTCCCCGTTGAAGCTGACGGCTAGGGCGCAGAACGGCACAGGCGCATCAGTGCCGCCGCCTTCATCATGCGCATATAGCCCCCATCATTACTGGACCTGAGAATTGTGAACTGTTATGAATGCAAGAAATGAAGAATAGCTCGAGGCACTGCAGACAAACCATCACGAATTCGACTCTGTTCTCTGGGTCTACACTCAAGCAGGCACAATACTATTATAGACAGGAGCCTGAGTGTAAGGCTGAAGCGGGAGATAAAGCCAGCTATCTGGTCCGTGTTCATAATTCTTACGTTGATCCTCATGTTGAAGGCCAGACTGATTTTAGGTCGGTCTGCACTGGGCAGTGCGCGGGCGATGTTAGAGATGACCCGCGATACCTGTCATATAGCCTTGAAGGCACATTAAACGGGCATCACCGCGTCTGAGCACTGACATGGTGAGTCACCGACATATCTCCACCCGCCCAGTGTGATGCAAGTTCCGCCGCGCTATACAGTCCATCGGAAAGCCAATGCTGCTCGCGCCATTATGTTGGCCTTCATGAAGCGGATTGCTTCCAGAAACGAGCGTATCTATTTTTGCTCAGCAACGGAGACTAGTTTGCTTCATGACCGACCATCTGCCTGTTCTTTGGTCGACGCAAGCTCTTGTCGTATGTTACCTGTCATTCAGGTCATCGCCCATGATCATGCTGATAGTGTTACGTCGATAGACAAACCGTCATCGCAAATCGCAGCAAGTCCATGTTGTCAGGTACGTCTGTCTCCGTAGAAAGTGGCAGCAGACTACAGATGTTCACTGCTGTCCATCTCAACTTCGGGTGTCGCTTAGATGACTCGAGCTCAGGCTGGCCGCGCACCCGGACTGAGCTTCAAGTCTGTGGAAGTCGGTGAGCACTGGACTGAACCCAGCAGCGCCAAGTTGCTTCGAAGTGATGAGTGAGCAGTCAGCAAGGTACGCCTGTAGATGCTAACTCGCGAAATCCGCTTTTCACAGGATCGGTGGAACTCCGTCGACGTGAATTGACCGCGCACCGTGAAGCCGTCGCATCATGGGCGCGCGCTCATCTTACGTCTTCCTGTCGTCCGGAGCCCTGGTAAGCACAGCTGTTTAGAGACTTTTGGCGGAGATACAATCTACGATGGTAAGCGCGGCAGTAGAGCGGGAGTAAAAGTGCGTGACGTTGTTCTCGGACTGCCAACAGGTACATATGCTCATGCGGTGCCGCTGTAGGATCAAGAATGGGCAACTGAGACAACGCCCTCGTTCGAAAGCCTATCAGTTCACTGCCGCACAATCGACCACGGTTGCTGTATGACCGACTCGTAGTACTTAGGTGTCGATGCATGGTAGTACTGAGTCCATATCCTACCGCTTGGGCATTCTTCAGCATGTCACTCTCGCATCAATTCTCAGTAGAAGACAACACTGATGCTCGCGTCGAATCTGGGTGAGTAATCCATCAAATATGTCATACTATGTACGCCTCAATAAATTTCTCAGTATTCTTCTGAGCTATTGGCGACTTGCACCTGTTGGTTAGTCATTGAGCTGTATGCGCAGTCTGAGAACAACTCTTCATTCATGGGTATTGCTTCTAGCATTGTCCGCCTACGACATGTTCCTGACGTCCAACCAGGAGATACGACTGATCTGGAGTCAGGGACTACATCGTGCCGCGCTCTTGCTCTTCGCCCTTGTTCGCCTCAATATTCTTGGATTCATAGTTTCGTTCTTGGCACAACTCGCTTTATGCCCGAGCACCGTGGTGCTCGATAGTACAGTGAGCAAGTTTCCTCGCTTCGATTACCATTGACTCATTGTTTTATGTTGCTAGTTATCCATGCCAATGCATCACAACATGAGGTTCAGGCATGCATACATGCCGTTCCGACCTTCCTTCCTGATGTGATGACATAACAGCTGCTTTGTCTTCAGCATATCATACAGCTATGTCGCCATTGGCCTAAGCGTAATTTTGACGGCAGGTTAATATGATTCACGTCTCGATTGCATGGATACTGATGCATAATAGTGGTTTCCGCTATGCGTGTATACGCTGCCACTGGCCGGAATCGAGTGATAACGTTATTTACGCTGATTCTTGGCCTTGTACCCGTCGGTATGGGCGTGTTCGGGTAAGAGTCTTCCACAGTGGTGTCGCTATTGTTGGCTCATTCACTCGACGTCAGAGCTATTGTGTCCATGTCAAGTACTGTACCCATCGGGATGGGTGCATATGGGTAGGTTTCCGCAGTTACGCTGCTATTGTCCGCTCATAAATCTCATTCCAGAGGTACTGTGACCATGTCAAGTCGCGTGTATGACAAGGCCTGAACGAGAAGACCCTCAGACACTCTAGCCTCGGATCTGCCTTCACGTATCTGTGCGATAGTATCTGACATCGTGGTCATTTCCACGACCTGGCGAAACACCTTCCCTGCGGTGAAACTCAGGCTGAGCGGCCACTCAATGGCATATAGCCTTTCTTGGTATCTCATGCGAGATGGTAAACCTCATTGTCCGCTCGTTGTCGCAAACTCACTGACGTCGATGTCAGGAACCTTCTATTTCATGTGAGTGTAGAAGTATGTGCCTTTGCGCGAGACTCTAAGCCTCGTGTCAGTATCATGCTCGTTTTGAACGTCGTCGACATCCCCTTTTTCGCACACGCGGTATGTGACCTACTTTTCACTTTGAACCTTGTTTGTCTTACAATATTCTTCAGGATGTTCAGCTGTTCTTGTCAACCACGATATATCCGTTCGTCGAAGTTCTTCTTATTGAATAACTGAGCGCATTAACCGAGTGCATTCCAATAGTTTGTCGGTTCTCCTTCTCTCCCGCCTATTACTGAACCTCAGAGACGCGGCCTACACTTCTACAACTTCAAAAACATCGTCCGGCTTCGTGGATGTGCCTTCGCTCTGCACTCCTTCGAGTGTGGTTTTCGCGCGCGAATCAACGGGTGCAGACCCGGAGTCACCAGACATCTTTGAATCACCGAGGCTAGACTTTGCCGATGATGCTGACGACGCCGTGCTGGACTTGTTCGAGAATAGGAGCTAATAAATGCACTGCTTGAAGTTCATAACAATGCCATTGGACCTTTGCAGACGGTAGTACAATGCAAGACCCATGCTCCCGCAGACGATGCGTGGTTTTCCTTGCATATGAATCCAGTCACGACTTCGCAGCTCGTTGCCAGTATATGATCGAACGAATGTCTAATCAGGTGAGCACAGATCCCGTCATATCGGTGCACCAGTGACTATGTTCAGGAGTGATATCTAGATGACTACTGCTCGGCGATCGCTTCACTATAACGTTTCTTGACCTCCGTTCGACAGTGCACAATACTCGTACTCGTGATGAGCCTAGCTGCTGTCCCCACCTTCAAGTTGCTCACGCTCGTCGAATATGGGCCTTTACAAACCACCAGTACTCTGCGTGCTTACTCACGTCATATAGAACTCGAGGGTGGAACGAGGTACTCAGCGCCATATGGACAGTAAAAAGCCTAGGTCGCTCCTCCAGCGTCTGCGTTCAACCTTAGCAGCTCCCAAGCCGATCGGTGCGACGACGTAATTCATGCTACAGTTTGCTTGCCTTGGTTTAGCAGACAAGCTACAGGGAATTTCAATGACTTTCTTTTGTTCCCCCGAATCCGGCAATCTGTGCTGCAAGGTGACACTGCAAGTATACGCAATGCGGTGTCTGAGATGCGTGACTCGTCCGCTCCATTGATACGGTCACCCAGACCCGACCGCACGACAGCAGGCGACCTCCGGTGCGTCAAATATGACTTAAGTCAATCACGGGTGCATGTTGATCATTCCAACATCCTAGTCATGATATATGATAGCGCGCCCATTCCATCCGGATCATCAGCACCCACCGCAATGCCTTCGGTAGTTGATCTCTGCCGCATGCACAATTGCATCAGCTTGACTAAGACTGATCTAGAGTGAGTTGCGATACACCGAGGTTACATATATGCCTTTTCAACAGCGCAGAGCCCATGCCACTGCGCATCGTCCTACGCATGCGTCCTTCTGGTCTTCTACAACATGCCAACAGAAGACTCAAACGAAATTGCCATTGTATTCGCCGAGAGCACGTAAGCACACTGTCGTGCTTCCTACCGCTAGTAGAAGACTCAATGAACAACATCCTCAGTTTGATTTCAAACTACATAACCATTGCGCCGCTTGGTACGTTCAATACCACCGTATACTACGATCCCAGTGAACGCATACTCACTAAGGATCATTCAATTGCTTCCAGCATTGATCATCTATGACAGTGTCCTGACATTTGACAAGGAGATACAAGTCTTCTGGAGTCGGAAGCTACCTCGCGCAGCCTACCTGCTCTTCGCTCTAATGCGTCTCACTCTAATTGGGCTTGTGGTGTCCTCCTTTCCGCTAATTGTGGGATGCCATGTACCTTATGATGCGGTGAATAGTCCCTCCATTCCAATCATGCCTTGAGTATGCCCTTACTCCCTGCATCGCCAGGTTCAGAGGTCTCGTATGCACACATGTCGCCTAGACCCTCCTCTGACAATACATAGATGTGCTATCCTATATGCAATATCCAACTATGCCATACTCGGTATGAGCATGCTTCTGACTGCGAGTACGTCGACAATGTGTTATTTCCTCACTTACACTTGCATACTGACGTGGCTCAGTCATCTCAGCTATGCGTGTATACGCTGTGACTAGCAGAAACTGGGTCCTCACCTCATTGACACTGTCCTTCGCTCTCGTCCCTGTCGTCTGTTTACCATTCCTCATACAGTAAGGCTTTCCGGACTGCCCAACTTTCGTAGGCTCATACACATTGTGTTACAGAGGTAAGTTGCTATGTCCACGTCAGGTAAGTTACCGAGTAACGACGACTCAAGACGACGGCTATCAGACCTTCCGAACGTGGATTCCGTCTCTCGTATATGCGCGATAGCATCCGACGTCGTCGTCATTGGCACGACCTGGAGGAACACCTTTTACGTGGTGAAGTTCAGGCTGCGCGACCATTGGCCACCGCAACCAACTCTTAGTTGGTATCTCCTGCGAGATGGTGAGCGCATCTATGTAAGCTTATTATACATTACGTGAGATTGCTCATTCGAATGTAGGAACGGCTTACTTTGTGTGAGCATGAACCTTTGATATTCGTATCGTCCTCTGAGCGCGCTTGCAGAGTTATGCTCATTCTCAACATCGTTGACCTGTTCTTGTTCATTTTCACGGTACGCGACTTAGTTTTTGCCAGCTCAATTGCTGACTGCCATTACACTCCAGGGTGACGACACTGTTACGTTCCTATTGATCTATCCGTGCGTGACATCATTTGCTTGACATACCTGGTGTGCTCAAACACGACGTGCAGCTTGTCCGCCTTCTTTCTTTGGCGGTTGCTGTTCAACCTCAGAGAAGCGGCTTACACCTCTGGAGGTTTGGACGGGACGTCGGGATTCCTGGACGTACCTTCACGGGCCAAGTCTTCGACCGTGGTTTTCGCAGACGCTCCTGTGGAAGACGACGATCCGCACTTACCCACTACCTCATCAGGAAACATATCCGATGACTGACTCCAAGTCGCTTCAACCAGCCAGTGGACACGAAATCAATCGATACACTGCTTGGAGGTGACGATAGCATTGTACAAGTAGAACTTGCGCCGCGACTTCTTCGATGTCCACCAAGCGGGCCGCTATCTCGCATATGACTACCTTGTCGAAATAGGTCTGGTAGGAATACTGTACTATACAGGATGGGATAATACTGAAAGGCCTTACAATGAGCCGCAAATCCGAAGACAGCGGATTACGAAGTGATTACCAGAAAAATACTTACATGTTGTGGTGTCTAGAGTCGTGGCCGCGGTGTGAATGCTTCCCAGATGACTACGTCAACGACTCAACTCAGTCACATCCAGACTGTCCCTCCGCGTATGTGTTATACCGTAAGCTGTTGCGATCAATATATAGCTCATGACATGCACTGCGGTGACACCACAATTCACACAAACAAATGGAGCAGAATCACAGTTACGTACTATTCCTCGTCTTCTGGGTCTGTCAGCTCTTCGCCTTCTCGCACGCCCGAATGGCGTTCATATCCAGGCCTCCGCGCCCACGACCTGCCGTCTGTGTACGGTTCTATGCGGAAGGGGAACAGCAGGGTGTACAGCGGGCTGCCAGAACGACCGGTGTGAGCCTGTATGCGGGTGAAGACAGAGCGGCACTTACTATCCATCCGGGCCGACGTTGAAGAACAGCTCAAGGTTCTTCCGTTTTCTTCATAGCCAGCCGCCGAGTGAGAAGGACGTTACAACACCACACCGCATGTACACTTACCCGAGATCATACGAGTTCACAAACGTCTCTCCACGCCCCTTCGCTGTCTGGCGGTACTGCTCGTGGTCTGCGCTCTCCACGCTTGTCTCTCCGCACGCGATGCCCCATATGTGCCAGGAGGTCATGATGGTCACCGCGAGACACATCACGACGGAGAGGACGTATGTCGCGATGACAAACACGGGCGGGGAGTAGTACGGCCAAGGGTCGTCGCCGGACAGGCCGAGAGCGGCGAAGACGCACCGCCAACCGGAGGCAGCGTAGCAGAACGTGGCGATGGACACGTAGACACTGTCATGGGAGATGGTGAGAATGAACAAGAGCAGGCGGTAGAGGGACGAACAGGAAGAGCACGAAATGTCGCTCGTTGTAGAGACCGACGCATTGGTTTACCCCTACAGACAGTATGGCTTAGGAATGCAGACGATGCACATGTCCTATGGAATGCATACACTGCAGATATCTCAGAACATGGGGATCACAGGCTGGGATACGGACGTACGGGACAATGGTGATCATACTTCAGAATGCACTTGTTGCATATTCGACAGTGGTGCGCTCTCTCCTCCCTTCAGCAATGCCACATCGTAATTTGGTAGCATATACTCACCTCTGGTCTCAGCACCTTACACCTTTTACACCTCGTCGCACTGGCCGTCGTAATATTCACCTCCTCACTCCATCGTACGCCCGCTGCAGTAGATGGACCCCCTCTGGACTTCGGCTTCGCCCACAGCCACCCAGACCCGCGTTCTCGTGGGAGGTCAATCACAAACCCAGGAGGAACGATGCACACCCAACAGTAGTGCATGAACAGGTTGAAGGCGATGAGTGCGCAGATGGGCGTCGTGAGCCATGGCAGAGGTAGAGTCGGGCGGACAACTTCGACTATATCCATGTCATTTCAGGTCCCCGACTCTCGATTCTACAGTAGCAAACTCACAGAAGCACCCGGCACCGACAGAGAGCAAGACGACCCCGAGAGTGACGAATACAGGACCTGCTGCGCCTGTGATCTTGTCGCCGACACGCTCGACGGCCCGAAAGCAGCGAAAGACTCGTTGTGCGCAAATCATGCAGATATTTTGGGTCAGAGGTTGGAGAGCCTTATATTGAGAAATGTAACAGAGCAAAGACGGGCAGCCAGTGCATTGAGGGGACCCGGTGGGAGCTGTTGCGCGTGAAGTCACTGTGAACGCGCGCTCCGCCGCAGACGCGTGTCGGAAGGGAGGCGCGACTTGGACGCGTCCGTGTCACAGCCATGCGTTCCTGCTCGCAATGCACTTCAAAACTACACATTACGAAGCTTGTTACATCTCCAAGAAATACGAAGGTACCTAGGATAGCGGTGTGCAGGGCAACAGCCCAGGTTATGGAGGCAGAGAGAAGAATATTCAATAGGAATACATAACCGTCTCTCCTCAGGTCCTAGCGAGCCGAGGCGCACACTCTGCGGGACGGGTGTATAAGGCTTTAGCTTGAGGCTTTAGGGTGTACAGAGAGCAACGACGACAAAATGGGCCGACAGATGGAGCACAGCGGACAACAATGAATGGTTAAGGACAAACCGAGACAGGAAGTGAAGACGACACGTAACCGACGCAGTCCGACCACGAATAAAAGTTGAGATGTTGGGTGACACAGGCGACGCTCATCGACCCTTGCCTGGCGTTGTTGCTCGACGGGCGTACCTGGCGGTTTGCGTGGTGTGGGAGGTGCTACGCCTGCAGTGAGTCGTCTCTCTGTCATCCCGCCAGGCGCATCGGTGGCACGCTGTACCTCCCTCACAGCCCGTCGCGCTGCGTCGCCCACTTGGTTCTGTGGACGGTCTGCATCGATTCGGGACAATGCGCGTAGCAATTCTTGTGGGTCGGTTGTGGGTGGTGGTCGGGAGAGACTGGGTGGGAGGTAGGACGACACGGCACCAGACGTGGATGGTAATGAGGTAGGTGCGGGCTGAGAGCGAGTGGCTAGTGAGATGTTGAGCATCGCGAAGCGACGATCTAGATCTGTTTCCGCTATGCGCGTGGTTTCCAGTGCGGAGTTTGAGAGGGAATGCACCCGGTCGATCTATTCAAAAGTCAGCATGACACCAGAGCGCGGATGGCATCACTGCGTACCGTGTATTCCAGACTGTCCAGCCGTCTGCTCAACGGGTCTTGCTGTGCGAACTCTCCACTGACGAGCTTCCGTGCGAGCTCTACGCCACCCTTCCCTCCGAAGTGATCTGGTAGGTCTCTAGGATCGATATCCCAGTCATCTGCCGGTACAGCCCGTTGTTTGCCCTTAGCTTTGGTCGATGCAGCCTTGTCCAACTCGGCAGCAACTTCCATACGAAAGGCATTATAGTGGTTGGTGACCTCTATCCACGCATCTTCCTCCGCCTTCATCCTGGCCGCAAGTGCCCATTAGCCACATTATTTAAAACGGCAGACACAAAACAAACCGTTGGTTGTGGGCATTGAACCGGATCTCACGCGCCCGGTTCTTGACGTTCTGCTCGTTCTCCTTCTTCGGCCTCGTGTCTCCCGCATCCGCTGCCTCATACACATTCGTGTCAACGCGCTTCTCCGCCAACATCTTGATCACGTTCTCCTGCACCCGCTTAAGAACTGTGCGTCGTTCGCGCTCAACGGTGGTGGGTCCTTTCCAGAGTTCTTCGGCTCTCGCCGTTTCGAAGACGACGCGTCGGGCTGTTCCGACTGGTTCATCGCTCGATGTGAACACCAGATGAGTAGTTGTCGTGCCCGTGCCGGTTCTGGTAGGTCGCCATCGATGTGTTTGTAGAAGCTCGAGCCAGACACGGACGTGTGCGGTTGTGCTGGGCCACAGCATCAGCGATGTCAGTGACAGAACAATGCGATGGCTACTCACATATGACACCTGTCGCCTCGTAGCTTGAACTGATCCGCTTCCCGCGTGTCAACGAGCTTTTCCGCCTGTGGTTCGACCCACCCTCACGCATGAACCTATTCCGCTCGATCTGTGGTGTTTCTTGCTCCGGTATTGGCTGCTGCTCGTCGCGGCCCCTCCGCTCCGAATACGGCGCTTGCTGTCGGTTGGGTGTCTTCGGCATACTAAGTGTGCCCATGGACTGCTCCGCTGCATGCGACTTGCGCCGCAGGGTGTCCGCCTCGGACTGCATCTGCCGCACGTCCTCGTCAACCTCAGGATCAGCGCGTGTGTTAGACTGGACCTGTCTGTCTTTGTTCTTCGCGAGCTGGCGTGCGGCCGTCGTGGTGCCATCTGCACGGAACTTCTTCGATGGTGGTTTGGAGGGTTCGCCAGGGCGGGATTGGGATGAAGGTTGACGCGAGGGTGGACGTTGCAAGGGCTCGGAGGGTACGGAGGGTGCGCGTACAATGACCAGGCCGCCTGGTTGCTCTTCGCCATTGACTGAGGGACAAACGATTAGTCTCCGTCCATTTATGAAACGCGTCAGTGTGCCAGATACGATCGGTCATACAACGCGTACCGCTTTCGCGTTCGCGCGAGCGATTGTGACCGGACCGCCTTGGGCCCTGTCGTGCTCTACTGCACCCTCCGGATGTATGTCACCCGCCATTTAACCTTGACAGGCGAAGAAGGCCACTCCCACGGAACACTGAACGCACAGACAAAGCACTCACGTTTCCGTTTGTTTGTGGATTTCTACGCGCACAAATTAAGTTACAACGCGTCAAAAGCGAAGCCAACACAAGCACGCACCTCCTTCTTCTGCTTCTTGGACGCGTTCCCTAACGGATTCATATCATCGATTCCTTTGCGCTTCGATGGTGGTGGCTGCGAATGGCTGGGTATCATCTGCACTTCCACAACGGCCCGAGACATGCATGAGTCCACAACTAGCGTTCCGTGTATGTAGGTGGTCGTTCCCGTGGGTCTTGAGACCGAGGTCGACGGAGGACGCGTTCGCCGACGCGTGCGATGGTGGGGGCGTAAGACAAACAGAGTCGGCGGAGCCCGAAGCGGTCTCCCACGCATCGCGTTCAACGCGTCCGCGTGATCACATGATACGCGCGCAAGCGGCAGTTTGCCACCTGAAGCCGATCGGAATTCGCGACATAGACGACGTACCAGTGGATCCAGGTGCTTCACTAGTTCAAAGTTCACCATTCTGGTCTGCATTTTCTGACGTGCGTGCTCTTTATATATATAGTCTGCACATATACGCTTATCCCTCGTACGATTGCACGATGTTTTCTTAATACAGAACTGACGACAATGTCGTCAACTATAAAACACCGCTGCCTCGTTCGCGAGGCTGCGTACCGTACTTAGCACCGGCCTGGCTCAGTCATTCAAGCTTCAAGTTCCATGAGGATCGGCGTGACCTAGCTCTGCGTAATGGCGCACAGTGCATATGCGCATGATGACTTTGTGCTTACTAGCGGTACAAATGAGTACTGACTACTACATTCCTTGCAGCGTCAGCAGGGTATGCCCGCAACAGCGTCGACCTTCAATGACTGTAATCAACTCATCTAACAGGCAGAAAAGACATCTTCACTTACGGAAAGTGATTGTCGTGGTCATTTATCGCTGGGAAGTTGGAACGTTTGGCCAAACGCGTAAGCAGTGGTGTCAGCTCACACGTACTACAAAGTACAGCCGCTACATACAGCCTGAGTAGGCGCACCGAACTCTTCCACTCGGGGTACTAGTAGTCACAGTACTGTGCACGGCTGCAATAGCTAAGTAAGCATGGAGACAGTACTTTGAGAGGGCTTACCAAATGATAACATTGCACTACACCCAAGACGTCAGTAGTGAGCGCATACATTTGAATGTCTGACAGACGATTGTGTAACAACTCCGGTCAGAATCGTTACCACCGTAGGACGGGCTCAGGCTTGTGACCGGGCCAGGCGATCCCAATGTCCGTTCGCAGGTCAACCACCCCGAGTGTACGGCGTTAAACTCCCAGCGCGTACTACTTATATGCGACAGTGTACTAGCTGCTCTGGACACTGACGAATTCGAAGGCGCGCCCCGAGGAACGACTGATGCTGCCGCCAAGTACTGGTCATTCCTGTGGCATTCCGGGGTAACATACGGACTGTGTCCGACTTCATCTTGCGCTTCCACGGTTTTCTGCAGTATAGACGAGCTCGTTTGTATGAAGGGGGTTATGTAGCATTGGGTCGAGGTGAAGCCATGGCGCCGCGGGCGATCCACTGGCACGCATCCCAGCCTATCCCAGCCACCCGCTGTCGCCGCCGGCCGAGCCGGTCCAAATTGAGCGCTTCCGGGGCGTTCCTTGCCCTTCTGCGGGGACACCGAGACCCACGCGGGGCCGGACAAAATCGGCCGACTGTGATTGGCTGCGGGAGGAACCGGTTTCTCCCGCCTTATAATCCAAATTTTGAGCTCAACGGACCGTCATCACACCTCTCCTCCGTTACTCGGTCACCGCGCTCGCGTGTAATATCTTGATTCCCTTATCCTATTAACGACCTCTAGACACTAGACATGCCTTTCCAACAGGGTGAGTACTGGCCTTACTAGGGAGTGCGTTGCGGCGGTGCTAAAGCAGTCCGAACAACCTCAGGTGACGCTGGCAAGGGTGCTGGTCTTTTCAAGACTCGGTGCGCACAATGCCACACTCTCGGTGCGGGCGAGCCTAACAAGGTCGGCCCCAACCTCCACGGGTGAGCAGCTTGTGAGAACGCGTACGGAACACGGCGGCTGACAAGTTCTGTGTAGCCTTTTCGGCCGGAAATCCGGCCAGGTCGAGGGTTTCTCGTACACTGCTGCGAACGTGAACAAGGGTGTTGTCTGGGAGGAGCAGACTCTCTTCGAGTATCTCGAGAACCCCAAAAAGGTGCGCTGGTTCGCCACGTCACAGCAGGTAGCGGCGGTGCTGAGGCGGTACCCCGGCTCACAGTACATCCTGGTACGAAGATGGCGTTTGCGGGTCTCAAGAAGGAGAAGGACCGGAACGACCTCATCACCCACCTCAAGGAGGCGGTCAGTGCTGTTTCTCATGTGTCCGGACAACAGCGTACTGACGGCCTTGCACATTTCAGACCGCATAGTTGTCCCTATCGGTTTCGTATCACGGACCTTATATATTATACCGCAACCATTGGTCTTATTGCATGTAGACGACCACACTACAGAGTTGTTTGCGCAACCCCGCTCTTCCTCACTTTGTTCTGCGTGACTGTTGAACTTTGGTGTGCGCCGCCAATCATCAAACACCTCGAAACCGTCGAAGTATCTACAGTGTACACCCGCACGACGCGCAAGTCCGTATGGGGCGGCGGAAGATGTTGAGCCCGAGTGAATGCCCTGTCGTAGCACAGAGTTCCAGTCAGTTCGGTGGCTGGAGTTCGTCGCGTCTGTCCTGACGTCACGGCACGGACTCGGATCCTCCAGCTCCCGTTACGTATGTGGCCGTGTTTGGCTTTGTTGCCCAAAGGCCTTGACGCCAAACAACGGGCTGCCCAATTCGGGCCACTCATTCGCCTTGTTCTCAGCCACCACCGAGGTGTTGCTTGTCTGAGTCGTCTGAAAAGATTCCTCTCATTGTGTCCCACACCTCTAAACAACCTACGTTCGACCGAAAAGGCGGGAAACGTACATTAGCCTAGTTCGCCTCCTTGCCGACGCCCTACCGCTTGGGCATCCGTACATCTGCTGAACGTGACGCTCCGAGCGAATCTGCTTGAAAATCATGGAAGAGGCTATCGTTGAGGACGAGGACAAGAAGCAGTTCGACTCCATTCAGGCTTCGCAAGATGCGGAGACTGAGCCTGACCCAGACGAGTCCCTAATCTTGGACAGCGGCAATGGGAGAGTGTGGCTAGTAAAAGTGCGTGTCTTGGCTGACCTCGCGCCCTCCGTCACGACCCGATCCCTCTCGCAGATACCAAGATACCTCATGGAGCGTTGGCTATCTATCAGAGAGGATAATGTCCATCTGGCAACCATCCGCGTCTTCCACAACGCAAAGTCCGCAACGGGCAAGTCGCCCCGCATCCTCCTCGCGCTCCCGCCCGACCCGAACCACCCTGGCCAGAACGAATGGGAGGGCGACGTGTACGAGTTGGACATGGTGCAGGAGTCGGTCGAGAACCAGATTGTCATCGCCGAACGCGAGAAGGAGCCCCCGCCTGTCCCGGGCACCCGCGCGCGGACGACGGTCCTCACAGGACGGGTAAAGCACGAGTGCAACCTGCGGCCGATGTTCAGTGACAGGTACAGGCAGCGGCTCAAGATGCGGACGATCGCGGCGAACACGCCGAGGAAGCAGATCATGCGGATTGAGGATGCGGGCGTTGGCGGTCGGGGGAACATCAACATGCTTACGAGCGGTGTGGCGAACACGACACCGCTCAGTCTCGGTGTACGTGTCCTAGGTTGCGGCTTCATGTTCTGTACTCACTCGGTGTATCCTGCGCAGCAACGAAGACCCAAGCCTGCGAAGGGCCAGTTCGAGCGCATGGCGCGTATGCCGCGCAACCAGCTGCTCGACGAGCTCTTCCGGCTCTTCCAGGAGCGCGAGCGCTGGTCCATCAAGATCCTCCGCGATCGGACCCAACAGCCGGAGGCCTACCTCAAAGAGGTCCTCAGCGAGATCGCCGACCTCAACCGGAGCGGAGAGTTCAACGGCACCTGGGAGCTCAAGGATACCTTCAGAGGCGAGGGGGTCAGTGTTCTATCTCCACTTAGCTGCGGCGATTGTCGGGCGGTGCTGAACTGTTTGTTCCAGGTCAAGGCCGAGCAGGTTCCCGGCCCAAGCGGCGGCTTCGGCGCGGGGGCTGGTGACGGCGTCAAGGATGAAGATTCGACGACTTCGATGAGGATGATGATGACGACGATATGGAGGAGGTTTCATGAGCTGGTGCAAAGCTGGTGTGCATCGCTTCCGGACTTGGTAATGGTATTGTATCTTTATATATTCCCGTCTGCTCGCTTTCTTGCACGCATATCATCATACACACGCAGTCATATAGCATTTTATTCAATAGCATTCACCGACTAAATTTTTCATGTGCGTCTCCACGAAGACGATGCGTGCTGTAGTGTCTAGTTCAATGTACAACGAGTTGATTACATCCCTGGCTTTGGATGACGCAGAAGGGTGATATTACATCGGCAATAGGGTATACAACGTAAAGACCCTTGACAGCAGTATACAAACCAGTATTCGTTATCAGAACGTCTGTGCGCATGACGTCTCATCGCAGTCAGCCTCTCTGGGGTGCCTTGCCCTTCTTCGGCTTTTTGGGCTGACGCTCGTACACGTTCACGTCGTCGGAGTCGGTCTCCAGCTCGTGCACGACGCCGCCGCCATCGCCGTCGCGCGTCGCCTGCCCGTCAGGGCTCCCATCTCCGTGGTGGTGATGGTGGTGCCGGCGGCGGTTCGCAAGGCGCGCGCGCCCGTCGTCGCCAGAGTCCGAGTCCGAGTCGGCGACTCCTCAGACGACGACTCGTCAATGGCTTCGGCTTGTGGTAGATACAGCAGACTAGCGCGACGGCAGCAGTTCAGTCAATATTACTTCCACCGTGCGGGGTAGGAGGGATGTGACGCACTCTTTGACGACTTCTTCCCCGCGCCTTCGTTATCCACCACGTCCTCCCTCCAGACGACCCGCGGCCGGCTCCTGGGGGCTGCGCGGAGACGGAGCCGCCCGATTTCCTCGCCGCCGTCGGGGCCCGCGCCCTCCTCGCCCGGCTGGCTATCGTGCACCGTGATCGTCCGCGATCCGTCGGACGGCGCCGAGGCCGAGGGAGGCCCGCGCGTGTGCTGCGTACGCCATCGCTCAAGTTCAGGGAGCAACGTGCAGAACAGACGGCCTAGTGGTGAGGCAGAGTGGGGGCGAACTTGGGTGGGTGGATCGCAGCGGCGCGAGAACGTGGGCTATAAGTAGATGAGGTGGTCGTGTCGTCACTGGCACTGTAATGCAGTGATGCGTCGAGGAGGATGCGCAGAGGTGGGTGGGTGCAGAGATGGTCACAGTATGTGAGAGACTTTTGAGGAGCGCAGCGCCACACCAGAACGCATGGATCGCCTGCTTATGTCAGCGTCGTAATGAACGCACGCGCGCGCGCTTTGCTGCAGCTCCAGTTCCAGCCAAGTTCCAGCCTCCCCCTGAAGTTTGAACCCTCGAAGCCGAGGAGGCTTGTAACGGTTATGGCTCCGTTCAGAATCACCGAGGAGCTCCTACTGGGTTCAAGTTTGGAAGCCGGTGGTGTCTGGATAGACTCCGCTTCGAGAAGTAGACACACCGTCACACGTAGTTCAATCCAGCCGAGTATAGATTTGCACGACGATGCATCCCACTCCACAAAGCCCGAATAAAAATCAGATAATGATACAAAATGTAGTCTGTACTGGAGCATCGGCATTATACCGAGCTTTAAATCACTGTCCAGGCTTCAGGAGAGCACCTGCAGTCTGGTCGCGCACGCCCTTCACGAACTGGAACGCGTCCGTGCCGCCCGTGCCCTTCGCCGCGCCTTCCTCCTTCGTCTTCCCAGCAGCCGCCTGTGCCTTCTTGCTCGGGACCAGTATGTACAGCGCGACGATCTTCACGTGCTCGTCGCGGAAGACCTTCAGCGCGGAGACGGCAGTGTTGTACGCCTCCAGCAGCTTCTCGTCGCCCGCGTCTCCACGAGGTCCGGAGCGGGCGCGGGTTCGAGGAGAGGTGGCGGAGGAACGCACGGTGGTGCCGGGGCATGTACGACTGCATGCGGGTCAGGAAGGGGACAGACGACGAGCCGGGCGCGGAGCTGAACGTCGCCGTCGCCGGGCCGGACCGCCCGTCCCGGGCAGGCGCCGTGGGGCAGTCTGCGAGCGCGCCATGGGGCGGGCTTTTGCCATGAAGTTGGAGTGCGAGTACTGGTCGACGCCAGGAAGACGTCGAGCGCGTGGACGAGCGAGCTCTGGCCCGCGCTCGGGCCCGACAGCTCCGTGGGCTCTCCGAGGGCGGGTCGAGCTCGATGCCCTCGAAGACCCACTTGCGCTTGCCGTCCGAGTCCGCGCCGCGGAACCAGGGCCGGATCTCGTTGTAGAACACGTCGGGTCGCAGCCTTTGCGCACGTCGGCGAGGATGGTCGTCAGCTCGGGACGACGCCGGCGAGCGTGTGCAGATAGGTCGTGATGCGCCGGATCGCGGTCGCGTCGCCGAGAAAGGCCTCGTCCATCATGGCCCGCATGAGTGTGAGCGCCTCGACGCCCCGGAACTCGATCCGCGAGACGCGAGGTAGAACTCCTCCTCGTCGCGCGTCTCCGTGAAGAGCGTCTGGCAGCGGAGGTTGTCCAGCGCGGGCGGGCGCGGTGGGAACGCAGAGGTGGGAGGAGTGATGTAGTCCCAGTTGTTGATGACATCGTCCGAGTAGGTGAGTATGGCGGGAGCTGGAGCTGCGCAGAGACCTGGAGGAGGGGGAGCGTGACGGGAGGGGGGATATGGATCTCGCTCGTGGATACGGGCAGCGAGTGTATATAAAAGTGCATAACCCATGCGAGGACATGGTGCGCTCGCCGGAGAAGTACTTCGGAGCGCTTTAAGCTGTCAGTAGAGAGAATTGGAAGCTGTCAAGGCGATCAGCGATGTGATCTGTGCGGTGACAACAGCAACTCACTTGTCTGACGCATCGCGCCAACGTTCAGATCGTTCAGTGTCTCTGGTGCAAGTCTGGTTTGTCAGCGAGCTGGAGCCTGCTCGAGCGTGCTTCGTCTAGTGCTGTCTCCCATGGCTCCCACTCTTGAGGAAGCCGAGACAGAGGGCGCGGGGGCATAAACCCGGTACGCGTATCGACATCGAAATCGTGTGCAGCGAGGGTAGAAGTGTCGGGTGTGCCGGCCTCGGCCAAGCCATGGTCTGGACGGGGTAGCGCAAGAAAATGGTTGACGGGGATATTACCGGGTAGTGGATGTAAGTGGTCCATGGTGGCAGGTGGTAGGAATCAGTTTTGCGGGAGGGGGAGCGTGCGGGGCACGAATGGTTTTGAGACGAGAGGCCTAAATAATTGGAGTCTGGCCGGAGCATGCCATCGCCTGGCCCACTGAGCGGGTGGCTGAGCGTGGACGCGCTGAGTCAAATCTCGCTAAGACCATTTCGATCGCCATCCCGATTGCCGGTTTCCGCTCCTCCCATTTCAGGCACGCGCCGCCCCTTCCTTCAGCCACCACGCGCCGCTGCCGCCGCGCGCTGGCATGTCGGAAGTTCTCATGTAATGAACCGATACCTGTGCTCGGACGCAAGAGATGCGCGTTGTCTCCAGGAAATGCAAGCCCGAGTGCTCACCGTAAGGATAAGTCATGCAAACTCGGATCGGAGACCGGACGCCCCCCATTATAGAATGGACTGACGTGACCAACCCCGCATGCTCTCGCGACCGGCGACCCAGCGAAAGGCCCTCGAACGCCAGAGAGCAGGAGACTACCGCCCATCACTCATGCTTGCGTGCTACAGGATCTCGGTAAGTCTTCGCACGTGTGTCCTATGCTATTTGTAGAGTGTCTCACCGTAAGCCATAGAGTACGGTCTCCAGGACCGGGCTATGTCGCCGCATATGACGCTGCGAGTAGCTGTTGGTTTGTGTTAATGAAGTGCAGAAGAGTACAAATGCCAACCGCGCGCAAGCCTGAGAAACGCGAAAGCGCTAGGGCTTAGAATATTCAAATACGAGGGGATGCTTCCACGAAGTCACGGGGATCGGCCTTCAAAACATCATTAGGTATGTGTGCAGGGTGTTCGACCGTCAACTGGTCTGCTCCATACCATGACACGGGGGCAGTGGTCAAGTCTTTCGCACGACGCACCGTGACATAGCGATGCCTGACCTCAATACCCGCCTCGGACTGCATCTGCCGAAGAGATCATGGCGAAGGGCTTTAGACTGCACGGGGCTGGCACGGAGACGAGCTCAAGTCCACTAGTATCCGGTACGAGGATGGTCCCATTGACACTCGCGTGCGTAAGCCACTTGGTTTGCGACATGGACAGGTGACTAATCCCGACCGGCGTCCACGCACATCGCAATCGCAAGTGGTTCTGCTTCGATTCCACTGTTGAACATATCCAGATACACTTCTTACTATGCGGTATGCTCTAGGCCGCCGCGAGGCTGACAGGAAGGGACCGCCTCTCGTGTTCGCTGATCAGTTTCAGGGAGCCTACAGTTCACACGTCAATTGCGCTGGCATCTTCATCTTGTGTTGGCTCTCACGTCGTTCGGCCTTGCGAAACCTCCTACATTCAGTCAGTGCACGTATGTTGGACCACCGTATGAATGCACGAAACCAATCAGACGCGTTATTCATTGACAGGCATCGACAGATATTGATATCTGCGCAAGACCTCAGGCTTCCAACCCCTTTTAGACCGTCTATCCAGATCTCTTGATGTAGCAGCCGATGTCCGTACCAGAACGCAGAAGCTGAAGCAGAGCCCAACGATACAGTACGTTGCTTTGTTCGATGATGGTGGGTTTCTGGCTGCGAACGAACTCTGTTCGCGGTTCCATGTACTACGGGACAGATAGTCCCGAGTAGGGAACACGGCCCGTGGGTACGCACAGCCCGTTGGCGCATTCGTTGTTTTACCAGCCGTCTCTCACTTCTGCAGCTCAGGATAAACTTGATCCCAAAGTGGTCTGCAATCTCACCGCTCACACCGACATTCAAGGCAAGATGCCGATTTGAGTTCGTTATGCAACAAACTCTGTCAACCATCATCGCCAGCTGCTTGAAGACCCACGCCAGACAGTATATAGATCCGCTGCAGTGAACCTGACATATCTTCGCTAAGCATTACAGTACACGATGTCGAGCCTCACATCCACCGATGCTATGGCTCTTATGAGCCCGAGTGAGTGAACGCTCCCTACTATTGCACATGCCTGACATCGCTTACTCTAGGTTCATTCAAAATTGTGTTACTGCAGCGATCGTCGGTTCGTGCATCAATGGTACGCTGATATTCATCATTATTGACCATGATCATGGCTCTAGCGTTACTTGCGTACGATTTGTTCTTACGCTCGGAAGCGAAGTGGAGCTCTTTTGGTGCCAGCGAGGTCTTCTGTCAACAAAGCGGCATTCTTCCTTCTGAGAATCTGTTCTTGGAACTGTGATCACGACCGTCCTCAATGCATACGTACCCATGTTCTCAGTGACTGTGAGTGCCCCTGTCATGAGTAGCGCTGTCCAAATGCTGACCGTTATCAACACAAGCTTGGGGGGTGGGTGATACACAATTGTGTCGGTGCAAACGACTCTTCTTACCATGGAGCATCCAGTTGTGCAGCCGCAAACAATGCTAACAACGCATTCTGGTTCATTGGAGCTCTCGTCATCACGGGTAAGAATGCTCTCACTAGAAAGTTCAGACATGCACTGAATCCCGGGTCATCATCTGGCCACTTCAGCCGTCACTGCCATGCGTGTATACGTAGTCAGCGGAGGCAAATGGGTTTGGATCACTGTTACCATGATACTAAACTCATTCTATCTTGGTTGGATTGGTGTACGTTTTGACCCGTATTTTCGACCAAGAATTGACACCTCACCCATACATTCTAAAGTACATCACCTATGCAACTGTATACCAGCTCGTCGTATCTGGAGACTCATGGGTTTGTGGTATATCAGTGGCCATGCCCGCGACATCAAATACAATGTAAGTAACACTCCCCGGTCGAGGATCAGCCACTGACCGTCGGATTCGATAGAGGTACTATATGGTCTAGCCACGGGCTTACTCGTTTTCCATGCCTCACTGCCTTGTTTCTAAGGGACATTCATGGCACTGATGGGCACCGTGTTGGCCGATATAGTCCTCATCATCGCAACGTGGGTATGCACATTCCACTGTGTCAGAATCCAACGGAGAACGCGACTATGGTCGCGTTCATCGCTTGGCTTCTATTCAGAGATGGTCAGTACTATTTTCCGCTACGCATAGGGTATGGTGAACTGAAAATGACGTTTAACGTCGATTCCATCCAGGAAATGTCTACTTCCTGTACGTAACTGTTGAAGTGATACCCGTCGACGATCACTGACACCGTCTTAGTGCGATGTTTTCTCTCAATACCGTCGTTTGTGTAATTGGCATGTGGTCCGACGTGCGTCACAATCCACACATACTCGGCACCCTGGTCAGCTTCGAGGCTGATAAGATATCTCACTTAGAATCTTAGCTGGCTTGGTGATCTGAACTTTCCGTGAGTTCTTGACGATATTCATGACGACTGCGGACGCTCATGTTATAGCGGCACTGGCAGCCTCCAACTGGTCCTGGTGACTCGGCTTTTGATCAATTTGCGCGAGTTGTCCCGGTCTGGGGATGACATCATTATAGGATCTCAGAGCACATCCGCTGGGAGCCATGGGCCTTCTGATCCTGCCATCGAAGTTTCGACAGTTAGGTTCCATGACGGTAGCACTCTCAGAGACGAGGAAGAAACACGTGCGTTCATCCTGCTACTACTTCGAGTTGGAGGTGGGCTAAAACTGGGCATTAGGTGACAATCAAACGGAGACAGGAGGCAACGACGCCACTGATGACACCCCCAGATGGTTGCCAGCTACAGCATAGCTGTTGCGACCTAAGGAGCGGATAACAAGAGGTCTTTGTGCTATGTATGGAGTGAAAAATACACACGCCTTCGTCGTAGTCCCTTGTGATCGTAATATACATTGCAAAGATGCTGTGTATAACTTAGCGTGTAGAAGAACAAGAACGAAAGCGACGTGGAGGGTATAATGATACACAGTAACACGGACGGTCCAGGTTCGGGGCGTGCGATAGGTGAATAGCGGGATGCAAACACAGAGAAGAGCGAACGCGCGATGTAATAGAACCGGCGAAAAGGCACGAGCGAATCCAGCGCTCGGAGTGAGATGCAGCGATGACGGCAGACGCCGTCGGACGAATGAGAGGGAAAAGGGAGGTTTTATCCGTAGACGAGCCTGTGCACGCAGTAGCTTTGATGCAGCTGCAGCCTGGAGAAGGGCGGCAGCCTGAGACAGAACACACACCCCTTCGGCGTCGTCGAGATAGGCTTGAAGTCTATCCGCCGGCCGGGGTCTACGAAGTGTCGGAGGACATCAGACCAGTCATCCCGGGAGTGCATCGACCTCCACGGGCATGGCCAGGCTGATATCGCCGCATTGGACGAGGATGACGGACGGCGACGCCAATTCCACCCGAGCGACGACACCTCGCGTCGCTGTGTGTCTAGTCTCCCGTAGGCAGACCCTAAACACGACCTTGTTGAGTGGGGAGGGCGGTCGTATATGGGTCTGCTTCAATTCGCGCCCTCGTCACCGCTCGACTCCTCCAGGACCCATTCTGTGATAGCCGAGCGATGCCGGTGGCTACGGCAGGGCACGGCCAGGCTGCCGGTGGCTGGTCATAGATCCATCGCAGATATGATTGAACTGTACTTGCCAGTGCTTACAGTATGACTGAACGGCTTGTCATGCTCTCGCGCGAATTCGTTACAGCGGTCAAATACCGCTTCAGACCCTCCTTCGTAATGCGGTCGTCGTACGGTAGTCAATACGTACAAACATCATATTGGGGTCTATTGAATGCTGCTGTAGTGAGTCGCGGTAGATATCATACTCGGAGTGAGCGGACAGATGAGAAGGAGTAGGCATTTGAATATATGACTAGGTGAGCTGCGAGGATGAAGGAAGTGAGCGGACAGGTGAATGAACGGACCAGCGAGGAGCCAAGAATGGTCGGATGCGTGCGTGGCTGGGTGCACGGCCCGGGGCAAGTACTACAGTACGAAATCGGCTCGGTTAGATGTGCGGGCAATTATCGAGTGGGCAGGCAAGTGATATGGATGTTCGGGCAAGCGAGTGCACAAAGTTCCCTGACTCAGCGCCCACTTGCGCTCCTCCTTGAACCGGCGCCGCTCCGAGTCTGCGAGGCTCGCACGCCGCATGCGAAGGACCGCCACCGTACGTTCCTGCGGGGTCATGCGGCCATCCAGGTCAATGGGCGACGGAACGGAGTCGAGGGACTCGGAGGGACTCGATGGAGGGTGCAGTGAGCTTGCGTAGGTGAGCGTAGATGTGATGGGGTGAGGCTACTTCGAGGCGGCAAGGATTCCGCTCGCGTTCTCTGTCCCGTTTACAGTCTCGGTCGTCCAAGTCGTGGTGGGGTCTATGGCCGTACTCGCGCCGATGCCGTGTGCGTTCCTGCCAGTCAAACGAGACGAGCCGCACACGTCTGCTCGGTATGTGCGTCTCGCGCAGCGCGGCGGTGCGTGACCACGTCGTCGTCTTAGTCGCCTCGGTTGTCTTAGAGTCCTCGAGGGTCTTGGGGAGCGCGTCCGTGAAGACAAGCCCAGTGCCATACCAAGAACAGTGCCTACGCACTGCATGTCATCGAGGCTGCGGGAGTAGGCACAGTGCAGACAATTAGGTAGTTGTGAAGGCGAGTGGGCACAAGTGTGCAGGTGAGAAAGCGAGTGGCTGCGGATAAGTCGTTAGACGAGCGGGCAGTCGATAGAATGAGCAAGTGGGCGGGGAAACGGGCAAGACCAGATGAGCGAGGCAAATGCGCCAGAGGCAAGTGAACAAGTGAGGAGGCGAGTGAACGCAATGTGCTAAAATGTTCATCAACAGATCTAAGGGGCACCGGCAGAGAAAGTAGATTATGTGACGCATTAAACAAGCACACACCTCGCTTTCAAACCTTCGTGCTCGCTGTGCTCGACCTCACTATTCATTCCCTCCCCAGTCTTTGCATTACCCTTGCCACCTCCAAGTTCTGCACTCGTCGTGGTCAGGGCAGATCACGTACCATGTCAATATGACGGGAGCATGGAATACACCAGTGGATGTCGGTCTCGCTGAAGTTAGGGAAGCCGCGGGCGCACAAGTCGGCAGACGACCAGAGTGACTATAGAGTCACGCGCCTTCACCAGTGTACGCTGCTAACGAACACTTGCATCGGTACTCCGGAGTAACGAGTTCATACATCCCCTCATTTTGGTCACGTTGATCTTGTCGAGCATGACAAGCAGTGGTAGGTGTAGGCTCCTCGAAGCGATGCCGCAGCAGAACATAGTGTCATGGGGCGAGCCAAGCCTATCGAAAAGGCGCTGTGCAATCAGAGCGGGAGCTCAAAGAATCGTAGAATCGTGGATGGCTGTATGTAGAGAGTGGGGAAGCGCAAGGGAAGTGAAAGTCACTGAGACGACCGCGTCGCCTCAGACGCGTCGCGCGCGGCGAGATTTACACGCGCGTTTCGGAGATCGACCTGCTTATGTAACTCCGCCAAAAAGTCGACCAGTGTTCGACCCGCATATTGAAACAGACTAGCGGCGAAAGAACCCGGGCGTTGCCGGAGACCTGAGAAGAGATGAGCGCTGGAGGAGGATGCGCTTCAAGGTTCTTTTGCATACATTGGCACGCCATGTCAGAAGCACAGGCTAACTAGTGATTACAACCAAAGTCAAGGGGCGTCGCATTGACAGCGGTCCTAACCCTCAGACCTTCTCCCGTTCTCCCACCCGAACTGTTCTCAAGACACCCCTGGTCACGATCCAGGTCGCCCAATTCCTGTAAACGACGCTCACCGCGTTCGCCGGTATATCACTTCTCATGGAGTGTGCGGGGTGTGTATCAACTGTTGTCCATGTCATCTTGAGTTAGCTCTCACGTCATTCTGTCTCATCCAACTACCTACCGTACATCAATGGAGGTAAGTCGGATCGTCGATTAAATGGCGGATGCGTGTTCATCTGATTGTCTTCCCTCCCACAGTTTTCACTCTTGGATTGGTAGGCGTTCAACATCAATTATAGCTGCGATGGCCCGTTCAAACCCCTAACTCTCGATGTATGCACTTGACGGCCCCGGCACCAGATTACAGAAGTTGCCGCAGAGCCCTATCCTATGATCGTTGGTCGTCAGCTGCGACCCAACTCTGCTCGCTGTGTCATAGGCTAGGGTCCCCCTGCGGTCCAATTGCTGACAAGATCCGCTGCGAATAACTCTTGTAAGCCGCGGCGTCTGCTAGTCAGTTCTCATCGTTCATGCGGTTTACTTGCGTATCGGTTACAGTTCGAATTTGCTCACACCGTTCCGCTTCATCACACCTTCCCTGTGAGTTATCACTGGAGGTATGTCGGTCTATCAAAGAATCCAGCAGATTCGGACGTGTGTCATCGACTAACGTAGCTCATGCCACCATCCGCAGTCTGGATGTGGTCGATGCTGTTCATTGCGGAAGACTGATTGTTGCGACTTCATGTGCGTCCATCTACATCTCTTGATAGTTCGCAGAAGCTACAGCAAATAACTACAAAACCCTCATCATGTACGTTGTTTGACCTACCATGCATATGTTCGTTCGTTCAACAATCAACACAGTCGACAGGACAGTGCAGGCGAACAAGCACGGCCTTCCAAACCGAGCGAGGATGACTATGACGGTAGTCGTGGGCGCCCCGACTTGAGTGTGCCGATTACTTTGAGAGCAGCCCTCAAGCTCAAGTCTCGAGAAGTACCTGATAGCGGCCGAGCGTTTGTGACAGATTGATATGATCTCAAACGCAACGCTGATTATTCCGTCCGTTCAGGACTTCTAATCTGTTGGATCCGTATCCGTATGCTTCGGGTTCAGGTCCATGGTGCCAATAGAGGCAGGGGATTCGTACACTGCGGAAGGCGCAGATAAAGATTTGGAGCCTTGGAACCCCCCTTTACGCGGCTTCGAGCGCTAGGGAATCATCGAGAGTCTTTCAATTCTGATCAGTTCGATTTCGAGGGCCGTCAATGAGACGGGTACATCCGCAAACCTTGTCGACAACCTATCAATGGTGTCCGAAAGCACGTTAGGCACGCTGCATAGCATACTTATATGAGTCGACGTCTCAGAATCTGCACGTCGCACCGCGCTCTAGGACACAATGTCAAGTGTTCCAGCGGAAGTAATACCTGCATTGAGAAGCGCGTAAGACGGCCTCTCTTTGTATGTCGCTCACAATACATTAAGACTAATCACGCAGGTTTGTGGAAACCTGCCTTTATGGAGCAATCATCGGTTAGTCTTCGAGAACTGCATATGCGCTGTCTGTGATTAATAATTATAATGCTGTGTTCTAGCATTCCTGACCTACGACTACGTTCTGACGCTTGGCGATGAAATCGAGTTCTTCTGGCGCAAAGGATCAGTGGCCGCCAGGGTCGTTTTCTTCTTGCTGCGATTATCTGTCCTTGGGATCATCGTAACAACTTTCCTTGACAACTACGTCCCAAATTTCGGGAACTCTGTGAGTAAATCTTCACTCTGGCAGCATCGCCAAAATGCCGATTTTACCTGATGCGGGAAAGGTCACGACGTGAGATCAGCTTTTTGCGTATTCAATAGGATATCAGTCCTTACATTTGGATGTTCTAGGTGCTCTGCTGTAGTCAACTCAAGTAACGCACTCTGGGCTACTGCGATGGTGCTCATATCCTGTCAGGTGTTGCGAGGTTCAGATCCTCAGATATCCACTGACAACTTCGTGACTCTGTACAGCTATTGCCGCTGTTCGTGCATACGTTGTCACCAGTGGCCAGTGGCATTGGACAGTTATAGCGTCAGTGTTTGGCCTATCAAGCGCTGCTCTCACTGTGGTGCGCATACAGTCTCTGTTCAGAACAAGACGACGCTGACATTAGCCCAACATACTCTGATACCAAGTTTCTCATATCCCAAGCTCACTATCGGGTTGATGAAATCCAATCCTCTTGGATATGCAGTGTGTCAACGAACGTCTCCGCGTCGTTCAACACAACGTGAGCTGTACGAGTCACAATTGCTGACGAATCATCACTGACTTTGAGTCATGATTTGCAGAGGTATTTGACTCACATCGAAGCACTATGATTTCTCATGACTTCACTCGTTCAGCGACTATCATTGTCGTCTTATGCAACATTCTGGCCGATCTAATCGTCATTATTGTAACGTGGGTGCACATGTCAGGATTAATCAGACTCCAAGGGTGGAGACACTGGCAGTCGAGTACCCGTTCCATTGTCTGGCTTCTATTCAGAGATGGTAAGCCCCTAAATAGAAGCAGTTGGAGGCTACATTCGTTGATTACGAACTTCCCAACGATGTGTTACAGGGACCTTCTACTTTGTGTATGTTCCTGTTCTACTGATATCATACCGTCAATAACCCTGCATCAGAGCTGTGTTCTCAGTGAATCTCCTCGTTTTCATCGCCGGCGTGTGCTTCCACGTACTAGTAAGTACCAAACTCCCAAATGATCGTTCACACAATGACGTATTGCAATTCAGAACATTGATTATCTTGCTAGCCTGGACACGCCGCAAGTCTCTCCATTCAAGTTCTATTACCGCAAAGGCTGATAACATGGTCGCAGACTGCAATCGGTGTTGATGTATCGATTTCTGATCAATTTGCGGGAAACGTCCGATCGCGCATACATCGGGTCCCAAAGCACATCCGGCGACATTGATCGGCTTCCAAATACTACTATCGAGGCGTCCTCCCTTAGATTCGAACAAGTGCACACAGTCAACAGTGAGCAGGCGACAGGTGTGTTCAATGCAATTGCTTGATAAGCTCTGACCGTGACCGTGGACCCAACCTCAAATCTAGGCAGCAGTGGAGAACAACTCGATGTCGATGGGGCGAACGCCGATGATATCACCGGATGCAGCAGCACTGCTTAATGGGTTTGTCGGTTTTCATGGACAGGCAATTACCGGGCCATTCCTCGACGCAAAACTATTTCTCAATCTCTCGAAAGCCTGAAAGAATGATGCAGATGTAATGAGCTAGTCGGGAATCGAGGCCTGCATTCGTGCTATGTAGCGAGTAGGCGATGGTATTGTCACTATGATACGGGGACGCCGCATCTCAGTCGATACTTGAAGCTCGAAGACCAGGACGACCCGACGCAATAGCGCTCAATGGCCAGAGGCATGGTTGAACCGTGAATTTCCTCTCGCTTCCGGAACGGTTACAGTAGCCAGTATCACACGATGGAGAGCCATCATGCATGCCTCCGAGTCTAGGGGACGAGCTGACCGTGCGCGTGTAAGTTTCCTTCTTATTCGAGTCTGTCAGTGGTCATATTCATTGCTGTCACGCTTGCCTCGATATCAAGCTTGAGCGCTGCCAATTCCGTATCGGTGGCATGTGAGTCTCTCAGTTACGTGATCCTCGTAGTCCGAGTTGACACCATCATTAGCGACCGCAATCTGAAACTTCTCCGTCAGCGTCGAAACCGGCCACTAACATCATCTCGGTATGCCCTTCATAACCGCTAAAGATTACTCTGTGTCGAGAATGACTATCATGTCTGCCTAGGAAAGATTGCGCGACCAGAAGTCATCAATCTGTGCTCCGGTCGCAGCAGTCACAGTGCGCACCATGGGTTTAGTAGCAATACACTTCCGACGGTCCGAGGGCATGGGTCATTGAAGTTGAAATTCTTGAGTGGACGCCGTACGTGCAGGTGAGCTTGTTGTCTCTACTGTTGCCTTGTGGGTTCTGTGATTGTTCGAGTTTTTTCCAGGGCTGGATCATTAGTGTTTCACCATCGGCGCTGCTCAACTGACCGGCCCCTCCTTGCAGCCATTGACTCATATTCGAGTACGTGACGCCAATTCACTTCTGCCATGTGGCGCGACTGAAATGATAGTGGCATTCAGGCTTGTGGGTCGACATGTTCGGTACGCAATTGAACCGTGGTTCTGTCACAGCCGCGGTAGAGTGTTTTAAATGAATAGAAGAAGCATGACCCATAGCATCCGTTCGAATCATTGAAATGACGCCCTAGGATTTCTGCCACTAGCAAAAGGTAGCGTCGCAGAAGCTGGCATGGGGACCAATGGCAATTTGACGAGTCTTTCATTTGCGCCCAAACCGCAGACGTCCAATCGCCGCCGCCGTCTCGTCGAAGTCGCTGCACATGCTGAGTACTCCGTATACGGTCACTTGGATTTCAGATCTCATTGCCAGTGTCTGCATCGCACTGGCACAAATGGCACACGTCAGGATTCCGCGCCAAATGCAAAAGCCGCAGAAGTCATCTCGATGAGAAGCCGAGTCACTTTGTACACTGACCGATGAATGGCCCACAACTCAATGCTCCGCCCCTCAGTACCGGAGCAAAACCCGGTTTCCGCGTGGCTCTCAAATTCTGCCATATGCTCGCACGGCCTCCGGAGTCCGTGGTCCTGATTGCTGCTTGTACAAGTGAGTCGGGGACTTTGAAATGACATCCTTAATAGACAACATGGCTCGTACTTCAAGTTGTCCACACAGCCGCATGGCTTGGACCTCAATATGTTGCTTGTTCGTTGATTGCTGGCCAGGTGTCTGGCTGCGTTATCATTCTGCTCGCGGTTTTGTGAACTATCACGGTCTCAAGCATCGCTTCTATGAGACAGATAGTGTCCCGTATAACTACCGAAGTAGGCGGCAACGCGGCCCGTGGACGGTACGCAAAGTCGGTTGACGCATCCGTTGTTTGCTAGCTGTCTCCGATCACTACTGCAGCTTCAGATATTAATCCCAAAGTGGCACGCAATCTTCGCTACTCACTCGTTTTCGAGGCAAGATGCTGATCCGTTATGAAGCAAACTCTGTCAACCATCGTCGCGAGCTGCCTGAAGACCCATGCCAGACAGTATATAGGTCCGCTGCAGTGGATCTGACGTGTCCTCGATAAGCATCCCAGTGCACGATGTCGGGCCTCCCATCCACAGATACTATAGCTGCTATGAGCTCGTGAGTGGACCAGTTTTTCATTTATTGCATATGCGATGATATGCCTGACTACGCTCACCGCAGCTTTGTTCAGAATTGTGTTATTACAGTGACCACCGGTACGTGCATCAGTAGCGTGCTCAGGCTGGACATCCATCATTATCTGACCATGAATCATGGCTCTAGCCTTCCTAGTGTATGATTATGTTCTTACGCTCGGAAGCGAAGTCGAGCTCTATTGGTGCCAACGAGGAGCTCCGGTCAATAAAGCAGTGTTCTTCCTTCTGCGGATGTCTATCCTTGGAACCGTACTTGCGAACATCCTGAGTACATACATGCCCCAGATGACTGTGAGTGCCCCTTATGAGCGGCGCTGTCCAAATGCTGACTGTTATCGATACAAGCTTGGGAGGTGGGTGATACACAATTGAGTCGATTCAAACGACTCTTCTTACATCGGAGCGTCTAGTTGTGAAGCTGCGTACACATCTAACACGGCATTCTGGTTCATTGGAACTCTTGTCATCACGGGTGAGAGTGCTGTCATTGGAAGGGTTTGAGACATGCACTGAATCCCGGGTCATGATCTGGCCACTTCAGCCGTCACTGCTATACGTGTATACGTAATAAATGAAGGCAAATGGACTTGGACCGCTGTCACTTTGATTCTAAACTCATTCAACATTGGCTGGAATGGTGTACGTTTCGACCGTTCTCTCAATGGACTAAGAATTGACACCTCACTCATACAATTTCAAGTACACTACCTATGCAACTTCGTACCAGCTCGTCATGTCTGGAGACTCGTGGGCTTGTGAAATATCAGAGGCCATGCCCGCGGAACTAAACACAATGTATGTAACACTCCCGCCTCGAGGGTTTGCCACTGACCGTCGGATTCGATAGAGGTACAGTACTACCTGGTCTAGCCACGGGCTCACTCGTCTTCATGTCTCATGGCCTCGTTTTCAAGGGTCATTGCTTTCGCTGATATGTGGCATGTTGGCCGACATGGTCCTTATCATCGTGACGTGGGTATGCACATTCCACCATGTCAGAGCCCAACGGAGAACGCGACTATGGTCGCGTTCCATTGCCTGGCTTCTATTCAGAGATGGTCGGTACTATTTGCCGCTACTCATAGGGATGTGATGAACTGAAGATGCCGTTCCACGCCGATTTCATACAGGAAATATGTACTTTCTGTGCGTATTTTTGAACTGATAGCTCTGGCGTCGACGGTCACTGACGCCGTCTTAGAGCGATGTTTTCTCTAAATCTCGTCGTTTGTGTGATTGGCGCATGGTCCAACGTACGTCACGATCCCCATACCTGGTGAACTTTGACACTCAGGCTGATAACATGTCCTGCTTAGAATCTCACCTGGATTAGTAACTTCATCCTGCCGTGAGTGTCCTTTGACATCACGGATACTTATGTCATACTCGCACTGGCAGCCTCCAACTGGTCCTGATGACTCGGCTTTTGATCAACTTGCGGGAGGCGTCCCGGTCTGGGGGCAACCTCATTATAGGACCCCAAAGCACGCCTGCTGAGAGCTGGGATCGGTCTGATCCCGCCATCGAATATTCGGCTCTTAGGTTCCGTGACGGCCGCTCTCTCAGAGATGATGAAGAAACGCGTGCGTTCATCGTTGCGACTCTTATTTGAGGTTGCAAGTGGGCTCAAATCTGGGCTTCAGGTGACAATCAAATGGAGACCGGAGGCTCAGGCAACGACACCGATGATGACACCCCCTAGATGGTTGCCAGCTACAGCATAGCTGTCGCGACCTAAGGAGCGGAAGTGGTCTTTGTGCTATGTATGGAGCGAAGAAGAACACACTCGCCTTCGTCGTATTCTCTTGTAGCCACCAATCGATATATGTTCTATGTGTGTGGAAGTCGTGGAAATATGATCGTAATATACATTGCGAAGATGCTGTGTATAACTTAGCGTGTAGAAGAACAAGAACGAAAGCGACGTGGAGGGTATAATGATACACAGCAGCACGGACGGTCCAGGTTCGGGGCGTGCGATGGGTGACTAGCGGGATACAAACATAGAGAAGAGCGAACGCGCGATCGGAATAGAACCGGCGAAAAGCACGAGCAAGTCCAGCGCTCGTGGTGAGATGCAACGATGACGGTCGACGCCGCCGGACGAATGAGAAGGGAAAGGGAGGTTTCATCCGTAGACGATCCTGCGCAAGCAATTAGCTTTGATGCAGGAGAAGGGCGGCAGACAGAACACGCACCCCCTCGGCGTCGTCGAGATGGGCTTGAAGTCTATCCGGCCGGAGTCGACGAAGTGTCGGAGAACGTCAGACCAGTCGTCCCGGGAGTCCCAAGAGATTTTGCCGGGTGCGTCGACCTCCACGGGCATGACTTGGCTGATGTCGCCGCATTGGACAAGGATGACGGCGGTGCCGATGCCACCCGAGCGACGACACCGGTCCTCGCGTCGCTGAATGTCAGCGCCCACGAGTGGGTCGTTGTCGGTGACGTATGTACGAGGGACAACATGTGTGCCCTTGATGGAGAAGCTACAGATCCAACCATGAGAATCGCCACTACAACGGTATCATAGCCCGCAGCTACTCACCGACGGACTGCGTCGGATGCCGATGGGTTGTATCTCAACTCGACGAGGAGCGCGTTCTGGCGGACATTCGAAGGGATGCGCCTCAGTTGAAGCGCCTGGAAGCCCGCCCAGCCAAGAAGTGTTGAATGTGCTGAGACGAATTTGCGCAGGCTCTTGACGAGATTCTCGTCGGGTGCACCTGGCTGTTTCGCGGTTGCGATCTGGCCGGCGGTATGTTGGCAGATCTGTTTATGTGAGGACCAGTGCATCTTCTGGCACTCCTGAGACTAAGCAGGCAGTCAGCTCAGAGCTTCGATGCGGCCCCGACTGAAGCCTATACTCACGCAGTATTGGGTGGTCATCTGAATCGGGAAGAACTTCAGTCATGTCGATCGTTAGGAGAGTATGTCGGAGTGACTCACACATCCACCACACAAGCGGAAGCGAGCCCCAGAAGGTTGTTCGATTGCACCGCATTGGTCGCATAGTCGGTAGCCCCTCTGTTTCTGGGGAGCGTGGGAGGGGGCATTGAAGTAGTTAGCAGCGGCGGGCTGTACGTAGATCGCGGCCATTGTTGGTTAGTGGGCGATGTCCCTGAAACCACTAGGAGATGATACTGACCGAGTCACTCTGGCCAACATTTTATACTCTGAGCCCGAGTTACGGCGAGCGTGCAATTGTGCAGTCGGTGCGAGCAGAGTTGGCGGTAATTGTGAGGTGCATGCCACCGCCTGCCAAATCAGGCGAGCGAGATCGCCGATGCGCGCCTTGTCTTTTTGTCTTTGACCCCTCCGCTGCCGAGTCAAATTCGCCCGCTATTGTCTCGCCCTGCATTCGCGAAGCAATCTTCGCCTCGCTCCTCCGCAAAACAAAAAGATCCATCGCGAGCACCACGCTCGTCCGCCTCCAACACAAAAACCTCTATCGCCCGTCTTTTTGTTTCTGGATCGCAATTTCATCGCCTCGGGATTCCATGCCTCGGCAACCACGATGCTCGAGCAGAGACAGCCTGCCCCATACAGCAATTCGAACAGGACCAGCACCGAGATGCTGGTCTCTTTGACGCAGAATGTGGCTCAAGGTTGTGGTCCGTGTGGAGACATCCTTCAACGGACATGTTCCACTGCTTCGTTGAACTGCCAACAGGTGGTCACCTAGGCCCCAGAGGGAATTATCAGTCTGAATCTAGTGGATGTACTCCTCTTACAACGTATCTGCCCAAGGTCTAGGCTTGATGGCGCGGCCCAGTGGCCACTACTAGTAGTATCTGGCACGACGCAGGAGAGATGCAACATTGTAACGATCGCATGTCGATCTGGCTCGAGGTTCCAGAAGCACTTCTTCTCGCAATGGCTTTGATCTGCTCAGAGTGGACGCACATTCGCCCGATGGGCCTCCGGGCTCTCACTTGCTTCCGATGAGTGGATCAACGGTGTGTGGTCTCGACTCAACAGCAGGCGTTCCTCGTGGCCGCCTTCGAAGGCTTTAGAATTGACGTTCTCGGTAGATTCCATCGTTATCCGAGGACTTCGCGTTCTTGCATCGGCGAGTCACAGGACGGAGTCCTGGAATCTCATGCCATACACACAGCTGAGTTACGAGTGCTCTATTGTCCCAGAAAACGCAGGACTTCGGGTGCATATCTGCTTCCGCTTCTAAGGTTGTATTCTCGCAGCCTTGGGCCCCTTCATACACCAGGACAATAGGTCTTCACGTTCCCAAGACGACGAGCCTTGATTTGACGGTATGTGTTTCCCGCGACGCTTGCTTACCGCTAACATCTGTGCAGGCGCCTAGCCATCCTTCGTCTCATGCTTTGACATACTTGTCCGATGTATACATGTCAGAGAAAGTATCGAAGGCATGCAAAGAAATGAAAAAGGTGAGGCGTGACAGACACAACCAGAGTGGCAAGTCCGAATATCGGCAAATGACTTCACTGGCAAGTCTCGAATCTCTATAGTCCAGAGACCCGTTCAGATCCAACGGTTTCCAGCATTCCGTATACAGCCGTGAATTCCTCCGTGTAGATAGATACATGCTTCTGTTACTGCTATATTCTCTATTTCGCCTCACGCCGCAGCCTGCACCGGCGCAGGCGCAGCATCGTACACTTTCTCGTTCCAGCCCGGCAAGATCTGCGCCGTCTCGAACTTCGGGTCGCCGCGCACCACGCCGTAGGTGCGCTGCCACTTCTGCTTCGCGAACGTCCACTCCTCCATGGTCGGCACGTGGTTGCCGGTCTTCTCGAACTCGTTCTGGGTGATGCCTTCGCGCAGGAGGATGGGCGAACCCTTGACAGTCGACAGGACGACATCGTTGTTCGGGCTGAGAACGCCACGTTGCATCAGCGTTGCCTCTGACGTGGCAATATGGTGAATACGTACCGCGAGAAGTAGAGCAGACCGAGACGGTCAACGTGCTCCTGATCCTTCGGCGGAGCAGCCACCCTGTTACGGCATCCCTCAGTACCCATTCGTTATGCTGCAGGTATGCAACGTACCTGTGAATCGTGCTCTTGACGTAGCCGCCGGTCAAGAACGACAGCGCGTCGCAGGCGTTGACGGTGAGCGTAGCGTTCTGTGGCTTGACCCACTTCCACTCGCCGGTCTGGTGGTTCTTGATCTGGAGCGCAGCGACAGGCTGACGGAAGAGGAGCGTCCATGTGCCGAGGTCTACGCGCAGGCGGGTTCAATGCATGCTCGTGGGCAATCTAGATACTGCGGTTGTGCTTACCAGTGTGGCCGCGGCCCCAGATCCTGCCGAGCTTGAGGTTCTCTTCGGGCGTGTATTTGGTGTACTTCATGTACCGGAGGTGGTCCTGACGGCGATCCGAGGGTCGGATCAGCTTGAGGTTGACGATGTGAGAGTAGGCTGACATACCTCGCTCTTCTTCTCGTACTTGTGGAGGTTGAGGAAGTAGTCCTCTGGGAGTTCGAGAGCGACAGCGAGCAGGACGTGCAGATGGTCCAGGACCTCGGTGTGGAGAGACTGTCATGGGAGCGCGGTGAGTTTCGGTGGTATCGCATCGAAAGGCACAGCGGGACATACTCTAGCGAATTCCTCGATTTCAGGAATGAAGTCCGCAACGAGCTGGGGGTGGTTGTGCTCGAAGTGCCCGTCAAACTCTGGTACCAAAGGAGGTTCAGAATGCATCATCGAATATCATCGCAGCAATACGTACTGGGGATGTTGTACATCTCCGTGTGATCCCTCAGTCCGGAGACCGGCTCAAGGCTGAGGACCAAGTCAATCAAGTGACCAGTCAACAATCAATCGACAGGACTTACACTCGCCGTCCAGCGGGTATGTAACCATTGAACTTGCCCTGGTCTGGTGGAACGCACGTCAACGATGCATACTACCACACGCAGGAAGGTGCTTACCCAAGCCCTCCGGGATGTACTTGCGCCTCTCCTCGAGCGGGAGCTCGTAGACTCGCTTGCCGAGTGAGAATTGGCGGTTCACACGCTCCTGGGAGATGTTGAAGTTCTTGACGTAGAAGAAGCCGTCCTCCCGCACGGCCTTCAGGAGGGTCTGTGCTAGCTCCTTCTTGCCCTCGGGGGTCGCTAGCAGACTGAAGTCGAGGGTGATGAGATCCGCCCAGTCCAACTCCTCCTGTAATCACGGAAATCAGATATGTCTTCATTAGACGAACAAACATCGCGAGCCCACTGACCTTGGTCTCAGGAACGAAGTTGAAGGAGCCGAGCTCAGGTGCGGGGACGGGCATGTTGTAATGTACTGGATGAGGCTAGGGAGAACGAGGCGGATGCTCTGTCAGATAGTAGTCCACCGCGGCTCTTTTCAATGCCATCCAGTAGCCACATGATGAAGAGCGAGTACATGGCAAAGTATGGTGAGCGTTTCGCCGCCGACTGGCCGGGAAGGTTGGTCAGATGCGTGGGTCACCTCATTGGATTGCTGGATGATGCAATCCGAAGCTGACGTCCGGGGACAGCTGCAGCAATGGAGATAACACCAACTTCGCGGTACCACGGACGTTCCGATATGGTGTACGTAGAATGCCGGGAGGCAAATGGCCCGTGGACTAGTTTGAACTGTGCCTATTGCGACAGCGTGATAGGGTGCGTCACGGTGTGGAGCACGAGACGGTGATCTTCATTAAATCCAGACTGGGTTTGCAGAACTTTTCTCAGCTAAAGACAAGTCAGCAACTCAGTGCAATCAAGTCATCGAATGTTAAGCCTGAGGTCAACCTAAGGTACTCACGGTCCGAGAGGCAACCGCGTTTTTCCACTGGTCATGGTTTCGACATACAGTACGACCCACAGAAAGCCGACGGGAGCACCACAAACCTGAACTTGAGCATAATCATATGTGTCGCCAGCTTGAACAGTAGAGCACGCCCTTATAGATACCGACGGGGAGACAGAGAGACAGTACTTGTTGAGACGACAGCTTGACGGTTTCTTTCAGTCAAATGCAATCTAGATCTGACCGCAGGCAAGCGGCGATCGGATCTCAGCCATCTGAGATCCACGTCGTCGCTCCCAGCCTCCCACTGACGACGGCGCACTACTTGTGTACCACAGTCGTTGTCCCTCTTCGCTCGAGATCATCTCTAAGTGCTGCATACAGCATGATCCTGAACGACAGGCTACGTACTCTCAGTGATGTATCATCTCCAGGACAAGTGAACGACCAAATGACCGTCAGACCAGAATTGTCAAAATCAACCACCACCATTCAAGTCATAGTTATCTCGAACAGTTGCCCGAGTCTTTGTATTTGTCCAAGGCTCCAGGCCACTGCGGATGGCGGGCAGGTATCGCAGAGCCACCTCTCCGGGGCTAGCGGACTTGATGCAATCCTTGATGGTATAGTGCAATGCAGGCTTCTATGAGCCGTGGCGTTAGAGCGTGACACTCTGTCGCAATCGCCCTCTTTCTCTCTCGCGCAGTCATTGTAAGTTCTCTCCTTGACTATTCTTTCAATCGAGCTTCTCAAAGCGTTACGAGACTTACAGATATGCAGATACTTGCCCGCTTTCGTGAAACGATAGCCTGCATGCGGATATGGCGCGAGGGATGCACCCTTGGGCGCTAGGTTCAGGTCTTGCACGCCATTCAGTACACGAATGAGCTTTCGTCTTCAGGTCCGAGATAACTCACATAGGTTGTTCTTCGCTACTTCTTAAGTAATGTTGCAGCCGCCAATCATGCGGGCTTGGTTCGTCCCTGTCCTCACTTAGGCTTGTCTCCTGCATACGCGTACGCGGTTCACCATGAGCAAGACAGGCCCGCGTCCCTTGAGCAGCTACGTGTGGTGGGCCGGAAGTTGTATGCATGCTCTCCTATGCTAACGATCGCCGCAGGGATACTTGGAACAAACCTCCGTTGGAGAGGAAGTTCCTTGCGAAGCTGGACTCATGCCTTTTGATCTACGCGGCGCTGTCCTACTTTAGCAAATAAGTTCTTTTCTTTCTCTCTCCATTTATCCATCTCACCTTTACCTGTACGTATTTGGATCAACAGAACGTGACTGTGAGTTCATATCGTTTCAAAATAGGTTCACCTCTGATGTATCCCGTAGAATGCCTACGTCTCTGGGATGCAAGAGGAGTGGGTGCTGATCGCTGGCGATCGTCCATTTAACTGACCGCTTCTCCCAGCCTCGGCCTGTGAATCGCACGCTTCTCTGCCCGTGATCGATTGCTGATCCTTCCACAGCCACGGAAATCAGTTGAACTACATCACGACTGCTTGGACGTGCGGATATGTGATTGGTCAAATCCCTGCGAAGTGAGGAATACTGTATCCGTTCTCTATGCATGGCCTTATCCCTGATCTGCGCCTCATAGCATGTTAATCACGAGAGTACGACCATCAATATGGGTATGTTGATAATCACGGTGTTAGCGACCATTCTCTGACAACGTCGTCGTAGATTCCACTCACGGAGGTAGTTTGGAGCGGTTTGACTATGTGCCTTGCGTCGGCGAAGAGTTTTGGCGCTCTTGTTACTATCCGTTTCTTCGTCGGTGAGCTAGCCTATATGCGCCCGACCCAATATCATGCTGATGAACGGATCAAGGCCTCGCCGAGTCTTCCTTCTATCCAGCAATGCAATACGTCACTGGCAGTTGGTACAAGCCTGACGAACTAGGCAAAAGAGCGTGCATATTTCATGTACGTGTTTCTCGTTAGAAACCATGTCACTGTCAGCTCAGCCTTCATAGACGGCAAGCGCCTTCGGTCCCATGATAAGTGGCTTTTTACAAGCTGTATGTTGCCTCAAAGGACACCGTGATCATTTCTGACGCTAGTTGATAGGCAGCGTACGACGGCCTCAACGGAACATACGGTCTTGCGGGGTGGAGATGTGAGCCACATGGGTGAAGATGAAGTGTAGTCTGATCAACGTTTCGTAGGGCTCTTCATCATCGACGGGATCATTACAGTTCCTATCGCCCTCCTAGGTTTCCTCATCATGCCAGGTTAGTCTCAGATGCTATAGAGGGCGCGGCAGCTCATTTGCGCGGACATATATCAGATCTGCCCTCCAACACAAGGCCAAACTACTTGTACAGTCAGGACGAGATCGACCTGGCGAATCGCCGTATGGCGGAGATTGGACGGAAGCCTCCCGGGAAATTCACCAAGAAGAAGGCAGGCACAATTTCCCGGCTGCGGATGTTTGCTCATCATTGTAACTCGTGTCTCAGGTGTTCAAGTTCTTCACGACGTGGCACCTGTACCTCCTCACGCTCCGTAGGTCGCTACACCGACTTGCGAGGGTATTGTCGCTGACTTGATCTTCTCAGTATACGTTCTGGTATGTTCCGAGCCTGTATTTGTCAAATTATAGCTGTAGCTTGACGCGGCTGGCCAGTTCAACAATGGTGGAAATCCCGCGGGTTCGATGATCTTTTGGTACGTACGGCACCACGCGCGTGGCTCATTCCAAGTCTCAAATGTTTCCTAGGCTGAAGAGCTTCAACACACCCGAGAAGACTGTGTACACGGTTGCGCAGATCAATACGTACCCGCTACCAATCTATGCCGTACAGATATTGACAAGTGAGTCCTTGGGGTAGTGAAATCTTCAGGACACATTGGCTGAACCTCATCGCTCGCAGCGCTGACTTATGCATGGTGGTCGGATGCCGTGCAGGCGCGTTGGCCCCCTATGATCCTCGCAGCAGTAAGAGTGATTCGAAATATAGACGTGTCGCCTCTGACGTACATTCTTCTAGACCTGGAATATGGTGGTTTGCATCGTCTTGGCTGCTACGCCTGTGTACACACACATAACTCGGTAAGCCCCCATTATTCTCGCGTCCTATGCGCTCTACTCACCCGCATTTCAGGCGCTGGGTATTCTACTATATGGTACGCACCACCGAAAGTGATCATGGGAATGTCTGATGAAACAACCATTGATGGCGTAGACATCGGTCACCGGAGGACTGTCCGGATTGATCCTGTCATGGGCAAACGAGCTCACAGGAGAAGACAGCGAGAGTGCGTTCTGCGTCGCAATCGAAACCGGACGCGCACTGAAGTGAACCTATCCAGAACGTGCGTTTGTCGTCGCATGTTGCAATACGTTTGCATACGTCGTGCAAACGTGGTTTCCCACGTAGGAATTGTCTATTCTTCTGCCTTCGTACTGCGTCGCTCAATGACTCTACTGGACAGGGTCCTCTTTCCTCAAGTGGAGCAACCCCGGTATGCACGGTATCTCTGATCTGACCACCGTAGTTGACGAGTGCGGTCACAGTGTATTCAAAGGGAACGTGGCGACGGCCTGTATGATGGTCGCCCTGAGTAGGTCTGATTCACTCGCATTGGGCACTGCCGGCTAAGTCATCTGCTATCAGTTTGCACAGCACTCACCGTGCTTGCCTTGTCGCGTCGCGATGCGCGGAGGAAAGCTCGCGAGGTTCAGCTTGAACAACCCACGAGTGATCGTGCGTCCTCCGATGATCTCAAAGTCGGCAAAGATGACGCCATTGCATCGAGTGTAGTAGTTGAGGAACTCAGAGGCTGAGAATCATCGTTGGTAGCACCGTAACGTCTCGTACACGTGGGGCATCGCACCGAGCCAAAGGGTTTCAAGAAGAATGAATAAATACTTTCGGCATTGATTTTGAAGCGGTGACAGACCCCACACCCGTACCGTACAGGAATGCGCACATAGAGCGAAGAAGATGGAGGTGCTACCCATTCTACCGTGGCTCTTCCTGAATATCCGTATCGCCGTAGGCATTCGCCTGATCCGTGTCGTCGGCGTCATTGTCTAGATCGTTCATCATGTCCATTTCATATTCTTCGGTGTCACCGCGGGTAGCGTGTGCAGCCGCTGCGAGACCAGGATGAGGTTCGAAAGTGATGCTTGATACGTGGGTGAGGTCGTCCAGCATACGGGAAATCGTGGAGCCTGATTCGTCCGGATTGATGTCTCTGATAGAGGCTTTCCGGAGATTGAGGAGGAGCCGCGACAATAAGACTATCTGTATCCTTTGAGACCTCAAATGAGCATCAAGGCTTTCTGTTAGGGAGGCAGGTAATACGCACGATTGAGAGAACATGTTGAAAAAAACCACATCCTGACGTAAGGCTGATGAGGATGCAAACCGACGAATAGTCATAGTACGATCGCACCGCAAGATATGTGAGTAGACAGTAGACGAGCTGCAGAAGCAACATTGCTCTAGCAACAAGGGTATATAAGAACACAGCATGTGTAGATGGGCGGAGTAGGACGTGCATGAAATAGACAGTACCTGGGAGCAGCCCAACATTAGTCGTCGGGTAGAGAAGTAGAATTGAAGTTTGCCGCACCGTCTCGGAGAAAGAACCATGAGATGCTGAACGACCTTGGATTGACTCGAGCGTCCTTTACAGACCGTTGTACAAGAAATAGCAGTCTTGACCAGGTGAGACCGGCAACGATGGCTTGCGAGAGTACATTGAAAATGGATCCAACAAGCGTCACTACGACCCAAGGTCAGCAAGCTTGCTTGAAATAAGATCGGTTTGTTACAAGAGGTCACCTCTTCATGCAATCAGTGAAGGCATGTGATTGTCCAATGGTAAATACTCACTTTTCAGCTGTGCTACCTACGAACTGGGCCATAATTTTGCAGACCCAGGTACCATCGACGTCCACTAACTGATATTGGGTTGTAGCTATGTTGTACTGCAGGTGTATGTCAGTTTGTCATTCTCCAACTTAAAGTCCGTCAGACTTTGCCTACCACATTGACGATAACCGTAAATATGTCTGTCGCGAACACTGTCGCAGCCCACACCAAGCTACGGTTGCTGACTGCGTAAGCGCGAATCGCCGAAATCACTGATGATGACGCCAGTACAAGTTCAGTACATAAGGCGAAAACGGAGTCTTGGGACAAGAGACGGACCTGCATCCAGTACATTCGGGAACAGAGCGAATGCTGAGGAGATGACGTAGCTATCGCGGCAACTGTGCATCATATAAGTCATCGAGACGATGGAATGAATGACGATGAGTGACTGACTTTCCCAAAGTCTATGGAACATAGTCAAAGAGTAGTGCGAATGTGCAGAAGGATGCGGTGACATACCGGTAAGTACAGAATGGACGCCAACAGGGTAATTGACATGCCAATCGCGGTGAATCGTATCAAGCCCATGAGCACGGTCATGCCAAATGGTGCACGCTGCAGCCATAAGAGAGTGATGTCGCTGCCCACAGTAAGCAGATAATCATACATGGCAAATACTGCAATCGCAATGAGCGATCCATAGCGAGGCTACTTCACTATACTCAGACAGACCTGTACACGCCATGATGATGTAACTCTGTACTACGCTGGATATGATAAAGTGAGCTCAGTAACGGTCTCAGGACAGAACAGTGAGATATAGCACCGACCCAGCCTGTACACCGGCAATCGCTTCGGCCGTGGATGTAGACATGGAGGAACTAGCGTCCTTCTAGAGAATGGAGTTCAGAAACCGGATGGCGACTGACCGGATGTATTCTCAGTTGCGACCTTTTATGCCTTTCATTGAGTTTTAAAAGTGGCGTGCAACATATGATATGACTTTATTTCGCACACTGATTGTTAGAGAACCACAGCCTTGAGTACGTCTGAAATCCGACGGTCAGGGAATTTGTTATGCGTGGATGGGCGCATATTAAGAGGCAGCGCTATGGACGCTGCAGCTCAATAACACCCATGCATTCAGGCAACATTCGTGTCCATGTTGGCGACGGGAAGAATCACTGCGTGCATTGCCTCGCACGAGGCTGGCAGGCGCCTGTCACAATTGCCACACAGCAACTCAGGCTTCCAGTCCGATCTCTACCAAAAGACTCAAGACGTAAGCGACCGATTGCAGGAATGAGAAAGGGCACATACCTCCTCCGACTTCCGCCCACACGCTTCAGGATGTATGAGCAGCGCTTTCAGCCACAGTTGACGCCGACAACGGTCAATTTGCATATGAGCCTTGTGCGAGAAATGACACAGATACCGATCTTATTACATACGTACATCTCGTACATTCTTCCTTCATCGTAGCAAATCTTACTCGAGCTTCAACACTGTGTCTGCATCAACACGTGTGTCGGCGAGCACTGAGAAGGTCTGGGACTCACCACATGCTCCACTACTCGGTTTCGTTGCGAAGATCACTTGCTTCAGAGCCTCGCCCTCGAGACCCTTGTACGCAGGGTACGTCGCCACGAGCTTCTCAATGAACGCGTCCACCTTATCTTCAGCCACAAGCGACACCGTGCATCCGCCCCAACCAGCACCTATCACCGCCGCACACATCAGCCTCATCCGCACAACAAGACACATAGCTCGCGCCGCCGACTCACCCGTGAGCCTGGATGCATACGCCCCGGCCTCCTTCGCGATGCGGACGAGCTCGTCCACCTCCGGACACGAGTTCTCCAAGAACTTGCGCGAGCTGTAATGCGACGCGTCCATGAGGTCGCCCAGCTCGCGGAGCACGCTCTCCGGGAGGTCCGGCGCGTCCGCCGCGCGCAGACACGCCGCGCGGAACTCGATCACCCGGAGGGACTCCTCGAACACGTGTCTCACGCGCTTGTAGATCTGGAAGTGCGTCGCCTCGACTGCGAAGATCGCCCGCGGCGCGGGGTCAGTGTCCCAGCGGATGCAGCCGCGCGGCAGAGGACGACGCACCCTCGACCCAGCTCAGGTACACCTCGTTGAAGAGCGCCGCGTCCAGCCCGCTCTCCTTGATCATCTCCTCCATCGTCAGCCCCAGCTGCTCGTCGTCGCCCCTCCCCGCCGGGCGCAGCTTCTCCACCTCCGGCAGCACCTTCTGCAGGCCCGCCTTCAGCTTGTCCGTGTCGAGCTCGGTCGGCTGGCCCTTCGATTCGGTGTGGCCGAGCCACCGCCCAAGCACGATGCGGAGTGTCGGGCGCTCGGTAGGCTCCAGCTGGACGTTGAGGTGACGCGCGAGGATGCGGGCACCGGCGAGCGTCTCTACCACGCGCAGGTTGTAGCGGGTCTTCGCGCCTGGGATGTCGCTTGAGCGTGTATTCGAGGAGATTCGGGATGGTATGAGACTCACCGACAGCCTTGTCGCTGACCACCAGCGAGTTGGCACAGACGAACACGGCGCGCGGGTTGGTGCGCAACACGGGGAGGAGGATCGGCTCCGCGTGCAGGAAGGGGAAGAACGTGATGTACAATGCCGACGAAGGCATGGAGATGACCGAGGCAGCCTGATCCAAGCCACCACTGTTGACGCCTGCAATCGCTGGAATGAATGGACTGCAGCGGATGAAGTGGGCTGCAGACGTACCGACACGCTGCTCGTTCTCCATCGCCATCTCGACCAGCTGGCCTTTCGTCAGTTCACCGAGCTTGTTGTTTACAGCGAGGAACGAAAGCGTGGATGCAACCACCATCGCGGCACTGTTCTGATGCGTCAATCAAAGTCTACCTTGTGAACGGAGCAGTAAGCACCTAGACGAAAGACCCGATCCCGAAGGGACGGAACCAGTAACAAGGAGGTCAATAGGGACCGGATGCTCGTTTGACGAGGGAGCGAAGAAGCGATTCAGTACACCCTACAGATATAACCTCTGTGTTAGACTCGCCAGATGACAGGAATCATGGCCTCGGATACTCACATAGTAACCAGCCTTGACATAGCTCTCCCATCTCAGCTCCCGCTTGTTGATATCGAGGTACCAGCTCTCTGCGTGGACCGCCCCCTCCGCCTGCTTCTGCTCTGCAGAGGACGGGGTGGGAGTATTCTTCAGCATCGGAGTAAAGGTCTGCGGGGTGTATTTAGGATTCAGATTTTGAGCAGCGACACTGCCCGCGGATGATTGAGTCGAAGGGCCGCATGCGATGAGGATGTCCTGTTCAACAGCAGCGGGGAGGCAGCCAAAGAGAACATAGTCGATGTGTTCTCCAATGATGCTGCATAAATGAGATACAAAAAAGTAGGTGAGGAGGCAGAGGAGCGGACGAGGTTGAGGACGCACTTAACCCTGCCCGGCGCTCGAGCGATGTAAGCTGGTTTCTTGCCAAACCGCTTCTCAAACTCGTCCACCACATCGTTCCATCGTGTGCTGTTCGATCAGGTTGCTGATGAGCGGTTAGAGGAACAATCTCGGAGAGCACGCACGCCTGAGCAGAAGCCGTCTGGAGGTCGCCGAGGACATCGGTCAGAGAGGTAAAGACGGGGATCGGTAATTGCGCGGCCATTCTGTCGCTCGGTTGTCCTGGTCAGTGGAGAATGAGAGCTAAGAGCGAGTCGAAGGCAGGGTTAAAGAGGGATGTGAAAGGACTGCGAGGAGACCCGGGCCGGGTAAACAGTGTGAGGCTCGAGCGGCCTCAGTCAGTCCTGTCCCGGACCGTCCGATCGATATCCATGTGCTGCGATGACATAGCCAACGTCGTAGCTTGAAAGTCAGGTCGAGACATCCCAGAAAGCAGCCAAGACGATCTGCGTGGGCCAGAAATGCAGGTTGGAAGTCGAGGCGGGGAGGGAGGGAGTCGACAACGTGCAGCCAGGCTCGAGGCTGATCGGACCGGTACCATGCTCGCTCGTGGACACGGATCAAACGCTGGCGCTTGACAACTTGCTTCCAACCGCTCATGACTTGACAACACTCTCCGTACCGACTACGATACAAACCTACCAGAACTATAGTACAGGCCGGAACGAATGCGAGAAATCAAACCGTCTCCTGAGGATGCGCAACCAACTTCACGCCGCTGACACTATGGTTCCTCAGCCTCTCCAACCCGTCCACAATACCCTCCAGCCCATTTGGAAGCACCTCGACGCGGTTGGGCTACAGCGAGCAATGGTCAGGCTCACATCGTCATTCATCTGAGCACAACTAGCTAGCTGACCTTGATAACCCCTTCCTTCAGCCACGTCGTGAGCTGCTTGCCATACACCTCCGCAGCAACGGTACGATTCTCCACCGGAAAGTTCGCCTGGCCGAACGGCCTCACGATCTTCTTATCGGGCCGCAGACGCTCTTCAGGGATTGCAGTATACAAGACCAGCGCTAGGGTCCCGCCCGGCGCGAGGAGCTCGTACGAGGCGAGCTGTGTCTCCGGCAAGGCAACGGAGTCATAGATCAGGTCCAACGGCTCCTTCGTGATCTTCGCCGTTTCCTCTCTGAGCTGCTCGAGCGTGAGGTTGCGATCCAGGACATGCGTTGCCCCGAGGGAGCGAAGGAACTCTGCGTTGTGCAAGGACGCGGTGGCAATGATCGGCGAGAAGCCTGATAGCTTTGCGAACTGGATAACTGAAGGATACGCAGCGTGGCTCGGAATCAGCGTGAGTGAAAATATAATATATGAGCTACTAACCATATTGTCCGACTGAGCTGCCAGCACCGATGACAACGAACGGTTTGCCAGCGTACTTGCCACGCCCGCCTTCCTCCCAAGGCGCCTGCAAACCCAATGTACCGTAGTCCTGATCCGGCGCGACGACCTGCTCATACAGACCCAGAGCGGCAGTGCTCAGCCCGACTGGGAGCGTGGCTGCTTGTTCAAAGGTAATGTTGTCGGGGATCTGTGTACATGCGAAGATACGGTGAGTCGCTTAGTCGCCTGCCGCGTATTGTATACGACCGAACCTTCGCAGTTATATCAGCATTCGCAACCGTGTACTGCTGGAACCCCGCGTTCGGGACTGCAAAGTGGCCCTGTTCAACGCTTTTAGAAGGAGATATTCAGTAAACAACCTCTGTATGGCGGAAGAACAGGCTTACACTTTATCACCGAGCGAGAAACCCTTCACGCCCTCGCCGAGTTCCTCTACCGTCCCCGCGACGTCAGACCCGACAATGCCAGGGAACTCCTGGACGATGATTCCGTTCTTCTGGATCTTCCAGTCCACCGGGTTGAGCCCGACGGCGTGGACCTTGACGAGGAGCTGGCCCGGACCAGGCTTCGGGACCGCGATGGAGCGGACGACGAAGTCCGCGTACTTGGCGGGGAGGACGAGTGCCTTCTGTATCTTCGGGACAGACATTGCGAATGGGTAATTGTGCAGGTGAGGGCTGTAGCGATGCCATATCTAACGAGAATGTCGTCTATTTATCCTCCCCGTCTGCGCATGCGATCCTGTAGCGATCCTGCAGGTACGTAGGTCCAGGATGAATCAGCACAAAAACGCGTGATGCGTACGTTGTACTTCGATTGCCTATTGGTCGCAGTACGTATGAGCACGTCAGATCACTTTGCTGGCACGCCGAGGTCGTACCTAGAGCAAACCGGGACATAAATTTCGACTTGATTAGCAAGATAGTTCGAGAGCCAGGGCTGACAAAGAACATCCATGTTGACGTCGCGCTCATATAGAACTAAGAGAGGGTTCTAGGGCCTATACAGGTGACATTGATTATATATCCGCCACAGGCTTACTAAGAGAGATCCTGGAGTAGGTGAAGGATCGTCGTGTTACAAAGCATCGGTGTCTTGCCCGATCATATTCGCTCGGGCTCGCAACGCAGCACCCCCAAGACACCATCCAGACCAAGTTACCAAACCGTCTCTTCTATGAGGACGCGCGATCAACTCCACGCCACTGACGCGATCAGTCCTCAGCGCTTCGGTGCTAGCGTCTCCAACCCCTCCGGAATGCTTCACAAGCCACCTGGAAATACCTCGACAAGCCTCAGTGATATTCACGCGCACTCGAGGAAAGCCTGTCAATACGGGGTGCGGCCTATCGCCCCCAACGAGCGTATGAACATGTACATACTATTGATTTACGTCGAGCTATACCGTACGATACGATGCAAGTAGTACATGAGTACATCCAGACCACAAGCTGAGAAACGAGACGATGCGCATCTAGTTCGAGCGGTACACTACAAGTACACACAAACGCAGTTCGACCGTGACAGACCGGCGACGACAGAAGCGAACTTGAGATGGGTGAGGGGGTGAGGGGATGGTGATGCTAGTCGGGTACAGTCGACGAAATGAGCCCCGGACGGACGGTGCAGAAGGAGTGGGGTTCAATGCGAGGAGGAAGGAAGGAACAGTGATATGGTACTCGGGCCGGGACTTGCTACAATATGATACAGTTTGCGTGTGATGCTGCTGATGGACAAGTATTCCGGACGAGTGATGATGGTCGGTTTTGCCAACCGGGAAAAGGGTATCTACAAGGTGAAGGTTGAAGTCGAGTCCATGGTACAGCTGGACAACGGGTACGTCCAAAGGGCCTTCCAGGGGTGAATTGAAGAAGACGAATGATGGCGCAAGCACCTATTATTGCAGGTACTTCTGGTTGAGCAAATGCACCTCCTTGGCAAGGTACGGCCAGTTGAGACACCGCGCGAGCTCCACGCGAAGCTTGTCCCCATCATCGCCCGCGCGCTCGCGAGCAAGCTTGACTTCCCAGCCAAGGAGGTTATACAGCAGTCTCATATTCGGCTGAATGAGCACCGACAGACGGCGCGAGCGTACAATGAGGTACGCGTCAACGAGCGGCAGAGACAAGTGCTTCATCACGTATGCGATCTGCAAGACCCGTCAATCAACTGCCTCAGACCGCCATTCGACGTCAAGACTCACCGTGACAGTCGCGCTGCGGGAAACGCCCACGCGGCAGTGCACGAGCACCTTTCCGCCCTCCTCCCTCGCTCTGTCGATCCACTCGCAAATCGGCTCAAGCTGCGGCTCAAGCGTGTCGATGCCGTCGTCGCATACGCCCTTAATGTCAAGTACCTTGATGCGGCCCTCACGTTCCTCGATCCATAACGAACCTTGGCCACGCGGGCCTGTGCCCGGGATGAACTGCGCATGCGACGACGGACCCGTATACGAACACGACGGCACGGACGCAGAGGCTTCCAGATTCGGCGGAGGGAGCAACGCACACTCGCCCACGGAGACGACGTGCGTGATCCCCAGCGCATGAAGCATGTACGCGTTCGTGGCGTGGTTCCTGTTAGTCAACATTCCACTGTCAACGAAAGCACGCTAAGAACGACCAGAATGGAAGACTTACAAGTTGCCCAGATACAAAAACGGCAGCACTCGACTCGGGAAGCTCCCGTCGAACCTCGGGTCGTTGAACCAGACGTGGTGGTCGCGTATTGACGGCGCCGGTGAGCGCGGCATCGGCATCGTGTTCGCTCTCGGCCTGCCACTCGCATCTCTCTCCCCAGACCCCTCACCGTAGAGCGGGCCACTATCCGACTCGGATTGCGACCTCACCGGTCGCACAGTGACCGCGGTCGTCACCGGCCGCGGAGCCGGCGGAACCGCGAACGACACCGACTTCGCCGCGACGGGTCTGAGAGGCACGACGTCGCTCTGCATGACCTCGTTCGAGGTCTCAATACCGAGCGGCGTCCGGACCTCCTCCACATCCTCCTCCCGTTCCTTCTCAACACCAAGCACGATCCCCGGCCCCATACTCCCCCACCCCCTCTCGCGCTCCCTCTCAATCCTCGTCTCGATACGCTTCAGCATCGGCGTGTCAGCGCTGTACACGAAGAACGATCTCCGCTTCTCGTTTTGCAGGCAGAGGTACGCCTCAGGCAGCGAGAGCTTCCGCCACGCCATCAGCAGCGTGAGCGCGAGTACACTTGACTCGGTGTACCCGTCCGCGGAGAAGATGAGGATCTTGACGGGGCGTGTGTGGTAAGATGCGGGGAGCGGGGTCGACATGGACGTCGCGGATGTGGCAGCGGAGGATGAGAGGGATGGTGCGGGCGACGAGGACGATGTCGACGTGTTCGATGATGGCGGGGACGGGGGCAGGAAAGTGGCAGAGGTTGAGCGGGTGCGAGTGTATGCGGACGGAACAGGTGAGGAAGGGAAGAACGATGCGGGGAATGCAGTGGGCGGCGGGAGCGAGCTGGGATGGAATGCCGAAGTCGACGCTCGCCGGTGGCCAGACATGCTCGACGGGAAGGTCTCAATCGGTGGTGGGTTAACGAGCGCCCTCGCCTGCGCAAGGGTCATCGCAGGTGGAGGCTGAAGGAGGGACTCGAGGAACTGCATAAAAGGCATCAAGGCATTCAGCGAGCCCGGCGTGTTCGTGGGTGAGCTCGGGAACGGAAGGTGAATAACCGCGCTCGCGCTCGGTGGCGGGCGGAGCGGGATACACGTCTGCTCTGCGTCCTTCTGGGAGACATGACCCAGTTCGGCGACGCAACGCTCGACCCATCTTCTCTCAAGCGCCTCGATGTGTTCTTCAGCGGCCTTGACGTGTGCAGCGCTCGGGAACGGCACAAAGTCCTGACAGTCGATGCAGATGTCGTATCCGAGCCCATGCGCGGGGTCGTTCGTACGCCAGTCGAAAGCCTCGTCGCCATCGTCCTCCTCTTCCTCTCCATAGGGTGATACCACCGATCTTCCGCGGCGCGCACGGAACCGACGATCGGGCGGGATCGGCACATCGTTCACGTTGCCCAGGAACACCTGGCCAACAGCAGGGTTCCATCGGCCCGCGGGTGTCGAGCCAGAAAGCGCGTCCATCTCCTCCTTCGCCTCCGCATACATCTCGGGGTCGGCAATCGTGACGATCTCCGATGCCTGCGTTAGGTCGCGCATCTCCTCCTTCTCCCGCCTTGCAAAGTCGACGGTGTTGACGCTGAACAGGCGATTGCGGTACTCCACCTCCGATTGTGCGTCCCTCGGCTCACCCTCCGCGTGTGCGTCCGTTCCGTCTGTATGCGCAAGCGGGACGTCTTCGATGCGCACGAGCAGGTGCGGAAGCGTCTTCGCCATCTCCGCGGGGCTCGCGTCGAGCACGAAGACGTTGTACGCGACCAGGGCTTCCGTAGGACATCCATAGCCCACGCTGCGCTCTGCCCGCTTCGCTTCAATTGCATCCTTGAACTTCTCTGCGAGCGCAAGCGCGGCACGAGTGTCGCCCTTCGGCGAGTAGACGACGACATCAGAGAGGGTGGCATAGATCGACTGCGGAAGGAAGCATCATCAGCATCTGTCGATAACATTGGCATCCCTGGCACAATACGTCCGAGCGCGCGAGACCAATGCGCACTGGGACTATCTCACACCACCGCTCGGTGGCAGCATCCCCAGACGCATCCGCCTCGTGTGCGCTCGTCAACCAAACCCACGGAATCTGCAAGAAGGCAGAGGAGGCAGCTTCGGCCATTGAACTTCACCGCGCCACGCCCACGCCCACCGTCCACCTGACCGGCACCGAACGCGGAAGCTACACTAACTGACGGTCGCTCCCACAGAGACAAGTTCGCGCAGCGATTCTCCCAACCTACGCAGCGCCGACTGAATGGGCGTACGACCATGTCAGGCGAACTTCCCCGCTACTGAGCAATGTCCACGCAGACGTCGACTTCCTCGCGGCGCTCAACACCAGTTCACATCATCATCTGGCCTACGCAACACTGCTTCTGCACGCACTCATCATGGGTAATGACATCAGCCGGGTCCTCCGCCATCCCGCGCACGACCCCATAACTTGTCCCCTCGCGCTAGCCTATGTTGTCCTCGCCGCGTCTGGAACATGCTGCACGGCGAGCCCACCGCTAAGCCAACCTCGTCGGCGCCACCACGCCTCCAACGGTGAAGGCAACCCGGGGCAGCGGAACACGAGTGTCTATCACAAAGTGGCACCGGGCGTGCCCCAGATGCAAAGACAGCAAGATAAGGACGCCAGTAGGCCGGGGACGGATGCGAATGGATTGGGCGAGTGCAGATCACGCCTTGCCTCACGCGGCGCGGAAGCTGTCGCGGAGACGCATTCGACAGGCGCCCATGCCGCGGGAGGCGGACAATGGCGGGCGACAAAGGAAGCGCGAAGCTGGTAACGAACTCGACAAGGCAAAGCAACACAACAAGACACGGATGGGGAGATCATATGGTGCCAAACGAAGCGACTCACCACCTGGATACCAAAGTTGCGCAGGCTGATCCCGTCGGGCACGCGCGGCTCGACGAACGCACACGACACTGTACCATCCTCGTTCGTCCGGGAATGGAGAAGCTCGCGAGGGCGGAAGCTGGAAGTGAGCACCGCAGGTGCCGTATACGGCGGGTAGCGGGCGCGACCTGAGGGGAAGAGCGGGGGTGCTGCGGTATGTGGCTGAGCGTCCAAGACAGGCGGAAGTGATTTCTCGAGTTTCGCGTCAGGACTAGCAGCGCTCTCGGGGATGGAATCTTCCAATGTCGGGTCGAGTTCCATGGGCGAGCTCGGAGACACGTCGACGTCGATGTCCATCGACATGGTGCCGAGGCTCTCGAGGGAAGAGGTGCTGGAGGAATCGTCGTCGATGTCGTCGTCCGTGTCCGGATCAGGGCTCGAAGTTGGGCTGGGCAGCATGTTCACGTCGTCATCACAGGCGACCCAAACGAGGCCGCGGAAGCGCGGGACGGTGTGTGCCTGCGGAGAAGCCGCGAAGAAGGCATTCTGGTGCTCGTTGTCGCCCTCGAGACCATGGAGGAAGGGGAAGAGGACGCCGTCTGGCGCGTGGGTTGTGACGTAGTCGAGATGCACGCGCGAGAACTGAGCGGCGTTGAGGGCACGGATGGGCTGGTGTGGCGGGGCGCGCGGGCGGAGGACGGGGAGGGCGTCGAGGAAGTCCGGGGCGTGGGCGAGCCCGTGGACGTGGGCAGGGTCGTCGACGGCGGGTGTGGGGGCGGTGGGTAGCGGGGCGGCGGCGGTGGACATGGAGGTCGGGTAGGTAGGGGAGTGATGAGGACGCAGCAGCCCTTTGTGACCTCTGTTGAATATGGCGAGCCCCGTCCAGGCCTAGGCGCCCATAACCGCATTCAAGACGGATCTGAGATGTGCTTATCTCCACGTGACCGTCCGCCTCCAGCCTCTGCAGGATCCAGGCTGCCGGTGCGTGCCTTCGCATCCTGGCCAGGGAGGCTGCCCGGTAGCACGGTCTCCAGTGCGTCCTTCTGCCAGCCTCGTTGCCCTCTGTACGGCACGCCGCGCCCTTCTTCGCTCCCACCCGTGCGCGCATGACCCCCGCGTCTCCCTTTCCAGCCCGCGCCTCCGCTCTCCTGGCCCCGCTTCCCCATCACCAGCCAATCGCTCTTTGCCGATCGTCCTACTATCCTAATTTCCAATCCCGTCTTTCGGGCCCCGCTCTCCATTTCTGGCATCGCCCGTCAGCCTCCGTTTATCGTCCGCGTCGGATCCCATCAAACCTTCCTCCTCAACGTTACACGAGGCTCTCCCTCGCCCGCCAGCCGCCCGCCCCCCTCAGTCATCCGCTCCTTGGGCGCGCCCCTCTCCCGTATCGCGTCTTCCCTCGCTGGGCACCCTGGCAGATGGGCAGCATCAAGGGCAGTGACGTGCCCCGAGCGCATCAGCGTCAGGGCCTCGCGACAACGCCACGGTATCAGGACGAGAAGCTAGGCGGATCCACCGCTCTCCACGCCGTCGCAGCAGGCTAGCGCGCCGACAGGATCCGCCGCCCCAGCCGGACCCGGCCAGCGTGGCGCGCCCTTGCTTCTCGCTTGCTGCACGCTCCCGCCGCCACGATGACAAGCTTCCAGTCATGGCTGCCCGTTGTGATCGTCGCCGCGCCACCCCTCCGCCTTCCACGAATCCTTCTTCCAGATACTTAGCCTTCCGCGCAACACTCCCTTCTCTCTGGTCCACTTTTGGTAAGCCCGAAGCATATGTCACCGCTGTGGCTACTTGGTTGCGGACGCGTTGACTGGCGCAGCACGTTGCTGGCAGTTCAGACGCGTCGACGTCTCCTGCACACGGTGCGTACCTTGCTCTATTATAATCGCTCCACTTCCTCTGATATACTCCTCACAAGGACCGCAGTTCTCCTCTTCACTCGTGCGACCAACGTGCGACCATCAGGATCCGTCCCTTCACCGCCTGCGGCTTTCCCACTTGCACGTACCTGCTTCAGCGTTTTGGCAGAGCAAAACTCTAAATCACCTGCCCCGGGATCTCGTAAACTACACCCTAACGACCCACGGATTCGTTTCACCAGCAAGCCGCCCACGATGGCGGGATGGCAGCGCTCCAATTCCCCGGAGCGTCTGACCTGCCACGGGACGTCCCGATCTCGATGGTGGCACGCACGCTACTCCATCCAGCGAACCAGTCTGAAGGCGGCAGTCCAGTAAGCGTTGCGAGTCTGCTGATTTCGTCGCCGTGTTGAAACACTGTTGCATACCCTCATTGAGTTGCTCTCGTGCGCGCTGTTCTCAGTGTCGAGTACGGCATTCGCGCACATCGCGAGAAGATGCGGCCATTCGAGTCAAAGTCAACAGACTTCACGCACCACGGACGCGGTACGCTCTCTGTATTGGCTGTCTTGCTGCTCTCTTCTTGGCGACCACGAACCCTGTTTGCGCTGGAGACTGAAGTCAAAACCCACCGACCTAGACTCCAACACTCGGTGGCCATTGGTGCCTGCAACGCTAGTATGTACTACGCCCGAAATTGATAGTCATTCAATATGGGGCCGGTCTTTCATTGTGCCACTTTGGTGGCGCGTTTATCAGCACAAGGGCGTGCTAAGTACTATCCACCGAATCAACTTCGCTCTATGTTGTCATCTATGCGGTATGTTCAAGCGTCACTGCAACGTCGCGGCTCATTGCAGGCAAGTTCACCTATCGCGCATGGCACTGTACAGCATCAGGGTGTGTCCACAAGGTTCGGCGCGACTTCAGACACTGGTGGCGGCACACGAGACCAAGACCCGCGATCCGCTCTACGCGAGGCTCTTGTCCCTGCAGGGGTGCGTGGGGAGATCCAGTTCCGCGCTCGAGCAGCCGGGAATCTGCGCTGGGCAGCTCAGCACCGTGCCGTCATTGTGCACCGCCAAACGGCAGACGCAGATATGGAACTCAGCGCGCGTTTGCGGCGTTACGGCACCACCGAAGGCCATGCACTTCTCCGACGCGGACGGGCTGCAGGCGTCACAGGTGCAGCACAACGTCCGCTCTACAGTACGTCTCCCGCTTCCGATCTATGCTCGCTGTGCAAGGTGCCGGTGCGCGTGACCCTCGACGTACGCAGCGGATCTCAGGCTCTGGTCGTCCGACAGCCCACCCAGCCATGGCCCATGGGCATACGTGCCAGACGTTTCTTCGCGTTTCGCCGATCTCTATACATATGGGGACTTCCCGTGCGTTCTCTCATTGATCTCCCAGCGGCCTTCCGCGCATTCTAGGTTTCCCGCCTCACAGACGCCCCCATGACCGCGACGGTACTATGTAGCAGATGATGCCATGATGAATAGGCTCCGTCATCCCACGCGGCAGGTCAATTCTGTATACCGAAGCCGGCGAAGGTTCGTGAAGGACGCAAGCACCCGCCTCGGGCACGAGGGGTGATCCTACGCCTCGTCAGAGCTGTCGACTCTTCACGCTCTTCACTGTTTGCCTGCGTAGAGGAGTGACAGCTAGGCTTCTGGTGGTTGGGCCGAAAATAGGTCGCGAAGCCGCCGGCGGGACGCGGGGACGTTGTGTATCGGTATAGCACACGACGCATGTTGCTCAACTTCACAGACGGTGTTGGCTCGGACGTGCATGTTTAGGCCAGCCTTCACGCGATCGTTGCGCGCGCGAAACATGCAGGTTCCCGCACAGTGCATCCTCGGCATCTTAACGTTTGAATCACTGAATGCAAACTGAATGTTCGTCGATAGGTCTTGCGTTTATTCGGACCTTGGAGCTCCGAAGACGGTTTTCACGCGAGATGCGCTCAAGATGTGCCTCCACGGACGTTCACATTGGCGCTTCTCAGCTTCTAATCACCGACACCACCGCTCAATTGGACGACGATCTTCCGACTTTGGCAATACAGTACAGCACTCTGGCTTTGCAGTGACATACGTTCAAGGCAAAGAACTTGCTCTGTGTTCGTCGCTCGCTCGCAAGTGGCGGCGGACTAGCACCGGCTCGTGCTGCACTGGTACGTTACTTTCCAGCCGCAGCCTCTCGCTCTCATTGACACGACGTCCCCCTCGCCTCACCGGCACCACCCTCGTCGCACTGCCTCCGAAATTGACGTCGCGGATTCGGCCGAGGCCTATTTCAGGCACTGTGGACTCGTGCTACGCCTTGCAAACTATCCACATTTGCATGCCTCCGGGCATGTAGCCGCCTCAACACAAGTGCCGCGAATTCCAGCCGGCGGTGATGGAGGGTCTGTATCCTCGCCATCCGTTACTCTCATGGTCGTGACGCACCAGTCGATCTGGCCTGATCGAGGCATGGCTCGGATCCCGGCGGTATCGAGTGTCACGGATGCCTTTCATCTGTGTGTACTGATCGTTCTCTGGTTGTTGGGAAGACAGGAACGACGTAGTCTCATACCAAGACCCTCCACACGGCCACGTGAGGGGCTTGTGTCGAACCTAAGGAACGACGCACACAGGTACGGCTCGCGAGGCTCCTCTGTTCAGCCACCTTCCAGTCAATCTCGAGGGAGACGGATCCGAGTGTGGCGACAGGTGGCGACACGTTCTCGTTCTGATCGGATTCCGCCTCCTTCTGCACCCAGGTCTTCCCCGCATTCTCGATCGCCCCAGGGCGGCTTGGCCCACAACGGTTTCTCAGTGTGGCCGGGTCTCTCCGGGTCTGCCTAGAGGTTCGCTGCGAGGATGGTTGATGAGGTGATTGGCGGCGTCGTACGATGAAGATGGTCAGTCGTGAATCGCTACATTCGTCGGTCATAACATCTGATGCGTACAGTGGGCCGTGCGTGCCTACGATCTTCCGGCCAACTCGTCCTACCGAGATGGTAGCCGTGCATTTCGAGGTGCGAATGGTGGCTTGCTCTGGACCTTGGTCTGTGCTGCCGGGCTCCCGGCTACTTCAGTACCCCGCTTGGAACCTTCCCCGTCTCTCCGCAACCGCAGTAACGGTACCGTCAACTCAACAACTGCCCCTCTTCCGAACGTACGGATCCACCCCAGTTCCGTGCCTCCGGGCAGTATGGCTATGCCAGTGGACAACTTGAAACCCGGGTGTGCCGAACCGGTGCGCGCGTATCCGAGGCGTTGGCGGTGCATACATACATCATCATGCTATATGCAGCCTTACTCACATGACCCCCTGCAGCTGTTAGTCAGGAGAGACGAGTCTGGAGTCTGGACCTTGACTAGTCCTGGCGTCTTGGTGGGCCTGGTAAGAATGTTTCGCGGTGAAATGCAATTGTGTGATATGGTGGAAACAAGGCTGGGGCGATTGATCGTTGTTGTGGTCACCTTCGGTAGCTGGGAATGCGTCTCAGTTCGCGTGGGTGGGACGCAGTGCCGGTCGCTGGAATGTGTCGTGTTGTCCTAGAGGCACTTCTCAACATCGACAATTCGCAGGGCGCTGTGTGATGGCATCTATTCTTACTGATTCGGACTCGTCTCATCCACGAAGATACTGACTCGCAAACACATGGGCATGGCAAGATGAGTCGAAGCGCCTCTACAGGTCATAGTACGCTGCCCTGATCTCCTGAGCTCTGATCCAGATCCGGGAGCGAGATGACGATCCGTCAGCGCGTCCCGATCCGGCAGCCCTGAGATACCGATCCTACATTGCGATCGGCGGGTCCGATTAGAGGTGCGCCACAGTCTAATTTAGGGGTGCGTAGGAGCCGCACAGTACCAAACCTATTCCGGGTGAGGTCATGAAGGGTCATGACTCCTGAATGTTGAATGGCCCGCCCTGACTTTCTCATGGTTTTCCAGTCAGGGGAACAATGGAAGCCATGAGAGCAGAAGCATGGGGCCTTTCCCGCCCGGCCGTATGCATATGGCCGACTTATCAAGATTCGGAGACAGCTAGACGGTCCCGACGTGTACTGTCATGATCCACATCCAGTAATGCGGGTCGGTTGAAGTCTGTGCCGCATCTCTACGGCTGATGTCACGACTCCTCCGAAAAACTCGGAGACCGATAGCATGGCTGATCGAAATAGGAGTATATTGACCCTCATGACACTAGGCAGCCTCGCTATGTTAGCCTACTGGTAGCATATCCGCACCCTTCGAGTTGCCATGTGCCAGCGGCTCCGCGGTGACCTGAACGGTACTCTTGGGCCTAGGCTTTCGAGTTCGAAGTGAGGTTAGGGGACTAATCTGGACGCGGGACAAGCCACTGAAGGATCTACAGATAAGAAAGTGACACTCGGTTGAGCAACATATTACAAGCCAATCTTGGCGACGAGTCGAGCCTTACCATACTTCGAGACTATGTAACTTGAGGATGCTCGAGCCTCGGGAGCCTGCGACGCAATTCACGAACTGATGAGACGCGCGACGCGTCAGATCACGTGATGGCGTCCCTGGCAGTCGTCCAGGCGAAGTTCGAACGCGCCTCAACTTGAGTTGGAACAGGCCGCCATCTGGCAGCATCGACTCAGAATACCTATAGCTGGTCACCAAGCAAGATTATCACTGTGATACACGTCGCACCTGCGCCAATGCGTCGTGCAGGAAGGCATAATGACGCGCTTCTTCAACTTCTGTCATTATTCTCGTATTGCAGTGACGAAGCTTTGAAGTACGTGTCATACAACTTCGGGGTCCGAGTGCGTTACTGAGCCCATCACGACAGGTCCCGGACTTTTGGCTGAGACGTTGGACGACTCACGGTCATCGCTCTGCCTCTAACATCTCCTCGTCACCGGACCTTGTGACCATGCAAAATGCTACGTGGCTTGTCTTCTCGCTCGATTGAGATGGAACCGCGTGGGCGATAGGCTTCTCTGCAGTTTTGGCTCAATAATCGACGTCTCCTGAACCTGTCGGCGGTAAATCGTCTCGCTGGTCTTCAATGGATAGATGCGAGCCGTGGCATCGTGGATGGGTTGCGCATGGCTGTCCCATGCCAAGTTCGTTGCAAGCGACCCAGCTGACAGGCTATATGACCTCAATACGACGTGACGTTGATGGTTCATTTCTGAAGCAAGAAGCAGTACTGGCACATTAGCCCCATGCGTTGTCCGGCGGCTTCGTGATGTTGGGCGTTGTATTATGTACAGTGAGTAGCTTCTTCTTTGCGCGCTATACTTGGTAGTCCGCCAACCCTCAGACTGCAAACGTCGCTAATGGCTGCCTGATTTTCTTGCTATGGCAGGTCATTACACCCCGTGAAGTCTAAGGCACGGACGAAGAGATTGATTAGCACAACGAGGGAAGGCTTCGCGGCATTCCCCTTGTCAAGGGCATCATTCCAGAGGGACCTCGTCCGCAATGTCCTTTTGGCATAGACCTAGTCCCACAGCCGTCCCTCGCGGACTGGACCAGGCACCGAAGTAAGTGAGTGCACATTCCTAGCACGCAATGCTTGATAGGATGAGATGTCTGCAGACAGCAAGCGGCCGCTTCGCACAACGTCAATTATCTTCTTTCGACTTCGCTGTCAACAGGGTATGTCTGACGGTATGCTTGCCACCAGTAAATCTTCCGAATTTGACGTCGTATCCAGTCGAGGTCCCTTCAAGGCACGCCATTACGGCCTAGGCGCTCGGGGTGTTCTTCATGCATGGGAGAGCTACCCTGGATTGTGGGCATGCTTCTGCCTGCTTTCGGGCATTGTGCGGCTGAGCTATCCTAACGAGGCGGCGAACTCAGGCCAGCGTCTTGCTTTTTGCAATCCTTTGCATACTCTGCTTCAATCCACACGTCACTGCTCCCGTTGTCCGCGCAGCACAATCATCAATTCCAGCGGTCACCGGTCATGCTTAGGCTCTATGCTTGAACCGCAATTCGACCTTCATGTTCCCACTATGGGTCATAGGGTAGGGTCAGTCCGGACGCTGACTGATGTTCATTTGTGAATGCCTCGACTGGCCTACCCTTGGCTCGTCGTCACAAGTCGGGGGTGCGTCTTCCTCTGCTGCTCGGCCACATCCACCGGGACACTGACGCCGCGTCGTTGTCGATCTTCGCAGTCGAGGCGATGCACTTCCACATCTACAAGTGCGTGAGACACGTGTTCGAGGAGTGTCTCCGGGTGATCGAGTTCCGCGCCGCGGGCGCGGGCGACCTCATGGACGCGTCTCATTACAGCTCACGCAAGTTCTTAGAGAACTCGTGTCCGGAGGTGGACGAGCTCGTCCGCATCACGAAGGAGGCCGGGGCGTATGTATCCAGGATCACGGGTGAGTCGGCGACGCGAGGCATGCGTCTTGTTGTGAGGATGAGGCTGATGCGTGCGGCGGTGTTAGGTGCCGGTTGGGGTGGATGCACGGTGTCGCTTGTGGCTGGAGACAAGGTGGACTCGCTCTTTGAGAAGCTCGTAGCGACGTACCCTGCGTACAAGGGTCTCGAGGGCGAGGCTCTGAAGCAGGTCATCTTTGCAACGAAACCGAGTAGTGGAGCATGTGGTGAGTCGCAGACCTTCCCAGTGCTCGACATGTATTGATGCAGACACAGTGTTGAAGCTCGAGTAAGATTTGCTACAATGAAGGAAGATTGTACGAGATGTACGTATGTACCAATAAGATCGGTATCTGTGTCATCTCTCGCACAAGGCTCGTATGCAAATCGACCATTGTTAGCGTCAACGGTGGTTGAAGGCGTTGTTCATACATCCTGCAGCGTATGGACGGAAGTCGGAGGAGGTATGTGCGTTTCTCATTCCTGCAATCTGTCGCTTACATCCTGAGCCCTGTGGTAGAGATTGGACTCAAAGCATGAGTCGCTGTATCGCAATTGTGACAGGCGCCTGCCTGCCTCGTGCGAGGCAATGCAAGCGGTGATTCGTCCCGTCGCCAACATGAACACGGATGCTGCCTGAATGCATGGGTTTCATTGAGCTGCAGCGTCCATAGCGCTGCCTCTTAATATGCGCCCATCCACGCATAGCAACTTCCCTGATCGTCGGATTTTCCGGCGTACTCTCAAGGCTGTGGTTCTCTAACAATCTGTGTGAAAAATAGAGACATGCCATGTGTTGCACGCCACTTTCAAAACTCAATGAAGGGCATAAAAGGTCGCGACTGAGAATACGTTCGGTCAGTCGCCATCCGGCTTGCGACTACTTCGTTCTCTAGAAGGGCACTAGTTCCTCCATGTCTACATCCACGGCCGAAGCGACCGCCGATATACAGGCTGGGTCGGTGCTATATCTCACTGTTCTGTCCTCAGTCCGTTACTGAACTCACATCATCAAGTACAGCTTAGTACAGAATTATGTCGCCATCGCGTGTACAGCTCTGTCTGAAAGTGAAGTAGTCTCACTATGAATCGCTCAACGTGATTACAGTATTTCCCATGTATGATTATCTGCTTACTGTGGGAAGCGACATCAGTCTCTTATGGCTTCAGCGTGCACCGTTTGGGATGACCACGCTCATGGCCTTGATACGATTCACCACGATTGGCATGTCGATTACACAGTTGGTGTTCATTCTGTACGCCTTACCGGTATGTCACCACATCCTTCTGCATCTTTGCACTACTCTTTGACCATGTTCCATAGACTGTGGAAAAGTCAGTCACTCATGACCATTCGTTGGACCGTCGTCTCGATGACTTATATGATGCACAGTTGCCGCGGTACCTACGTCAGCTCCTCAGTGATCGGTCTGCTCCCGAGTATACTGGACACAGGTCAGTCTGTTATCCCAAGATTCCGTGTTCGCCTTGTATACTGAACTTGCACTTGCGTCATCAGTGATTTCAGCAATTCGTGCATATGCAGTCAGAAACCGTGGTTTGATGTGGGCTGCGACAGTGTTCGCGACTAGCATGTTCGCAGTTATCGTCAGTGTGGTAGGCAAAATCTGACAGTCGTTAAGTTGGAGATGACAGACTGACATACACCTGCAGTACAACATAGCTACAACCCAATTTCAGGTAGTGGATGTCGATGGTACCTGGCTCTGCTATACTATGGTCCAGACCGAAGGTAGCACAGCTGAAAAGTGAGTATTTACCATTTGACAATCAATCACATGCCTTCACTGATTGCATGAAGAGGTGACCTCTTGTAACAACCTGATTCTATCACAAGCAGGCTCGCTGACCTTCTGTCGTAGTGTTCATTGTTAGTTCAATGTTCAGCATACTCTCGCAAGCCATCGTCGCCGGTCTCACCTGGTCAAGGATGTTGTTTCTTGTACGACGGCTTGGAAAGGGACAGGCTCGAGTCAACCCAAGATTATACGGTATATCATGGTTTTTTCTTCGAGACGGTGCGGAAAAGTCATATTCTACTTCTTTACCGGACGGCTGATGGAAGGTTACTTCCAGGTGCTGTCTATTTCATGTACGTCCTACTCTGCCCATCTACGCATGCTGTATTCTTATCTACCTGTTGCTAGAGCAATTCTGACTCTACAGCTCGTCAACTGTCTACTCTCGTATCTTACGGTGCGATCGTGTGACCATTCGTCATAGGTTTGCATCCTCATCAGCGTTACGTCAGGATGTGTGGTTCTTCGACACTGTCTCTCAATCGTGCGTATTCCCTACATCCCTAACAGATTCTTTATGCTCATTTGAGGTCTCAAAGGATTTTGATAGTCTTATTGTCGCGGCTCCTGCTCAATCTCCGGCAGGCCTCTATCCGAGACGTCAATCCGGACGAATCAGGCTCCACAATCTCCCATATGCTGGGTGACCTCACCCACATATCAAGCATCGCCTTCGAACCCCGGCCTGGTGCCGGTGCAGCTGCACACGCTCCCTGCGGTAACACCGAAGAGTATGAGATGGACACGATGAACGATCTAGGCAATGACGCCGACGATACGGATCAGGCGAATGTCTACGGCGATACGGATATTCAAGAAGAGCAACGGTAGAATGGGGAGCTCCTTCATCCTCCTCGCTCTATGTGCACATTCCTGTACGGTACGGGTGTGGAGGTATATCACCGCTTCAAATCAATGCCGAAAGTATTTGTTCCTCCTGTGGCTCGGTGCGATGCCTCACGGGTACAAGCTAGCTACAAAAGTCATGGGCTCGGACAGATGCCCGAATATCCCGGCATAGTCCACTCAGCCCACCTAGGTTTCCTCCTTATTGATATTCCTTGTCAGGTTGTCTTGCTTCGCGAGGTCCAAAGACTGTTACATACGTCCTTTTCCTGCCTGGGAAAGACCAACTACACAAGTTGCCTCATTAGGCTCGACGCAGAAAAACGCCCTCAGGCGCCACTGGGGCGCTACCAACGCGCTGCACACTTGCCACAGCAAAAGTTTCGCTGACATATCATAGCGAACACCTGAATGTCCGTCGCTAACCAAAAACTTGAAGAGATACTAGCGAACACCTTGGTTCAGCATGAATAATCAAATCATGGTGTGGCGCACCGGCCCGGAATATCGAGTGGGATCGCACATTGAGTGCATCCATTAGGTATCGAGATGTGGCATTATATAGCTGCGATGGCATGCTACAATGCACATCAATCTGCTCTAGGACAAAGATATGACCTCGTACAGGTATCCCACTCGTCAGCTCGGTCGCAATGGCCCACTCGTCAGCGCCATCGCTCTAGGAGTGCTTTGTATGTTGTGGTCTGTCCGCACTCTGTGAACGGCCGTGGATTGATTGTCTGTTTACAGCTTCAGCTGGAGTCTATGGAACGAGCGATGAAACCAACATCATGGCCGTTCTGTCTGCCGCGGCAGATAGAGGGCTCACGTTTTGGGACACCGCGGACATCTACGGAACGAGTACGCCCTAACCTGGTCACACATTGACCGTTCCTTCACACTATCTCTGTAGCTGAGCGCAGCATTGGCGCTTGGTTTGCGAATACGGGACGAAGGTCCGAGATCTTCCTGTCGACAAAGTTCGGCGCTGTAATGCCTGCAGACCTGGGCGAGAAATCACCTACAAGCACCCCATCGTACATCAGGCAACGACTTCAGAATTCGTTGAAGGAGCTACAAACGGACTACATTGACCTTTTGTATCAGCACCGCGTCGACCCCAAAGTCCCAGTTGAAGGTATGGTCAGAATTGACAACCGAGCGCGCCACTGACGAAAAATTTGTCAGTCATAATGGAAACTCTTCGTCCTTACGTGGAAAGCGGGACGGTCAGATACATAGGCTTCAGTGAATGCAGCATCGACCATCTCCGACGAGCCAAAGCTGTTCCCGGTATTGGCGAGAAGGTGATAGCCTGCCAGATAGAGTTCAGCCCCTTCGAGCGCGGTATCGAGACGTCGGGTTTCGCATCAGCGGCACGTGAAGCTGGCATAGGCATTACAGCCTACTCCGCACTTGGCAGAGGTGAGTCATGGAGAGTGAACATCGGCAGATGTACTGACGTACGCATAGGGCTGGCCACTGGCTGGTACGTGATTGAATGATACTGTCGGGCAGCCCGCACTGATGCCTGTCCAGCTACTCATCCCACGGCGACTTTGGAGAGGGCGACATTCGCGGATTCTTCATGCCACGGTTGTCTGCGGAGAACATCGCGAAGAATCTGACCCTTGTGGAGGATTTCCGGCAAGTGGCGAACAAGTACGGCGCGACCCCTGGGCAAGTAGCACTGGCATGGCTGCTGGCTGAGCATCTCGACTTTATCCCCGTCATCTCGACCAAGAGCGTTGAGCATCTCGAGGAGAACGCCAAAGCCGCAGAGCTTGTCTTGTCCCCAGAAGACGTAAAGCAACTTCGTGTTGTTGTCGAGACAACTCCTATGCACGGCACTCGCTATCCCGACTTCTACCTCAAGACGCTTGGCATTGACAGCGCACCTCTGAGCGAGTGGAAGGGAGAGTAAGCTGCCATCAGCGCAGCGGGTCAAGTGTGAGTAAGACGCTCTGTACGTCTTGCTATGTTGCTCACGATGAACCAGGGGGCCCACAAGAAGCACCGATATCGACTACCGCGTACTGTACAGAAGCTGCACCCGATCATGACCGTGACTCGGATCTCATTGCTGTCTTCTTTGTACTACTATGGACAGTCGCACATCATTGGTGGATCATACGTGGCTGCTTACGCTGAATCTGTGTAAAGCCGGTCTAAGTTTGTCAATTCGTACGGAAGGTGCTCGTGCATCTTTCTGTGTACAGTGTAGAATCATGACAAGGGTGAGGCATCCGCAACGGTCCGTGAGCCTGGTATGGCCTGTGCGTCTTGACGCTGCTGTCTCTATCAACCTATGTAAGATAGGCGCTGCCGTCATATCGTTATCTGTGTACAGTGCCGCGAGAGTGCGTGTACCTTCGGCACGACGCATGGAGCCGCTCACGGGATGTCAGCTCCAACTCCTTGAGTCAGCAGTGCCATGCCTCAAGTGATGGCGGAGGCGAACAAAGCTAAAGGAGGCCACGGCGACGGCAGCCGTCGCAATACCACTAAGTATCTGCTAAGTCGCAGTGACAATGGCTACGTACCCGAATCGTCCCTTGTTCCGCAATGGCCCCCTCGTCAGTGCCATCGGTTTCGGGGCCATGGGTAAGCGTTATGACCGTCAATTCATCCATGATGTGGGTAGCTGATTCTAGCCACCAGGAATCGGTTCAGTGGTTTATGGGTCTGCCGATCAAGAGGAGGCTCTGAGGACGCTTACCTACGCAGCAGATCGTGGCATCACGTTCTGGGATACTGCCGACATGTATGGGACCAGTAAGTCTTTGTCCATATACGTTGGCGTCGAGAAGCTGATTGCCGTCTGAAGGCCAGGAAGTCATTGGAAAGTGGTTCGCCGAAACGGGAAGGCGTTCTGAAATATTCCTGTGCACAAAATTTGGAGCGATGGACCTCACCCCTGGAATCCCGGACAGCACCAAGCCGAACAGCAAGCCGTCCTACATATCTCGCCAGGTCGAGAATTCTCTGAAGGATTTGAAGACTGGATGGATAGATTTGTACTACCAGCATCGTGTTGATCCCGAGGTTCCAGTCGAAGGTGGTGGCTCTGTCTCTCTTTCACAGATAAGCACTTATTGCGCACGTCATTTACAGCGGTGATGGAAGCCCTCCGTCCGTATGTTGAAAGCGGCAAGATCAAGTATATTGGCTTGAGCGAGAACAGTATCGACCACTTAAAGCGAGCAAAAGCCGTCCCAGGCGTCGGCGAGAAGGTTGTAGTTTGCCAGATGGAGTACAGCCCCTTCGAGTTGGGGATCGAGCACAATGGCTTCGTCGCTGCTGCTCGGGAGCTTGGGATCGGTGTCGTCGCATACGCCCCTCTTGGTCGAGGTACGAGCTGTCTGTATATACAGTATGCGTGATCGCTGACCTGTCCATGAGGCATGATGACTGGCCGGTGAGTCAACGTGCACACTAGCATTTGTGCGTAGAGAATCCCTGACCGTGTTGCAAGCTTCAAATCCCGCCACGACTTCGCCACCACTGACATTCGTCACGCATGGTTGCCTCGTTTCTCCGACGAGAATTTCCCAAAGAACCTCGAGCTCCTCGATAAGTTCCGGGAAGTGGCGAAGAAGTACGACGCAACGGCAAGCCAGGTGGCCCTTGCTTGGATTCTAGCGGAGCACCCAGACTTCATTCCTATTCCTGGGTCTAGCAGCGTCTCGCGCCTCGAAGAGAACGCCAAAGCTGCGGAGATAACGCTGGCACAGGAGGACGTCCAGATTCTTCGCGCCGCGGTGGAGGCCGCTGATGTTAAAGGTGGTCGGTACCCCGATAATTACAAGATAGCTGTCGATAGTGTGGCGTTGAGCGAGTGGAAGGGCGAGTCGGCCTGAAGGGCGCTGGGGTTACTGTCCGAGGCAGTGGTGTCCCTGATCACTTGTCACGTTTCTATCTAGCGCGCTCTTATGTCGCGCATTGCGATCATGAAACATGCATGCCAAATGACGACGCTGAGCAATGGACAAATGCCAGTGGGCTCTTCTGCAGCGGTCTACTTCGAGAATCGAGCTTGTCATATTGATTTGAAGCTAGATTTCTAGGTGTATACTTCCAATATACCTCGACCATGAATCACCAGTCGGGATACAACATCTAATGCTGAACCTTAACGACCGTGCCAGCGGACATACAAGAACTACGACGCCTAGGCCTACCTGATTTGGAGGTTGGCCCACGCCACGCAGGTCCGAGTCGGTGCTTGATCTTGACCGACCGGGACAAGTACGCGTCCTACTGCACCACAATGCCGAACGATGCTCTGGCTCCGAAATCAATTGCGCACGACGGACCGCAGAGTGGGACTCATGCTCGCACCATGCTGACGTTGTGGACATCGCTTTTGTATATAAACTGAGCAGCGACGAACTGGCCTGGCAGCATCGACTCGGTCGTATCAGCACTAGCAACATGTCTCAGTCTACATATGCTACTCGCCGCCTCGGACGCGATGGCCCTTTGGTTAGCGCAATAGGCTTTGGAGCGATGGGTAAGTACTTATCGCGAGCTAACATCTACACAGTACGCGCATATTGACAATCGACATCCGATGCAGGCCTTGGAGCGTTCTACGGAACAGGCATCCCTGATGAACAGGCTCACTCGCTGCTCACCTACGCCGCAGATCGTGGGGTCACTTTCTGGGACACGGCCAACATCTACGGATCGAGTAAGTCCCCCCTCCTCTGTGCTTGTGCGGCCGTGGCTGACTCTTTGCATTGGTGCAGGTGAAAGAGTGATCGGAGACTGGTTCACGAAGACCGGCAGACGATCGGAGATATTCCTCGCGACGAAGTTCAGCCGCCGGGACCCCGCTATCACTCCTGGAACTACTGGATACCTTCACGACCAACTGGAGAAGTCGCTGCGCGAACTCAAGGCGGACTACATCGACCTTTATTACCAGCATCGCGTTGATGGTGCCCTCCCTATCGAAGGTCAGAATGTATGAATCTCGCTCGATTGTAGACTGACTGTCTCGTCAGTGGTGCTCGAGACGCTGCGCCCGTACGTTGAGAGTGGGAAGATCAAGTACCTCGGTCTTAGTGAATGCAGCGCAGACCATCTCCGGCGCGCCAGAAGCGTCCCGGTTATTGGAGAGAAGGTCATCGCCTGTCAAATGGAGTACAGCGCCTTCGAGGTGGAGATCGAAACAGACGGTCTCCTTGCTACGGCACGCGAGCTGGGAGTGGCTATCGTCGCCTACTCACCGCTAGGGCGAGGTAAGCAATTAGTGTCCTCGTCGTCGGTCAACGTTGCTGCATAGACTGCGGAAGGGATGATTACGGGAAGGTGAGCTATCGCTCCGTGTGGGGTCGCCGGCACATAGAATAACTGAGATGATGACTCATTTCTCTCAGGTATAAGTCGCGGAATGACTTCCCGAAGGATGACATCCGCTTTCAATGGCTCCCCCGTTGGTCAGACGAGAACTTCCCGAAGAACTTGGCCCTGCTCGAGAAGTTCCGCGCAGTCGCGAACAAGTACGGCGCTACGCCTGGACAGGCCGCACTTGCGTGGATCCTCACAGAGAACCCTGATTTCGTCCCAATTCCCGGATCGCGCAGCATCGAGCGTCTCGAGGAGAATGCGAAGGCCGTCGGGGTCACGCTCGCCGAGGAGGATGTGAAGGAGCTGCGGGCTGCTGTGCTGGCGGCAGAAGTGACGGGTGCGCGGTACCCGGAAGCGTACTTGAAAACACTGGCCTATGACAGCGTGCCCTTGAGTGAGTGGAAGGGCGAGTAGTTCCATCGACCGTGACGGGACCTAAAGACAGTGTGCAAGTCGCGTTGTATCTTTGGAGTGGAAATGAAGTTTTACGAAGTGCCTTCTCCTTCGCGTTCGATTCTGCGTGTGTAGAAATGTATATCAGCACGGGAAAGACTGCGGCACTGCCACTGGCAGCACGGTATCTAGGATACTTACCTTCGCCGCGCGGTACTCACGCAGAACCACCTGTCATCCAAGATCGTCACATAGTAGGCCTCTAGCCGTCCGTGACACAGATGGGGCACTCTATCCTTAGGCAGAGGAAGGGGAACGTTCTGTCAGTGCTTGCCAATGCACAGGCGCGGCGGCGCTCAGTGAGTAGGGTGGCGCAGATCGCAGCCCGATGGCATCAATCTCAGGTTGTCGCTCCGCCGAGTCGACGTCCGTGGCAACCGGAGCCTGAGCAGGCCACTCAAACGTTCAACATTCATGATTCAATGGCAATCATGTTGAGCTTGAAGAGACTACAAGCCCTCGCCGAGCGCTGTAGTGCAGCTGTATTTCGCCAGCTACCAGCCCACCTGCAAGTTGCTTGCAAGTTCCAACTATTGAGACCTCTCGCCATTCTCGGTGGTCTTATCGTTGTGCTGCGCTTCGCTGTGTCGCTCTCACAGCGGACGTCCCGAGGAATCACTAGTTTGCAGCATATTGTTCGGCGACTGAAGACTGGCGAGAGGTCCGACGCAAGTGAATATGACATAGTGATTGTAGGCGGCGGTGAGCTCATATTGTTGTCTTGCGCTAGTCGGGAAACACTGAAAAGTCAAATTCGAATGTGATACAGGCACGGCTGGCTGTGTGCTTGCTTCCCGCTTGTCTGAGAACCGGAAGCTACGTGTCTTGCTCATTGAGGCCGGCGGCAGGTACGCACCATAGTAACGAACTCTCAACCCAATCGTTCCTGACATACTGTGCTACCAGTTCTGCGCATAACCCCTTTTCGCGTGTTCCAGCGTTTTATCACAACCTCTACCAAACAGAGTGGGACTGGAACATATCCACCGTACCTCAAGAACACGCTGCCTCGAAACGCAAGTACTGGCCTAGAGGTGCCTTCGCTCTCTGCGTTTCTCAACCAGTTGTTCTAACTATAGCTCCACCAGGAAAGATGCTAGGAGGGTGTAAGCACACATTGCGAGAGGTATCATAACCCTGACCAAAGCATATTGTAGGCTCGTCCATGAATGCCATGGTGTACGTTGATTCTAGGATATCAGCTGGAGCGGTACTCACTGGCATATCATACTTTTCAGCTTCCATCATGGCGCCCCTTCAGACTTCGACGAATGGGCTTCAATGCAGAAGGGCCAAGACGGTGCTTCCGACTGGAAACATGAGAACTTCAGTAGGTACGCCCCAGTGACGACCAGAACACCCGTAGAACACTTTGACCAACGCCACGTCCTCAGATACTTCCGGAAGTTCGAGAAGTTCCATCCGAGCAAGGACTACTCACTGGTCGACGCCACCCTCCGTGGATCATCAGGGCCAGTGCACGGTAAAGCGGCATAATTGTGTCAGCTGTCGCCGCACTGAACTCTATTGCCGTATCAAGTGGGCTACCATGGTCATGTCTCAGATACCACGAAGTGCTTCCTTGAGGCCTGCCACAATGCTGGAATGGAGCGTAATCCGGACCTCAACACAGAAAAGGGTACCCTCGGGTCAAGCAAAGTGCGTCAAAACTTTCGGTCCTCTGCAGCGATGTCATAAATCACCATTCATATTGATATGTGTAGACGAGTCAGTCACCCTCCGTCACATTGCTCGTGCATCCTCTAACCAGTTTTGCAGTGACCTTCATCGACTCTCAATGCCGACGTGTGACGACAGAGTCTGCGTACCTTACCCCGGAAGTGCTTACGCGCCCGAACCTCGTCATCGCGACTTACGCGCAGGTGACGCGCATCCTGTTTCAAACGACTGAAGGTCAAGCTCCGAGAGCAGTGGGTGTGAAGTTCAAGGATAGGACGGGAGAGTTATTTGAGGTGAGGGCGAAGGAGGTAGTGATATCGTGAGTCATGTAGGCTCACCTTTCAGGCTGGCACTCAATTGACGATGCTTCTTCAGAGCCGGGGCCATACATACACCTCAAGTACGCTTCTTGTCGAACAATGCCCTCACCTCAGCTAATCAACCCTTCGCAGATCCTCATGCTTTCCGGAATCGGTCCAGCGGACCACCTGTCCTCATTCAGCATCCCGGTGCTCGTTGACAACCCAGGCGTCGGCGCTCACCTCATGGACCATCCCGTCATCGATTTCCACTTCCGCGATAAGACCAAGTCCCGTATGTCGGCTCTGTCGTATAACCCTGCCAAGTTTGGGAAAATGGACCCAGCGCGTATCGTTAAGGGGTTGGCGTACTTCGCAGAGTACAAGTTTTGCGGGACGGGTCCGCTTACATCGAATGCGCGTCAAGTTTCCTCTTTGCTCAAAGGCAAGGATCGTTGCTGATACGATCGGTGGTGCATAGGTCCTTGAAGCCGCCGCGTTCGCACGTTCCTCCGACGCCTCCCTCTTCGCTAAGGCTGGTGTCGCTCTGCCCACGCAGGACAATCTGGAAGACTCTACGTCGGGACCAGATGCGCCGGATATCGAAATATTCTTCACGCCGGTGTCGTACATCGAGCATGTGCGGGTCTCGCTCCCACCAGGACATCACGTTGATCTCCATGCCGTCCTACTAAGGTGCTGTCCTTCTCTATTTACCTGCAGCGCTTCGTCTATCCTTGACCTGACGTGTATCCTGTCAGGCCAACAAGCACGGGCACTGTGAGATTGCAGTCAGCGAACCCGTCTGACGCGCCAGTCATTGACCCTAAGTGTGTCTCTGCCCTGATCGCCGCATATGATATGTATGGCTGAGAACAGCACAGGTACCTCGCCACGCAACACGACATCACCGTCCTCGTCCGTGCGACCCGCCTCGTCTCGCACATAATCAACACACCTCCATTCTCGTCCTCGGTTCTCGACCCCTCCGGCTCCGCCGACGCCACGGGCCTGCTCAACCATAACCTCGCACAACAGTCGGACGCAGAGTTCGAGGCAATCATCCGCGACCGCGTCGAGACGCTGTACCATCCGACATCTACCGCTCGGATGGCCCCAAGGGAGGACGGCGGCGTGGTCGACCCGCTCCTGCGGGTGCATGGCGTCGAGGGGCTGAGGGTGTGCGATGCGAGCGTGTTCCCAACTATCACGAGCGGGCATACGGTAAATTCATTGCCTTACGTGGCGAGGGTTGATCTGACTGACATGGCTGGGCGTAGGCCTCACCGACAATTGCACTTGCAGAGCGAGCTGCCGATATCATTCTGGAGGCATATAGAGAATGAGCCCTGTATGTCGGGCCAGGCTCGAGCGTTTGTTCTTGTTTAGATATGAGACATTGGATCCAACGCCGAGCAAAGGTAGAGATTGGTTCGTTCCTAGGCGGCTTACAGAACACTAGTGTGGTGCATTGATTAGTCTTATAGGATGCACGGTTGGATGTGCTCCACGCTCATGTATGGGTGTTCTAAACAATCAGAGCGCCATAATCATGCTAGTTGGGTAACTCGTTGTTCACAAGAGGGCCCCGACTACCAATGAGGACTCAGACGCATCGAAGATCATGGAGCCTAAAGGATTTGAAGGTGAACAAGTAGCTTTCCAAACTGCGCAGTAATCATAGATTGCATAATGATACCGCATGTGGTTGAACACAAGACGGTACTCAGGGAGACCATACGACGATATTAGACACCTAGTGAAGTCGTACGTCGACTTCACTCAGACGTGAGGTCCTTGTAGAAGGACAAGCCGGCGAGGCCGTCTAAATTCAAATAACGCATGAGCGATGGCCTTCAGCTCACCAGAGATGAACTCACACTGAGTGGTCGGCTTGGCGTAGCCTCCGAATGCCATCACGTTGGCGACGTGGAAAGGCTCCCCATTGTTGGACTTGTTGCTGTTACTTACCGAAAGGCTGTGCAGGATGCATGCATAAGCCGTGGTAAACAACGTGACTGCAGCACTTACACCTTCAACGCGGACGGCGAGGGAACTCTGGTCGAAAATGACAAAGCCGATGCTGTTGACCATCTTGCGCTTGTAAGAGTTCTGGTAGCCGGCGCGGCCGAAGACGGCGAGCAGGATTTCACTGGCTGTGGAGGCAATCAGCTAATGACGACAACAATACGCTCGACTACGTACGTTGCAGCTCAACAACAGTAGCGCCACTGAACTGGCTGCCGTGCTCCACGGCCACGAGTTCGGTGCCGGGGCGCCTGAGCTGGTACCAGATCTTCAAGCCGTCGACCTAGTGGTGCGACGAATATTCATTAGGGGTTTATTTCATTGGTATGACTGAAACTGACAACGCACCACCTCGCCGTAAGACACTGCAACACGGCGAATGGGGTTCTGAGTGTTGACGATGAGCTGGCCTTTGAGAACCGGGGCAGTGTGGATCAGAATTGTTAGCGGAACGTCAGGAGCGGCGTCGCTCACCACCTGCGTCGGTCAACTTGAGGATGTCGTTGAAGAGGTGGGAATTTCAGTGAGGGATAGAAGTGAGTTGAGCCGATGAGGGCGAGGGACAGTGCCCAGTCCTATATACTTGTCTTCAATGCATACGGTGTTGTGCCTCATGTTGCGCTTCTGACATTTGCACGACAGCAAACGAAATATCGATAGACGCCTTTGCGCCGCGCGCATACAGCAGCCCGGTGGCTCAGGTGGCGTGCTGGAAGCTGACGGCGCTGAGCTTCGACACACTGGCAGTGTCGTCGAATGTCCACCGGAGCTACCTCGTTTCACCACCACGTAATCATTCGCCAGCGGTATGTAGCCCCGGTCTTCGCCGTCATATTCCCTGCCCCTTGGCTTAAGAAGATTCACAAGGATATAAAATAACATTATGACCTTACCTTTTGACTTGCTAGTGGAGTAGTTCCCGGGTACGAACTCTTGGATCTAGTCCTATGGTGCTGGGTTCTGGAAAGCTGATCAAATCAATATCAGGGGCAACATCCAGCGCCAGCACAATGCAAAGATACGCAGATCCAGACTGCAGTCATTCGGCACTTGAATAGACCGGAGCGCACCTATTCGTCTGTTCCGCGCTCATACCTACATAGAAGTGCAGAGTCCAATATGGGCGTTCTTGCCGTTCGGAACGTTTCTCGGGAATGGATGCTCTGTTCATTGATTCCAACTGCGTGAGCCTGTATTTAGACGACCCGGCAGCCGTCTCGCTTTGACATCAGACTCTTACTCCTTCTTCGATAATATGCAACATTACGTTGTCGGTCTGTTGCAAGCTTTCAAGCAATCCTACATATAATGTGAATGCTCAACGGAGCACACGGCCTACGACAGAAATAGGGTCAGGCTCGTATCTGCATCATATATCAGCGTCGGGGCATATTGTCCCAGTGCATGTCCCCATAACTTACCTACAGCTAGAGGCTATGAGCTCGCAGTACTCAGTGCTCATTTACTTACATATGTTGCCATACCTGAGACTACGACCCGTCCGAGTCGCCGGTTTGTCGCGGGTCACGACGCTCATTGCGAATATTGCGCTTTCTGACGTCCATCACCGGGTGCCCTACACGGTCAGGAGATGAGTAAAAGAGTAGCAAGGACGATATGGCCACTCTCCAGCAACGCACGCTGGGCCTCTCGTGGGATAAATAATAGGAGGAGACAAAGCGGTGGTTCAGAAAATGACTCGGACAGTCGGACTCCAAGAGGATGCGTCGATGGGGTTTGATCTTATCTGATATGTATTACGAAGGTTATCAACAGAGCCCATTACATTGGTCAGATTAGATAACCGAGGACCAGGATTGCATGCCTCGCGTGAACCGACACGGTCGTCGGCCGTATTCTCTCTCTCGTCTTTCCTTCCTGCCGCCTCCAGCAGTCTTCAGAGCCAGAGTCGCTCTCCTGATGGGCCTCTCTTTCGCTAGTTTTGCCTGCTCAAGATGAACTGCATCCTCAGAACTTCGGTCTTGAAGAGCGCAAGCCCGAGGGCTCCAGCTCTACCATGCCGATCATGTGTACAGTCTCGAACACTCTGGCTCGCGCGTAGCAATCTAGTCTCTCGTCCGCGAACAACCCTCCGGGCGGCCTTCATTGGCTCCCGTGGAACGCAACAGTCCGCACCTCAACCTCCAGCGAACGGGGGCGTGCAACCCTCGCCTCCGAATACACCAACACCTGCTGCCAAGGCCGCGCAGAGTGCACCATCTGCCACTAGTGACACTGAACATGTCAGTCAGGCAGAGCAGCGGAAGAAGGACTGGGGCATCGTGAAGCGGTTAGTAGAGAACATATGGCCGAAGAACGACTGGTCGACTCGCAGTCGAGTGATACTTGGCTTCGGACTCCTCATAAGCGGAAAGGTGCGACGAAGGATAATGTGCACATGTCAGGGTGACTGAATGAACGCTGCTTATGCTAGCTCCTGAACGTCCAAGTACCGCTAATATTCAAGCAGATCATTGACTCGCTGAACGTAGACATCACTGCTGCATCTACAGTCTGGGTAGTAGTCGGGTCACTCATCGCGGGTTGTACGTCCGAATCACAATTATCTTGAATGTGCTCGTCTCAGACAGGCTCTATTGAGTATGCAGATGGCGCAGCACGTATTGGTGCCACTCTGTTTGGGGAACTTCTCAACGCAACCTTCGCTAGCGTCGGGCAGCGTGCGATACGGAAGGTCGCTCGGGACACATTCGAGCATCTATTGAACCTGGACCTCAAATTCCACCTTTCGAGACAGACAGGTGGTCTCACACGAGCGATTGACCGGGGAACGAAGTTCGTCCGATTCGTCTCCATGTTGTACATACTCTGAGCCTGGTACCATAGAGGCATCACCTTCGTATTGCAGGCGATCATCTTCCGGATTGTCCCTACAGCACTCGAGATCTCGCTTGTATGCGGCATCTTGGTAGGTCAGCTCACCATGCATGGCGAGTCTCCAGTTGTGTTGACTATTCCCATCATTCTAGTCATATAAGTTCGGATGGAGCTTCGCAGCCATCACAGCCGTTACAATGGCGGCTTACACGTGGTTCACAGTGCGTACAACGTCGTGGAGGTACGTTCAATCTGGAGTTCCATATGCTTGTGCTGACATGCCAACAGAACGCGCTTCCGACGAGAAGCAAACTCTGCGGATAACAAGGCTGCGACGCTGGCCGTCGACTCTCTAATCAACTACGAGGCCGTCAAGGTATCACTTATCCGTTTCGGAAGTCAGTCACAAATGCCAACACTTTCTGCAGCACTTCAATAATGAGAAGCACGAGATTGCTCGATACGATAAACATCTCTCTACGTACGAGAAGGCATCTATCAAGATTGCCACGTCGTTAGCCTACCTCAACTCGGGGCAGAATGTCATTTTCTCGTCAGCATTGACTGCCACGATGTTCCTTGCCGCTCAAGGGGTGATAAACGGTGAGATCGCTCACCACTCACGCCTCGCTACACTTGCTAATGGACGAGGGCCGTTACAGGAACCATGACGGTCGGCGATCTCGTTATGGTCAACCAACTCGTGTTCCAGTTATCTCTGCCGTTGAACTTCCTTGGTACCATTTACCGAGAAATGAGACAAAGTCTTCTGGACATGGAGACACTGTTCAGCCTGGTCACCCAGAATCAGCCGCCTAAGGTGCGTTCCTAACATGGCTGCGACAGGTCACTGCGTCTGACTCGCCTTGTAGGACAAACCGAACGCGAAGCCCCTGCAGCTCCAAGGCGGTTCCATTCGCTTCGAGAACGTCGGGTTCGCCTACCACCCCGACCGCTCGATCTTCCGCAACATCTCCTTCACCATCCCCGCAGGCAAGAAGATCGCGCTCGTCGGCCCCTCCGGCTGCGGCAAGTCCACCGTCTTCCGGCTTCTCTTCCGGTTCTACGAGCCCTCCTCCGGGCGCATCCTCGTGGACGGCCAGGACATCTCCGAAGTGCAGCTGGCGTCTCTCCGCTCGGCCATCGGTGTCGTACCGCAGGACACGCCCCTCTTCCACTCGGACGTTCTGGAGAACGTGCGGTACGGCAGGCTGGACGCCTCGGACGAGGAGGTCATGGAGGCTGCGCGGAAAGCCCATGTCCACGACGCTATCATGCGCTTGCCCGAGGGCTACACGACCAAGGTCGGCGAGCGGGGCCTGATGATCTCTGGCGGAGAGAAGCAACGTCTGGCGGTGGCGCGCGTGTTGCTCAAGGACCCACCAATTTTGTTCTTCGACGAGGCTGTGAGTGGTCGTGTTCGTCGATTCCGTGGTGTCATGGGTGTTGACGGCTTTCGATAGACATCTGCGCTGGATGCTCATTCGGAGGCGGAGCTGATGAAGAATATCAACACCCTTCTCCAGGACAAGAGCCGCACGAGCATTTTCATTGCCCACCGGCTGCGTACCGTCGTCGAGTCAGGTACGTTCTCCTGCGGTGTTGCTACGGGTGGCATAAACTCATCTGCGTTCCAGATTTGATCCTTGTACTGAAGGACGGAGAGGTTGTGGAGCAAGGTACACATGACGAGCTGATACGCAAGGGCGGCTTGTACCACAGCATGTGGCTTGAACAAGCATACCAGGAGCAAACTGCCGACGCGGAAGAAGAGGCTTGACGTGATCAGACTCGATCAGAAACTGTACCAACTGCGTCACAATGCTATTCTATTAGCCCCATGGTATCCTGTTTTGTGTAGTAGACTGTTGTTACACACACTGCTCCCAACTACCGATGAGCCCGTCCAACTATAGCACATGTTTTCCGAAAATGTTTGCCCAGCCCTTCCTACTCGATTCTTCCTCTCAGCCAGCTGAGTAGTCCCTTGGTCCCTTCCCTTTCCCAGACTCTCCTCTGAGGTACCCTGAAACTGCAAAGCCGATCGTCAGCATGAGGTTGCGGAGAGTAGCTGAATGACATACACGTTGCCGTCCACTAAGAACACGTCGAGCGACAGCAGTCCCAACTCTGGCGGGATTTTTCCTATCTCGTTGTCCCGCAGATCCAGTTCCTCGAGCCTCCACTGCGGCACATCTCGGTTCCCCTTGAACATCTCAGCGAGACCTTGGAAGCCATCCAATTCCGTAATCCGATTTCCGCGAAGTCGGAGGTGCCGCAGGCCTTTACGAGGATTCCCTATTTCCTCAGATGGAGCGGCGAGGATGAGATGCGTCAGGGCATCCTTTGTCAGCGCAGCGGAACTCAGGGTATTGTATGACAGGTCGAGCGTCCGCATGCTAGGGAACAGCTTCGCCAGAAGGGACAGCAGAGGCTCGTTCCTGCGAAGCGAAGAGTACTCGTCACCATTCGCCACATGCGAGACAGGGACCGAGTCGGGGAGACTACATCCTTGGAGGCTCAGCTCCTCGAGGCAGGGGAGGAACGGACCGTCGTCAGCGGACAAGCTGAAGGATGGATCCTTCCGCCGGTTGACAAGGTTGAGCACTCTGAGGGTCTGCGCCAATGGCTGGGCGGCGATCGCCGCAAGGGGCAGCGCGGCTGTCGGGATGGCTAGAGCAAGATCCGAACCGCCTGAGGACGCCCCTCCTCGCCTCGGGTCGCCCCAGGAAGACACGGCCAGAGAGATGGAACGTGCGTGGGCAGTCTTGTCGGAGGCGTAGAGGGCGGCAATGTCAATGTATGTGTGCTGGCATCGTAGAACTGAGGGTTCGAGAGCGCGGAAGCGACGTTGGGCGAAGGCGAAGGTGATGAGCGAGCTTCTGACAATGCTGGAGAAGCGGCCTGCGCACGCGAAGACTCGTTGGTACTAGCTGCAGCTGCAGCTGCAGCCTGAGCTCGTGCCCGTCGTTTCGCACCTTCGGTCAGAAGACCTTGTTCTGCCTCTATCTCCCATGGCTCCTTTTGCACGACCTGGTTCTTGCGTGGTGAAGTTGGGGTAGGTGAAGATGCAGACGATGCAGGCGGGCTAGAGGTCCGCGCCGCCGCCGCCGCCGCTCTGGCCCGTCTCTTTGCGCCTTCTGTCAACAGTCCCTGTTCTGCCTCAATCTCCCATGCCTCCTGCACCACTTCCTGCTTCTGCGTCCCGTTGCGAGACGCACGACCACCGATGTTTAAGCCCTCCTCTACTCCGGCCCCACCGTATCGGGCAGCCTTTGTCTTCGCTCTCCGCTCCGCTTCAATCTCCCATGCCTCTCTGATGACCTTCTTGCCAATCACGACACGCAGGACCCCTCGCGAGGATCCTCATTCGTGATCTCGAAATCAAGTTCCTGCCGTAGAGCTGGTTTCTGAACGCAGCTTCGATCGCGGGACGCGTGACGTGCGTCTCGCCAAGGTCAAGTACTTTCAGAACCGGGAACGTTGCTGAGGGAGATAGCGACGACAGAATGTCGGCAGGGAAGGAATCATCTCCGATCTCTGCGCGCTCCAAGAGAAGTTCGCGTAGACGCTCCAGACGGGCGAGAGCCAGAAAGAGCTCCGTAGACGGACCTAGTGGGTTAGCGGACAGGTCGAGTTTGTTGATTTGCGAAGGAAGACCCGCGCACTGGATAGACAGGGCGGCCAGATGATTATGCGATGCATTGAGCATCGTCAGCCGTGGAAGAGGGGCTGTCGCTCGAGTTATACTCTGCGAAAACCAGTCACCGCGGGCGTCTCGCGTTCGGCTGAGCGTATTAGAGCCTTGAGTGTCGAGTGGTGCACGGAAGGGTAGAGATGTGAGGGAGTTGTGTGACAGGTTGAGGGTTGTGAGATTGGGAAGGACAAAGAGATTGACAGGCAGGGACGTAAGCGCATTGTGCGAGAGATCCAGGATAACCAGCGCGGTCAGATCAGCGAAGCTATCTGGTAAGCTGACAAGTTTGTTGTTATGGAGCTAATCACAGAGTTAGTACATCCATTTGAACAAAGCAGGTTACATACTGACATCCACTGTTTTCAGCGAGCCAAACATAGATATTTCCGGTTGAATCTCGACGATCTCGTTGGACCATGCTTTCAGCACCTGCAAGTCCTGTGCTTCGTACCAAGACGGGGCGTTGGATTGACCTCCTCTGCGACGACCGGCTGAGATCTCGTCCGTGGTCGACGTAGAGATAGGTGGTTCTTGCGGGACAGACTTCAGGGGTTCAGACTTGATGCCCAAGTGAATCTCAAACAGAGCGGATGGTAGGCAAGGAAGGGCACGCGATATCAAGTTGAGGGTGCCTTTCGGACGACAGTAGTAAGAGTTAGTCTCGCGCACGACACAAGACTACGGGCGTGTCAGACAACTGTCTCGGCTTGTTAATGGCCATGCCTGAGATGACACCTTGACTGGAGTATCCCACCCGCAATTTGTAGCGTGTGCTGCCAACAAGAATCATCCACCGGGACGTCCGCTCACTCCTCTTGAGTAGCGCCGATAAGGGCCGAACGCAACGGGCGTCGATGCAAGCGGAAGTCACAACCCGAGGATGATTAGCAGCAGTGACAAACCAGCACGTAGTCTGAGATACCGTTGTGTATACCCGTGCGTACGGCTGCCTGACACGTCTGTAAACGACGCGGAGCGACTCACCTGAGCTCCGAGCACGCTCGATAGATTCCTTCACTGACCAGCGACCGACCTCATCCTCAGTGTTTCCAGGAAGAGCTTCCTCGAATCCCACAAAGTCCAATCCATCGTTTCCTTCGGCCGGTCCCGTCTGTGCCTTCTTTGCTTCGGCGCGCCTGAGGGCAATCTGTTCACGGATGCTAAGCTGAGGCCTTGATGGCTCAGGAGATTCAGCTTTCGCCGGCATTGCTCTACGTGGAACTGGCGATTTTGGAGGCGCTGGAGACTTGGACGTTGGCTTGAGAGTCTTCAAGCTCCGCTGCGTCCTCAGCGGTGTCGTTGTCGGCCTGGAGCTCGATGTGACCGTGGACTGCGTGCGGGTTCGGGGTGTACCAGGTGAGAGTAATGATGTAGGCGAGTGTGTAGGTTTACTCGGCGTGCGAGGGGAGGATGGCTGGGGGATGCGGGACATGGTCGCGGGTGGTACTTGTAACTTTAGGGACAAGTCAGGGATCGGGCAGAACGCGTCCTGCACACGTGCTGACCGCGTCGCGCCCGGCGCCCGCCATGCCCCGGGTCACTCCCACGTGAATCAAGGTGTCCGAGGTCTCTGCTTGCTGGCGCTGCCCGATTGGGGTAGCGCCAGACGAGCAGGATACACAAGCGTTCGCTGCCCGTCGACTTCAACGCATCCTCAAGGCCCCGCCGCTCCCTCAAGCCATGTGAGTGTTTCAGACGGTTTCTATATGCCTGGAGTATGCTTGGACGGCGTTTGGACGAGAATTCTGCGGTCAGAGAGGGTGGATGGGTCGAGCGGGCATCGGATGAGGACGTTGACCGAGATGGAGCGAGGGCTGACTCTACTGTTTGCGTATAGCCGGAACAAGTGCGACAGACGTTCGCAGTGAGTAGCAGTGTTGTATCTGCGTGTTGCTCACTTTGACCGTTGCGTGTAGCTTCCGACCTCAAACCGCCCTCGCCCAGCATGATCATCTCTAAGCCCCACAGGCGCATCATCTACGAGTCTCTTTTCAAGGGTACGCACGCGAAAATTTGCTCTTTTCTGCGCAGGGAGCTCAAAGGAAATGTGGCTCAGAGGGTGTCCTTGTCGCCAAGAAGGACTACAACGCTCCCAAGCATGAAGAGCTCGATGTGCCTAATCTCGAAGTTATTAAGGCGATGCAGAGCCTCACCTCCAAGGGTCTCGTGAAGACGCAGTTCTCTTGGCAATGGTACTACTACGTCCTCACGCCCGAGGGCGTTGAGTTCCTCCGTGAATGGTGCGCACACACTCAGCGATGGGCTTACCGTATCTCATGGCAAAAATTGCTAGGCTCAACCTGCCTAGCGAGATTGTGCCTGCCACCCACAAGAAGGCAGTTCGTCCTCCGCGCCCCGCACAGGTCCGCGGTCCCGGAGGCGAGGGTGCGTACCGTGCGCCGCGCGGCGACCGGGACGACTACCGGAAGAAGGAGGATGCGCCTGGCGACTACAGGCCACGGTTCGCAGGTGTCGGCCGTGGTGCCCCGAGAGAGTAGACGATTTCACGTCAGCGCTGGTCACATATTTGGCCGCTGGGAGCGGTGGGTCGGATCGTTATGATGAGTATATGGCTGCTGCCTGCCGTCCGCCGCAAAACTATAGTATGAGCACACCCATGCCCCGCTTATGCTATTATTCACGATGCTTTCCTCTGCACTACACTGGGCCATGCGTGCTACCCGAACAGATTGACGACATCCTTTATCGCACCATGGTCCTTCGCGCGAGCTCGGAAGTCTGTGACTTGCCTGGCGGCAGAGCTACGCCTGGTCCTCAGATGCATTGCACACCTCGATTGGTTACCGCACATACCTCAAACGGCCACAGCCCTTTGTGCCACTGACAAACAGTGCTGCCTTCATGCTGACGATCCTAGCAAGTATATCTTGTACACCGGTGTCGCCAAGTGGTAGCTGGTCTTCGTCGAAGGTACCCGTGCCTCCGTTGGTCTCATTCAGTCTTGTGAAAAGTCCCTCCCTCGTCTCCAGCACCCACCGTTCCAGCTCACCGCCCGGTGCGAAAGCAGCTTGTATGATGTCAATGGCCGCGGTATGTTGATCAGACGATTTCTTCTGCGCGTCCTCCGAGTGGGATGCGAGCTTCATGAGAGAGTGGTCTGACGAGAAGTACACGGTGCGTATGTCATGTGAGACCGACGCATCATGGAGCAGGATGTCCAGCATGTCGACTAGAGCATCGGCGCAGGCAGGAAGGACGGCCGCGGGGAGTTTGTCGATGTGCCAGTGTACAGCCAGGTACGGTTGCAAGTCCTTCGTCACCTGGCTCGCAAGAGCCCAGAGCCTAGGAGAGTAGTCGATGGCAGTAGTTGACTCAGTGGAGAATAGATCACTGCGTACGTCCCAGTAGAGGAGGAGTACATCCGAGTCGGAGTGGCGCGGGAGCTTGGATGCAGTGGTCGTACCGTAGTCCAGCTCGGAAGGTAAAGCAGGGGTAGTTTCACTTGCGTTTGTAGTGTCACGACCTTCCGAGAGCGCGTTGACCAGTATGGCAGCTTCACCGGAATTTGATCGCCCCTCCGAGACAGGTAAGAGGTGCATGGTAGCTGTCCCAGTATTTTCCAGCTCCAGCTCACGAAACCTTGTCTTGAAGCAGCGCATGGTTTTCGCCGCCTTCTCATGGACCATCGAAGCGTACTCGACCACGGTGTTGGATTCCGTGGCACCCTCGTCAACAGCGACAACTTGTGTCGTCGGACTCAGCGGGCGCATATCGACCCATGTCCGGAAGTCGTCCATCATCATCATGCGTTCTCCACCTCCGAGCGCAGTTGAAGCTATGTCGAAGTATGTGTCAAAGTCCCAGCGCTGACAGGTGCCGACGCGTCCTTTGCCTACATTCGGAAGAACAACCGTACGATTCAGTTTTCTGGCCAGAGCGAGGATCTGGACGAGCTGTTGCTGTATCTTCGCTGGCTCGCGCTCGGGGATGGTGAGGATAAGGAGGAGCCGACAAGGTGCCTTCCCACAGAACTGGGTGTCTATTGCGTTACTGGTAGACGCAGACGGTGATACAGATTGCATACGCCGAGAGGATGAGCTTGTGCGCGCCTCAGGAAGCGCAGTGACGACGGGTGGCCAGCGCTGTTGTCCCTCTCCGGAAGAGTGGTACCGATGGTCCGCTTGATAAACCAGGGCATCCCGGTCTTCATCGCCACCGTCCGTCTCTTCCTCCGCGAGTAACAGCTTTTCGATAATATCTCGAGTTACGAGAGGGATCGGTACTCGGACGGTGTCGTTGCCTTGGTCCTCGAGTTCCAGGAACGAATCCACGTCCTCCATCCAGCGTCCTACCGCATCCGGATCCGAGCCGTGCGTCGTCTGTACCGCATGATGCTTCATGGGAATTGACCGATTCAGCAAGAGCATGCCCGCAGCAAGAAGTAACACAATAAGGATAGCCCGTCGCGGTTGCCGCCAGAAAAGGTGACTGATCCAGTACGTGTATGCGGATCGACCTGGCCAGCGACGAGCCCTCTTATCATCGGCAAGATCCTGCTTCTTCCTGGAGGCTTTTCCGGAGCTCAGACGCGGCGGCTTGCTGGTATTATCCTTCCAATGATGGCCATATGCATGACGTGGTGTGCGGGCACGTAACATGATTACAAGCGAGCTCAACGCAAGCTCAGCGTCCGGTAATGACAACAGAGAATAACGATAGGCGTCGAAGTTATCGAAGGATCGGCAGCGGAAATTAGACCACCTCAGTAGTATGAGTCAGTGGGAAGAGGCTGAGCAGGTTCGCGTCTCGTCCACATCGAACTGCTACACCTGCCAAATTTGGCTATCTTGTGCCAACGATCGTTGTGGCTCGTGTGCATGGAGGCGAAGCTCGCGAACGAGTATGTAAACGACCGCTATGTTTCTCTCTCCCGTATCTATCTTGACGCTGTTCGCTCGTCTTCATCGATTTCATTGTATTCTGGCATAAACCGCTAGTAGTGATGAACAGTATGGGGCGCGCGGGTAGGGATCACCAGTGACATATGATGCATGCTACGGCCCGCGGCCCAGTACGTCGTCACGGTGGCCGCTGCGTGAAAGTGACATCAAGTAGTAATTGCCAGTGAGACTGTAGTGCTTCCTTGGCTATGCGAAACGTATTGATTTAGCAATCTTGGTCAGATGTGGCCGTCAATCCCGTTCGTTGAACTTATTTTCGTGAGTCTGTACTACCATACGCCGCAGTCACGGTGGTAATGATGATTAGCTCTTCTTCTAGTGTGATGTAGTACTACAGCGAACCTCAGCGAACGCATTTCACCCCTGCGCCAATCCGGGCCCGATCGACGGAAATCGACACAGTTATTATTGTCTGTGCTATGTGAGAAGGGGGACGACTCGGACGACATGAGCTCCGTGACAGACCACGAAAGCCGGCAAGCATGTCTGGAAAAGGGTGTGTTGCATGCGTTCAGTGATATTGCTCACCCGCTGCCGAGTCAGACTCGGATATCCAACAGGGCAAACTTGAGTGCGTTTCCGGAAGAATGCCTGGAGGGAGAAGTCGTTTGATACCTAAGTATCTTTATTGAGTACAGTACCTAGGGCGGTGACGACGGTCAGCGCTTTCTCCTCGCCGTGACTGATTAAGCTTTGCCCACAATTAGATCCCGCTACGTCACTATCCATCGACTCTTAATATCGGAGTACCCTGGGCCGCAATGGGCCGACAGTCAGCGCTGTGGGTTTGGGCGCCATGGGTAAGCAGCCGGACCAGCGATTGCACCGCAGAACATATTCACTCGCTATAGGCATCGGTGCTTTCTACAGCCTGAAAGAGGAACGAGGCGGAGAGTATAAGCGACTCTCACTCATGCCGCCAACTACCGTGCTACCTTCTGGGACACTTCAGACGGCTACAGCGCGAGTGAGCAGTGCGACGGTGAATTCCCTGCAGCGGGCCTACTTATAATACTAATGCATTTCGTAGGCCAGTGATTCATCGGGAGTGGTCCGCACAAACGGGTAGAAAATTCGAAATATTCCTTTCAAGCATGAAATTCGGCGGCAGGGATCTCCGGCCGGATGCTCCCAACGGCATTGAAGTCCAATAATAAACCCTCTACGTAAAGTTCGAGAGCTCGCTCAGGAACGTGCAGACGAGCCGCATTACCAGCACCATGTGGATCTCGAAGTACCGATCGAAGGTAGCTTCAAAGCCGAAGCGGCGGTCCATGACGTATTCACATAAGTTAGATGCACATTCTGCTCGCCTCGTCCGGGAAACGTTACAACTCTACATCGAGAGCGGCAAGACGAAGTAGATCGGGCTGAGCGAGTGTAGCATTGACTCCGACCACCCCCAGTGCAGCGTGCCCGGAGTGGACGAGAAGGTCGTCGCACACCAGGTGAATTTCAGCGTCTCCGAACCCGACATCGAATTCTAGCTTCGCCGCAGCTGCCCGGGAGCGTGGTGTATCAATTGACCACTTGGTCGAGATAGGTGGCCGCCGAGAGCCTGGTCTACCGCTGCAGTAACTTGACTGGCTCGCGCTCCGGATTGGCTTCTACCTTGCCTTGCACCAGGCCTTATCGACCGGGCGCTACGCAGTACAGATCACCCACAGACTTCGATGGCCGGGACCGTGACGTCTGCGCCTTCGTACCAAGTAGGTTCTCCCGTGCTTCACCGAGGGAGACTTCTACAAGACAGGAATCTGGCCACGGTGCTCGTCGACGCATTTCGCAGGGTCGCAGCGTGCGAGGTACGGCGCCACGCCGGGGTAGATGGCACTCGTCTGGATCCCAGTGGTCGAAGTCGAACATCCTGACTTCGTGCCCATTCCAGGCTCGAGCAGCGTCGCGCGGGTGGAAGGGACCGCCAAGGCAGCGGAGATTGCGCTGGATGCAGAGGACGTGGAAACACTCCGTGCTGCAGAGTCCGCAACTGACGTCCAGGGGACGCGCTATTCCCCGTAGTACCTGGCTAGAATGGCCGCAGATAGCATCCCCCTGGCCGAATGGACCATCGAAGGGCGAGCGTGCACGCCAATCTGTACATCAGTGGAAGCTGTACGACGTCACCGCGATGTCATCCTCCGATATGACGAGGATCACCGAGGGCCGGAAGAGTTAACGTTCAACAACGTTCACGCGCGAGCCGAGTATTCTCCAGATGCAGCAATGACATACGCTGCACACTAGGATGCGCCTGTACAGCCTACAAGCTACGTACGGTAGGGGACTATGGTACACATTATTACAGAGCATGCAGGGTGCCCGGGGATCGTCATTACGAGATGCAGCCAGAGCCCCGAGCAGATAGTGAGGAGTGCAGATGCGATGCGGGAGACCGATGAGAGAAGGGATGCGAGTGCCGGAGTATTGTACCTGCGATTACCCCAGAATATGCGTGCGATGAAGAACGGAAAGAGTGTTCGGATGAGCAAAGGGACGCGACATGGATGGTGAGAAACCAAGACAGGACGGAATGAGAGACAACACGAGCCCATGCAACGAAAACACGATTATCATACACTAGAACCAGAACGAAAAATGCGCGAAGAGGGAAAGTCGACGCCGACGACACTACCATCCTGCGTAGTGGTAGTCGTCCGCCCAACTCCGATTACGCGCGACGGCGCGCTGCTTGTGTTCATCCTTAGTCTCGTCCTCATCCCCACTCTTGCTTCCCGAGCCATTATTCCTCGGCTGGTCGTGGACGGCGGTGAGCGGGCGGAGGCCATTGCCGAGGAGACCATTGCGCCTGGGACCCATCATACTAGTCCTGCTTACCTGCCGTTCCCACAGCAAATTCCGACGCAGGCTCTCTGACAGTTCCGTCGAGAGCATCTGTCTGCGCGTCGTCCTCGGCGTCATGGGTGGCGCAGGCGCGGGCAAGTTATAAGGATGACCAAGAGGGATAGGTGCCGTCGCGATGCTAGGGATCTGAGGGCGGACGGACTGCGACGGCGGCGGCCCACGATCCGAATGTCGTCGCCGACTCGAATCCGCTAACGCAGCAAGCTTCTGTTGTGCCAAGCTGTGCGAGACCTGGAGACCATTGTCTGTCTCGCTATCCGTGTCCTCGTCCATCTCCGCGCTCTGCGGCTGCGGGCGGCCCTTCTGATGCGCAGTGTCCTTCGCCTTCACCGTGCTCGTACGCGCGCCGCCCGTCAACGGCGTCTGGCCACGACCGTCGCCGCCTGCGGGAGCGCGCCGAGCTCTTGCTTGTCTGCAGCGGGGGCGCCGCGCCCTGGCGCGCGAACTGGGTCATGTCCTGCGAAGAGAAGCCGCGGTAGGGTGGTTCGGCGGGAAGATGTTCGGGTCGGGTTCATCAGTGCGAGAGCAGGCCGGACTGGGTCCGCGGCAGATTCGTGTACGACCGCCGCGGCACCTTCGCGAACATGTCCCGCTGCCGCTGCGCTCCTCCGCTGCCTGCCTCAGCCGAGTCTCCTCACTCGTACGCGCCTTGCGCTGACGCTCCCGTTCGGACGCACTGTTCTCTGACGCCCACTCCGAGTCGTCTTCCGAGTCCGTCGTCTCATAGTCCGATGACTCTGTGACGACAATCCCGCGCCGCGGTGGCGCGGCAGCAACGGCGGGAGCCTTCGAGCTCTCGGGGTGGCGAGACTTGGGAGCAGGGGCGGGCTCTTCCTTGCACTTCGACGAACTGACCTGGAGCCGTTCGACGAGACCGAACCTATATTGAACGTCGTTTTCTTCGCCTCGCCGCCGTTCGCCGCTTTCCGCGCGCCGGCCGCGCGGGTTTGCACGTGCGTCTGCATCTGCGCGCGGTGAGGCGCCATCGGGCGCGCAGGTGCATGGCGGACCGGTTCCTTGCTCTTGCGCGCGTGGGCGCGCATCGTCGCGCGCTTCACGCCCGGCCCGCGTCCACTCCCACCCCCGCCGCCACCCCCGCATCCATCCGAACGTACCTGGCTGAGCTGGCTCGACGTCGCACTACTCGGACTCCTCCCGATGAGCTCGTCGCTGCGCGCATCCGTCTTGTGCGAGAGGCACGCGGAGATGCTGCTATGGCTGCCGGGCGAGTCTTGCTCCGGCGACGCGGCGCCCTGGAGGAAGAACAGTCTGTCGGACGGCTTCAGCGTCTCGTCGTTCCGTTCCTTCTGCTTCTGCTGCTGAGCGGGGAGGTCATGTGATGCGGGCGCGGGGGGTTGTGGGACAGCAGGCGCCTTCCGGGGAATGACAGGCTGTTGGACAGGAGGGATGGCAGATGACTGGTGAACGATCAAGGTCCGTGTGGGAGGCGGAGGAAGTAGGTGAGTCGGAGCTTGCGCCGGAGATGGGAGTGCGGGTGTTGTGCGAGGGGGCATCTGCGGGGTTGCGGGTGGTGTCGGATGCGGCGTCGGGTTGACCACGATAACCTTAGGGAAAGCGGGCGTCGCGGAGGGGGGCGTGCTGGGAGTTTGGACAGAAACGACAGGTCGTGAGGGCACGCGGGGGGAGGTCTCCGATAGTAGCGCGGCCCGCGGGTGAACAGCGGGCTTGGCCGCCTGTCTCCTCTCGCTCGGAACGAGGTCGAGCTTCCCGGGCAGGATGTCGATGATCAGGCGGCCGATATGAACGACCTGTTGCGTTGGGCGGTGTGCTGGGACACTGGCGCTGCTCAGGCGGCGATTTGTGGTCAGTACGTCCAGTCTGGACATATCACCGTGCCACGAGTGTGCCTGGATGTCGGGAACAGGTTGGAGCATGGATTGCGGAGACAGCGCTGGGTGAGCGGTCGAGGTCAGCGCCTGGTGTGTCCGAGGACGGAGGTTACATACCACGCTCATGAGCCTTCTCGTCGTCCTCTGATATGGGTGTGATAGGAGTTGGACTCCGCTGTTTCTCAGAGAAGGGCGGGGATAGGCTGCCTGGCGAGGTAAAGGTCTGCTGTGCAGCGATTTCGCGGTACCAGAGACGCCAGGAGATGTTTTCGAGCCGCCGGCCGTCCTTGAGGGACTCTTTGCACTTTGTGAACACTGCGTGCAGCACATGAGCTTTGTGGACGGGTGAACAAAGGCGACGACACTCACGAGCCCAGAGTCCAGAGAGGGCGTCCTCGCCTTCAAGCTCCCGGACGGCGTCGGCGGCGACCGAGAGGACGGGTGAGGGGAGTTGCGAGATCATCGCGGTGCGCAAATAGAGCGCGACTAAAAGTACAGGTATGGTGAAGGAAAGAGGAAGAAAGGGCAGCAGACGGCTGCGGTGGGGCTCGATACGAGAGGGCCGTGGAAAGTTGAATGAAGTTCGTCCGGGCGGCGGCGGGCGTGGCTGAGTGCGGCAGGGGGTAAGCCGATGAGCCTGCTGCCGCGGGGTACGCGATTAGGCGACAAGGACGGTCAGGCACGGGGGGCCGCTGGAGGGGCTGGGCCGCGGGGGGGTGCGCGGGGCGGCGGGGGTGATGGGAGGGGCGATGCGGGCGAGATGGAGGAGAGGACGGCGTCGAGGGAGCTCGGGCGGGCGTGAAACCTGCTCGTCGCCGACATTTCAGGCCCCCTCCTGCCACGGCCCGGCTTCCGCAACAGGCGAACGCCCACAATCACGCTCCCCGTCGCCCGTTGCCGTGTCACGCTGCTTCCCCTTCCGGCCACTCATCTCGGCCGCTCGGCGCGCGCCTCCCCCGACGGACCCTGCTCGCTGAGGCGCGGGCTGAGGCCGGGTCATGTGGCCGTCCCCGCATTCCCCTCCGCTGCGTCCTGCCACGCCGCTCCCCATGACCAGCCTCGCGCCCCGCCTCGATGCCTCCTTCTCCTCCTCATCTCCATGCCGCCCCGCCTTCCAACAAGCACAGCATGAACACTTCGCCGCCATCTCCGTCCGCGACACCGCGCCACAACCACTGACCTGCACCTGACTGCGTCTGTACGGCACCCGGCGCACTAAGGCATGCTCCTGGAGTATTGCCATTCAATCACCCCGGGGCCGTGCTGCAACCATCGTCCGCGTATGCGCTCGCGAATGAATTGCATCACGACGACCCTCGTTGCCAATCCCCGCGAACGTGAGCGCCGCATTCAGCCCGTTCCCCGCATCCGCCCGGAGGCTGCGTTTCACTTTCAATCTTGTTCGCCGTCCGCGCGCTCGCCCCTTGCCGTGACATCGAGCTTCGTGGCGGGTAGCGCGACCCTGGCGCTCTCCCAGTGCTGCTTACATACAGACATACTTACTCGGCGGACGCCAGAGCTTCCTTGAACTTCGCGCGTGCTATCAATCGAGTAAAGAAACCAGCAATCCGTGTTCCCTTACACGCAAGCTCACCCGCCTGCCAAATGCGCAAGCCTCCGCTCCCATGGCGTGCTGCACCACGATAGCGGCTGTGGCCTCTGTCGTTCTGCGACTTATCTGTACGTACGAGGCCGACCGTGCGTCGTTCGCTAAGCCTGAGGGCTCGGGGTTGCAGAGGAAAGAAGACACGTTGAGAGCCTTGAGGCGTACGGAGAAAACGTTCAGCAGGGAGCAAGGTACCGCTAGGGGTGCAAAGTTACCGCAGGCTAGGTCCTACATCCTACTTTCGGCCAGCACTACTTGTGAGTGATGCGTCTGTGCGTCGTGTTCTATGCTGTAGGTATGTAGCTATCTGCCTCAAGGTCTACTATCTTTACGATATGTCTTTCGGCGGGCCGACTGTCAGTAAGACCTCTGTCGCATCCGCCACAGGCCGCAAGTCGCGGCTACCAACAGGTTTGGCATGATCCGCAACGCGAGTCTGTCCAGTTCCAGTGCGAGCGTCGATGACCCACGCCTCCTCCGCCTCTCCCGCCGATCCGCAATCCAGCATCGCACGACGCAATCTCACAAGTCGCCAACAGTGAATCTGATCGCCGAGATCCCTACCCACCCCATACGCACCCGGGCCCGCTGTTCCAGGCCAGGCCCGCACGCGTCCGAGAGAATCCGAGTCGCTCCTGCAGGCAGCAGTTCTCCATCAGTTCCACTGGTACTTCAAGGCCACCCGCCGGCACGCAGCACGCTAGCCTTCTCCGACCAAGCCGCACTCTCGCTTTTGCCGGTCTATTTCTGTGGCCATGTTTCCCCCGTTCAGACCGCACCCCTTGCGGAGGCCAGGGCACTCGCAAAAATAGTGACAGTACGGGTAATACTACCGTAGGTACTAAGCACCCTGACGGTAGCGTGGCTGGCCGCGGGCGCATTGGCGATGCCATTCGCGACACAGGCGCACCGTTCCTGTCCGAGTCAGAGCCGTGTTCACTGCCATACAGCTAAGTTACTGCAGCACTGAAACCCAAGCAGTGCAATCAGTGCGCTGGGCGGCAACACTGACAACCGGGACGACGTCGCTTGTGCGCGCATGCGCGCGTGGCCGTTCGAACGCGAAGCGTTGAATTCGAAGACGAGGGCGCAGGCGAAGGCGCACACGCTGTCTCTGCGGATCAGACTTACGGCACTGGCGCTGGCGGGCCACAAGCGCAGGCCCATAGGCGAAGGTGGACGCGTGCGCGCACGGCCCGCGGTCGTTGATTTTTTTGTTGACGCGGACGATTTGACACAGTGGACGGGACTTGCATGTAGGCATCCCCAATAATTACGAGGTTGCCGACATTATTCGACATGCAATCCCTGCGCATGTCACATCTTGACATGGGCACAGTCAAGGCACAGTATCATTGCGCGAGACCCACCGGTCCCAGAGTCTGAGTCCCTCGCTCAAAGGGCGGCCCATCAGCTGCACAGGTACGTGGCTCGCTGAACGGATCGGTAACGTTGACGATACAGACCCGGTGCGGCCGCTGCGATCACGTCCTCCGAGGATGTTGCGCTGCCGCCCCTCAGGCCTCAGGCAGGCTAGGCGATGCGTCCGGGGCGTGGTCTCCTCCGGTACGTGAACTGCACGGCGAGGCGTCTGGGCATTCCACGCTCATACTCGGCGGTACAGCATGAGTATCTGGTGAAGCGTGCAGCGCGCAGTGCTGAAGAGGAACACGAGTATAACGCCGTCCGTGACCGGGCCACTCCTTGCCCCCGCCCGTTGCGTGCTATTGCGGACTTGCGACATGGGAAGCCCATTGGCAACCTGGCGCACAACAGCCTCCGTCCGATTCGCCCTTCACGCAGACTTCTCCAGGGACCACTATGCAGAATAGGTAAGCGCCACTAGAGGACTAGGATACCGGCAGGGCGTCTTAGCACTGGCACTGGCAGGCCGGGAGTGAGAAGCTTGAAGCTTAAACCAGCTCGTCGGTCATTCCAGCGGAGTAGGTACTGAACTTCTCTGAATCAGCAGGGCCTGTCATGGACTATACTGCCCCCAGGTCGAGGTTGATTGACGCGGCTGGTCGCGGGCTGAGTGCATCTTTATGGCACGCTCGCGACATTCAAGTCCTGGCGGCTGAAGGATGCGGGCCTTCGAGCTTCCCTGCACGTCGACCGCTAGCATACGCAATATGCACGAATGGCGAAGTGCGCATATGAGGTGCGGCTGTACCGCGCTGGCCTTCTCATCCTCGGACCCTCGAACTCCCGCGCCTTCGCACCCTCGAATTCTCAAGACCTGCATCCGCCGAGCTAGCTGCACAAGTCTAATCCCGACTACCTCCTTCTCCTTCTCCGCCCGGCGCGCCTTCGAGTTCTCAACGACGCCACCGTGACCTAGGACACCTCGCGCTGCGATTATTACCGTACCTCCGCATCCCTCAGCCTGAGCCCGTGCGAACGCGAGTCCGAGTCGACTCGATGGACGAGCGCAATACCGCGCAGACACCCCGCGAATCGCGAATCCCGCTACTGGATGCCACTCAGAACTCACGCGCACGATCAAGGTGCACGATCAAGGTACACCAGTCAATTGCAGTAAGACCAATATTGTCGTACTCCTGCCAATGGGCCTAGACTATCGCCACGGGGCAAGTTGAAGCTCCCGTGCAAGGGAGACTCACAGCGAGGCTATCACGGTGGCACATACTACAGTACATACAGCTTGGCCATGCCCACGTCCTACATACCTACAGTACAGGCAGGCCTGTCCCTATAGCCAGAAGCCAGACGCCACAAGGCTGCTCACCTACATCCCTGCGTGCCACCGACGTCCCGATCCGGAAACGACGCTGCAACGCGCGCGTGCGAGGCGCAGAGAGAAGACCGACCCGTGTAATCAGCTCCTACGGGACCGGGCGAGCGTACAATCGCGAAGAGGAGGAGCCACGACCGAAGCTCCCCAGGCCTGTCTGATACAGTGCCACGACAGTTCAAACCTCCCCCGAAGGCATACACATGTACCGATCGCTCGACTGCATGCACACTGGCACACGCGCCACACCCACCCGCCTCGGAGCCCGAGCCCTCCCGCACGTCCAAGTGGCGCGCGCAGGCCTTCTAGCACAGAGTACGTACGGCACCGACGCAGCAGACACGATCCCCCTTCCATCGTAACGACACCGCGCGAGCTTCTTCCCAGGCCGGTACAGTAGGTAAGGTAAGCAGGGTCCATTAGAATACACGTCGACCGGTGTCAGCCAGGTTCCATACCAAGCACTCCGCTGCCGTACGCGTACAGTCGTCATTAATCTAGGCAGGAGCTCTACTCCACACGAAGCACGTCTATGCACACTCTACAGTACACACTAATATGATACAACAATAACATTACACCTACGCGGGCGCGTACCTCGAGGATGATACGTTTTGGGACACAAAGGGAACTGACCAAGTAGGCAGTCCAAGCTCCATAAATGGTCTAACAACACCGCCGAAGCCGCGGAGCTCTGTGTACGTCCTGCGGCACGATAATTCGCACACGGCTCGCAGCGCCCGCCCGAACGGGCAAGCCACCAGCTGCACGCTGCACCTGCCTGCATGACCCGCCCAGTGGCGCGGAAACGGCGACGGCGACGTTACGACATACGACGCCAATGCTCCGCCGTCGCCACCACGGCGCCACTGCCAGAGGCCGTCGCGTAGCGCGCGCGGCACGCCGAAACAGGCACCGCAGCTTCCATACCTGCCCGCGCCTGGCGACGAGGAGCCGCCGCCACGACGCATGCGGGTGCACGCATGGAAGGATCCCGTCAAGAGGCACGCTGCACGGACACGGGCATGGACGTCTGGCATGCGGCTGGAGTTTTGGGTTACGCCACGCGCGAAGGTGGCGACCGGAGATGGAGCGGAGGATCGTCGGCTCGGAATGGGGGACCCTGGAGGGCACTATAGGTGGTTGAGGCGGTTTAGAGTACAGGGATGTACAGCAGCTTGAGCTGGGGTATATGGGTGGGTCGGCCGGAGGGATATCGATGAGGTACTTTTGGTGGGAGACGCGCGTAGCGTTCGTCGGAGAAGCGAAGGGACGGGCGACCTATTGCATCACGGCATGAGCGCTCTCGACATCCATGTCCACTCGCTGCGAACACGCACAATGGTCTCGGGCGCAAGCGCGACGAGAGTGCGCGACTACGGTCAATGCGCGTTGCCCGCCGGCGGGGGGTCCTGTGCCGGCTCGGGCTGGGTCACGATCGTGCACGTTCCCTTCTCGAGGTGATACTTGAGCCCGTTGGGGTTGAGGTACGCCTGTTCGCACGTCCGTCAGCTAAGCCCTCCGACATGCACGGCGCATCGTGCCGGCACAATGAGATTCACCAACCTTAGAGCAGCCCGGTCGCTACGTTGCCACCGGAACACGAGAAGCGGGACGGGGGCGTCAGCGATCGGGGCGAGGGAGGGCAGGCGAGCAGAAGGGACTCACGGGACACTTGTACGCCTTCTCGCGCTCGCGCGAGCGCCGCTTCTTCTGCGTCTCGGCGTGTGGCACGGGCTGGATGTTGGGATGGGGGCCCGTGCCCAGGAGCTGAGCCTTGGCCTTGGACGCCCTGTGCTTTGCGGGCGCCGGTGCGGACTTGGGATGCGCAGGGCGCTGATCTTTGTGGCGTCCGATCGCGGCATCGCGCGGCGTGAGGACGTCTGGGGGGAGCGGCGGGTGGACGGTGAGGAGGGAGGGCGGGAGGCACATGGGCTCGCTGGGATTTGGCGAGGGGAGCGTGGAGCTGGAGGAGGCGGAGTCGGAGGTGCCGTCGGAGAAGTCGTGCTCGAGGCCGTCTAGGGTGGGGTACAAGTGGCCGTGGGTGGTGGACGCGAAGGGGGAGGACGCGCCGAAGAGGGAGCTGGGCTCTGCGGGGGGGTCGGGCTGCGGGTAGCTGAGGATGAGGGGCGAACATGTCGGGCGGCCGTCCTGGCCGAGGACGAGGACGTGGTGTTCCTCAAAGTGGTCGACGAGGGCGTGGAGGTCGGGGAGGGACAGCCCGCAACACGCGTAGTCGCAGCACTGGGAACGAACGTGAGCTATGTAGGTAGGTAAGGACGCGACATGCAGACGCACGATGTCGTGTTGGGTAGGGTCGGAGGGCGGCGGTGGCGTAGCGGCGGAGGGCTCGTCGAGGGACGAGAAGCTGTAGGGGGGTGAGTGAGCGGAGACGGAGGAGGGAAAGACGACGCACTCGAAGATGTCGTTCCAGGTGAGCTGGGCCATGTGGGGGGAGTGTGACGGGTGAAGGGGCGGGGGCGAGCGCGCGGCGGGCGGGGGCATCGCGTGTGATATACGAGGGAGGACGGCGCGCCTAGAACGCGTCCTCGACGCAGATTTCTCGGGCGCCCACGCGCGAATGAAAGAAGGCAAGCACACGGACGCCTCGCTCTCCGCGTGTGTCCTCGGCCGCGTCTTCGGCTTCGCTGGTGCGTGCGGGCGGGGACAGCGGATGGGCAGAACGGGCGGCGGACGGCGATCGGGGTGACAGCGGGCGAGCGAGGTGGCGACGGAGACAGCGATCAGCGACGGCGAGTCCAGGCGGGCTGCCAGTGGCCCCGTATATGTACGTCGGCTGTCCCTGGGCCGCCTCGTGGAGTGGGTGCATATGGTCGTCGCCCATCAGTCTCAGAATTGGTTCGGAATCGCTCACCGCCACCACGGCCCACGGCCCAGCCGCCCATGACGAGCCCTTGCCTCTCCTCGCCGCATCTCCAACACCCCCCGCCGCTGCCTCCCCACGGCCGCCACCAGCGGACGCCCACTGCCAGCCCCAGTCTGCCGACGCGTTTCACCTCTCCTCCTGGCGCAACGGCATCCCCCTGGCCGTGATGGGCCCCGCGCTGTTGGCACGTAAAAGCACGTAACGTTCAGGTAACGTTCCTCCTGGCGGCTCTTCTGCCAGCAAGCGCACTTGCCGTTGCGCTCTTCCACCGAACCTTCCACGCTCGCGATGCGTTAGAGTTGGAGTGCCCAGGCATGCTCGGAGTCGGATATGGCAGCGTATGATTGCATCCTATCAACCGATGATGTCGACGCTGTCGGAAGGATTGATTCCCCCGAAGCGGGATCGATTCGAGGAGCTCGCGCCAAGAACGCGATCAGGTGATCCATCTCAGATCGCATCTCTACCAGACGACGCGATCCCTTGAACGACCGGAGCAGCAGCGTCGTGCCAAATGCATATGTGCGGGCATCGCTCAGCCCGTCAAGCAGCAGGAGCTCGCGGAATTGGATCAATGACATTCGAGTACATCAACAGATTGCTTCCAACGACCGAGACATTGTTCCTGATGGTGCAGACTAGTGATAGTAAGTACTGTCCTCCCTAGATCACACGTCCATCACACTGCATTCAATCAAACTGTCTTAGATGACCAAGAATGAAAGCAGAGCACAACTAGACTACTCAAACATCCTCCGGGCCGACTGATTCGGGAAAGGCGAAGGACGGAGGTGGGGACGGCCTAGAATGGCACGAGTGTTCAAGCTGCCTCGTCGGGTTGTTCATCCCGCTAACACCTCGCTCAGGTGCCCCACCCGCACAAACCGTGATCAGTGCGTACGCCATCGTTCGCACAGGGCAACCGCTCATCGGAAGTTGCTCGGTGGACTATGCCCCATCGCCAGCGCATTACCTATCCCATGACGACGTACATCGCGTAGGGTCGACACAACTCCCTCGCGTGGCGGGTCTTGGTATGACACTAGCACATCGCGCCCGCCTTTTTGGCACCTCCGCGAACAGCGAGGCGTACATCTGCGGGACGTACAGCACGCAGAACATGCCGTGCGCCCGCAGTGTCCGCCGATGGGCTCCCCACGCCTGGCGGGTGGTCGCGGTGGTTGCGGGACGGCCCGCGCGAGGGACCACTGGACTCCACTTGGAGGTTCGGGGACTGGTAAGGCTTTCTCGAATTGGGTCTCATGATACTGCAGCGAACGTGAGTGATTAGTGGTGTGCAAGTGGATGCGCAGTATTGTCATATTCATTTTATGGGACTTATTGAGGAACAAGATTGAGTTCGGCGACTGGCCTTTAGTGCGATGGCAGCATGAACTCATGAACTGTCAGCCGACGTACCAGTAAGTATGTGCAATTACTATATGGAATCTCGCGACAGCAGCCTCGAATCAGAACTGTGACGACGCGATCGAGTAGACACCGGTAAGTACAAAAAAAAAAAAAAAAAAAAAAAAAAAAAAAAAAAAAAAAATGTCAGCGCCTGCGAGAACGGTGACACGGTGAGTAGACTACATCGCCTCCTTCGGGTCAATCCCGCTCGCAGTTCCTGATGATACCTCGCTTCAGTGCGAGACGAAATATCGGTTTCACCGTGGTTCATAGGGTATACGGAACGAATGACCACTTCAGATTCACCGCTGCGCGATACAAGTACAAGTGAAGGTAATGGTAACGGCAACACTATTCATCTTTCAAGTGCCCGACAGGCCCGCGACGTGGTAGTTTTCCATATCATCGGCGAAGTCCTCTGGCCACTGCGCAGCCATCCGGACGAAGTCGACACCATGTGTTGCCTTGTGCAGCGAGACATACATCGTTTGGAAGAAGTTCTATAGCAAGCACTTAGTGACGAGTTGTATGGCTCATCCTTCGCACTTACCAACCCAAACACGCCGTGGTCGCAAGACGCGCGTTGCGGAAAGATCAAACCCTCCATAGGTCGATCAATGTAATTGATGTCATGCTGGTAGAAGAACGTCTCGAATGGCCCGTAGATCTTGACGGTTTTGCCGTTCTCGCCTTCAAACTCATACGCAACCTGGATCTTTCGCTCGCCCATCCACTGAGGGACTCTGTACGTGTTTAGCTTGACTCCTGCCTCGGGGGGTTTGATCATGTTATCTGCCCGGACCAGTTTGTCGTTGATCTGCTGGACAAACGGGAGAGGAAGCCTTGTGACGCTAGCACCTGAGATACAGAGTGCGTTGAAACTATAGTATCAGATTTGTAAAGGGCTCGGACCACATACCAGTATCGAGCAGCATACGCAAGCCATTAGGATTTTGATCGTCCACGAAGTTCAGGATGGTTTCTGCATAAACACGCTCGGAGTCCAAGTCGGGACGACGCAGTCCGAGTCGACAGGCATGAACTTCATAGACTTCATGTGTATTGCCCATTGCTTTCTGTTGGGATGCCGATCGCAAACGACGATCTTCTGCTCGCTCCACTGCGGCTCCTTTCGGCAAGGCCAGGTGTTGAAGGACATCCACGATGTCTATTTGTTATCCTAGTCATGGCCATGTGTCACACAAAGCTAAGGGTCAATGACCGCTTACATTGGGTACCCATTGGAGGGCCGTCGAGGTAATATTCGGGCGCCAAGCGGAGGGCAAGGTACATCGCAATCTTCTCACCGCGCCGCTGTTGCACTTTGAGTGCTCATCGGAAGCGAAATTGCTGTACTCACAGAAGCCGGGATTCGCTTGAGTCTGCCAATAAAACCTCCAGGAAAGTCTGTGGTATGGGTATTCGTGAGACGGGTCGATGAGCTGTGTCGTGCATGGACAATTGTGATGGCTTACGGGAGGTCGTCGATGCCTCCGTGGAAGCTCGAGTCATAGCCCACTGAAATCTATAATGCAGCAACTACTAAGCCTAGTTCAAGGGCGAATGCAATGGATATACGCTTACTGTGCCAACCCAAGCCGAGAATTCCATCAGCGGGATCGTAAAGCAGGCCATATTAACAGCAAAAGCAGCTCCAAATGACCAATTGAAGGACATCTGATGTGCTTGTTCGTTGTCGCAATCATGGCAATAGAGTATGCATTTCCTTCCCGGTTCCAGAAGACCCAGCTCTATGAATTGAACGGTGCATTGGCCGAAGGTTGTTTCCGTAAAGGAAGCAACTCACGAGCAACACTACCATCCACAAAACGAATCTGTCCAATAAGCCGACTGTTCCAACTGATCATTGGTGAGTGTTGGTTGGAATGGGTGTCGAATGTAGGTATGCACGGAGCTTCGTCAAGTCTAAGCGGGCCACTGCGAACGTGCTTGCATTTCGTTATCTTCTAATGGCTGACGCGACCTCCAGAGGTATTCCCCAGAACAAAGCTGTCGAGAGATCGGCAATTTTAGCGCAAAGCTCAAAGGAACTGCCCTATACCTACGTATCATCACAGGCTGGAGTCAATGTATTTGTGAGCATCTGGACGTACATCCTGGAAATCAAGGACTCACCAAGGTCAATGAGAAGGTGGAAAGTCTGAGAACTTGGGTTGCCTCCCTCTTCAAGTATTTCCTTAACACTGTCATCGGCGATCACACAACTGTCGCATGCATTCGAGAGAACGTACAATTGACACAGAGTAGCCTTGAGCTATGTTCATCCATCAGCCCACGTGGTAGATACAACTACTGAATACACGTACACTGCAAACACATTGTGGGGTTTGAGGCAGAAATTTGACCTCAGTTGCTGCACCTTTAGCAGACTGACCACCAAGACGGTAGGCGCTGCCGCCTCTGGAGATAGATGCCCGCTCTCTGTCGGAAAAGTGATGCATACTATCGGAGGGTTCAGTTTTGCCGATTGGGAAGTGAGAGGTATGGGGCGAATCCTGGCAGCACTCTAAGTCAACTGCTGGGCCTGTAGACGTGGATTACGAAGGCACACTCACCATAGGTGTGTGCAGACCCGGAGTGGAAGGATCTGGACTGGGTAAACCCGAAGATGACAGGTCCGATAACTCGGCATCTGCGCCGTAGTCAAGATCAAGTGTAGTTTGACCATGGGTTGTTACTATGCTTAACCCTCGGGAGTCCGAGGGTTGGGTGTCATGAGAGGCATCAGAAGTAGTCTCGTCATGATTCCTCCACATCGCCTGAATTGTGGTATGGGTAAGGAAGCTGTAAGTTGAACGAAGGCGACATACGTACACGGTCATAGGCAGATGTAAACGCAGGAGGTTTCAGCTCCAGCGCGATTGCTGAGACATCGTCATCACGAGCGCTCTCGTTCACGGTGTTGTCACAGTCAGTGCTCGGGAAACAAGGATCAGCCATTGGTTTAGAAAACAGTTGGGCAATGGACTGAGTCCGGCTCGACTCTGTGTTCGTTGGGCTTTTGTAACGTAGCTCGATGGAACCCCTGACACTGCATTGACACGGGCAGCTGGCTGATATCTTCGTACATCCCAGGCGGCTAAGCAAGAAATCCAGCCAAGGACTTCTTCAGGCCCACTCCGATAACACGTTGGCGTGACGGCTTGATCCACATGCAAATGGTAGGCTCCCTGCAGCGCCCAATGACTTCTTGCACGCTCATCGCGGCCTAGAAAGAAGAATACAGTACACGCAAGTACCCTAGAAGCATGGTCAATCGATTAAACCACTGTTCTCAATGCGTGAATCTTACCGTAACCTGCTCTCTTCAGATGAGTATTCACATACACGTGCCTCCTGACAAGATACGAATTATTAGCACAACAAGAAAGCCCAGCATTGTGGAAACATTCCGAGCTTCTTGAAAGACGGCATGCAGATCGGCGAGGTAAGCAAGGCTTCTGTCATCGATGAGCAAGACAAGGAACTTCTCACGACATTATCCGCCGACACAACGAGGGGTTGTTAGAACAAATGCGTACATTAGGGCCCAGCAGTCCAGCTGCGGATCCATAAGTTCTTTGCGTCGATTCAGTGGGCGGTGAGCAACACGTGTAACTTACCCTCATGTTCCACCTGTTCCTAGAAGAGCGGTAAATACATCGATCGGAAGTTCCAAAAACCTGCCAAGGCATGATGAGGCAATACTGCTGCACAGGAGATCGAGGGACGGACTCGGAAGATATTGACACGAGTTGTCAGTAATCGCCCGGGCGGCCTTTGGACATTCTCTGCGGCGGTGTGTCACCTATGTAGTACTAGAGGTAGAATGTGGCAAAGCGCGCTCCGTGAATCATATTATGACTGTGTTGTTCCACTTAGAATTGGAGTTGCGGGTTCATCGCTTCCGGTAGTGAGCAAGAAGGAAAATATCGTCAGACCCAATACCACCTATGTATATAGCATTAGCCATACAATTGCTACCCAGCCACCAAGCCGACGTACGAATATTACTGCCCTCCGCATACCGCAGCTGCCTGCTCACACACACACACCGGGAAGCGTGCCGCCGCCCGAGCAGAATGCTATTGACTTGAGGTATGCGGATGTTCAGAGAATGAGCTCGACGAAGGGTGCCGCATGCTACAGCTGCGCTGGTGGCGGCAGTGCTCTGCCAGTAGTTCCGGGTAGTCCTGACATTACGCTGATGTGATCCACTTCAATAATTGCGAGTAGGACGCCCGCCGTGCTGCGGATGGCTACGAACGTGCTGCTTCGAGTGGTCGACATTTGTCCCCGTTTAATACGAATGGCCAGAGTAACCTGCTGTGGATCTGTGGATCTATGTATTCCAGTTTGGAAATCAGTACTTCAGATTGCCGACCGCCAAACGGTCAAAATCCAGCAAAGAAGCGCACCATTACATATCTAGTAGACGAGCTTACATAGCATCGGAAGAATTATACTTAGATATAACGCATCTGCACTCCCTATAAGGGAATGTCAGTATTTGGAAGGACGTTACGATCAGTGGGGATGCTTACTTTACCACCTTCTGGATCCATTTCCACTCGCGGTCCCTTGATGTCTTGCTCCTGTACGAGACGAAATAGTATCCAAGTTGCGCCACGAAGGTCTTGTCGCAACAACCATAACTTGAGGTTCCGGTGTGCAAGCGTACTTGCCAAAATGGCTGCGGTTTGCTGGAGCGTCGCAAGGTACGTATTGGCGCAGTGATTCGGCGCCACTGACGTAACTTGGAAAGCTTCCGTAGCCTCGAGTTCAAGGTGAACTCGGAGTGTAAGCAAATTTGGGAGCTCCGCTGGCCGCAGAGCGATGTCATTCTGTGTCGGGATGGTTGATAGTTACTCACGAGCACAACGGTTGGACAACGGTTAGGCAACTCACAAGAGTGACGTTATCACCACCGAGTGATTGAAAGCGATGGATTTCCAAAGTTGTCAGCTGAGAGAACCTTCGGGCTACGCAACGCCAAAGTTCATCTTCTGCATCATCCGCACGGTATTCGAGGAGGAGGTGGTCAAGATGTGGCGCGTTGATCTTGGTGAGAATCTCCAGCATCTCCGAAGCGCATAGTATAGGGGATTGAGTGTACGGCAATCGGTGTGGCTCCCATAGATAGAAGCAATGGTGTGGGGTGCATCGCAGTGACAAGCGTCGCATTGACAGGGGGAGGTGGGGATATATCTGATCATCAGGGCTCGGGAACGAGACAGTCAGATCGTCGAGGTCCGGCCAGGGGAATCGTGCTTCGTGATCCTGCGGCCACAGGTGTAGGACCTGTCTGTTGACACTCTCGGGTATGGCGAGTTCCAGTTTTAAGACCCGTAAGCTAGGCATTCCGGAAAAGAGGGAGACGAACGGACGATGGGAATCCGGGCTCGGGCGAAGCTCACCATTCAGATGAAGTTCACGTAGTCGGGGCCACTCGTTGTCCGAGAGGATCGCGAAGGGCGTAACCTCGTTGGGGAGCATAAGGGACTCGAGAGTATGCCGCAACTCCTTGATGGCCAAACCCAAAGCGACCTCCTGGGATGGGTACTTGCGAAGCTCCCTGCGGAAGACGTGATGCACGAATCGGAATGCAGTGATCGGGGCAAGAGAGTGAACACTGGTAGCCACAGGAGGCTGACGCGGATTGAATAGGTAGGACTGAAGCGTGAAACTGCGGAGCAATGGAGTCGAAAGGATGGCTGCGAGGGTATCCCATCCTATCCCGTGTATCTCCCGACAATGGAAGGACAGGTGTACCAAGCGCAAACGAGGCATGGCCGGCAGCGTAATCCTGAGGAACGCAGGGTCCATGGTGCCACATAGCAACGGATCGCTGGTGAAGCGGGGTACAGTGGACGACCTGGGTAGCCAAGCTCGCATCGCAATTCTGTCCGGGCACTCGTCTATCAAAAACAGACAGCTACACAAGTTGGACGGTCAGGTTGTAATGCGAGACTGTAGGTTGTTCGACAAACCATACGTAGGGCCATAAGGATTGTGGAAGAAACCGCTCTGCGCTGATCGGTTCCTTCACGATAACAGAGCAGCTCTTGAAAAGCACGGGTTTAGTTTCTGTTCGCACCCATCCGCATGTCATGGACAACGGACGCAGGCCACCATTGGGCCGTAGGTACTCGAATACTTGCAGTAGGACATCTGTGTTCAGGTGGCGGAAGCTATGGCAGTCTGAGAATCAGATAAGAGACTCCTCCAGCTGTCAGTGCAACTTACGCGACAACCTCGCGCGTCATTTTCACAACACTCGAGTCGTGAATCAGGCCTTCAGCTTCAGGCCTCAGGCTCAGGAATGATGACACGAGAGTCAAACGTCCAACGTTCGAGCGTTCAGAATTTCAGGCTTAATCAAGTTCAAGCTGTGACGCCGCGCCAGGAGGGTGGGAGACTCCGCTAGTACACTGTAGTAAGCGCCGATGCCATCAGACCTTCAAGCTTCAAGTTGTGCCTTCCAACGTAACGACAGCATGGAAACCGATTCAACACCCTCGAGCTGCTAGTCTAGACTGTGTCTGTTCACTCGCTAACGCACTATTTAACAGTCTATAGATCTTGGAGTATAAATGCAACAAAACATGACACGACATGACGACGTTCTTCCACACAGATCAGAGACAGATTCACGAGGGCGCGGGCTAGGAATGGGGCTGGAAAGACGATGCTGGGAGGAAGGACTGGGGAAATCACTGACAGGATACAGGTCGGTATCGATACAATTAAGGCTGGCGCGTTGACCGCCAACGCAAATACAGTAGCTAGTCTCGATGTCTTCGTCTTCGCCCAAACATATCTCACCACGGTAGGGTGTACGCCTCTCTATGATGCACCGGGCCGCGGGTGCTGTTGCCCCATAGGGTTATTCATCGTGCTGATATACGTGCCCCAATCGTCCCACCTGCACAAAAACCAATCAGCACGTAGGTTGCCATCCACGCAGGAGGACCACTCACTGGAAGTCGCTCGGCGCAGTACTCCACATCGCCAACGTATTGTCTGCAAACGTCTCCTGCCCCTGTGTCCCCTGCCCAGACCCCGACTGTCCTCCCTGCCCTGGTGCGCCCTGCCCCGGCGGCGCGCTCATGGCGCCCATGCCAAGGGCGCCGGGAAGATTCTGCGGACCCGTATACGTCGCAGGCATACTCACATTTGTGAACAGCGAGTCGTACACCTGCGGGTCCTCCAGCGCGCTGAACATGCTCGCGATCCCGACGCATCCAGCCCGCCCGCCATGTCCGCCGACGGGCTCCCCTCGTTCGACGGCCCTGCTGCTGATTGTACTTGAGCATCTGACGGCGGCTGCGCGGAGGGCCGGGCATCGTCGAGAGGCCGCTCGGTCCTGCGGTGGGGGCGTCGAACCAGCTGCTCTCAGGGCGGAGGAGACCTGTGTTGACGGCCCCGGCAGCTCGAGACCATAGAAGACATGGTGAACCCGTGCAGCGGCAGCCGCCCGAGCTCATCACTGTGAATGGGGAGCACGAAGGTGTTCGTGTCGGCACTCGCATTCGCGGGGTCGGCGACGCCCATCGGGCTCGGGACGTCCGTCGGCGTGAACATGGATTGCTGCATGGCTGTTGGCATAGGCTCGCGGCGGTGGCAGTGAGGCCGGCGGTGTCGCGCGAGACGCGTCGTGAGCCAGCGAAAGTGCGATGAGTCGGGTCTAACGAGGACGATGCGCCGGGGGTTGCGGAGGTCAGGCTCCCATTGGGACCGGGTGACGGCTCCGAGCGTGGACTGTCCGAGTCTCGGTCGCGCTTGTTGTTCGGCGGCGTATTTTGCGGAAGAGGAAGGTCACCGACATAGGCGAGTTCATACAGGATGTCCCTGAAAAATCCCGGTCACATCAGATACCCGGTGTAGATGATTGCAACGAGTCTTACCATAATCGACCTGCCGTATGCCATCTAGACAACATCATGAGAACCAGCAGACGCAGATGAGACATCGAGATGAGTGAGGCTCACCGTGGCTCGAGCATCTTGAGCATTTTCATGCACTTGTGCACATCCGCCATCTCCTTCTGCGCGTCTGTGGAGAGTCCGCTTCGTTTGCCGCCCCATATGTTGAGCAGTAACACGATTCCACAAGTGAACATCGGCACCTGCAGGGATCGGCCGATGTCAGCCAGACTGCTTCAAACTCGACCAATGGATCAGTGGACGCACCTGGTTGTGTGGCAGAGGTGCCCCTGTCCTCCGGCACTGCACATCCATGACATGTGTGCAGCTCCGCGCCGCGTTCGTGCATATGGCCAAACTGGGGAAGCTGAGGGGAGAGGGTTTGCGCGGGGAGGGGATAACGGTCGGTGCACGGAGATCTGGAGCTGATAGTAGGACGCGTAGAGGTTGGCAGACTGGTTGAGGAAGGTGAGGTCTTCTCGGTTCGGGTCCCACCGCACTGCAGCGAACGTGAGCGACGAAGGGCGAACGGCGACAGTGTGGACGCACGGTGGTCAGGTACGGAATCAATCCACTTGTTGAGGGCAGAGTCGAGCTCAGCGACTATATGCTGTTCCCATTGCTGCCCCACAAACCCAAGCAGAGCTTTACTCTTGTTGATAGAGTACTGTAAGTAGCGCCGATCAGCTATAATGTCCCTGCGTTACGCCCTAACCAGCGATCAACTCACAATTGTGCGCAAGGCAAACGCGAGGATCTGGTTCAATCTGAGGAAGCAGTTGAAGAATGTCACCAGACTAGGCTTGCTGGGAGGCTGCTTCCACGCGAGCTCCGGATCATCGTTCTCCCAGTACTCGTCGTCGCACTCAATCGGCAGATCCAGATCAAAACTGGCTCGATCGTCGACAGAATAGTTGCGTCAGAAACGTGACAAGCGCTGACAGTAATGACGAGACTCACTCTTCATCTTGTATTGCGCATGGTCGCCCGAGCACGGAGGAGATAGAGCGGTCCATGGAGACGAGCACCCTAAAGCCGAAGAAGTTCACTCGGTATTGTGCAACCCCGCGAAAGAGCTACGTACCAGAATGCGCGCTTCCACAGCTCTTCCTCGATCGTTGGCTTCGCGTTGTACACTTTCTTGCGGTGTGCGCCCACATCTTGCGCCATGCGGATGCCCACGCCGATCAGTGTCCAACTGGCCTGTGGCGCCGACGATCCTTGCAGGAAGATCGCTGTCAACTGCACGACACGTCAATCGCCGATGGACTTCGTATGCCGTCACGGCCGGACTACTCACACAGTAGACCTGCAGGTCGTACAGCCTCGGCGGGGCGAGCATGCTCTGCCGGATCATCTGCACCTGCTTGAACCACTCCCACCCGCTGCTCAGCCGGTTGTCCGGGTAGTTAGAGAGACACACGCGGGGGTCGTCCGTGTACCGCGCACCGATCGCGCACACGAGCAGGACCGTGCTGCCGAAGCCGACGTCCTCGAGGTGGAGGCCCTTGTGGATGTTTCGCTCGAACGTCGGGCGGTGCAGGAGGGGCGTGAACGGCTGGACCTCCTTGAAGTACAGGTCGATCAGGAGGAACATGAGGCTCTCGTCGGGGAAGTCGGACTGCTTGTGCGGGCGCGGGAGCTCCTGGAGCTGCGCGGCGAGCCACTGCATGGCCGGGTCGTAACACGTGTGAGCGTGCGGTCCGGTGCGGCGCAAGGGTTCATAGTTGGAACGCGAGATGAGAAGGGATCGGGGAGAGGTAGGACGCGAGATGAGAAGGGAGGGGGGAGACGGGGAACGCGGACTCGGACGCACCGGATGCAGGCTCCTGAAGGCTTTCCGCCGCGCACCCTCGAGCAACGCAGGCATGCTCTGTTCTTTCCGCTCTGGGGTAGGTTTACCAGAGTACTCCCGCTTAAGGTCCATCGCAGTCTGCACGAACATAATGCTGCTGCTCTTCCCGAAGAATCGCATAGCGGTCGGATTTAATTTAATCTGTTGTAGGCTGTTGATCAGGGTTTGATGTGCCATAACTTCGTCATCGGATGGTTCGAGGTCGTCAGGGTTCGTGGGGTGTACAGGCGGGTGGGCGGCCATGGATGACTGTGGTGCGAGACACGAGGAAGGTCCTGCGCGCGCTGCTCTATCTCCGCCCGCACGGGTCTCTGCAAGCCAAGCTTCTTTGTCGAATCTGCCGCCGAGCTCTTTGGAGAAATCGGCGTCGGGACACAGCTAATCTTGGCCATGTGTAGTGAGCAACAGAGAACTTGCGAGGGAACACGCTGCGTGCCTTCTTCAATAGACCTTCCATCTTCTCCAGACGGGATTCTAGACTCTCAACGTACCCTTTCGGAGGTCCGCGTTTCTGGTATAGAAGTCAGCGTTAACATAGTGTCCAAGTCTGCCCATGCGATACTGTTTGAATCTGACAGTACGGGAGAGGGGCGGAACGAGCCTTTACGAGAACGACAATCATACTCAACGCGCATACAGTGGGTCAATGTCCTCGTAGGATCTGAAGGGTTTCATAGGGGCAATGGCAGAATATGCAGTCCTTCGGTGGTGCGCAAGCTCATACAGCAAAGCTGCCCGGCATTTCGCGAAGTGGGCCGGCGCGTTAAGTCTCCAATTGCCATATATATGCGCGCTCGCTGACACCACCGGTGGTCTGCTGAAATGACAAGTGCGAAGTGGTTGAGACGCGTCCAAGCAGCTGGCCTCAGAGGTTGCGAGACCGACTCGGGACAATTTGAAATTGGGAGAAGCGGGGGAGCGACGGAAGGCTGTGTGATGCTCACCTTGGCTGCCTCCATGTACGTACACTCGTAATTGTAGGTGGTGCAATTGGAGCACTTGCTATCTGGCATTGCCGCGCCATCGCCTTGCGGGTGGCTGGTGAGCACGGCGTGCTGAACGGAGAGCTTATTTAGAGCTTACATCGTACTAGATGATACGTACGTCAGTCTCGTGGGACAAGTACGAGAAAGGTAGAACGCACTCTTCTTGCGTCTGCATACATCGCACGCGCGCTGGACTCTCCTCTTCTTCGCGTTCTGGGATGCAGAGTCGTTCGGCTCGTCCTCCTGGGAAGACATGCCGCGAGTAGGGCGTGACGGTCACACAAATATGAAAAGCGATGCGTCCGGGGTTCGAGGGGCCGAACAAGGCACACGCGGTATGATGTACGCGACAGACAGGGACAAGGACGGGTCGACGAGAGGGGCGTCTGCGAGCTGGGAGGAGACTCTTAACCGCGGCGGAATCACTGAACGCGCGTGAAGGCGGCAGCAGAGCGCCGCAGAGGCGCCCAAGAGGCTGACATGCCTTATTCAGCACACCCAGCCACCGATCAACCATCTCAGATCCTCGTCTACCCGCCACCTCAGCCTGCTCGCGTGCATCCTGGCCTCCCCTCTGCTGCGCAATCTAGGACAGGCGGCGACCAGCACTTCTGGAATTGGTCCAAGTCGTGTTATTTGGACACGTCTGGCGACCCGTTCTTCACGCGATTGGCCAAGGTAGCGTCACTCGCGACCGAAACCCCTATGCGCACAGTCGGAGCGACTCACCGGAGAGACGCAATACCATATTACAAGGCTACCGCGGTCTTCTGGCATCAGTCGTTTGGAATACCGTTCCTCCAACGAATTTGTATATGCTGGTGAGTACTCTGCGATTTCACATGCGATCCTCCAGGCCAACGCCCTCCGTCACTCCCCAATCCCCAACGCCTTGAATGATCGCACCACTTCCGTCTCTCTCCGTCTGCATGGAGGATCGCTTGCATTTGACGGCCACCCTTCTTCAGCTTCAGTATGGATCGAACTCCGATCCTTATCGCCGCCAGTACGTACGCATGCCCCTCACATTTCTCCCATTCCTTCGGGACTCGGGAGCGATAGTATGCATTGCCTCGACGCTTGTCTGAGACAGTGACAGACTGATCACGGTTAGCTAGACACGCCGTACCGTGCGCAGTCTACTGAGATACCGTTCTCATGCGGATTGCTGTGCTTCGTGCAGCCTTCCCGTGTCTTCCATGACACGGAAACTCAGCGGCAACTACCTACGATCTTCGCTATCAACATCGAACCATCGGTGCATTCGGAGTTGTTCCTTTACGACACAAGCAAACGGCATGTGTTTGTTTTTGAGCCCACACCTTTGTTTCCACCTGAAGCTTGAAGCCTGGTACATGCGGCCCCTATGGTGAGCGTACGTATCGCGTCCTGACAATGCATGAACTACTAAAAACATACCCTCCGGCTCCAGTGTTCACCAATGTTTCAGGGATGCTGGGTCCCTCTGCAATTCGAAGAATGTCAATGCCTATGACCCCCCTCCTGAATCCTCGCGCAATCCAATTTTATGGTAGCTTCTGCCGATTCCTGCAGCGATCGAGGCGTTGCCACAAAAGAGGGTCTTCATTGAGTGCTTCTGAGTAATACAGAAGTATCCAACGAAAGACTCAACCATAACTCGGGAATCACGGGCTGATGTGGGCTCCGAGGGAGATTCTCGAATGTTGGTACGAGTCGTACGACGCGTCAGAACAAACACCGTCGGACCGCCCTCGTAGTAGAACATTGCAGCATCGCGACTCAACGCACAGCGCAAGCACTTCCGTCCCAGCAACGGCCGCAGCGAACGGCGATGTCAGACGGTTACACTCCTTCGTGTGGTTCGGATCCAGCACCCTTCTACGCTTCTTGAACCTTGTACGGCGGTGGTAATGAAACCCGCAGTGGGTTCACGCTACGGTACATGTGTACGGGTCACGTAAGTGGGAGCCTCGAGGAGTGTCCATTGACTTGACCCAAATCCAGAACGTGGCTGGCTTATTCGTGGCCGACGGTCGTACCTTTTGTCTGGCGTGCTCTGCCTGCTTGATGGTTGTTTTTGGAGTACAAAGCTACTTCGCGAAGGCAACGTAGCTAGGAGGTACGTATCGTTCTGAACACAGCTTCAGGTCGAATCAAATAATGACGTACTCGCTAGATAGATTTTCTGCCATCGACCCCCTATATACAGGAAGCACATGGAATCTATCATACGTAGGCGCAGAAACATTATTGGTGCACGACAACAACACGGCGAACTGCATGGGAAACGCACACATCGCATCGATCGCATCCACCCGCCGTTCCACTCTACACAGCAGCCCGCAGCTGTACGGCGAGCGTGGTCTCGGCAGCTGTCGCGTTCTCGAGTCACTCGATGCTGCGCGATAGCGGGACCGAGACGAAGTCAAAGTGCTCCGCGAGGATCCACGCGGGCGCAATCCGCCGTGGCGCCGTGCCTGGTGGTGACGCCGCGGAACTTGAGGCTGTCGACGAGGGCGAAATTCCTGGCCTCTATCAGGTAAGTTCTCGTCAGGCAAGCGGGGCAGCCGATGCGGCGGATGCCTTCCGACGAGGAGGAGGAGGAGGAGGAGGGTGGGTCTATTTGGGGAAGTCATTACGTGACTTGAACCCGGGAAGAGTGAGTGAGTCATTTTCTTTTTTTTGATCTGAGTGGTAGTCAAGTGGCCCCGGTGGTTCATGCTTACCTGCCCGTAATTATCCGTAGGGGAGCCTGCTCAACGTTATTGATCGATATCGATGGTATTAGACGACGACGGACACTCCCGACCCCGACCCCCGCGCCGTCGCAGCTATTCCGCTGGTTTCGATCTCGAGCAAGAGTGGGTGGTATTCCACCCGACAAGCGACGACCTTTTCGCCTACACTCGGAACGCTCCTCACGACTGAAGATCCCTCAGGGTACCACATGCGTCCTTCTCAAACCTATAAGTACTTATCTCACTCTGCACGGACCGGAACTCGCGAACTCTGTTGACTCTCTGTGTTTATTCTCTTGTGACTTTGTCCGCGTCGCTTTTTCGTTGTGGACTTTGCTGTGCGTGGTGTATTGTACGCATCGTATTTGTGAAGTGTGTTATGTGTTTGTGGTTATCCTGAGCGGGACGTGCACGGTGGTTTGGGCGAGGAACGGATGTGGACTCGTAGTTTGAAGCTTGAAAGTGATCGAAGGATCGAAGGGTACGCGCTACACGTGCACGTGACGCCCTGGTGATGGATGGCACTGGCAGGCCCTCCTCTGCAGCTGGCAGTGCGCATATATACATACAGCCTTAGGAGATCTCCTGGTGCACTCGCGTCCTTCGATCTTGTTTTCCGTTGGCTATAACCTCAAGATCGATACCACCTTCAAGGTGTCGCCCTCTCAACTTCCGCTCAGAAGTGTCAAAGTGATGCGTCGCGCGTTTCTTGATCTACAGGCCTAATAGGCTAGCCACTCTCAGCCGTGCGTGAACACGGAAACCCGCCGAGCCAAGTGGAATACTTATACTTGCCAGACGTACACGCCGCCCCATCGCAGTGCGCTTAGATAGACTGCTTTTCGTTCTTGAAGTGTATGTACGTTCGATAGCCCTTGATGTACCGTTGACTTTCGCTGAACTGTCGTGAAGCAGGCTAGAAGGGTCGGTGCCTTATGGGTATTGATTACTGACTGCGCTCTATGGAACGTCGCACGACCGAGCCATCTGCCACTGGCAATGGCGTCGTGTTGGAAAGCGTGCATCCGAGTTCTGACGGAACTGCCACGGAGGACGCTCGTCGTCGCTCTTTGTATTGACCCTACTGGCAGTAAGACCTGCTTGCACTGAGACCGGACAGTGAGAATCTCCAGCGTCATCTTCCATGTCTTCTGAACTTCTGGTTTTAGATCTCATGTCAGACACTGGAGCTCGAGGTGGGCAGAATTGCGGACGGAGTCGTGGGCATAGACTCCAGGCGGCGCACCCTGTGATGGTGCACGTTACACAGAAGCTGAACCTAAAGACGGGCAGGATGTCGCCCACTTATAGCATGCCTGCGGTCTACTCTCATCGTCCGAGCCAACGCAGAAGGTCGCCGAATCCTTCGAGATGATAGTCTCGCTGCTCGCTGCCGTGTTTCTCTCCTTCGTGCTTCTCTTCTTCAAGTACAAGGACACCCCTGCGACGAAGACTGCCACCGGGGCCTTCTGGCATCCCTCTATTTGGAAACCTGCTTCAGCTGCCTGCTTTGCGACCGCACCCCAAGGTTAGACTATCATACCCCGCACTTCCATGCTCACTGACACATAATACTAGTAGCTTCTCACATGGGCCTCCGACTACGGAGAGATTTTCCACTCAAGCTGGGCGGTCAGGATGTCGTCGTCCTGAACACACCCGAAGTGCGGATGAGCTACTGATACGGCGCAGCAACAACTACTCCAGTCGAGCGGTGCCGCATGTCGCTCATGAACTTCTTCGCGATGGGCTTGGGATCACGTTCATGGAGTATGGCTCTTCGTGGAGGGTGCGTTATGACTGGTTCTGTTACGGTATTTATTGACGGGAGTTTTTCCGCACGCAGGCACTCCGGAAAGCCCTGCAGGGCGCGCTCGGTCCCAGCCCCGCGAAGCAGCTCCGTCAAACACAGGAATACGAATCACGCGTCCTCCTGTATGACCTGCTGTGCCACGGCGACAGCAGTGTCATGGAAGACGGCAGGTTGGATCCCCATGGAGAGGGCCACTGGTATGCGCCCGTCCGGCGATATGTGAGTGCTCTCGTCTGCCACCTGGTGACGTCAGTATCATGTAAAGTATTTCCAGGCGACAAGTGTCACTCTGTTTTCGATCTACGGCAAGCGATCCAATCGATTTCGGGACAATCCGAACCTGTAGGTCGCCTTTCTATGTCTATGGATGTGCGTCCCATCATAATATTCTGAACATCAGCCACGTCATATACGACATCGTTGACAATTTCACACGGATGTCGCAACCTGGAAACTATCTGTGGGTATTAGCTTGGTATCGGAGAGCGCATATCATAATAAGGAGGCTGACACCCGGCACACAGGGCGGACGGTTCCCATTGCTACGCAAGCTGCCGGATTTCTTGGCGCCATGGCGGGTCAAAGCTCGTACACTGCATTTACGGTCGGTTTCTGTTCACCGGTCATATACTCTGTCTTATAATACTCGGTAGGGAAAAACGGCTGTGGGAAGGTCTCGTCGAAGACTGCAAAGCAGATATGCAAAACGGCGAAGATCGGAGTGGGTTCGTCAATTCGTACCTGAATGCCCGTGCCAGAGCAGGTCAAGAGAACGCCCCAGGAAAAGGATTTACAGAGGGCGAATGGATGCAAGACAAGTTTCTTGCTTTTGGGGCGGGTTCCGTCCTGGAGGCAGGTTCGGATACCACTGCCATGAGCATAGCGACGTTCGTGCTCTACATGTTGAATCACCCACAAGTCCTGCGGAAGGCGCGAGACGAGATAGATTCTGTGGTCGGGACGGAACGTATGCCGGATTTTGACGATGAAGAACGGTTGCCCTACTTCGTAGCCTGCGTCAAAGAGACCATGAGGCACCGCCCTCTCGCTCCCCTAGGCATGTTCAGTTCGTCGGGTTCTTCCATGAGAGCCGTCACTCAATGCTAGTAGGTATCCCGCACGCAACGATGGAAGACGACTTCTACAAAGACTACTACATACCGAAAGGATGTACAGTGATCGGAAACATATGGGCTATACACAGGGATCCCGAACGCTTCTACAACCCAACGGCGTTCATGCCAGAGAGGTTCTACGAGGAAGGCAGGCCGACGCGCTGGGGGAGCGGACCAGTCTCGCAGGATCGCGACCAGTACGACGCATCCTTCCCTCGCCCCACGTCGATCTAACACATCTTCGATAGCTACAGTTTCGGCTGGGGCCGCCGCTTCTGCCAGGGCAGCCACGTCGCACAGGCGTCGCTGTTCATCACCCTCTCCCGCCTGATATGGGGCATCGACTTCTCCGCCCCACTCGATCCAAAGACGCAGCGACCGATCGTACCAGATATCGCGAACGAGGAGGCTACGTGGAGCGAGGGCTTCGTGAGCATACCGTACCCGTTCAAGGTCAGGTTCGCGGCGCGGTCGGAGAAGCACGCCGGGTTGATTCGCAGCCAATTCGATGCCGTGCAGGTGAGTGGCGGAGGATGAGGTTGGACGTTGACGAGCGGTGATGCTAGAATTGTGCTGATATCTGGACTTGCGACGCTGTAGTGGGTGCAGACACCGTCTGCGCTGAACTATGTATGTCAATTTTCGTCGTAATTTCAATCGTTTTGTAGAAATCCACCATGACGGTTGGTAATGCTCGCAGCCGGCAGTCATGGCATCGTGCAATCGTACCTCTGAGCAGCAGACACTGCCACGCCTGATCAAACATGACAAAACATTGGTTTCGGATGTGTTCATAATACATGACTTGAGCGAGGCCGTCATTGCTTGGGCTTGAGATGATGACAAATTGACTGAAACATATTCGATACAGCTTGATACGACGAGACGCATATACTATGGGGAGCGGACGACCATCGTCAGAACGGTTACATGACAGGATCCGTCGCACGCACCTTATGGTCTTCGTTTTTGTTGCTTCAACAGCTCTCCCTATGCACGTTGTGCTTGATTCCACGAGCTGCACATGCATACATAGGGCAGACGACGAGTAGGAGAGTCCCTCCAACACGGTCATGAACCCACGGCGCCGAGCCTGAACGCGTGTACCTCATCAAGGCCACCGCCCAATCCGCGTCCCGGCATCCGCGCACCGACATATGCACCCAGCACCCTCCAACAACGACGCCACAGAACACCCGAGCGGCATGAGGCTTTCCACCCGATTTGCTCGGCACGACCAGCCGCGTCATGGCCCGTACCACCAGGTTCGATCTGGGTGAAGCTCCAGCAGAGAGTGAAGACGATGAGCCCCACTGCGGCACCACCGATGCTGCTCACACAGAGGATCGTGTCCCGGTTCGAGCTTCTATATGGTTCCCGCGAGATGAGGAAGATATAGCCTGCGGAGGTGCAGACTAGGGCGGAGGTGCCGGAGAGCAGGCAGTAGACGATGCCGTGCGCGATGTAGTCTACCAGGGCGAGGGCGCATGCCCATAGAAATTTTGGGAGTTTATTGACGGACGAGTCCTAGCGCGAGCTTCGCCCGCGCTGCGGTCCAAGGCGGGCTCGTGCCGCGGAGCGGCACTGAGTGCTGGGTGTCGACCGACGGCCCCGGCGGGGAATAGGCGGGTGGTGCAGGAACATCATCCCAAGTGGGATGCCTGCCAGTGAAGGAAGGGAGCGAGGGTGTGGCGTACGATTGGGAGGGCGACAGGGCGACGGAGGCGAACATGAGGGACTCGGAGACGTACGAAACGTATTGCACGGAGGTGCGCGCAGACGGCAGGTAGTCCTTGTGTACCGTCATGGCTGCACTGTGAGGCCCGCAACTTCAGTTCAAGTTGGCGGCACCGACTGAGGGGTTCATGTACCGTGGGTGGCTGACACGGTCCGACTATGGCTATGACGCTGTGAGAACACGAGGATGTTACACGTACCTTTGGGGCCGAGGTTCTGCGGACGGCCGGTGGTCGGGCTTCGAGAGCGAGTGCGCCATCGACGGAAGAAGGCATGGTACAACTGCTTAATGGAAATCGTAAATGGGGTGCATCCGCTTACTTTGGGCATGCTGATCAGTTGCAAAGGTACTAGAACGGTGCCTCGAGGACGGGAGATCAGACGTGAGGCCCTATCCATGGCCGCTGTCCTTGGGTTGCAATACAGTTCAACGAGGCTATGTAGAGCGGCCCGTGAGGCGAGAACATGGGAGTGGATGGGATTAGTTCGATCGATGAAGGAAGACGATATGGTGCTACGTACCATCCCTAAAAGTTTTGGGCGAAGAGCCAGACCGTGGTCTTCGCCACGTCGTGCGGTTTATCGCGCTGAGCATCAGTACCATTCTCGGGCTTCCTGTACGCCCACAGGCACCCACAACAGATCTTGAGCTGACCCGAGCACCAGTACGATTCGCTTGATACCTGGATCAAGCTGAGTTGGTCTCCACATTCCGGGTACGCATCACGAGCGCACTCCGCAAGCTATGGCTTTTGCCCTTGGCTAGCCGTTGATATTCACCTACTGATTCAGGGTACTTGTGCAGTACCGGCTCGCGACGAAGTACTATCTGCCATCAGACCTTCATTGAAGCACCCTGCGCATGACCCGTCTTCGTATTGCAGATCGGAGAGCTTGTTACAAGGTTAGACTCACCAGTTGCAAACGCGAGAACCAGCAACTTGAACCTCTCGCACTTGCTGTGAGGGTGCCAACAACTCTTATGCTCTATCGATGCGACAGTAATGAGTGGAGGCGGATAGGTATTCCTGAAGGTGTTTCTATCATTCAAGTTCTAGTCAACCTTTGAGTCCACTGTCGGACTCGGAGGAGGGCAGGAAGAGGCCCAGATAAGATCTTAGATACGATCGCTCGCGCTACCAAACACGGCGGTGGTGGCGCGTGCCGTGAGGCGAGGACGCGCTCCAGAGCGCGCTGCGCATCATCGCTCCCGTTCAACTTCCGCGCGTGCTCTCCCTGCGCTGTAACGACTTACGACCACCTACTATCCTTATTCCTGACGTTAACTGTATGAACACACCTCTGTGCTATTGTGTACATGCGCATCCTCCTACAACGATGGCTGGTCGTCCTCGCGCTCGCGCGTGAGTTCTGTACCGCGTACTCGCCCAGCCAAGGTAAGCACAAGTTCAACTAGTCGATCAGTTGTTGTCTTATAAGACGTGTAGATGGGGCCAATCCGTCGCCGTAGTCGATGATGTGCTCTTCGTTCAGGGCGGCAGGACGGACCAGTATAACGAATACTCATATTCCTCCGCACCACCCGTGAACGACATGCTCGCTCTCCCCCTCACCTCTTCTTTTTCCCTCTCCTCTGTACCATGGGACTATGTCTCTGGCTGCTCAAACTGCTCTTCATCACAAGGTCCCGCTGTCGCATGGCATACTCTGTCCCCACTCAACACGTCGTCCCTGCTTGTCTTTGGCGGTGACCTAGGCCCCAACTCTCTATCACCCTGCCCGAAGAGGCCAATTCAGCTTCTTTTGTCAACATCGCGAGCATCACAAAGCCAGTATGGAGCATCGAGGCCGAGAGTTGGGCTGAGGAGCCGCTGCGAAGGATGTACCACTCCGCGTCCGCCACTGGAGGCAAGGTATACATTATCGGTGGCCAGAAGACCGATGGCTCTGGCAACGCGTTTTCGACGCACTACGCGTTCGACCCCAGTGGGCCATCGTTCACTCAGCTGCCTTCAACCAACGGCCCACCTGCTATCTATGGCCACGCTTCTATCGTCCTGTCTGACGGGCGTTTGATCGTGTTCGGCGGCTACAACGCGAACAGCAGCGAACTGATACCTTTTACCACCATATGGTCGCTCTGCACGACATGCACCAACCCAAGCTGGAGCACCGTCAATGTCAAGTCGTCCAGCGCACCGAGTGGCCGCCGTGGCTTCGCTGCAGCACTCGTAGATGGCGGAAAGATTGTAATCCAGGGCGGCGCGGATGCGAGCATGCAAACTGTGTATAGTGATGGTTATATCTTGGATACTACGCAGGATCCCATGGAATGGAGTGAAGCCAGTGCATTGTCTCAACTCGGGGTCCGACGGGATCATTTCGCCGTCGGGCTCGGGTCGTACGTGCTTTTCGGATTTGGTGCGTCATACTATTCCTTGCTCCATTTCGACTGCATGCTGACACGTACTCTGTGCATTACTCAGGCTACCAGTCCAACGGGCCCGCGTCAGCCGACCTCTTCTTCTTCGACTCTTCTAAGGGTACGTTCGCTTCTCCATACAGCCCACCTGGCGCCGTGACCTCTCCCACGACTACCACCCTGTCCGGACCCAGGCCGACATACACAACGGTCACCAACTCCGGTACGGGGCCTAGTCAAGGGTCTGGTTCGGCCACTGGTACATCTGGAGGCAGCGGTTCCGCTGGTTCCGCCAACCCCACGTCCACGGGAGGCGGTAGCGGGGACGGTAATGGCAACGGGAACGGGTCAGGCTCGGGCTCGGGGTCTGGCTCAGGGAGTGGAACCCCCGCAAGCGATTCCTCGTCGGGCAACCACCACGTTACCATCGCACTCGGCACGATCTTCGGTGTCCTGGGTCTTCTTGTCGGGACCTCCGCGGCGGTGTGGTACTACAGGCGCTCGCACTCGCAGGACAGCTTCCACCAGCTCGCCGGCACGGGAGACACGGACGACTTCGATGGGGATCTGCCCATGGCGGGCGGGTCCAGGGAGAAGCCGCTCCCGCACCATCCCGTCATGCAGACCGTCAAGAACAAGTTAGGCTCGATCGTCCCTGGCTTGGCTGCCACCGCCATCCCGCCCAACACGCGCCGGGACATACTCGCAGATGAGGACACGCGTCACTTTGACCCGTCGTATAGTGCTGGCGTCCGGAGGGACACGAGCACCGGTGGCTCGTCCTGGAGCTCGCGCGGGGCTGGTGGCAGGCGGCCGACGTGGGGCAGCGTGATGCATGGGAGCCTGGCGTCGCTACGCACTGTGGGCGGCGCGATGTTTGACTATGCGGCGGGCCATCGGACGTATGGCGCGAGGCGGGAAGGGAGCGGGGCGAGCTCGTGGTGGGAGAAGGGGACGTACTCTGACGGGCCCAGCGCTGCTCTTATGGGCGCCGCCGCTGTCAAACCCACAGGCCGAGAGGGGGAGGCACCCGTCTGGCGCGACGATGTCCAGCTCGCAGTACGATGACCCGTTCGCTGACTATGAGGTGGAGAGCTTCACGCTCCCCCGGAGTACCTCGACTCGGACGACGACGACGACGATCTCGAGAAGGGGTTGTCTGACTTAGACCTGACCGACCCACCCCCACTTCCATACGCATACGTTCGCCCGCCACAGGCAGCGTTCGGCACTGTAGACCTCACGCGACTCTCGCCCGTCTCAGAGCAGCTATCGATACCCACCCTCTCCCGCACGTCTGCCTCAGATACCTCACATGGCTCGCACGCGACGTCGCCTACGCCGATCAACAACACCTCGCACACCTCGCACAGCGGTACCTTGGTTCAAGAGCCCTCACGCAGCTCGCACGACCCCCGTCCCACGCGCCCGACATCGATCATCGACGCGAACCCGACCTCGGAGCCGATGCGCCGGTCCAACTCATGGTGGCTGCGTTTCGCGAAGACGCCGCTACTCGACCGCCGCCTGAGCGACGCGAGCCGCGGGCGGCGAGGGAGCAGCAGTAGCGGACTCATCGACATCCGCGACCCGCAGTCGCACCCACCGCGGCTCGCGCTCATCGAGGAGTCTGGCGACTCGCAAACGCACTCGCACACCCACTCAGGCTCTGGCGGGGACGGCAGGCGGGGCGGCATGTACGCGAGCACGACGCACGGGCGGTCCGCGTCGTCGCTGCAGACGGCGAAGACGGCGGACTCGGAGATGGTCGAGAAGATGGGGCGCACGATGGACATCGTCCAGAAGGGCACGGTGAGCAGCCACTCGAGCGGGCCGAGCATGGCGAGCGTCGACGAGGGCACGGGCGGCCCCGAGCGCGAGTCTGCGTCGCGCAAGACGTCGCTCACGCCGACCATCCTCGAGGACGGCGCGAGTCCGACGGAGGTGGGCCTCCGCGGCGTCGTCGCGAGCCCAGCTGAGATGAGCGGGGCGGAGGCGGCGCGCACGGGCTTCTTCCCGGCGCCGCCGGTGTCGCCGCGCGCGAGTCCGCCGCGGCGGCCGACGGTTGGCCAGGTCGCCGCGAGGGTGCAGCTGTACGAGCGGCGGATGTCGGTCGCGGAGGGCGATGCGCCGGCTCGCGCGAAAAAGGACCGGTCGAGCGTGTACACGGTTGCGCCGAAGATGCCGCTGTTTGTCGCGAATCCTGACCATCGACAAGGCGGGTCGGGAGACTCTGGGAGCACGTCGTGATCTGCGTGATCCTGCTCTTCGCCGTCGTCCGGGTGCGGACGATGTGCGACTCGGAGGCGGGTTCTGTTCTCCCGTCTCCGTAGACTACTGGGGATACATACATACCATATGGACTTGCGTCTGCGCGGACAGTTGTTCTAATGACCCTTGCTTCTGCTTCTGTATTTTTTTCCTCTGCGTTCACGCTTACGATTCACGACTACTGACGACTTCTTGCTTCATTTTCGCATTTACGAGTAGGTAGCATCACGACGAGCCATGTGTTGTTCAAATTTGTACCGCTATTGTTACAGTGTAGCTGAAGCTTTTCTTCTTTACGAAGACAAATATATCCTAAGGCGTATGTCCACGGAGCTTCCTCGCAGCCGAGACTCGCCGTACGTTCGGTGAGAAGGTCCGGAAGATGTGTAGTATGATTCCGGTACCGGTATGCTTTGAAATCCTATCTTCTTTGTCTTAGAAAGCGTCTTAGTGAGCATAGTGAGCATAATAGTGATGTGTGGGCTAACAATAACCTGCGTTTTTGAAATACCGTTGGTGTTGCAGAAGTTCACTGACGCGCTGGACCATTTAGGGCGATGCGGAAGCGCTGCAATATGTTTTCCGCGCCCGCCGGACCTTGAACAGCGTAAGCTGAGGGTGGAGATAGGCGCAGGCGATGGAACATCATGCTGTGTCCAGGCCGGGGACATGTCATTCACTGGTTTCACATTTCATACTACAATATGACCAGTGACAACAAGACATTGCGAGAAACAAATACGGGACAATCAGGAGGAATAGACAATGACGGCAGACACACAGATCGCGTCGCCACGGTAGACAATGGTCTCTGGGTGGTACAGCACTCCGCCTTGAGCGTGCGTGGCGCCCGTAACCTGAACCAATGCGTTGGCCCTCCAGATTGGTGGACAGAAAAAATGGATGGGCTCACGGAATCATATCCGGGGGGTGCCTGGGTGAGGTTGGTCGCGGCATGCTTCAAGAGGCACGTCCTGCCCACGGCGACATTGCTGAGCATAACCACACGGTTGTCGGTGCGCTTGTTGGTCGACTCCGCGTAAGTACTTGTGTGCCTCTGTTGCGCAGCGCTGTCGGCGAAGGCGTCGTCACGGCGAGTTTGTGGGGGAATACTTACTGGACGATGTCTTGGTGGTGTAGACGCCCTTGCCGAACATCATGCCATTCGCGCTGCCTGCGGACTAATAGAGTGGAGGTAAGTATGTTGCTACTGATGCGGTTGCCGCAGCTCTGCTGAGGTCAAACGAGCATTTGAGGATCGAACAGAGGTGGCAATCGTGGTCGTGGCAAGGCTCGGTCCAGTTGTGATGGTCCCCGGTACGGCATGTGCGTACCGTCCCATGGAACAGGTACTGTATATTTCCGACGCGGTTTCTAGCGATAGCCACCTGCCTTCAGCAATCAAGCAGACGCAGAACGATCGATCTACGAGTGCGCGCTGTTGGCAGCAAGATGTCGCTGGGCAGTCGGACCGAGGTGCTTCACGTAGAAGATGTGCTTGATATGCGGTCGAGAGTATTGTCCGCTATCCCAACCGTTGTGGAAAATGCGTGATACTGGAAGAACGGTCGTCAAACCCACATTGGCGCAGATCCAGATCACTCCTGACCTTCGTTGTAGAGAGGCTCGCCAGGCTGAGGTGCAAAAGTGATACGGCCATGGTCAATGAGTTTAACTATCAAGCAGGTTGAGCAGATGAGCTGCGAGGCGGTCGCCTTCCGTTAAGTACGACTATGCAGCCTGAGCTGTCTAAACCAGGTATTGCGCATGGCATGGTCATTCTGCGCATGGAAGTCGTTCAGTGTGGGACAGAACTCATGGCACGGCATTGAAGGCGAACATTCAGTGTGTAGGCAGAAACTCGGAGGATAATGTACAACTGCATCAACTGAAGCAGGCCATGGATATCAGCGGGGTGGCCTGAGCCTGCCAGTGTGTACCACATTCAGTAGAACCATGTCACATCCAGATGCACGAGCCTCCAGCGTTGTACACAAGAATGTATGTCTTCTACACACGTGATGGTCTTTCCAATGTCGTCCGTCTCCCGGGATCGCAAAGGGCTAGAAGCTCGTCACTGTCGACGTACCTCCCACAAAACAATGAAAGTCTCTGAACGGTGCCTGAAACAGCTGCAGTCGTGCAGCGCTGTCTGGAGTCCCTTCGCAGCAGGTCACGCCTAGTACTGGCTTGAAACTTCGGTGATTGCGCTGCAGTGGTGGCTGCGGGAACATTGTATCTGACAAGTGGGGCGCCCGGGATGGCCGACATCGCAGCGGAACATACGAACGCAATCGGTGGCACATTGGCGCCGTGGTGTTGGAGGTTCGAACGAGCGCGGGCTGATGGGCCCCTCCCGATTGCAAAATGGCCCGGGCACCACAGTCGCAGCTGTCGTGTCCACGCAATCTGCCTCCCTATCTTGGGCGTAGCGCTGCCCAGAAACACGCTGCAGCCGACCGACAGACGCATGGCGGGCGACGAGGCGATATACCTGGTCGTCGGGGCGACAAATATAGAGCGAGTACACCGGATGGAGCAGGAGGGGTGGCGGGGGGAGGTACAGGGTCCAGAGCCGGGGGGTCGGTAGGCTCAAATCGGATCTTGGAGGTCAGTTGGAGGTCAGCGAGCTGACCGGGGCGCAAGCGCCGGCAGCCGCAGGACGGGGATGCGCGGGCTGCTTACGACCAGGGCGGGACGTGATTCGCCATAATGAACGACGCGAAATTGACAGCTTCGTCCGTGGCGGAGCGCCCGCGAAGCAGCCTGAAGACGCCCCAAATCAGACGCCCCTGAAGTGTCATACGCGCTCCAGCCTACGCCTGCCCATAGCAAGTCTAGAGCCCTGCGCGAAGGCTGCCCGGCCATGCCACCACCACCGCACGAAGCTCCCTATCATGCCCATCACACCCTGCCGTTATCCTCATACTCGTGCAGCTGAAACGTGCGATCTGCGTGCTCGCTCTTCTCCTCGCCCTCCGGCGCTCACTCGCCTCCGAGGATGCATGCACATACTAGGCCTCCACATGCTTCCCAGACCGTACCGCACAGGGTCTCATGACATTCCTAATACATCAAGCACCAGTCGGATCCTGGCTGCTACACTTCAGCTTACTTACACCCCCCGAGACTTCGTCAGCATTGAGTACGCAGCGAGCTGTGGCTTACGCAGCCTCGATATCTGCGATGTACTTCTTCGATTCCTCGTCCCCAGACGCGTTGAGGATCTGCACAGCGCATCACGAATAGGATACAGTCAGTCAAGGCGCACGCCATACGCGCTCACGGTGGGAAACGTACCTCGAACAACTTCTCGACGTACTTGGTGCGGGCCTCATCCTGTGACGTGCCCTCCACCGACTTCCATGCGTCCCTGTAGCGGGAGCCCATGCATCAGCGCGTGCTGTTCGACGGGTTTACGGCGCAGACAGGTGTGGAGAAGCTCGGGCCCCATCAAGGGGATGCGATTCCGTGATCAATCGGCTCACCATTTCGCCTTGCCTACAAAATCAAGCATGCCCGGCCTGGACGTGTTCACGTCGCCCACCGTGGCTGCCCGACGGCATCAGTCAGAGTCCGTCAGCCATCAGTGTGGCACAGATGCGGCGCGCTGCGCACCTTGCTTGTAGTACTTGTAGAACTGCCGCCATCACGGATCCATCGTGAGCACGACAGCGGGCGCCGGGGTGAGACGATGGCGACCACTCACGAACAGCTGGTCGTCCTGGGTCGGCTTCACGGGCCCGTCCTTGGGCAGACCCTGGATGATCTGGACAGCTTTGTTGAACTTGGCTTCGGAGACGGACATGGTGGGCAGATGGCGGTGCGTGGGGTGTGGGATCAAGGTGGAGGTCGTCGCTTTGGGGCGAGATGGAAATCAGCTGCGAGTGGACTCGGGGATGGCCCGATATGTCGTGACGAGCGCAGAAGATGGGGACGATGGGGCGTCCATCGGTGCAGATCGCAGAGCCTGGCTCTGCCTGGCTGGGGAGACGGAGGACGACGCGCGCGCTGGGCAAACGAGCACTCTTTATGCTGCTGCGGGAAACGCTGGCCGCTTAGATGGGCCGCGTACACAGTGTGCGGGATTCGCGGGGAGCGGGCGAGTGGCGTCGAGATGGCGTCGATAATATATTCGAGATTTCCTGGGCACACAATCTTCCGCGCTCGATCCCCGGCGCGTCCCTGCGCATCGCACGGGCGACACCGAATCTCGCGTCCGCTGAGCGCGAATCGGCGGGCTGATGCGCCCCGGCGTTCCCGATCCGCGCGTCGCCGGGCAGCCACCCGCCGCGAGTGACGTCGTGCAGCCACCGGGTTGGGACTCCGCCAACTCCGCCGGCCGTGGCGGGGGCGCGCCGTGATGACCGGGGCGGGGACGGTGACGCCCGACGGGCCTGGCAACGGTACTGCTGCTGTTCGTTGTGACGCCCGACCCGTCATCACTGCACCCCACCGCCTCCCGCTCGCCCGCCACCCATGTCGACCACCCTCTCGCGCTCTGCGCCCCCGCCCTCCCACCAGGAGGTGACGCGCAAACTCTCCATGCACTCCAAGCCACCCCCAAAGGTCCGTCGCCTTGGCCGCGCCTTATCGCGCCGGCATCTGTCCCACACGGTGCCTATGTCACTCTATGCTGTGCTCACCGCCGTGTCCTCCAGAAATCCCTACAACCACCACCCGCATCCGATAGAGAGTCTGATTCGGAGGATATCGTCTTCCCAGAGTCGTCAAATAACGTCCCGAACGTCACCGTCACTGCATCCGCACTCGCGACCAGCCCCTCCTCGCAGCCGCCCGCCCTCTCAGCCATCGCAGAACGACGCGACGGGAGCGGGGAAGAATCAGAGGAGGATGAAGACGAGGGCGAGGGCGGCTGGCGGACCGCGGACGGAAAGAGGGCACAGCGTGGCTCGTATGACGAGACGGTACTTATGACAGGCTACCTATGGAAGAAGGGCGAAAGGAGGAAGGTACGTGTCATGTCGCGCTGTCAGTGCGCTCCTTCCTGACGAGTCGTTTGTCGTCGTGGCCCCGCCCGCAGACGTGGAAGCGGCGCTGGTTCGTGCTGCGCCCCGCGCACCTCGCGTTCTACAAGACCGACGCGGAGTACAAGCTCCTCCGTCTCCTCGATCTCAGCGATGTGCACACCTGCACACCCGTCGCGCTCAAGAAGCACTCCAACACGTTCGGGCTCGTCTCGCCCACGCGCACGTTCTACCTCTCCGCGGAGACATCCCTGGAGCTCGCGAGCTGGGTCAAGGCGATCAACGAGTCGCGGCAGGCCCTTCTCGCCACGAATGCCCAGGCCGCAGCCACTGCCCCGGTCCCCATACCGAGCTCTACCTCCAACCACCACGCGAAGCCGCTGCACTCCGCGCCGCCGATCGTGGCGTCATCACTCTCGCAGTCTCCCCTCGCACACCACCTTACCTCCTCTGACTCGGACGACGCGTCCCCGGCGCCCGTGAGACACGTCCAGGATCACTCCCCCTCCAAGCAGGCGGGGGCGACCAAGGAATCTCCAAAAGTCGTGTTGTCCGGCTATTTACTAAAGTGCGGCTCGCGGCGGCACAATTGGCACAAACGGTGGTTCGTCCTGAGCAGTGAGAAGCTCATGTATTCTCGGAGCCATATAGTGAGTTCTTCCGTGTGGCCGCTGAACTCTGTGCCACAAGCCTAGACGCCATTGCTAACATTGTCCGTGATGTGATTCTTCTGCCCGTGCTTCTCCCCGATCTGTCGCGTTACAACGCTGCACAGGATACGAAGCCTCACCGAGAGGTACCGCTGGCCCAGATCCTTGACGCACTCGAGTACGACCTCCCCCCGCACCGCAACGCACCAAGCAACGTGGTGGCCGGGAGCGCGTCCCCTCCGCAGCAATTCGCGGGCGTCGGCGACGGCGACAACGTGCACCGGCAACACACCTTCAAGATCGTGACGACGAAGCGAACACTGCTGGTCTGTGCGCCTAGCGAGGAGGAAGAGATCAAGTGGCTCAGTGCAGTACGTGCGCTCATCGCCCGACGATCGGGGGCTGGCGTCATGCCCGGGGATGCGACACCAGCGAAACTCTCCCCCGGGGCGCCCGCTGCTGGAGCTGGTCCGTCCGCGGAGGTTGCGGGGCATGCCCAGGGTACCCCGGGGAACGCGGTAGGCGCGGGGGCGAGCGCAAGCGCGGGGACGGGGAAACGCAGAGACTCGTTCGCCCGGCGGCTCAGCCTGAGTGGGCGGCCCGCACTGGGGGGCGTCGTGCTGCCGCAGGAAGCGGCATCTGAACGGCAATCTTGACGCGGCGGCTCGGAGGCTGTCGCGGACGGTGTAATGTGTTATTTGGCCGGCACAGCTTCGTATATCGTCGTATCTCGCGTTCTGCGGGATCGGGGACGCCCAAAAGGACGAAGGTGCGCGCGCGCGCCCGAGCGCGAGTGGGGGTTTATCATATCATGATTCCGTGGGTGGATTTTTGATTCCGTGTTGCTCGTGCGAGATGTACAGTAATCTGAATGGGTACTCTATACGATATGACCTGTAATGGGATAGCGCGGAGAAGCCTGGGATGGCGTCGACATTTGTCGTGCGTGGCTGGGCATCAAGGTTTGAATGGCAGGCCGTGTCGAGGATCCCCTACAGGATTAAGTTGCATTCGAGATCAGGAGACTGCGTGCATTGTGGACGCGCCGCGGGCTGGCAGGCTGCCGGGCAGGATCACTCCACCGAACAGACACACAAAGGGGGACCTGGGGTAGCAAGTAGAATGCATACCGTATCTGTCAAACTTCCGGGCCTTCTGTGATTGTGGTTGCAACATGCGAGGAGGTCGTAAGTTTACCTAAGCGCCGGGCTTCTCTTCCGATGGGAGGACAGCCGCGTGCGGATGGTGGCGTCGCTGCGGGAGCACGATGATAAGTGTGGTACCGTCCCGCTGTTGGTGTCGCCGCCGTGGGCGAGGCTGAGCACGTCGAGGGCACGTATATTAAAACGTCGGCTAGGGCGTCGTCGCGGTGGTGATGGATGGGAGGACAGGCGCGGGGATGAGCCCGGCGGGGGAGTTCTAGACAGGAGCGGTCGCGACCGACGTGGGCGGGTGCCTTGGGAATCGCATGATACCACTCCGATCTCAGCGGCTATGCTTGCCTCATGACCGCCCGTGGGCCAGCCACGAGGAGGGCTCCCCCTCTGCGGGCTCGCTCCTGCCCTCCGCGGCGCGAAGACCAGGGTAGAGTTCAGCACCCCACCCGGTGTCTCCTCCCGCGGCCGCGCACCCAAGCAGACACCGCGGGCGGGACACGGCCGGGGGCAGCGGGAGGGCGGGGTGAGAGCGGACGGGCCTCGCCACACGCACATCGGGAGGGGCGCCTGCTGCGATCAGACGCCGGCGGACGTGATTGGCTCTGGGCGGCCGAGGGACTGCCGGCGCGGGGGCCTGACCAAGCAGGACCTCGTGGGCGCCTGGAAAATTGGGGGTGGCGGGGGACGGGTGGAAGGTTCAGTCGACCCGCAAAAGGGAAGTTGGGCGACACCTCCGTCCTCCTTCGCACGTCTCCCCAGCGCCCAGGAGTACATATACCAGTCCTCCCTCCTCCCCGCCCTCCTTGTCCTTCGTCGGTCGCCCCGCCTGCCCCCTTGCCCTCCCGCCGTATATACTCGCAACCATGCCCGACGCTGCCCCCCCAGCCCAAACAGGAAGCCCGTCTCCTCCCTCTCCGCCGCCGCCAGGTCGCAGAAGAAGGCCGGAGCGCCCAAGCCGAAAGGCGCCGTCCGCGCTAAGTCGGGCTGCTACACCTGTCGGATCCGCAGGAAGGTACGTGACCCTCTACGCGTCGGGAGACGCGCAGTTGGCCCGCCAGATGCTCACCGATCCCTTTTTTCCGCGTTTTTTCACCATGTGGCACACCCACTCGCGACGCACAGAAATGCGACGAGCAGCCGAACGAGCAGGGCGCGTGCCAGACATGTGTTAGGCTTCGTCTCCAATGCCTTGGATTCGGCGCAAAGCGGCCAGACTGGATGAGAGTGAGTCCTCGACGCCCTCGCCACTCGCTGGGGTGTCGTCCGTACTAACGCCACATCCCCCGCCCCTTTAGGAGAACAATAGCGTCACGGAGTTGCGCGACAAGATCAAAGCTTTCCTCGCCTCTCAAGGCATGATCAAGGGCCATTCTGGCTCAGGGCCGCGCACAAACGAGCAGGAGCCTCAAATGCTCATCCTGGTCGAAAATTTGCGCAACTCGTCCCCGTCAAGCCCCCCTACTCCTACCCTCTCCGCGAGCTCCAGCGACGGTCATAGGCCGGTGGGCGGTCTTGCAACGTCCTTTGTCCGCGACGGCTCTCACTACCAGCCTGCTCCTCCTCCAATGCAACACGAACCTTCCTACAGTGCGAGTGCGTAGTCGTCCCTCCGTCCTCATCGTCCTTCGTATTGAACATGTTGCAGGCTGGCAGCCCACTCTCCCGGACTTGGGCGGACACCACCATGACTCTGCGTTGGCGAGGAGCAATAATGTGCTCCCGACGGTCAACGACATGCTCTACCCTCCGCCCCCCGCTACTATGTTACCGTCCTCGAATAGTCTAGTTCCCATCTCTTCCTCGTCGTCTTGTAAGACTCCGTACCGTTATTAGTTGTATTATGCATGTAGCAATTAATGCCCTCGTTTGTTGGCAGGGCTTGTCCACAATGGCCCGACCACTCCTGTGACACCTGTCTCCGCGTACCCCATGTCAGCAGCCCCAACAGCCTACCTCGGTCCGGGCGCGGGTATGCCCTCATCGTTTGGCCCCGCATACAACATTTCCGTCAACTACAACGACGACGAACAAGTGGACCCGCCTCCAGAGCCTCCTATACCTCCATCCATCACCTATGAATATCAGATGATCCCTAACGACCAGACCGAACTGGTGCAGCACTACTTCCACAGCGTGCTGCCCATCCAGTACTTGCTCGCTGACGCGTCGATATCGAACTTCATGTTCCGTCTTATTCAGCGGAGTCCGTCGGCGAGGGACGCGGCGTGTGTGCTCTCCGCATTGCATATGCACAGCATACAATACCCGTCGCGGTCTCGAACTCCGGACATGGCGGTCATCTACAGACGACTAGAGAATGCGCTCACGGCCAAGCGGACATACAACGAGGGCGACGCGATGGCGGGGCTGCACGTCGTGTCGACGTTCCTCTTCTCTGGCGGGCGCGGGCCGTGGGGCGCGTACCTGGACATCGCGGGGCAGTACGTGGACATGGTGCTCGCGGACAGGCGGTTCTACGGGCCCGAGGACGTGCTCAAGAAGTGTTCGGAGAGCACGCGCTTCATCATCAAGACGACGATGTGGTTCGACGTGCTCGCGTCGGTGACGACGCTGCAGGTGCCGCGCTTCCTCGAGACGTACCGCCACTTGTTCGGGCGCAGCGCGGGCGTCGTGGGCGGCGGCGCGGGCGCGGCGTACATCGACGACGGGGCCACGACGACGCCCGAGCTGTCGATGCTCCCCGTGATGGGCTGCGAGAACCACATCGTGCTCGCGATCGCGGAGATCTCGAACCTCGCGCATTGGAAGGAGAGCCAGCGCCACCGCGGGTGCCTCAGCGTGCCGCAGCTCGTCGAGCGCGGGCTCGAGATCGAGAACAAGTACCTCCACCCGACTGCGACGGCCTACGGCCGCTTCGACCCGACGCAGACGACGTCCGACCCCGAGGTCGCCCAGCGGCGCCGGCTCACGAACGACATCTTCCGCGCGTCGGCGCGCGTGTATCTGCACACGGTGCTCTCCGGCGACTATCCGTCCTGCCCGGAGATCATCGCGGGCGTCGCGGAGACGATCGAGTGTCTCCGGCGTGTGCCCACGCAGAACGCGCGGGCATCGCGCTCCGTGCTCAGGAGCGTCGTTTTCAGTATATGTATCTGTGGCTGCCTCACGGACGACCCGCGCCACCGCAGCTTCCTCCTCCAGCTACTCGAGTCGCAGCAAGGCGACAACGTCGGCAACGTTTCTGAGGTAAGAGCGCTCATGGAGCAGGTTTGGGCCCGCCGCGAGGGCAATCAGGGGCGCCCCGTCAACTGGAGGGACGTTATGCGGGAGTCGCAGCGGGACTTGCTGCTGCTGGTATAGACGATGTGGTCTCTTCTCTCTCTTTTGGTCTCGCTGCTCTGCCTTCCTCTTTGCTTTTCACGACACGCCACGCTCTTTTCTCACCATCATCCATAGGAACCCAGTCTGTCGCTCACTGCACGCTTTGCCCCTTTTAAAAACCCTTGTCGTCGCCCGTGGGGGCCCGTAGCGTTCGTTTGTCTGTGCATCTCTCTCGCAAGCTGTGTCTACACGTTGTCGTGCAATCCTCGGTGGCCTCTCGTACGTGCCTCGTCCTCACCATGCTGTCCATAGCCGATAGACTGTATTAATGGGCTTCTCTGTATCAATACGCAGTCCCTGATACCATAGTGCGCAATACCACACGCGGCGTCTACCCGCCGCTTCGTTTCTCAGGAGCTCCATCGGGCAAGGACGTCCCCTGCGGGTGGCGATGCGCCTCAAGGATCCAGGAGCGTGCGTATCTACATTTGGGCCGTGCACACGTCATGTGCCTGCAGAAGAGAAGCTCAAGGTTTGCGCAGGTTCACATCTGACAGGGAGGTCACCTCGCAACTGATTTGATTGCGCAAGGTCCGACACTCGTCGGGCGCGGTGTCAATGTCCAAGACAATACTGCTCATCTGCCAGTGTCCACCCGTACGTGCCTTTTGTCCCTGCGTGCCGTGCCACCATCGCACGACCTGTTCATTTCTTGTCTGGCAGGGCTGGCTAGTACTTGTGCGCCTTATCGTCGCACGACTTCGTGATGGTCGATGGCCAGCCAGAACCGCGAGACCCTACAGCTAGTAGGTCACATATTAGTCATGCGGAGCTCCCATGACGAGTCCGACTGCACCGGGGCTTCGAGTGTGGTCGGACATGGCAGGGCTGGCCAGGCCAAGTCGTCAGACACTGTGGGCCTCTTCCCACTTCCTCCTACTGCTCCCGGCGCCTGGGAGTGAACTCGAAGAAGGTGAGAGTGCAGGCTCCGGTGAGGCGTTGGCGCCGTTCTCTTCTCTGCTGCGAAGTCGGTGAGCCTTCTGCACATCTTCCGAGGATGAGCACTAATGCGGACGCATCTCCAAGGACGAAGACGCCCGGACTGGGACTCGGACGTGCTGCCTATCCTGCCCACGGGCGTCTGCAGGTGCGTTCAGTAGTGCTGACGCCACAGATAGCGATCCTGCGAGGCGCCCGCGAGCTCGGAGGGCGACGCCCGTTTCAGGACGTCGCCCGCCACCAATGATGATTTGATGGTCGTGCCGCGATTGCAATCGGTCCTCTCTACGATCAGTCTCGGAGGGTGATCAGAACCCACTGCAGGATCGGTGCGAGATCCCCACCCGACTCTGCGCAAGTCGTCCTCCGGACACGCCAAACCGTACCAGGTAGATAACGAGCCCAGGGCGGTCACGTTGCCCGCCTCGAGGCTCGCAGCCAGTACGGAGCTGTGCGCGCAAGGCGCAAGGCGGTACGTCCGCTTTCGCCCAGGTCGGCCTCCCCTCCGCCGACTTACCTCAGCGCTTGAACGATCAGTCAGGTAACCGACGGGTCCGAGGCGCAGGACAGGCTTGATTGCATAGCAGTTCCGACCCCCTCGGATGTCTCAGATCGGGGCAATTTGGCGCTCCCACCCTGGCCAGCTGCCGTAAATGGCTACTGACGCTCGCCCTCCTGGTCGCTTCTCATTGTCTTTGGCGTGCCCATCACAGCGTTGACATGCCAGCCAATCCCAGCCAGCCCGCATGCGTGCCCTTCGGCGGCTTTCCGACTTATTTGGGTCGCCGAGGCACCAGCTGCCAATATCCTTTTGGCTCGTCATCCTTGGACCTCCCACCACTTTCGTCTACTAGTCCATCGTCCTGCATGGAGATAACTCCCGTGTCCGAGTCCGCGTAGTTTCGACGAGGCTAGGACTGTGTTGTGATTGCTTCACGACGTACTACGGACCTCCCGGGTAACAAGTCAACAATGCATTGTCAACAAAAATGCAGTCCATGTGAAGAGCCATGCCTCTCCCACGATCCTGAGCGCTCGTGGCGAACTTCCACTGCTAGGCTCCAGGACTGTGACATTTGACCTCTCGTTATGGCTTGCTGCGATGGCAGGGATCCTCGCATTCGTGCCCGCACTTGCCAGCTTCAATGCGACGCCCATCCGCCGTAAGCTTCTTGTCGCGCCCGAGCGACGTAGCATACTATTCGCCTCTTGCGGACATTTTGTGTAGACCAAATGACACATGTACTTAAGGACAGGCTTCGCGTGTGCACGCCCGCCCGCGAGTCGGCTGAGCCGCCCCTCTTTTCACTGTGCTACGCCATGATCTGCTCCCTGCGATGGTCGTCTGGGGCCTTGTCTGTCAGCATGCGCACCCGAGCGCCATACCCCACCCACAGAGATGGAAGACCGGCCTCGAGGATGCGAACGATGAAAGAGGCATGTGGGCAGATGGCACCGCATTGCGACGAGCACGGGAAGCTGTGCTAATCCGGCCAAGTTGCCCTGGGTGTGGCGAAGTCCTGCGGGGTGCGGCTATGCAGCCCGAGTATCCTCGAGGCTCGCTAGCTGCGACGGCTGTATATTCGCGCTGCCTCCGAGAGCTCGGAGGACGAACACCGGGTTCGGCGACCTACACACTTGCGGACGGCGGTGTGTCGGCTGAGGATGTGCTCGCGTAGAGAGCCGCGCCGAAGATCTCGGAGGGAGGGTTGGGTCTGCTGACGCGGGCGAGAACGTCGTGTACGTCCAGCAGCCGCGAGCCGTGGCCATATAGTCATCTTACACGGGCGGCGAACGTAATTGCTCGCGCGCTGGGTGGTACAGCAGTCGCGTACGGGCCCGCGTCGAGGGAGGCGTTGAGGTTTCCTGATAAGGTAGGCCTTGTCGTTGAAGGCGTAGAGACCATCCGTCCATCCGTCCATCGCCACGCGATCGCCTCGATCTCACCTTGATGGTGGCGATCTAGGTACAAGATGATGGCTGTTGTCGCCGTGCGCACTCGACAATACATGTCCGCCACTCGCCGAAGCGAGCTCGACAGTTGGCTTGAGAGAAATTGACTGCCAGAGTCCGACCGGAGGCTCGGCGATGGCCGCGCGAGTTCTTATATCGGAGCCTGAATACTGTGGCTGCAGCGTATGTGCCCGCGAGTACGTAGGCTGCCAACTACCCAACTGCCGTGACTGTAGACGATGGCGACGGAAGACTGTAAGTGGCAGGTGCGCCTCGTCCGCATCACAGGTCGGTGGGAAGCCGGACTGGGGCGAACTGGACGAAAGCGGTGCATGTCCGAGGGCGAATGTTCCGCAGAGGGGAGGAATTCGAGAGACGCACGGACTCCGCGACATAACGGGGCGAATGGACGCTGTGCGCCTACGGCGGTGTAATCCGGTACAGGAATGTTTTGTCCCACGGACCGCATTGAGAGACTCTTTCGTCTGCAGATCGCGGAGAAACGCACGCACAGCTCGCGCGGGATCCGGCTGAAACGCATGGTCCGATGATGGCCTCCTCCTCTGCACTTGCTGAACCGAGGCCGGGGACCCTTGGTGACGACAAGCTTCTGGCTGTTCGCCAGGCGGAATCACATTTGTCACCCTTCAATTGTCACCCTTCATGTACAGGTAGAAGTACCATCCTCCTACCCCCCATTTCTTTTTCCAGCTCGAATTGCCGGCCTCCTCCATCCACCGCCTCCTCCTGTCTGCTGTCCCCGAGCCATCTCCGTCATAGAGTGCACACGCCCATACTTAACGTCCTTCCTCCGCACATCTCAGGTGATCGACATGGCAAGCAACTCTGGAACATCCGGCTCTCCCGCCAGCAGCCCCAGCCACCTGCCTTCTCCAGAGGCCTTCTCGGAAACGCCCTCGAGCAACGCATCGCCCGTCTCCGCGCCGCCCTCTCTCTACATGGGCCGCGCATCCCACGAACCAGACTCGCCCGAAGAACAGCGCAGCATCAGCGACGCCGCGCGCCCCGCCGTCCTCCGCTCGCACTCCTCCGTCGGCAAGGGCGGGTGCTGGTATGTGTCTCCATCTGCTGCCCGCGGTACCGTGCCCGGAACTGATCCATGTCTCACGTCGATCGCTCAGGACGTGCCGTCTCCGCAGAAAGGTACGCGTGCCCGATCACTGTGCGCCCGCCACATCCGTGATCTGACGCGCCCCACCCCTATATAGAAATGTGATGAAGAGCAGGAGCACGACGGCGGGCCGTGCAAGACCTGTCGCCGCCTGGGCATCGAGTGCTTGGGCTGGGGGGTGCGCCGTCCGGACTGGATGCGTGTAAGTTCACGCCACTTCTGTGCGACTCGTGTGAGAGCCGTCTGAGCTGACCGCCCCTTGTTCTCTTCTCTTCATAGGACAAGGAGCGTGTCGCCGCGTACAAGGCCAGCATCAAAGAGCAACTCACCCGTGCAGGGCTCATCCGCGGCCAGCCCCGAGCCAACTTCATGCAAGCCGCCTCGTCCAGCCCCGCCGTCGCAGGCCCCGGCCCCTCCTCCTCCCTGCGCCGACACTCGCCCCTCGGGGAGGCGCGCTTCCAACGACCGTACCCGTCATCGCGCAGCCGTCAGCACTCAGGCATGGCGGCCATGTCAGGTAAGCGACGATCCTGCCTTTGTAAGGCTGCGGGAAGCTTATGCTGACGCGGGTGATGCGCGTCCAGGGTCTGCCAGCGCTCGCACGAGCCCCACCCACCTACACTATAACAACGCGTCGCCCGGTGCCGCTGCGTTCGCCATGGGCGACCACTTCACCCAGTGGACCCCTTCATACCCGCACACGATGTCCCCTACGATACCCGTTCCCAGTAACGAAGAATACACGCCCTTCTTCTCCCCCACAGACGCGTCCGTGTCCGTCCCCGTCGCGGCGCAGCCTACGCCGCTGCCACCCGCGGCGCATGAGATCTCGGACGAGACCTACGTCATGTACTACTTCGAGAGCGTCCGGAAGGAGCAGTTCGTCTTCGCCGGAAACTCTCTCACGAACACCCTCTACTCGGTGCGCAGCTTCTCCCTCTGATCGGCGTGCATCTGGCAGATCCTGACCTCGCGCCTTCGCTCGCGCTCGACAGATCGTCCACTCAGATCCAAAAGGCCCGGTCGCGAACGCCATCTGTGCATTATCGAGTCTACATTACATCCGCGCGCGCATAGCGAAGGGCCTCGAGCCGCCGGACACGAACCCGGACGACTCTGTCGCGAAACAGTACTACGAGAGCGCGCGCTGGCAGCTCGGCAACGCGAGACACCTCCAGTACGCCGACACCGACGCGATCGCTGCCATCTTGCTCGTCCAGTACTCCCTCCTCACCGGCGGCCGCAGAAACTGGCAGGGAGAGCTAGAAGTCGCCTGCGACTGGCTGGCGGCCACGAGAATCCACGAGGAGCAGAATCCCAAGCTTACCTTGATGAACATGACGCCGGTTGGCAAGGCTGCCGCGAAGGGGACCATGGTGCGTCAAATCCGCATTTGTAGATCTCCAGCCCACAACTGACGATCGTTGCTTTAGTGGATCGACGTGCTGGGAAGTGTCACTCTCGGGACACCCCCGCGCTTCCTCGCGCTCTACCAACGGCTCTTCGGGTCCGGGGGCAGCGGCTTCTGGGCAAACTCGCCGCAGACCGACGTCCGCATGGACCTGCTCACGGGGTGCCCGGACGAAGTGGCCCTCGCAATCGGCGAGATCTCTGCGCTCGCGAGCTGGAAGAACGCGGAGCTGCGGCGGGGCGGGCTGAGCGTACGCGAGCTCATCCGCAAGGGCACGCAGATCGAGACGAGCCTCCGCCAGCGCCCGATGCTGCGCCAGCCGGGGGAGGGAAACCTAACGCCGCTCGATGCGAGCCTCGCACAGGCGACATTGGACCTCCACCTCCCGGTGCCGGGAGGCATGCCGGCCCCGTTGTCGTCACCTTCTACGAGCATGCATGGTCATACTACCGGGATGCTCAAGGCGGATGCGCTGCCGATCGTCGGCGAGCTGTGGAGAGAAGGCGCGATCCTGTACCTGAACACCGTGCTCAGCGAGAACCTTCCGAGTAAGTACACTCACGCTGCGCACACACCTGCAACGACCTGACCACCCTTCCACCAGATGTGCCCGAGATCTGCGATGCCGTCACCAACATCATCAGCTTGCTGCACCAGCTGCCCACTTCCGAGTACGACCGCTCGCTGATGTTCCCACTGTTCTTCGCTGGCTGCATGACCGACGACCAGAGCGTGCGCGCGATGGTGAAGCGCCGACTATACTCGATAGAGGATACCTTTGGCAACATCTACGAGTTGGTTGCCCAGATGGAGAACCTGTGGAACACCCGTGTGTTGCTGATAGCAGAGCATGGTCCCGCGGCCATTGTCCCCTGGCGCGAGTGCCTCGCTCGCATTTGGGAGAACCGTACCGTCCTGCTGATATGACCGCTATGCCGCCCATAAGTCACGTGACCTGTAGTACCGTAGTTATGTTGCGTTGCTCCGCCATTATGTTTCGTGGAGTTTCGTTCCCTTCGTGTTGCTCTGCTTTACTGCCATGTATTAGAGTTAGATGCATGTGTTCCATGTAATGACATAACATTATCGCACCTATCTTGCGCTGGCCAGGCGAGTGCTTACGTAGCAGACGAAAAGTCGCACGCGTTGAGGATCGAACCTTGACCGTACGGCTCGATCGTGCGTGTGTCCAGTGAAGCGTGCCTTGTGAGCAAAGTGAGACATGGCGCGACGGATGCGTGTACTCCGAGGAATCGGAGAACGAAGGCAGGGACCGATGTGCGAGACGGCGGGGGTCCGTTGTGAGTGGGAAAAGGAGCGGGACGTCGAGAGAAGATTGCAGAGTGGTGCTGGGCGGCCAAGCGACGCGGAGAATGGAGAAGAGAGGGCTGGGAGAGGCAGAGGGAGGAGGAGGAGGGAGGATGCAGGCACTTTGATTCCGTGCTATATAGCGATTTCCCGATCAACCGGCATATAGCCCCAGCCAATCAGCGCGCCGGGTTTCAGCGCTGCGCCCCGGCGCTCCCCGCGTCTCTGGTGTGCGCCCTCGACGGAGTGTTCCGGTCTTACCCCGTCTGCTGCCCTCCAGCGGCTCGCTCACAGTCCCGTCCGCTCGCTGGGACCGGAGGCCTCTGCGTCCACACACGCGCGACCGGGCAGGAGTACTTACCGTGGGACCTGTGGCTGGAACATCGCGCTCGTCTTATATGTACCACCCTCTGTTTGAGACGTTCGGTGCTCGCGTCTGCCCGAGAAAACAATTTTGGACGTCGGTCGGCTCTTGCGACGTCCAGTATGGGCTGCCTGACAAATTTACGGTCTGGGACATGGAGCGTGGCCACGCCCACCGTGGCGCAATGATTTGGCTGTGCTTCGCGGCGGGAGGCGATGCCAGACATGCCACGACCGGTGGCTACGAATTGATGGAAGGTGGCGCAAAGCCGTCTGCACGCAGAGACTGGACTCGGAACGTGTTCTACGCCAAAGGCTCAGCGGCCACGTCCTCCATCCGAACAGCAGCACACGACAGGTAAGCAATAGGCCTACGCCATTCGCTGGAGGCGCTGTTCACATGCGGGTGGTAGATGCCCGTTTCGGCAATGCAGGGAAGCACCCAGAGGTCCCGCCCTCTCGTCAACCGCGAGCTGGTATCCAGACATGCCATCTTAGGGCCCTGCCTCCGTGGTCACGCCGCCAATGCACAGTCGGTCGTGTGCTCGTGCTCGCCCTGTCAGCTCAACTGCTATCGAGCTCAGTTTTATTAGCAGTTTCAGCATGGCCTGCAGGTTTGATACCATCCGACGGTCAACGGGCGATCTGCGCAGCGGCCTTCGGACGTGCGCGATCATCCTACGCTCAATGAGCGAAGACAAGTGCGCAATTCATCACATTATTATCCATGGCATTATTCACAGCATCGCTGTTAGAATTGGAAAGACGTCCTGGTGGACGCTTTCTGCTTAATCAAGCCTTGGCGTGCAGACCGGAGCTTGCTGTGGGCCTTTCCTCTCCTTCCGCTATCAGATGTGTCAACGGATTGTCGGCAGCCCCTCCACATAGCAGCTCTTTAGCAGTCCATCCACCCGATGTCCGATCTCGGCATCCCAGCTTTCACCGCCCAGCAGCCCAGCACGACCTCCTGCCTCGTACTGACCTGCCAGCTACTCTATTGCGAACTCACTACCAACATGTCCCGTCGGGTCCAGACAGAATCCGCGTCCCACTGGAGGCTCTGCACAATGAGATGCTGCCGGTCGCGCTCGCCAACTGTTGTTCCCCGCACTTCCCGGCATCTCGATGATCGGCGCAGTTCAACGTCGATGACTCTGAGGACCACAATCAGCGCCCAGCGCGTGCCGCTGAGTTATTGGTTCTATGGGCGGTGTGCGCTTCCGCTAGTCCGGTCGCGGGTTCCTGGACGTGTCAGACGTTTGGGCGGGGTTAGTGGGGTCTACCTATACACTTAGATGATCTTCCGAGGCTGTCGGCGTAGTGGCATGCAACATGGTACTTGTGTGTCAATGGTGCGCGCCCTGGGTGGCCGGTCGAGCTCAATCTATGCGAGGGCAGGTGGGTGCTATGTTGCACGCACCCTCAAAGGCCATCACCACACATTTCAGTAGATCTGCAAACTCCAAGTCTACCAAACTAGATGTTCGACGCGACGGGTTTCAAGGAGCGACGCACCACGTATTCTCCGCTACGAAACGCAGGTGTAAGGTCGCTTCGGACCTCGGCTACAACGGCACTTTTCAAGGACCATGCATCATGAATTTGATCGCAGGGCCCGCCTCGTACGTTGTCGCACTGTCTGAACAGGCATTGTCGGGCACCACGGTTTCCATTCACACCTGCCGGCGACTGTGACCTCGAAGGCACCCGGGCATGGGCCGGACGAAGCCCGAGCGATGGTGAGACTTGATGTTTATTTTAGTCTCTACGAAGTTTGAATGAGTCCTGATGCTACTTATCGCAGAACCTCGTCTGTACGTACCTCGTTAGCGTCATTCGAAGTCGTTCAACGCCACCTTCACGCCGTCGTTGCGGTTCGCCGCGGTACTCTGATGATTTCGCTCTGATGACTCACATTTCGATGCCCGTCGTTGCGAAACTCGCCACACCAAACGCTATGCCAATAATGGCGACAGCGTACTGATCGCTCCATGGTGTCGTCCGGACAAAGGCAGCCGAGGATCTCTTTCGTAACTCGCCGATCAAAGGGTTCGCCGGCTGTGGCTTGAAGGCCGACGTCTAGTACGCAGACGCTCTGCGTACCGAGTGGTTTGCGGGTCGGGTAGCTCGGATGCCTATGCGTAGTGATACCTTGGATAGGCTGTACTGTACATACCGAAACTCGAGAGCACGTATGAATGATTGGCGACGTGTTGAGGCGTCAATTGTGGTTGGTGTCGTGAGGACCGCCGATGAAATCGTCGCCGATGAGAGACAATTCAATGAAAGTACCCACTAAATTATCGAGGTTGTACAACGCATTCCGAGGTTGTCCAAGGAAGCAGTCCTGGTTCTGGAGCAGCACGCACATTCGCCACACGCGGTACGAGGACCATCCAGTTTTGGCCGCATACGAGCTTCAGACGACACCACGGTCTTCGAGTGGCCCTCAAGCAATCAAACGGTGACGCCACGTACAAAAAGGCTCAAGCATGTATAGCCTCTAGGATCATCTCAGCGGCTTTCTCAGCAACCGCTATGGTCGGGGACACCTGCAACATCGTCATCAGCTGCAAGTCCAGAGTACGATCAACCCCAGCACCGGGACACTAACCGTGTGTCCACTCGTGATCGTCGGGAAAATACTCGCATCGCACACCCTCAATCCATCCACGCCATACACCCGAAGGAACGGATCGACCACCCCGTCGTCCGCCCTTGGAGCCATGCGCGCAGTGCACGTGGGGTGGTAGATCGTCTCGACGCGGTCGCGGATCAGCGCCTCCAGCTCTGCGTCGCTCATCGAGGCGAGATCGTGGTTGAGCAGGCCGGTGGTGTCGGTAGAGCCGGAGGGGTCGAGCATGTCGACGAGGGGAGGCTTGTGGAGGATGTTCGCGAGGAGGCGTGCGCCGCGCACGAGCACCTCCACATCGTGCTCGGTGGAGAGGTATCTAGAATGGGACACTCGTGAAATGAACGATAGCGCGACGTGTAACAGACGTACTGGGGATCGATGAGTGGTGGATCGGACGGATCCGCCGAGTTCAGCCTGATTGTCCCTGTGCTCGTAGGTCTGCAAGGTCAAGGTCAACTTCGGTCAACCACCAATAGAGCATGCCTCGATACCTCAGCAGAATAGTATGGAGCCCGAAGTGATACCCCTCGGGGTAAGCCCCACACGTGTGCTCGAGCCAAGCCATAGGCGAGAACAAGAGCTCAAGGTCGGGTGCATTTGGTCCTGTAGTGGAATCCTCTATGACATCCGGCGTGGACAGCTTGACACCAGCTCGCGCCAGGAGACCCGAGTCAGAAGAACGTACGAACGCGAGGCCTTCCGCAACCTATGTGCCATGGTCAGAAACAGTGAGGTCTGTCAAAAAAGTGTAGGGAGACATGCATTCGTCGTCAAAGGCCCTCTTCCTGTGAGCGTGTAGTGCACAACCAGCGCGAGCCGTCGAAGCGTCGCTAGCAAGTCGAATTTGCCATGTTTGCGCGGGTCGTGTGACAGCCCGGCAAGAACCGACTTCGTCTTGTCTCGGAAGTGGTAGTCTACTAAGAGGTGGTCCATAAGGTGAGAGCCGACGCCAGGAAGGTCAGCTACCACGGGGATGGCGTGAGAGGCCAGGTGTGCCGCTGGACCGATCCCAGAAAGCATGAGGAGCTGTCAGGCATGCGTAAGACGGTACGGTATGGATGAGTGTCGCGAGTGAGCGTACTTGCGGAGTGTGCATGGCTCCGGCCCTATGTCAACATGTCAGACGCAACGCTTGTACGTACGCACAGTGGATGGGGCGCTCACGATAATACAATCTCCCGCTTCGCCTTTACCTCAAACGCGCCACCGCGCGCATCCTTGAAGTGTACAGCAACTGCCCGCGGAGTCTTACCCTTGACTTGTTGGAATATGACCCGGGTAACTTGGACCTCCGTGGCAACAGTGAGATTCGTTCGGGCGAGCACTTTTGGAGTGAGGTAGGCAGATTCTGTCGTCACACGTCGGCCGCGGGGATCAATGAACGTCACTGTGAAGGATGATCGAGTGATGATTATGAAGCCCCCAAGCCACCAAGAGCAGACTTACTCGGCTACAGATACATGAGAACGCGGCCATTGGCATAGTTGAAAATCACGTACTGTGTTGACACCTAGCGTGCCCCTTATGGTGTTGAAGTCTTGATTGAGGGATACTCCCGCCTTGACGCATGCCTCGAGGAAGCGCTTTGTCCCTGCGGAACAATTCGCGAAGTAACCGCCTACGCCGAAGTCTGCGTACAGCTACGTTGCGTGAACAGAAGGGTGAAACTTACTGAGCATGGGCCCTCTTGATCCTCGTAGAGAGGCGTCCACGAGAGGGTGTTGCTCACTCGGATGGAAGCTCTCGAACTTACGCAGATAACTATATGTCTTGTCAAACGGAATATAGCAGACATCATCATGATGTCCTACGCACCGACTGAAGTCTTTGTAGTTAGACGCCCCGTCATGCCCTTTTTGAAGCTCTGCCCACTGGTCGAAATCCGATGGAGAGCCGTAATGGAAACTAGCTTCGTGATCAGCTGAAAGGGAAGACGGCGATATAAAACAGTACTAACATCATGGCGTTCATGGACGAGCCTGGGATTGAAAAAGGTTGTGAGAAACTTTCGCGTTACCCATGCTGACGACGGTGCTCACATCCTCCAAGCATTTTCCCTGAATGCGAGGAACAGACACATTAGATAGACCGAGCGAAGGAACGACGAATACACACCTCTCGGGTGGAACTTCCTCTTCATTCTGGCATGCTCTTGAGGGACCGTATACAGGTCGTAATCATATTCCGAGTGGAAGAACTGAGGGTACATGGCGGGCACGCGTGACAACGGGTTATGCAGAGAACTGCCAGGCATCACACCATGCACGTCAGCCGTTTGTATACTCGGATGATACGTCTGGGCGTACTGACCTGCTGCCGGCTTCCAGTAACAAGACGCGTACTTTGGGGTCTTCCGACAGACGAGAGGCGAGTACACAACCAGCTGTACCTGCATTACGCAGACATACGGAGGTAAATCATTGTTCATACCAGACTACAACGTGGACTCACCACCACCCACGATCACGACATCATACTTCTGGTGATCGCCGGCTCCTTCTCCAGTTGCTAGACTGCGAGCAATTCTCCGCAAGTCAATGAGCTTCCGGCCTTTCCGTCGTGAGAAGGCGTAGCGAAGTACGACGGCGAGTGCACCCAGCGCAGCAGCAGAAGACAAAATCTTACGGGAGGGGGTTGCTCGCCATAGGACGGGTAATTGCCTCAGCGACGACACGAAAGTGTCCACTGATAATGGTTGCATGTCTGGCAGACTCACCGTGGTACGCTGCAGTGGGAGCGTACCATTGCTGCAAGATATATGGTGCCATGAACGCCGCCACGCGAATAGCCCCCGCCAGGGAGATGATGCATTTCCGAGCTGATGAACACGAGGTCCCTGCAGGTCCGATTAAGGGAGTTCATCGAGTCGGACAGCACTCCATGCAGCAGCGATAATGATCGGAATGTAACTTGGCCGGTGCAACGATGTCTTGTCCTGTCAGTGAGCACAGCGCTTCCATTGCAGCGTCAGCTATGCTTTAGGATTCAGATAAGCCATTCGACCGCAAGCATAATAGACAGCAGGGACATACTGCGCTATTGTGAGGCCGAGTGTGACCAGGTCCATTGGGGCGCGCCACAAAGTAAATGAAAACCTTAGATGACCTGCGAGACGTGCTCCTGGAGCCTGTAAGTACCGACAGCACCCGGTGCTCATACGATAGGGCTTTATGCAATGAGTCCGCCCGTGTTCGCAGCGTTTTGTGAGAAGGTCGACTCACCATTAAGTTCATGTTAGCCACCGCGGTGAGCCGCATGTCCGAACAACGTTCGACACTACCCTAGTGTCCATGCGAACAACGCGTGTACGGACATTGGCACCGGCAACCTGCACATCGTACTCGCGCCGCAGACAGGATCCTTCGCATTAGCGTTGCTCTAACGTAGTGTGGTGGTTCACATGCATAGATACGGGGGGTAGTATGATACGGGAGACATTAGCGTTGTACGAGCACATGGCGACGTTCCATCCGTCTATGTGAAAAAGTGCAATGCGAAGAAGCGATTATAAGTCCGTTGTCCGGAGAGATGTGCAATGATGTGCGAAGAGGGGGAGAGTCAGAAGACGGGCGCAGCACGGCACACTGCAGTGGCTGCGGCGAGGACGCGTGCGCGTGCCCCGCACGCGAGAACTAAATGAACGTAATGGCAGCGAGTAGCGAGCGACAAAAGGAGCGACGGTGCATGGCAGCAAGACACGCCCAGCGGATGCTGGCCCAGCCAGCGCGAAGGGGACGTGGACGGATCGGCCGGCTACAGAAGCAATGCAGACGACACTTGTGAGTATGCGGCCAACGCGTACAGCAAATGAAGGAGCACGGACGAATGCATTGTCTATCCTCGCACCATCCAGAATGCGACACACTCGAGGGTATCAGTACCGTTACAGTCCCTTGCACACCGCAGCCCTGTCTTCTGAGCTGATGACATCCAGACCCAAGGTCCCTTGAATTCGATACGAGAATCCGAGCAGATCACCCTCCTCCCCTCCCTGTACATGGGCCAGCCATCCACCTTCACCCTCCAGCGCCCGGTCATGCGAACTGATTTGCACCGTACGCCATGTTCGGCCCTGGGCTCGGTGAGCGCAATGCCATGCCTGGTCCTGGACTCGGAGAGCGCATGCAGCTTGTACAGACATGGGTGGAGCGAGTGCTGCGGCGGGGCCGGGTGATCTTCTCCCGTCCATGCCCATGCCCATGCCCGCGCCTTGCATGGGCATTGGACTGCGCGCACGGCCTGGGATTTGCGTCATCGGAATGGCCTCGCCTTCTAAGGTGCGCGGAACAGGGCCACTGTACGGGTCGTAGTACGTGGCAGATGGGTCATCGCGGTATGGCTGGAGCGCACCGCCACCTACGCTCGGATTAAGATGGGGGAGCGGGGGCACAGCGTAGGGATCCGGCTGCGCACCGTACAGGTCCACAGTAGAAGCGGCTGCAGAGGGAGTAATGCTGCCTGCACGCGAATCCGGACGCGTCAGATTCACTTCGGACGACGTCTCGAAACCAGCCCCGCCCGTGCGGTGTGTCGGAAGTGCATGCGATGTTTCGCCATGATTGCCCAGCTCAGGCCACTTGATTGCTTCGCCTGTAAGATGTATAAGCTGAGCAGACGGTCCCCAAGAGCAATTGATGGCTGTCACACGCACCATCATCGTACTCGTCCAGATACCGTTTCCGACTGAACTTGAACACCGCGAACGCAATCACAGCGAGCAGTGCCACTCCGCCTGCGACCGAGAGACCAACAATGCCGCCCGTGCTCAGGCCAGCGCTCGAGCTATCGGTATTCGTGGATGCCGCACCCGCGGCTGACGACGAACCACTCGCCAATGCAGAGGCAGGCAGTGTGACAATCTCTGTGGTGACCTCGCCATCCGCGCCCGTCGAGTACGACGTCGAGCGGACGTTGGAAGTAGAGGGCGGAGCGGTCGACGAGGGCGCGGATGTCGTCGACTGGCTGTTAGATGTCGTCTGGGAGCTGGAACCCGACGTCTGCGACTGACTGTTCGAAGTCGAGGACGCCTGTGAGTTGGACGTGTTACTGCCCGCGGAGGCCTGGGTGGACTTGGTTTGACTAGTGGAGGCTGCGCTGGTCGCAGACGCCGATGCGGTGTTGGACTTGCTGCTCGCTGTCGCCGACGACGACTTGTCCGTGTCAGTGTTGTCGGGGAAACTGAAGATGTTGCTGAGGTCTCGGCGCTCTAATGGACGGGCATCGTGGGCAGCAACGAAGGGGACAAGAAGGAGCGCAGCGAGCAGCGCGACGAGGTAACGACGGTGAAAGACCGACCTCACCATGGAGCCTGACGATGAAGGAGACAATTGAGCAGCTCGAGAACAGAGAGCTGTGCAGGCTTCGTGAGGAGGTCGTTGACGATGTTCGTGGATAGAAAGGACAAATCGCGGTTGTGTCGGGCGGTAGAGACCAGGCGTCGCGCCCGCTAAGTCGTAAATTACCCAGCCACCTCCCAGTCACGTGCACACCCGCTGCCACGGCGACTGCGCTGAGGAGCGTTGCCCGAATCGGCAATCCCTCGCTTCAATCTCGCACAAGTCTGCTGGCAGTGCATGCTGCGTCTGCACAGCCAAGCGCATGCTACAGTGAGGAAGAGCACAGCTTATGTCGCCGCATTGTGCCAGCCGTCCGGCCAGGATGTCCGTCGGGCCGTACGGACTCAGGAGGACATGTTTGCTGGGCCGTAGGTTCGGCGGGGGTAACTATCACCGTGGTCACTGGTCTCAAGTCGGCTAGTAGATATGATCCCAACGATGGCGAGCTCGTTCATTCGTACAACTCTACTATAGTACATACGCGAGATAGATGGGTGCAACGGTCGCGGTGTCGCTGATATACAAGGGCGACGTGCGCAGCGGCGTCGATGGTACTTAGTGAGACAACAAGAGCAGGCGGGAACGAGAGCGTAGACGTATCAGAGGACAGATGGTAAGAAGAAGCGATTAACATCATTCAGAGCATCGGAAAGCGAACAGTCGTATGCACAGCATTGACAGTGCGCGCTCGAATTTAAAAGCCAAACATAGGAGTGACCCTCCGCAGGCCCTGGCCAGGAGGCGCAGCATGGCCTGGTCGTTCCGTGACATAGCCGTTGCCCGCCTTCGTCGGTGAACTGGGAACGGACGCGCTCCCTTTGTTGGGTTTGCCTGGAGTAGGAGGGACCGGGCGTCGCTCTGTCTCTGGGGCTGTTGGTTCGGGTTTCTTGACGAGGTAGAGGGCGGGAGGTTCGCCCATGAGCCTGGAAATACCCCAAGGCATCTCGATGCCAGAACGCGTAGCCCAGCGAACGTAGCGCGCGAGCTCAAGATGGAGGATTGGGTAGTACGCATTTGATGCTCTGCGGGCCATCTGCAAGTGATGTGAAGCGTGAGCCATTGGGCGATGATGCTAGGTCTCAATCAATACGAACCATGATGATACGGTCCATGCCGGACGCAAAGAGGTCCCGGTGGAATTGATACGCAGAAAGAGGATGCTGTGGAGGATAGTGCAGTTCTTCTGCAGCACGGCAATACGCGTTCAGAAACTTGAAGTGCGTACTCTGCACGAGATACAAGTATCAGGCATCGTTCAAAATACTCGATGAGGCATAGACACTGACCATATAACACATTGCCTCATACTCGACGCCCCCGGACATCCCGCTAGGAGCGCGTGGTCTCTCGGCTTTCTCTTCGTCCGTTTCATCCAAATTCCAGATCTTGTTGGTCGGATGGCAGTAGATCCAGAAGAAGTCGCGGCAAAGGTTGCTCATCTCTTCGAGGTATGCCTTGTAAATCCGAGGCCGGTGAATCTTCTCAATGAAGAAATGAGGCTGCACAGGCACGCTATCATCCTCCGCGGGACGAGGCGCCGGCGTGAGCATCAGCGACTTAACGAGGGAACAAACTGAGGAGTGGGGCGGGGGAAGTACGATGAGTCCCGTCGAGAGCGGCGCGGTTGACCCGGACTCCCAGGGAACGGACCGAGTCCTGTTGTGACCGCAAGGAGACGTCGGCGACCCTCCGAAAGGGTTGCCAGTAGACGGCAGAGAGGAGGTTGGGTAGAGCTCAAATAGACCAAGAAGCATCTCGATCATGAGATGCCGGGTAGCGACCTCTCCCGGCCGCTTGTCAGAGTAGAGAACAGTGACGATTTGGCTATAAGGGGCAGGGCAGCAGCTCCGAAGGGCCGCGCAGCCGACAGTCGATGTTGTAAGAGCTTTGAAACAGCGTAGCAATTCGTGAAGGAGTTGGTCGTCGTGTTGTTCCTCACTGGGCAAGTCAAAACTGCACAACTCGGGACCAAGAAGACGAGCTCACCGCCACTCAACCGTGAGGATCTCATGAAGACGAGTGAGCATGGTGGTGTAACCACCCTCATGGATGAATTCCTCAGTCCACCTGCATGCAATGAATAATCGTCACAGCTAAGATTTACGCCGACTTACGTAGCAGGCTCATTTCGTAGGTGAAGCCGCAGCTTCTTGACGACCTCAATATCAAGATGGGTAGCCTGCGCCTTGCTGATCAGCTTCTGCAGCTTCGCAGGTGCAATAGCATTCTTGCTGCGCTTTTCCTTCGCCGGTCTCGGCGCCGGGACAGGCTTCTCGTGGAATACCATCGTCTGGCGCTCAGCATCGAAGGACACACCACGGTTGTGGTTTAGAAACTTCGGGCGGTCGGGCATTTGGGAAAGGTTGTATTTCGACTGCATAGTCTTTTGCGAAGGCTGAGGCGAAGAGATCGACTCAATGCTGCGTGCCTTCCGGAGCCCACGAGGTGTCATTGGAGGCTCGGCGGGCTTGGAGCCCATGATAGCGAGATCCTTGGACGACTTCACGAAGGCTGCTTTTACGCCGGCGTCCATCGTCGCCAGCTTCTCGCGCATGTTGTCGGGTACTTGCAGCTCATCCTAGAAGGGATGCATGGTTAGGCTCATCAAGACGGGCTTCATGGACGTCAGGACGCAGCAAAGATGAGAATGGCCGACACCGAACACAATTGAAGGGCCTAGGCTCAGCATAAGACGCAAGGTACAGCTATGTGGCAGTGCTTTGTACAAGCGAGCACAGGACGTTTGGTCTGACGGAAAGAACGCTCCAGGGAGGTATAAAGGGCGAACACTCACGAGCAGCTTCTCAAACGCATGCGTCGTTGCGTGGCTATCAGGTACTTGAGCTTGCTCCTTGCCCTTACGCTTCTTGAACTTCTCAACACGAGATGGCTTGCTTTCGCCGGGAGCAGACACTTCGGGGTAGTTCTCCTTGCCATTCAGCACAGAGTCGGAAGGGGTTGTCACCATCTGAAAGTCTGCAGATGGGACCCTGCGAGAGGGGAGGATGCTTTTGAACATGATGTGACAGTCAGGGGTGAAGGACAGGAGGAATGTAGAGGAGAAAGGGGTCGCTTGTGCTTTAAGCAGTCTAAGTCGTTCGCGGAGAGTTGTGGACCTCGCTCAAGTTCAACTTGCCCCGTGATTTGACCGTGACCGTGGCGCCGCAAGCGCGTCAATCACGAGGTCGTGCACGGCCTTTGAGTCCGCTGCCACACGTGCCCGAGGAATGCCCGAAGCAGAAATCTTGACTTCGAATTTCTGAGCCTGCAGGTCGTCTGTGCATTGCAATCTTCCGGCGATCGTAGCGCAGGATGAGTAGTCTCATCTCCTGCGTCTCTTGGTGCGATTCACATAGTCTTGGTGTTAGACTATCAGCTCATCTCGATCACAGGGTCAAAAGAGGCGTAGCAGCCCGACACCCAGAGAAATATGTCCTGGACGATAATGAGCTCGCTAGAGTTAGCGCGCTCGCCCACATCGAACTGGAAGATGCGCGAAAAGAATTGGAGGCCGCACACAAGGCTGCAGGAATGATGGGAAGGGGCGCCGAAGGCGAAGAGGCCGACGATGTAGACGAGGACGAAGACGAGAGTGCCTGGGTCGAGTGAGTCTCCCTCTTGGTCTCGTGCGTACATTCAGACATTGAGTAAACGAGTCACAAGTGAAGATAACGACCAGATTGACAACGATGTCAGCATGGAAGTAGATGGGCCAAAAAAGCCATCAAAGCCAGCCAGTGGAGACGATGATCTCGCCGAGTACAATCTGGACGACTACGATGAGGATGATACCATGCCTGGTTAGTGCCTTGCTCAGTCCGATATATTCTCCATCCATTCAACATGCGAAATAGCCACGGGTCCATTTAGTAATATCAAAGGGCTCACATACTATCGTAATAATGACGAAGATCCATACATTACCTTGAAAGAGGTATGTTATATTGATCAAGAGTCAGTCATGTATGAACTGACTATCTATCAGGACGAAGAAGACAACGAACGAGAGGAACTCGAAGTCCTGCCTACCGACAATATCCTCGTCACTGCCAAAACAGAAGACGAGATCTCACAACTCGAGATCTACGTCTACGACGAGTCCGAAGAAAACCTCTACGCACATCACGACCTCATGCTCCCCAGTTTCCCCCTCTGCCTCGAATGGCTTGACTTCCCTCCCGTCACCTCCCCATCCGCCCAAGCCACTTCCACCTCCCCCGCAAAACAGTTCGGCAGCTACATCGCCGTTGGCACGATGGAGCCCGAGATTGAGATCTGGTCGCTCGACGTCGTTGAAGCGATGTACCCCGATATGGTATTGGGCCGCCCGGACAAGACAGCCGCGCACGTACCGACACCGCTCGGGACTGGCAAGAAAAAGCGCAAGAAAACCAAGCACCGCGCGACGTCTGCAGCATATCACGTCGATGCTGTCCTCTCACTGTCCTGGAACCGCACACATCGGAATTTGCTGGCGTCCGCCTCTGCGGATCGCACGGTAAAGCTGTGGGATCTCAGCCGCGACCCGACGATCAGTGGCGAGGGTGACGAGGGGCAGGGTGCACTGCGGAGTTTCGACGTGCACAAGGACAAGGTGCAATCGGTGCAGTGGAACGAGAAGGAGCCGACGGTGCTTCTGACCGGCAGTTATGACCGGACGGTGAGGACGTTCGACTCAAGAGCGCCAGATGCAGGAGTTGGCGCGGTGGTCGGAGCAGATGTCGAGGCGATCCGATGGGATCCATGGGAGGCTCACGGCTTCTACGTGGGTTCATTGCTCGAAGCTTGCACGTGCACGATCTCACTCGTATGACCTCTCAGGTGTCTTTGGAAAATGGCCTCGTCTTGAACTTTGACGCAAGAACGTTGCCTTCCGACCTAAGCTCTCCCTCGCCTGCTCGCTTCACACTCTCCGCTCACGACGGCGCCGCATCTGCGCTTGACGTGAATCCACTCCTACGGGGCTGCATCGTTACTGGCGGGACCGACAAGATCGTCAAGGTCTGGAACGTCAACGAGGATGCTGATCTGGAGAAGCGGCAAGTCAGCCTCGTCATCTCTCGCGATCTCGGCGTGGTAAGTCCTGCACTTCCTTGTTATGATTCTGCTACTCACGGCAGCGCAGGGCAAGGTGTTCTCGACGTCGTGGTCGCCAGACGACCCGCTCACGCTTGCCGCGGCGGGGTCCCAGGGCAAGCTGCAGGTGTGGGACATTGGCGCGAACGCCGGCGCGCGAAAAGCCCTGGGCCCTAAGTTGGCCGAAGCGGGCAGGATGCTGAAGGAGAAGACGGGAGGGGGAATCGTTGGCGTTGCTAGTGATGACGAGGACAGCAGCGGGGATGAGGCTGATGATGAGTGATTTGCATTTGTGCAGAGTCCATACCACCGGTGCTTTCTGAGCTTGGATCGTTGGCATCGGCGCGTCTTGTATAAACATGATTCACCGATGGGATGCAACGAGAATGAGTGCCCGTCAATACTCCAATGATGCGAGACCTATGTATGACTTGGCAGTGGCTCCAGTAGCGCACTGACGAGTTACCTGGAAAGGGCCGATGCACGACTGCAGTATTCATCGCGCAGTAGTAATTCGGAAGCAGCTCTCATCAATTACATGGCATGCTACAAGCTTTGCAACTGGATACAGTTTGTCGGACAGCGCATAACTTAGCATCTCTACTTCTACATGAATCCGTCGTCTGCATTCGACCCGAAGTCATCGAGTGCTTCATCGTAGACAGATGTGTCGAGCCTGACAGAAGTAGCCATCAGTGTCTGCAGAGAATGTCTTCTGACGGAAAGACACGTACTTGCTCGCCACTTTCGCAGCACCCAATACGGGCTTGGTAGTGGCCTTTGGCTTCTTCTTGCCCGACGCCTTGTCTCTTTGCTCCTTCTGCTTCTCGTTCGCGAGTGTCGTAAGGACACTGGCCGTCTTGCGGACCTCGACATCACGTAGGGGCATCGCAGTTCCCGTACGTGGTGCTCGACAAAAGCGGTGTACAGGGGTTTGTCCTGATGGCGCTTGATAATGTACTGGATAATCTGGTTGGAGAGCTTGATGAAGTCCTCCTTCACCCGCGGCTGCGCTGAAATCAGCTCATCCAGCTCGGACGACGAGGTACCTGTGCCACAGAGTTGAGCATAAAGAGGAGGAATGAAAGTCGACGCATACCTCCAAGAGCAGCAGCTCCAAGCAGATCAGCCGCGTTGTTGAGGTCAGAGTTAAGCTCCCTCTCCTTGTCTATGCGCATCTTCTCCCTCGGGTCGAGCACGGCGTCCTCATCATAATCTCCCTCTTCTCCTGCAGCTATTCGGGCAGCTCTCGCGGCCTCCTTCTCGGCGAGCTTCTGCTTGAGAGTGCCCTTCTTCTTTGGCGCCGCCACCGGGGCGGCGGGCTTGGCGGGCTTCTCCTCCTCGTCCGAGGATGCCTCCCAGTCACTCTGATGAACACGATAGTTGCGTGAGATCATCCTCGTATGATTAGAAAGGTGCAGGGATATACCACGTACTACTGGCGCGTCACCGTCGTCGTCTTCACCCTCCCATTTGCTCTTCACTGGTTTCTTGGGAACGGAGCAGAGGGCGCGGCCGCAGGCGTTTCTTCGCCTGACTCGTCTGCACTCCTTACATGTATCAGGGATACAGCGTTGAGCGAACGGGATTGACACACCCCAATCAGACATTTTGAAGAGCAAACCGCGGGTGTAGTAGGTCGAGACGGAGGGCAAGGGTTTCGAGTGACGATCGAACAATGGCAGCAAGAGATTATCTCTCCTCGGAAATTTCCGACCACGCTAGATTAGATCTCAGGCAGTTGATTCAAGACCTCCAGTGCCACGCTGCTGTTTGATCTGTGCTGTACCGCTGTACATGCTGCTGGGTGCTTCAATGTTTCAATGTCGACGATTATAGCTAGGATGTTCGCATAGCATCTCTAAACACATGCCTCGCTCGAACTAGGGAGTCTCAATGGGTTACGCTGCGAACGAGCCGGGTTGAATTCACAAGCGCAAACTCAGTGGTTCTCATGACCGACCTCATCAGCGGGGGACGGCCTTAAAAGCCGCAGAGGGTCTGTGCATTGATCTTGTCTCGCTGGTCGTCTAGCGACACCATGGTACACCCAAGGAGACCACAGGCCTTCGCTGAGCGCTGTATCGCTGTCTTTCGCCAGCTGCCGGTCCACCTACAGGCCGCATTCAAGTTCAGAGTACTGGGGTCTTCTGCCGTTCTAGGCGCTCTGATCATCGTGCTGCGCTTCGCTTTGTCGCGCTCACGGCGAAAGTCCCGGAGAGTTACTGACTTTGAGCGTATCGCTCGGCGACTGAAGGACGACAAGAAGTCCGGCGCAAGCGAATATGACATAGTGATTGTAGGCGGCGGTGAGCTCTTGTCATCTTGCTTCAATCGGGAAACGCGCTGACAAGTCAGCAACGCGATATAGGGACAGCTGGCTGTGTGCTTGCTTCTCGCTTGTCTGAGAACCCGAAGCTTCAGGTCTTGCTCATCGAGGCCGGCGGCAGGTGAGCACCGTGACCTTGGCAGCGATGTCGATGCTGATTATTGATGCGTTCCGCTGCTAGTTCTGTGCACAACCCCCTCTCGCGCGTCCCAGCCATGTACCACAAGTTCTTCCATACAGGATATGACTGGGACATATTCACTGTCCCCCAAGAACATGCTGCATCGAAACGCAAGTACTGGCCAAGGGGTACGAGTCCTCTTCATTGATACCTTCACTATTGCTCGTCCTGACACTCGCGTCATAGGAAGGATGTTAGGCGGATGTGAGCACCCTCCTAGTCGGAAGCATGAACGATCCTAATAACAACACATCGCAGGCTCGTCTATGAATGCTATGATGTATGGCTCAATCCCGTAAATGAGCGGCGAGAGAAATAACCTTGTATCTTCCAGCTTTCACCATGGCGCCCCTTCAGACTTCGACGAGTGGGCTGCAATGCAGAAGGGCCAAGAGGGCGCTTCGGATTGGACACATGAGAACTTCAGCAAGTACGCGCCACCAAAGACCGATACGACCGTAGAACACTCTGACCAATGCCACATCATCTAGATACTTCCGGAAGTTTGAAAAGTTCCATCCGAGCAAGGATTACTCACTGGTTGACGTCGCCCTTCGTGGGACCTCAGGGCCGGTGCATGGTAACATTACATCTAGTGGTCTTGCTGTCATCGCCTGAACCCTCTGACGTACTCTAGTGGGCTACTTCGGGAATGATTCTGACACTACCAAGTACTTCCTTGAGGCCTGCCACAACGCCGGACTGGAGCGTAGCCCAGATCTGAATACGGAGAAGGGTACCCTCGGGTCGAGCAAAGTGCGTACAAGCTCCCGTTCCTCTCCGGCGATCAGTAGTTCACTTACCTTGATGCCTATAGACGAGTCAGTCATACCTCCTCAGAACGACACTCGCGCATCCTCTAACTGTAATCTGGCAGTGACGTTCATCGACTCTAAAGGGCGGCGCGTGACGACGGAGTCTGCGTACCTTACCCCGGAAGTGCTTGCGCGCCCGAACCTTGTCATCGCTACCCACGCGCAGGTGACGCGTATCGTGTTCGAGACGACTGAGGGTAAGGCTCCGAGAGCGGTGGGGGTGCAGTTCAAAGACAGGACAGGAGAGTTGTTCGAGGTGAGGGCGAAGAAGGAGGTAGTGATATCGTGAGTAGCGCCGCGCCGCGTTCGCCGGAAGGTGCACAATTGACGATGCCTCTACAGAGCGGGTGCCATACATACACCTCAAGTGGGTCCGACACCGATGCATATCTAACACTTCACTGATACTTCTCGCAGATCCTCATGCTCTCGGGCATCGGTCCAGCAGACCACCTCGCCTCGCACGACATCCCCGTCCTCGTTGACCACCCGGCGTCGGTTCTCACCTCATGGACCATCCCGTCATTGACTTCCACTTCCGTGACAAGACCAAATCTCGCATGGCGGCTCTGTCGTACGACGCGTCTAGGTTTGGGAAGGTAGACCCGCAGCAATCGTCAAGCAGTTGACGTACTTCGCTGAGTATAAGCTCTGGGCGACGGGCCCGCTTACCACGAATGTGCGCCAATTTTCTTCGTCTTCATACCGAGGAACGTGACTGACGCGACGGGTGATTGCAGGTTGCTGAAGCCGCCGCGTTCGCGCGTTCCTCTGATGCTTCTCTCCTGGCTAAGGCTGGTGTCACACTGTCCGCGTCGGACGACCTGGAAGACTCCACGTCGGGGCCGGGTGCGCCAGACATTGAGATATTCTTCACGCCGCTGTCGTATATCGAACACGGGAGGATTCCCTTCCCGCAGGGACATCACGTCGGGGTGCATATCGTCCTCCTGAGGTGCCGTCCTCCCCCATAACCTGTGGCGCTTTGTCTGACGTATCCTGTTTAGGCCGACAAGCACGGGCACCGTGAGACTGCAGTCCGCCAACCCGTCCGACGCGCCGACCGTTGATCCCAAGTACGTCTCCGCCTGATCACCGCATGCATGTCTCTGACCGAGAACGGACAGATACCTCGCCACGCAACACGACATCGCCGTCCTCGTCCGCGCGACGCGCCTCATCGCGCACATCGTCAACACGCCTCCGTTCTCGTCCGCGGTCCTCGACCCCGCCGGGGCCGCCGACACCTCGGGCCTGCTCAACCACACCCTCGCGCAGCAGTCGGACGCGGAGATCGAGGCGACCATCCGCGACCGCGTCGAGACGCTGTACCACCCGACGTCTACCGCGCGGATGGCCCCGCGGGAGGACGGCGGCGTGGTGGACCCGCTCCTGCGCGTGCACGGCGTCGAGGGGCTGAGGGTGTGCGATGCGAGCGTGTTCCCGACCATCACGAGCGGGCATACCGTGCGTTCGTCGTCTTATGTCGCGAGGGCTGGTTTGACTGACATGACTGCGCGTAGGTCTCGCCGACAATTGCACTCGCGGAGAGAGCTGCGGAGATGATTCTCGAGGCGTATAGGGAGTGAGCCCTCGCTACCGGGCTAGTGAGAGTCTGTGTCTTGTTTAGATATGGAACGTTGGATCCAACGCACTCGCAGAGCTAGAGATTGGTTTGTTTCTAGGCAGCTTACAGAAGACTAGCATGGGCATTGAGTAGTCTCATCAGGATGAACGGTTGAAGAGATGTGACCCACGCTCATGTACATACATATGGGTGCCCGAAACAATCAGAGCGTCACAATCGTGCTCGCTGGTAATTCGTTATTCACGCATGGGCCCCGCCTACCAATGAAACGTTCATTCTCCACGCAGCCTGGACACCTCACGCGCCCCAGCGCGATGACTTTCACCCGGCCGACCCGATGGCAGGCTCTGAACAAACTCATCATCATAAAGACCCCCCGGGCCATGTCCAGGCGCGCGAGTGCACGTACATTTCCAAACGCAAGGGGGCGCACGGCACTCCTGTTCCCCGCAAAGACACTGCACTCGCAGACTCGGAAGAGCCCGTCGACCGCTGGCGGGTGGCCACCCTCCGGACGGTGCTGATTATTCGGCGTTCAACGTCCAGGCCGAGACAGAGTCCGGGAAGAGATGAGCGTCGGGACCACACTGATAATTCGTCTGATCTTGCGGGAAGCAGGGGGTCTCGGCCGTGTACTGCGAGCCCAGTGCACGCCACATCGTGTCAAACGAGAATGTGGGTTATCGGGGTGGGATGTCGCCGATGGCACGAGGACATGGCGGTGCTTTTCGAGTGCAGGTGGTGTCGAATGAGCAGACAGGACGTTCATCGCGGCGCGCGTTCTATGGAGTGCGCTGTAGTCGGCGTCCAGGCGTCCAGGCGACGTAAATGTCATTGGCAACGAGATGCGTTAAACGGTCGATAGCTGTATGTAACCTAGCAGTATCTGAACCATCGCGCCTGGTATACGGTGGATAACTCACAGGAACCAACCATCCCCAGATATCTGCGTTCGAAAAGCCACCACGGCGTTCGGTGCACACGCCCTCTAGAGAGCGCGGGACCGCACGCGCGAAACAACCGCACGGCCCTTCGTGAAGCACCGTAGAGTAGTTGCTTCCTTCCCGCCGGCCGCGCACGATCATAGATGAGTATGGCGCTCCGACGGCGACTGAGAACTGAGCGCTGAGTACTGAGCGGCGATCCCCTGCATGCAGCCCGTACGTCACCGCCGCTGCAGCGAACGCGCCGCATTTAAGCATCTCGTCCCGAGTCCGTGCCCAGTATGACGGGCGATAGCGACGGGTCCAGAAAAGTGCAAGCCTGGCCACCGGGCGGTTCGAAGCACCTTCAGTGAGTGACGCTGGACGAGAGCGGACGCCTGGGCTTGAGGCCGAAGGGGGTGTGCTTCAAGCTTCGCACGGCATGGATAAGCGGATGAAACGGAGGAAGGCGGTGGATCGAAGACATGATAGAGAGGTACTATGTGGGGAATGGGATCGGAGAGTTCCAGAGTTACTGTACGACGCTGGTGGAATCGTGCTCTCGCTGACCATCTGCTCGTTCGTCAGCAGTCATGTATCAGGATCATAGCGTCTCACGATGCGGATGGCATACGTAGCCAGACAGATGTGACGGCGACGACGCCGACGCCGTGTGTGGCTGGGAGGGTAGCACAGACAATATATTCGAGAAGAGCCCATGGCGTTCGGTATACAAACGGATATACCCTGGGACAACGGGAGACGCCCTCTATGACGAGGGAGCGCTGTTTGAATGGCTCTTGGCGGCCGACGTGCGGCAATCAGGCTCAAGCAAGGAAAGACAGAGGACGTCATAGCAGAAGCACATACGCGTCGCCTGGCGGTTTCTGCGTTACAGTAGCGTTTGAAGGCACTGATCTGGGCATGTATCATGATGCAATTGTGCGAGTAGCGGTGCACAACAGTGATACAAAGGAAAAGAGCCAACAGAGGTACGGGGCTGTCGTACTCGGGATATCATGAGGCTGGTTCGGAGGATCATTGCAATCTAAACGCCCAGCCAAGGATACTCCCTACAGCTGAGATGACCGGAGGAAGCAAAGGCCGATACTTAAGTATAGCCGTGACGTACTTGTGTGAGCGGTGGGTGGCATAGACACACCTTCGGGAAACGCGTTGCGGTCCGGCGAGCGACACGACTGGTGCACGCGTCCTGCGCTGGGGAGCGGCGGGGCTAAGGAGGACAACAGCGCTGGAGTGGCAGACAGCAGCGAAGGCAAGGGTGGGAGCAGAGGGCAGGGAAGCCACTACCGCCACAAGGCACCGTGCTACGTCACTGGTGGGCAGCCCGATCACGGAAGGCGCTGGGGGACGATTGGCTGAGAGGGCGGTGGTGGAGTGCGAACAACACCAACGGTCGCTCGAGGCTCGCTTGCCTCGCCCCGTCTGGTCATCCACCTGCCTCAGCAGCCTTTCCTGTCAAAACACTTGTGTCCGCGCAGGCGGCCATGCGCGCGAGCCCAACCCTCCCGCCGCTGCGCCTCCATCAGAACACGTCAGCCCCCGTCTCTATCCCTCCCACTGCCGGCCCCGCCTCCGACGCGTGCTCGCTTGTGTCGCCCCATAGGTCAGTTACCCTTCCGCCGACACGCCGCGCTCTCACCCGCTTTCTCATATTTAGCCTAGGTCCACGCTTCGCCCTCACCCGCCCATTCCCCGTCATGACCACCGCTACCGCCATCCTCGGCCTCGCTATCCCGTCCGCCGAGCCTCGCTATACCCACCTCGCCCAGGATTCAGACCACCGCAGACCAGACGCGTCCCCGCTGGGCACGCGCAAGAGCCCCTCCCCGGGCACGGTCACACTCACCGCAGACCAGTACGCGTACCTCATCTCCCTCATCCACGTCCAGTCCTCCCCCTCCACCTTCGCCCCCGCCCCCTCCATCGTCCGCCCACAGTCCTACCCCTCCCGCGCCGCTCCCGCCGCGCCGATCCCGTCCCAAGTGCGCTTGCTCATGGACCAGTTCCCGCACGTCGAGCCAGACATCCTCCTCGCCATCACGCGCCATGCGTTCGACCCGCTCGAGCTCTACAAGCTCGACGAGCACTACCGCGGCTCCTCGGGCACGCCGCCGCCCGCAGACCCGTCCGCGCCCGCGAAGGTCACCACGCGCGACTTCATCACGCGCTACTACCCCTCCTTCTCCTCGCTCGTCTCCCCCCTCTCCACGTACTTCCGCATCCTCCTCGCCCTCGCGTCCGCGGCGCCGGCGCCCACACCCTCGTCGCCATCTGCACCGCCGTCCCCGCACTCACCTTCGTCGACGCCCGGACCGGCAGACGTGCTGGCGATCGCATCCGCGAGCACGCAGTACCTCGCGCGGCTGGTCATGCTCTCGGAAGAGCACCACTGGGCGGTCATCCTGCCCTACCACATGGCGTTCCACCGCGCGCGCACGGAGGAGATGCGGCGCGGCGACTACGGCGGGTGGGCGACGGTCGACGTCGAGCTGCTCGTGCGCCTGATCGAGGAGCGCGAGCGCGAACGCGAGGCGGAGGAGTGGCGGTACGAGCCGAGGCGGGACAGGTCGAGGTGAGGGGGAGACGCGAGGCTGAAGGACGGTGGAAGGGAGAAGAGGTGTTGTGCGGACACGCGGAAGGCGATGTTCTGATGCACTGGGCGTGCGGTCCGTGCCGCTGGGCAGTGGGAGGACGCAGCGGACCCGGGTGTGTGCATCCAATGTGCATCCTTGAAGTTGGTGCATCCCCGATGGGATCGCGCATCGAGACGGCGGCGCGTGCCGGTCCGCCAGCCTCCCGGCAGGACTCCTTCGTCTTCCTCAACGACCTCCATCCGCCCGTCGTCCGCCGCGCTAACTCTCCCGTCCTCAAGCTCAAGTGTCCTCCCCTCCTCTGTCTCTGCTCCCTGTTCGCTTGTGTTCTTGCTCGTCTTCAGTGTCGCTCTCGGGTTCCACGGTCTAGATGTCCGTCCGTCCTACTCACCATCGTCTTCATCTCCCTACGTGCGCCGCACTCGCACCCCCAACCCGCCATTCATCCCCGCTCACGATCGAAGCTCCCTCGGGTACTACCCCCGTACCTCGTACAGCCCATACCCCACTCTGCAGGACCCAGACTCGCGAACTCTGTTGACTCTGTGTGTTTACTTATTCTCTTGTGACTTTGTCCGCGTCGCTGTTGTTGTGGACTTTGCTGGGCGTGGTGTATTATACGCATCGTATTTGTCTAGTGTACAATGCATTCGTGGCTATCCTGAGCAGGACGTGGTGGTTCGGCTGTGCTGGCAGAGAACGGGTGGTAGTGAGTTCGGACTCCAAGTGAGTTTGCTTTCAATGTGAAAGTGATCGAAGGATCGAAGGGGGGTACGCGCTACACGTGCACGTGATGCCCTGGGGAGGCTTGGATCATTGCAGTGAGGAAGGCCCCTGGCCCTCGTCTCGACTTTCTGTCACTGCAGCTGGCAGGGCGCATATAGGTACTCTCCCGTCTCGTTTACAGGCATCATGTCCACCCCAGAAACCACACCGGCGAGCGGCTGTTCACCTGCCACTGCGGTGAGCAGTTCTCGCGCTTCGACAACCTCCGCCAGCACGCGCAGACCGTCCACGTAGACGAGCAGGACCAGAACGAGCGCATGATGCGCGACCTCACGTCCCTCCACGCCAGCATGACCGTGGCAGCCCCCGCAAGCGCACCCAGACCGCGTCGCTGCCGCCGCCGCATCCACGAACACCGTGCCTGCGATGGACATCACGAAGACGGCGTCTAAGTCCTCCCGCCTTTTCACCAGCGCCCCGGCACCAGCACTGGCTACGAGGGCGCAGGCACGCTCTACAACTCCGCCGACACCACTTGGTACGTCCTAATTAGACGTCCAGGCGAGGAGCCATCCCTTTCGTGACCTTTCGTAACCCTGCAGCCGTCCACGTCTCTGTCTCACCCACTTCGTCAGATCCCGCACATGCAGGCCAGTCCTTTCTTGTCCCCCCGCCTCCTCCTTCAACGTCGCAAAACCGAGAGTAACTTTTTTTGGCGAGCAACGGACACTACGTCTCGCTCCCTCTGCCTCGCCGTGCGCACCGCAACCTCTCTGCCCCACCTCAAGCAGCCCACCTCGCCTCGTCCCGACGCATCGCATCCGCCTCATTTCGCGCCTCGCCTTGTGCCCGCCCATCTACCGCCACGTTCGCGAGGGCGGCGCACCACTGCGAATTGGGCGGCTGACCGACCGGCGAGTGCCTGGGCTTGCTGCTGTGAACGCGTGAACAAGCTTGCGTTCCAGTCCCAGGTCGTCTCGTGCCACGCCGAGATCTGGATGGAGCTCGGCGGCCAAGTCAGGATCAACCGAGATCACAACAGGCGCAGTAGACACTGGGCACGACGCGCACACCATCGCGACGTGCGCTGCGTGCACAGCACGACGGTGTGTGCGGCGGGCACAGCATGGCGGCATCGGCACACACGACAGTTGCAAGTACCGGGGGCGAGGGCCCAGAGGGCAAGCGTGGCTGACGAACAGCTGACCGGCGCAGGCAGGGCGCGGAGAGTGGACACGAGGGGCTGACTGACGAGCGGCGAGCAGCAGCCGGCGCGGACGAGCAGCAGCGGGCGCAAGCAAGCGGCGACGCGCGGACGAGCGGAGATGTCCACGTACATGAACATCGGCTGGTGGCAGGATATGAATGTGAGTCTACATCCGCGATCAGTACGCCCGTAGAACTGCGACCCGCAGTGGACCGCTCAGCTACTAATAGTACTATGCCATATGAGCCCGGGCCCGGCACCTGGTTTCACTGAGCCCAGGCCCGCCCAAGCCGGGCCCTTGCCCGGGCTTTCAGGCCCAGCCCGGCCCCAACATCACTGGTACATATATACAAGGGTGTAGGTAAATAACAGTTATACAGAATCATGACAGACCGGCGCACATATCTAACAGCGACAAAGCAAGATCGTAACGAGGACAACGAAGGCAGGATAGTAGCTCACAGTGAGGTGAGAGCGACTTTAAGGCACAGCGAGATGATAGAGGTTTCACAGCAGAGCACAGCGATTCAAAGCTTGTCAAAAGCGGACGGCGGGCGATATGGACGAGACGAGGAGAGCGAGCGCGATCGATTCTTCATTTGGGGGTCATTGCCGGCTGCATGTAACCATTCAGAGGTGCGTCAGTGATTGCTAGACATAGAAACCCAACGGAAACTCACTCGATATTGTCGTAATGTCTCTTCCGCGCATCCGAAGAGGCAAACAGTCCCTTACAGCCACAGTCGCTCCGTTCACAAGAGCAAACGTACAAGGCGAAATGGTCGATCTTTTTGCCGACATGCTCCGCAAGGGCATAACATGGGCGCCTCTCCGAATGTTGTTTGATCAACTCGGAGCATATTGTGCCGTCTTGATACAGCCAGGTACAATTGCTAACCACCTTGTCATTCTCTTGACGAAATTGAGGAGGGTGGGATAAAGCGAGGTGTGTCTCGAATACCCGCTTCAAGTCGTTTTCATCGGCACCACGGAGTTCAACACCGCACTCTGTGGTCGGACTGAGACTGCCGTCGGCCAATGTTGGGCCGTCCACGAAGCGGCACCTGCGCTTCAGCTCACCCAGCTTGTCTAACGATGGCTGTTGGTCGACTACGTCCCCTTCACGCTCGGCGTACTCAGGGAAGTCTCCATTTAGCGAATTTTCATATTTACTGACGCCAACATTGAACAGGGGGAATGATCATCAGAATAAATAACAAGGTTCGCATCACTGCACTCACAGACCCACAACATTGTCGTGTGGAACGACACTGCCATTAAGAACGACCGGGACGCGCAGCGACCTGCAAGAGAGGTGGTAAGTCTATGATGACTGTTAGTAGGTAGTTCATTGCTTACAACAAATTACATCTTCTTGTCTTCTCCTCCCTTCATACCAGGCAATGGCACCTGGAATGATATCATGACTAACGATGGCCTTGGTTACCTTACATCCGCTGAAGTAATTGGTCGCTTACCCTGCCTCTCTCAACTGAGAGGACTGGGATTCCGGCGGGTCCATATTGGCCATCTGGGTTTGTGATTTACAACCGAGTCGCTTATATACGACGACTCCGTGGACACCATGGATTCCAGAGTAGTGGTGCGTCCACCTCGCTGGTGTACATTCACATTTCTGCTTGAACTGAGGGCCACCGCAGAATGTCTTTCCAAACATGCTTTGAAACCCACTGTTCGTGTAGCAGAAACCGTCAGGTGTGTTGGCTCAATATCCACACTTCGGCATGTAACTTATGACATATTGAGGTGATGGTAGTGGCTCAAGACGGCGATTTCGTAGATATCGACCCACATCCGAGTCAGCCCTTGACGGCTCGGGGGAAAGGCGCGCTGAGACATACTTTACGATGGCGTGGTGGGCGATGGAAATGTTGAGGGGGTACTGTGGTGGGGGCAAGACGGGTTTTCTCTGCTGTCTCGGACAATGCATTAGAGAGGCCTCCGAGAGAGAGCGGAATGTCACGACGGTCAAGCGCGGGCGCCTGACACCCCCAGCCCGCTCTTGATCTACAATAAACAATACTAGTGGAATGATCTCGGTTGTATGCCATGGTGGACAAGTCCTTGTGTTACTGTATATACCAGTGGGTCCACCACGAGAATGACTCAGCACGGTTGTGTCGAGTTCTCGAGCTGTTCTTGGAATTGCATGCTATCAATATTTGCTAATATTATACTATTAGCGTCTCAGAATCGTTGCTTCGCAGAAGCGGCGTAAATATGGCAGGAGGAGGATGTGGAAAGTAGTGCCTAGATCGATGAGTTCTCTACACTGGCAGTCGCGACTCACATGCACACCTCGCGCGGGAAAGATGCGCCATAAAGACTCAGATAATTCATGCCGCGGCTGTCAGGGGGCGGAAACATTCATTCCAAGCGGACTCCAGACGAGACTATGCATCATTAGCCTGACCTTTTGATCCTGAGCGGAACTCAATACGATCCGCAGTATCCACGCCACCCAATGCATGTCTTGCGTGAGGATCGCCGAGGCATGTACTCTAGGGGAGCCGCATCTTGATATCATGGCAGCGCGTACGATAAATGTTTGCAGGGATGAACGCAGACTCACCGCCAGGAAAGTCTTCAAGGGGCGTAGAAAATCCGACGGGAGACACAACTGTATGTTATACGTATGAGAACACGGCGTGCCTCGACGGCAGGGTCAGGATGAGTAGTAGTATGACAACAACGGGTGTGAGGTACGCGTAGCAATGGCATGAGCGAGGCAGAGGGAAGAGCGAATCGGAATAATGGGTACTGGTATAAGAACACGGGGGCCCCGCGCGCCGGGCACTACTGTCGCGCGCGAATACATATATACTCCCACCTCTAGGTTAGGCAGCTGGCAGCCCGTAGTCGATCGACCGATAGACGAACCCCAAACATACGAAAGAAGGTCCGAGGAGGGCACAGAGACGCAGAGACAAAAACACACCAAACACAACAGACCGCGCGTCACCCCGCCGCTGCCGCGGCAGGCCTCTTCGCCGGCTGCAGCGACGCCCGCTTCTTCTTGTGCAGCTTCGCGCCCCGCTCGTCATCCGACGTCTCCCGATTATGCCGCGTCTTCGCCGGCGGCAGCGTCCGACTCCTTGTCACGCTCACCACCGAGCCCTCATTGCGCGAGTTCCGTCTCGACGGCGGCGTCTCTTGCACGGGCGACAGGTCGCCCCCTTCCGCCTGCCTCTCTGCTCCACCAGAAAAGAGAACCAGACGTCAGCCACCGCACTCGCAGAGCCCAGCGCAACCGACGCACCCGACGATCGTTCTGTCGTCGTCCGCCGTCTCGTGATCCGTCTCGGACTATTCACGAGCTTCCACCCACCTGGCTGCTCGTCATCGCTCCCTGAACTCGGCATCACATCCACCCCCGTCGTCGGCACCGTCTGCGCGCTGTCCGCCCGGCTCGGCGGCGGCGGGATGTCGAGCATGAACCAGTCCTGGTGCGCGATCAGGAACTCGAGCACCTCCTGGCTCAGCTGGTGCTCCTGCGGGCTCAGCTCGTGGCTCGGGTGCGCGATCAGCGCTGGCCGGAAGATCACCGCCAGGTCTACGCGGGGCTCGTCAGAAGATGGGACGGATAGGAAAAGGGAGGAGCGCACTCTTGGCGTTCATGAGGTTCTTGTCCGACTTGCGCGCGAAGACGGAGAGCAGGTCGAGCACGTAGAGGAGGAGGTACTGGTTCGCCCGCGGCATCGAGCGGATCAGCCGCTTGTACGTCTGGATCACCTCGTCCTGGTTAAACGGCTTTTTCGCTGTTCACATATCAGCCACCACGACCTCCCGAGACAGAATTCGACACACCGAGAGCATCCCGGAACTGATGGTGACCCTGAGCGGTCAGCGCGGGTAGAAAAAAAAAGACGAAGGATACTGCGACTGACATAATGGTACATATCATGGGGTATCACGGGTTCCTGGAGGGTGCTTAACGCGCCGTGGGAGATAGAAGCGTATGGAAAACGTACAGGCATCTGCGTAAGGAATCGCCGGAACACGCTCGCGACGTCGTGCGTTGTGTAGTGCTCCCTTTTCCAATCGAGATTCTTGCCATACTGCGGAATCGTCAGCACCAGATCGAAGCAAAGAGGAGGAACGCACCCTAGGCGGAGACTCGAACGCAGCCTGCAAATCCCGCATCCGTTTATTTGAGCCGTTCACCCGGAAGGTGCCCTCTACCTCCGTTGCTGCGCCCACCCCTCAGTCAACGGCCGCCGAAGCACCACGTACAAGCACGACGCACCATTCTCCTTTAAATACAGCCCACTAGCGCCAGCAGAGACAGTCCGTCATCCAACATCACCGAGAAGGGAGAAGGGGGACTCACCACTTCGCGACAACGACCGGGATGTAACCCCACACATAGAGCTCGCCGTTCGAATTTGCGGTCGAGATCTGCACGCTCGCATACTTGAGCGACTCCTTGAGCGGCTTGCTGAACACGACGCCCTCGCCTGCTGCACAGTCATCGTGTATTAGTGTCTGCTGTACAGGGTGATCGAGCGCGAGGAAATGGGATCACTCGTGCGCGATTAGGTTCCTGGAACGCAAAACGCAGTGCGTGTTTCTATCGGCACACGCCCCGAGTCCCACGGAAAACATATGTCCTGCAGGCTCAGCCAGGGTGTATAAAAAGTCAGGGGGCGCTGTTTGATGTAGGGGACATCGAATGAATCGATTGAACGACTGAGGGAAGAACAACGGAGCCTCAAAAGCAGACCCCGTAGCCTCGAAGGGTGAGCTTCGCCCACCAGTCTTTTGGGTCTGACGACTTTAGTACCACTGTGCGCATAACCTGCAGTCGCAGCCAATCGAGGCGAGACTACGGGGCCGCGGAGGGCATCCCTATCTCGTATCCAAAGCAGACGAACGAACAGATAGGGGCAGACTCGCCTTTCTTCTCCTCCGCCTCCTTCTTCGCCTGCTGTGCAAAGCGAAAATGATTCCACCACGCCTTCAAGTTCTGCTTGGCCTGCTGTTGGGCAGGCTCATGTGCATGGGCGTCATGCGCAGCGGGGGCGGTCGTCATGAGAGTACTGGCGCGGGGACGAGGGAGGTCAGAGACGGAGCGGCCGGAGCGAGGAGCGGGAGCGGGTGTGGTCGAGGGCGAGGGCGCGGACGCGGTGTTCGGCCTGGCGGGCTGTGGTGGCGCTTGGGGGGTGACGTCGGTCGGCGGGGGGAGGGTGGTGTTGGCGCGGCGGCGGACGCGCGGGAGGAAACCCAGGATCGGTCTGCGGCGGCGCGAGGCCAGCGTAGGAGGTCCAGTATGTCGACGGCGACCGCGACGCGGCCGGAGGTCGGACGGGAACAGACGCAGAGGGGGGCAGCAGGCGCACGGACGCTGACTACGCTCGCACGGACCAATTGGCTGGCGCAGAGAACAGACAGGCGGCAGCAGAGGCGGCGGGGGGACGGTGAAGATCGTTCTGTCAAGTGCAATGGCGGGCGCGGAAGCGGACTGGGAGCGTCCCCGCCCGCGGCTTTCTGCGCCAGAACACGAGGCCGCCTGCGGTGGCGCTGCCCTCTGCACGGCCTGCGATCCCGTTCGTGTGCAGTTCGACGGCTCGCAAAAAGCGTCCGCGATTTCATTTACTGTCCTCTCGATTCACTCGCTGCATGTGCTCGCCGACGTCCCGAGGAGGCGACAGGGGCACACCTGCCTCCGAGTCCACACGCCGAACAGAAATCCGGTCACTGCCTTGGCGTCTTTTCCAATCTCTCATACAAATTCCATTTTAGGCAACTGTTGCCTCCCCATAGCGCTCGCCGCCGGCTCCGAAGAGGATACGCTACTTACACTACAGGTGATCTGCTCAGCTACAGTAGATTGCTGCGCTTGTATGATGCGCTGCTTCTTGCATCCAGAGCGATTGATTCAGGATCCATTGTCCGCTTGTTGCTCTGCGCGACCTCAGGCTTGTCAACTACAGTCGATAACCTTTTCAGTGGAATTTGAGTGGAATGATAACACGCGCGCGCTCACACCAATTCAACTCAATGTCGACTGTCAGAACCTGGCGTGGAAAGGTGACAGCATGTTCGATCGGTCCGCCAACAAGCCCTCTCAGACGCGCGTCCATACCATGTCGAGCAAAGTCAAGCGCTCGACCAAATGTCTAAGTACGCCGAGCGAAAGGCAAGCCGATCCAGAGGCTGCAAAGACACTACTCAACGAACAAGCGCAATAACGAAGGTATCGCTTCCACAAACAAAAACAGGAAACGCACTATGTAAAAACTCCCCTCCAATGTATAAGCTCAAACCAGACGGCCACGGCCACCCACCAGAGACCCAGTCCACCTACACCAGCCCCCGCCCACCCATCTGCACCGTATCCCCCACCGCCCGCAAAAGCTCCTCCCACGCCCTCGTCACCACGCCCTTCCCCTCACCCACCCCGGCATTCCTCAGCCGCCGCCGCACTTCCTCCACCGTCCCACCCCCATTCGCACTCGCCGGGCGCCCCCGTCTCCGCCTTACCCGGAGTACGAACGACAGCAGCGGCACCACTACGAACACGAGCACGTACGCCGCGAGCTTCGTGCGCGACATCCCCCGCGTGAGTGCCGCGCAGCTCGTCCGTATCAGCGCCAGTGCGCTGGGCACACGCAGAGGTGCGGGTGCTTCCAGCGGGGCAGCGCGGGGTAGTCTCGGGAGTGGATGCGGGACGGGTGTCGTTGCGCGTGGCGTGTCCAGTGAGACATCTGCGCCGCCATTCACGGCTTTTGAGCGGTTCGCCGAGCGCGATCGGCGTCTCGGGGAGGTGGCGTGCGCATTGGAGGGGGTGACGGTGCGCGAGGTGGTTGTGGAAGAGATGGACTGGGAGGAGGCGGAAGGAGGGATGGACGTCATGCGCGAGACGGGGGGCAGGGCCGCCTTGCTTTTCCCACTAGGGCGTGGCGTGGTCGGTGTCGCGGTATGCGTCGAACCGCTCGACGAGGACGAAGCCGACGAGTCAGAACGCGCAGGGGAGACAGAGCGCGAGGTAGAGAGTGTTGGCTCCGAGGTGGATGTCGGGAGGCCTTTTGTTGTGGGTGGTGGTTGGGAGGACATAGCCTGTATACGCAAGCTTCGCAAGGACGACATCATGTACTGCGAGCGGGCAGTTAGCGGTCTGTTAACGACCACAAGTCATCCTGGCAAACGAGAGGAGTCGAGGACACAGACAGCATGAAATAGCCATCCGCGAAGACCCGATGATCAGAAGCCCATGGGCGTGCCCGCTATTCAGAGCGCAGCTGTCTCCGTCAACGCTTTGCCCATAGATCCATGGGCAAACCGCTGACAGAGGCATTGACTGCGCTATGAGCAGTGGGCCAGCACATCATACGATATACCCAAACATGGGATTGTCATTGCAGCTGAATGAACGTACCTTCCGCGTATCTGGCGCCAGCTCGCGCTCATACTGCAGGAAGTCCTCTGCGTAATCCCAGTCTTCCAGGCGGGGGAGGACGTGCAAGCAATACAGCTCCATCACCTTAGCGTACCCTTCCCTGTCCTCCTTCCCGCCCTCCGCGTACTGGGCCGTCTCGCGAGCCAGTCCTCGATCATCCCTCTCCCGACAGCCGTGCATCCCAGCTTCAAGCTGGCCAATGCGAGTGTCACGAGCACCTGCGCAGGGAGATACGTCGAACTCGGCTTCATCATGTGCGCGCCGGAGGAGGTAGTCGGTGTGAAGAGCTGCAGGGCGCGATTGTGCAGCGTCGCGATGAACGGCTCGGGCGAGAGGAGGAGGTTCGCGCGGAGCGGCGGCGGGAGCTCGTCGGGGTCCTCCGTCTGCGGGGGCGCCGCGTACAGGGTCGTCTCGAACGTGATCCTGAGGATCTCCCACTTCCTGCGCTGGCTCGCGAGCGGGTCCGCCGTGCGCGGGGGCGCGGTGGCGTCGGCGTAGTACGAGTACGGGGGCGGCGCGACCAGCGCGAAGGCGGCGGTGAGGAGCGAGTGGGTGAGCGCGACGTTGCGCTGGAGGAACGCGCGGGCGGCGCGGGGGTAGAGTCCGCGCAGGCTGGCGAGCGTCGAGTTGGACGACGAGAAGGAGGCCGAGGGCGAGGCGGACGAAGGAGTGGACGGGACGGAGGAGCTCATGGAGAGGTTCCCGGTGGAGGCCTTGAGGTTGAGGCTGCCTGGGACGGCGGTCTGTGTGGTGGAGGTCACGCTGGGCATGATGCTACGGGGACGGCGGGGGCATAGGAGGTGTGCGGGGGTAAGCAGTCGGGTAATAGGTCGTGGAGGCGTGTGTGTCCCCGCTTGCCCGTCCTTGGCCCGATTCACGCGCCTCGGCTACTCCGGGACCATCCCCGACCCGCCCCACACCGCTCTCAGTGCAGTTGTTGGTTCGGCCCACGCATTCACGCGGATGTGCGTCGACACCGTTGTGAAGGACGCCTTAGCAGAGGCTTGAAACCCGATAATATTGCAGTACGATACGTTACTGGATTCAAACCAATGAGATCGCACCCATTAGCGAATTTAAAGAGGGCTCGACGGACAGCACAAATGATGAGCAGCCTATGCTGCAAAGGCCAGACTAGTACTACAGCCATCTCCAACCAGCGTGGACTCACTACGTGACTTATACTGTACCAGCCGTACACATATACACCCAGACATATTGTGAGGTAGCATTTGTAGGATTCAACGGCGGAGTCACCTCACACGGTGGCAGCCCAACAGTCAATAAATAACCTGGCCGAGTGGAGAATATGCATGCACGGGATCCTGAGTCAATTTGGAGAGTGCAACTGCCGAAAGTATTCCTGGCAAATGAGGCGTCCCACATACGACCGTGATAGCAGGCGACTTTTCATAACGAGCGAGCACACTCGCGGGCACTTCGCACAGTACTGGCATAACATTGGACATATTCCATGCATTAGTATGGTCAGTACGGAGGCGAGCACGATCTGCTTTGGTTTCCGCCATCCTCTGACACCTCTGACACGAGGATACGCACGGGCTGATTTTTCTCTGCATCGAGTCTTTATTGGCTTGCGCCGCGCTGTGTCTTGTTCATCGAGATGCATCTTGGTTTGACCTTCAGCTGTTGGTACGCATGATTCGACCTCAATACACCTATGTAAGTAGTTGACGTGTTGCCGTCGCTTCCGAGTCCTGTTTTTATGCTACGCTCAGGATACGCCGTCTTCCCCCTCGTTATTATACGTGGAGATTTCGTGTTGAAGTGCAGTGCAACATTTGATCCTATCCGCGGGTCTTGATAGCTATCCATTAATGTCAATGTGTAGCTGATTGTTATAAGGTCTGCAGGTCTGCATCATTGCTCTGGAATTCCTGTCATTTTAACGTCGACAATTTGAGTGGCACCCTGAGCGGAATCGATAGCGAATGAGGCGACACGGCCTCAGCCATAGATACTGCAGCGCCCGGCCATAATAAAGACACGCTTTCATTACACTAGTTGTTCATCACTGCCCCAGGCCGCGCTCAGGCCCATCTCTGCGCATGACAGTGCAACATGTACTACCTCCGGTAGGCTTCGGTTTCGGTTGCGGTTTCGGTTTCGGCCGCCCCATGCCGCTAGTTGGCTGATCCTTGCGTCCGGGTCTCCTCTTGGACAGTTTACCATATACACCGTCAGCATGGTACCGAGCGTCGAGGTCGTGTCGAAGAATGCATTTTGAGCCTGGAGGCACCGCGCCACAGGCCACTCCGTTCCTACGGTGGTGCCAAACTGAGTCTTGCGACCAGTGAGGCAGAAGACTTCCAACACGCACCGGTGAACAGGGAGGGCAGATACCTGTGCCACAGCGCTCACAGCGAGCAGAACAATTGTGAAATGGCGCATGGATCGACTCTTGGCGTTTGAGTCGGCGGAGGAAGGGTGGAGAATAAACAAAAAGCAGAGCTGTAGCACAAGAATCGGAGTCAGTGTACATTACGCCTTGTCATGGAAGAATTTAAGACTGGGACGTACCAACCAGTGCTCGTGCTTGGGGATGAGCTCGAAGTATGAAAGAGAGGAGCTGAGGGAAAGGGCAGATACTCGACCACCTCTTATACTGTGAAGTCGCCGACAGTGTCAGTTTCACTGTGACGGGCGTGCCGGGGGCTGGCCGGGTTGAGTGTCGAGACGTAGGCGAGAGCGAGAGATCGTGCAAGTGCGAGAGCAGAGGACAAGGGCGCAGGCCCGAACACTGGTGTTGGCAAGACGAGAGACGTACAAAGCGGAGCGCCAGCTATCTAGGGAATCGCGGGACTCGCCGAGAGCCAGGTACAGTCGATGAGTGACTCGAACAGGAACCAGGATACATGCCAAATCGGGAAAGCGGGAACACTGTGGCTACGTAGACCGTGGCGCATCGTATCGCGCTGTACAAGAGTCCATGTGTAACGGTGTGGCCGTTACACCACCTCCTCCTCAAGGGGAAGCGGTGACGCGACCTTCAGAGGTCAAGCCGTTGCGGCGGTCTCGAGACACGACCGGAACGTGTCGTGGTCTGTGTGGGCGGCACATACCAACGACGAGGATGTCTGAGATGTCGGGGAAAGCGTCGAGACTTGAGCTGTCGAGAATGAGAGGATCGGGGTCGGCATGGGAATGAAATTCAGAAGGATCGGAGTAGGGTTCGAGAAGGGAAACGTGGAAGACTGGATGAAGGCGAGAAAGATAGGAGGGAAGGCGAAGTTGGTATGCAGAATTAGAGATGGCGCGATCGACGGGGAAGGGGCCGAGACGGCGATGGTCGAGCTTGTCTGACGGTCGGGTGGACTTGATATGACGACGCAGCAACCAGACGAGCTGGTCCGGCTTATACGTCGGGCTATCGAGGACATGCGCGTTGTATGCGCGAGCTTGGCGGTCTTGAGCCTCCTTCAACTCGGCGCGGAGCTCGTCATGGAGACGCTCCAAGCGCTGAGCAAGATCGGTGGCGGCGGGAACTGTGGTGCGTTCGGAGAGTTGGGGTTCAAAGGAAGGGTGAAAGCCATAGTTGGCAAAGAAGGGAGATTGGTTGGTGGACGCGTTCACGTTGTTGTTGAACGCAAACTCGGCAAGTGGCAGGTAGTCAACCCAGTCGTCCTGTTGATACGATGTGTACGCACGGAGGTACGTCTCGAGCGTCTGGTTGGTACGCTCGGTCAGTCCATCTGTTTGCGGGTGATAAGCCGTTGACGTCCTGTGATCAACCTTCAAAATAGTGGTAAGTTCTCTCCAAAAGTGTGAGACGAAAACGGAACCGCGGTCGGAGACAATTGTCTCGGGGAGACCGTGATAGCGGAAGATCCTGTCGAGAAACAACCATGCCAAACCCGGCGCGTCTAGCGTCTCGTTGCACGGGATGAAGTGTGCAGCGCGGGTAAGGCGGTCGCAAACGACCCAGATCGAGTCGTAGCCGTGAGAGCGTGGAAGCTTCACAATGAAATCCATAGATATGGACTTCCACGGCCTGTCAGGGATCTCCAAGGGGCGGAGCAAGCCGTATGGCTTGTGATGTGGCGTCTTGATGCGGCTACAGATATCGCACGCTTGAACATAGCGGCGAACATACGTCTGCATGCCTGGCCACGAGAAATCACGCCGAACAAGCGCCAGCGTGCGCGCTCGCCCGGGGTGACCTGAAACGAGCGAGTCATGACGGGAATAGAGAATGTCAGCACGCATGGATGAGGGTATGAAGAGTGAACCTTTGTGGATAACGAGATTGCCTTCCAGCGCAAAGCCCGTGTCGCCACGAGAGATCGCTTCGCGCCACTCGGTATCATTGCGGATGGCAGCTTGGTACCGACTGAGCTGCTCTGAGTTGTCGAGAGCGAGCGTTGTCAGCGCTGAGACTTGCTGTGGACGTGGAGCGTCCGACGCTGATGCTTGATCCGGAAATATACGCTCTGTGTGCAAAGGTGTGAGTAGAATTTTTTCCTGGAGGCGGAGGACGTCATCCCCCTCTCGAGGCATGAAGTCGGGACGTCGCGAAGGAGCATCCGCGGGGTTTTTAATCCCAGGCGCATAGTCCAGTCGGAAGTTAAATTCCGACAAGAACATTGACCAACGCGCCTGACGTCGATTTAGAATGCGAGAAGACATAAAATATACCAAGTTCTTGTGGTCGGAGACAACGGCAACGGGTTCAGCGGTGCCTATGAGCCACGCGCGCATGTCCCGGAACGACTCGACAATGGCGAGAAGTTCTTTGTCGTGCACATCGTAATTGATCTCTGCCGGGGAGAGCTTGCGAGAGAAGTATGCCACTGGGTGTAGGAACCCTTGAGCGTCCGGCTGGTGCAGGATACCTGACATAGCAAAATCGGAAGCGTCAGTAGCCAAGGTACACGGGAGAGACGGATCGTAGTGACAGAGAACGGGAGCCGAGGTGAAGACGCGCTTCAGCCGCTGAAAGGCGTCGGCGGCGTCGGGTGTGAGCACAAATGGCTCGCCTTTACGGTCCTTGCGCGTGAGCGCGTTGAGCGGGAGGACCGTCTCGGCGTAGTGGTCAATAAAACGTCGGTAGAAGTTTGTAAACCCGAGGAAGGACTGGATGTCCTTGACCGATTGCGGAGCAGGCCAGTCCGCGATTGTTGAGAGTTTGCTGGGGCTCATCTTGATGCCATCCGAGCCCAGCCGAAAGCCGAGGTATTCGACTTCAGACCGGTCGAACTCGCATTTCTTCGCGTTAGCGAAGAGCCCAGCGCCCTCGAGACGCTCGAGAACCATCCGGACGTGATGGTCGTGCTCTTCCTGGTTCTTGGAGAAGATCAGGATGTCGTCGATGTACACAACACACACGACGTCGAGGAGGTCGCGGAGGGTGTCCTGGATGAAACCTTGAAAAATACCGGGTGCGTTAGTGAGACCAAATGGCATGACTGTGTACTCGAAGAGTCCGAGGTGCGTGCGGAAAGCGGTCTTCCACTCGTCACCCTCGTGAATGCGGATGAGGTTGAAAGCATTCTTCAGGTCCAAGACCGTGAAGACCTTGCATCCCTGGACTCGATCAAGCAGATCGTCCATGAGTGGGAGCGGATACCGGTTTTTCTTCGTAATGGAATTGAGACCGCGATAGTCTACGCAGAGACGTAGCTCGCCAGTCTTCTTCCGTACAAAGAGGATCGGCGATGCAGCCGAAGAAGTAGACCTGCGAATGAATCCTTTTTTGAGGTTAGTCTCGATGTAATCGAAGAGCACTTGGCGCTCGTGTTGCGACAGGTGATACATCGGCCCAAAGGGCGGTGTTTTCCCCTCCTCTAGCTCGATAGATGCATCAAAGCCAGGGCGATGAGGTGGCAAGTTCTCCACCTCAACTGGTGAGAACACCTTCGCAAAATCGTGATATTTCTCGGGCACCGACTGCAGGAAGTCGTCAGGTGCTGCCGAGTCAGGCGGGGGCTCGGGAGGAACAGAATCCAGGGGCAGAGTAGCCGAAGACGGGTCGGGCTGAGCATCGAGCTGCATAGATGCGAGCTGATACCCTGGAGTACCCTTGGGGTGATACCAAAGCAAGGCTGTCTCGTTGTGTCGAGCATGCTTGCGGAAACGCATAGAGTTAATGAAGGAGATGTCAAGTGAAGGAGTGGGCGTAGAGTCAGGAGCTGAAGGCAAAGCAGAAACAGCATTCCAGACAGACGAGAGCACACTGGTTTGACCGGAGCCAATTCCAGATGCTGGAGACAAAATGGGGGAGCGAGACGGACTCGAAAGGGATGGAGCCAACGACGATGCAGTCGAGGCGTTCAGGTACGACACACCGTGCACAGACGGGTTGCACTGGGCTCTGTCTGAGCGGACAATGCTGTCGGTACAAGCAGGAACTACCATCCTGCCGTTAAGACCGAGGCCTAGACCGACAGTCGTAGTGGAGCACATATGAAGCGAAGACACAGAAGTGTCTACTCGGGCAAGACCGAAGCCTTTTCCGAGTGCAGAGACAGGGTATGATGGGTTGGCACCACAGCATGACAAAGCAAGTCGCTGCCGGGCCCAATCAATCGCTGGATTGTGGCGTTGCAGCCAGTCGAGACCAAGAATTACAGGAAACGGAACAGAAACAAGCCCAAGAGAAATTGCTTCAGAATGTTTTTGAACAGACAACGACGTTACGACGTCGTGGGTGATCAGGCCAGACGCGATCGGTCGATCATCTACCGCCGTAATAGGTATCGGCACGTCTTTGAGACGACGCGGGAGAGCGTGACGGTTTGCGAAGTCGAGAGAAATGCATGAGCCAGTCGCGCCGCTATCAACAAGCGCGTACGTGCGAACTGGCTTGCGATCAGGAAATGAGAGAGAAACCGAGACGAAGAAGTGGTCCGAGGACCGCGGGTTAGCATGAACATGTGATGAGAGTTGGAAAACGGGTGAACAAGCAGGCTTGGGTATCCACACGCCGTTCACCGAACGGACGTGCGTTGGGGCACCCGCGGCGACGGGAGCCTGAGTCCCTGAAGATGCCGGAGGCCCCGGGACGGGTGAAGGATCTCCGGCTAGGCTTTTCCCGCAGAGGGAGCAGCCTTAGCCTGCTTCTTGGCCTTCTCCGACATGTTAGGACACTCGGAGATGGTGTGCTTACCCTTGCCGCAGTAGAAACAGAGGCCATTCTTGCGGCGATACTCCTTCTCGGCTGGGGTTAGCGGGCCGCGTCGAATGGCGTCGATTTCCATCGGAACAACATCATTGTTCGACGGCGTGCTCGCAGGCGCAACGGGCGCCGGAGCGGACGACGATGCTGGTGCTGACGACGAGGAAGCATGCTGCCTCGGAAGTGGGTGCTTTCCGGCAGCTCTCTTGTTATACTCCCTGGTCTCGACATCAAGATCATGGATCTTGTTGTCAGCATCAATGACAATCTTAGTCCACGCCTCAAGACTATCAGGGCGGGACACAGTGACCAGGGCCTGCTTAACAGCGGGCTTAAGACCCTGGTCGAACATGGCGATCTGCATGTAGTCGGACACGTCGACATAGGCGAGGAGCTCCTTGAAGCGGGAAGCGAAATTCGCCGCGGAGCCAGTCTGCCGGAGCTTCTGCAGCTCGCGGTAGGCCTTATTGACCTGGTTAGCGTCCTCGAAGCGCTTCTTAAACGCGTCTTCGAAACGCGACCAGTCACGCAGCAACTCAGGTTGCGTGCGCTCGACGTCGTTGTACCAATAGAGGGGTGAACCATCCTCAAGGTACATGGACAGCATAAGCGCACGCCTATAGCTGTCCACGACGTTCTGGAGCTCGAACGTCGCGCGGAGTTCGCGCAGAAACGGAAGGACATGGTCGGACTTACCTGAGAACATGCGCGGCGCGCGCGTCTTGACGTTGGGACCAGAGCCTCCACCACCGCTGTTGCCTTGCGAGGACACGGTGACGTTGACGGGCTGAGGTGACGTGGCCGCGACGGTGAGAGCCTCGACGCGCTGGGTCATCGTGAGGAACGCATTGCCCATTTGCGCTTGGTTGTTCGAGAGCTGTTCGGCGTGCCGCCCGAGAGCCTCAAGCGCTCGGTAGAACGCCTGGGCTGGGTCCTCGGGAGCCGGGGTAGGCTGCGGTGCTGGAGCTTGGGCGTCCTGCTGGCCGTCGTTGCCCCAGCCGTCGAAATCCTGACCTGGATTGAAGCTATCCATAATAGGTTAAGTAGTAGTATAGCCCTTACGAGCTCGGATAGACTAGAAGTAGCGGAGGGATACCAATAAAAATGATGAGCTGGCACTTGGACAGCCCAACGGAGACTACTAGCGTAGTTAGGGGTCGTCTTGCCAAACTGTGACGGGCGTGCCGGGGGCTGGCCGGGTTGAGTGTCGAGACGTAGGCGAGAGCGAGAGATCGTGCAAGTGCGAGAGCAGAGGACAAGGGCGCAGGCCCGAACACTGGTGTTGGCAAGACGAGAGACGTACAAAGCGGAGCGCCAGCTATCTAGGGAATCGCGGGACTCGCCGAGAGCCAGGTACAGTCGATGAGTGACTCGAACAGGAACCAGGATACATGCCAAATCGGGAAAGCGGGAACACTGTGGCTACGTAGACCGTGGCGCATCGTATCGCGCTGTACAAGAGTCCATGTGTAACGGTGTGGCCGTTACATTTCACTCATGCAACACCGGTGCACATTGCATCACTCTAGCCCGCTTATGCGCATCTTACGAGAAGTCATCGACTTGAACCAATCGACCCGTGAGGCATATGCGCAGCAAGGAGTCGTACAAAGAGCCATGAGCGCAGTCCAGTGCTGTCACATTGTCCGGTACGTCTTGCAGGTATTTTCGGGCACGCCGGCGTGGCCGGCAGTGAGCACTTTGCCATCGAAAGCAAGCGTTATGTAAAGCCAGGATCTTCTGCATTCGCTGCGTTATTAGCTTCAGTCGACATTGGTGCAAAGCCCACATTAGACGTCAGGGCTAGTGACGCGCTGATTGAATGTTGTTTGTTTGACCTCGAGTGAACGACATTCTGATGCATGAAATCATTCTGACCGGTAAGTAGTATTGGACATCCCGATGATCGACTGAGCGAGCCAAGCGAGACTCAACGCACCCATTTGCGGCTGCTCTGCATCCATATCCGAGGCTCGGGCTACCTAACACGGACATCCGTAGCCCGAACCTCTCCCGAACGCATTTCTTCAAGACCGAGCCTTTCGTGAGATGCCAGCATACTTACAACATAAGTTACTAGAACTACGCAAATCGACTGGCAATGTGAGTATGAGGGCGAATGGGATGTGCGCTGCATTCGCTGGCCATGTGATGACGTTTGATAAATGCGTCTGAACAGTGGCCTCCGCGGCTGCATCTGGCATGCAAGATAGTTGCCAGTGACTTTTCTTCCGTCGTCCGTGTCGACAAGGATCAAGAAAGACTGGTGGGATATGTTGTTAATGGTACGTCGTCTATCCGAGTTTGACAACTCGTTCGCTGACAATCTGCTTGACTCGAACCGTCGCATCATTGCGCTGCGGACTGCGTTGGCACGTACTACTGTGGTAGTCTCCCCTAGGCAGACCAGGCTAAAGAAGACCTCTTTGACGGAGGAGAGGATGGTCCCCAAGGGTATTGTGGCAGCGCTTGGCTCTCAAGCAATGCGCATCACCTCCTAGACCCTCAGGTAGACTTTGCCTCAGACCAAGCAGCTGAGACGCTCATCATGAATTGCTCAGCAGCAGCATAATCCTAGTCCCTCTCGTGCGACTGGGACACTGAGCACCGTGCATCCTTATGCGGCGGGTCTCGACAGACTTGCCTGAGTTCATGCTCGGTTTCTGCACCCTTCATGGCTGTCCCTTTCCATGGTTTGAAAAGGCTATGCGGCTCACTGCAATTAGGTCGGATCTTCAAGTTTATTAGCTGCTGGCGAGCTCCAATTACGGAGTTATTTGCTACCAACCCTCATTGCGACCTACATCCTTGCGTCAAATCGGCTATGGTGCCATCACACACACGTCTCTGCTTCAAGTATGCGTCTTGCAACTCGTGCGCTATCCATTTACTATTCCTATGCATCATCTCGAACCATGCCCTCGCAATTTCTCATCAGTTACTCAGCCCCCTACAGCTGGCTATGTGACTAAGACATTCGATTCTATCTAGCGTGATGTTGTGCGCTTAAGCCATAGCGCCATGCCTTGATCCTCGTATCAAACGAGTAGGCGATGCGCTGGTGCGTGTAGCATTGTCGGCGCTTTTGGTGTTCGCCTAATAGCTGCTCTGGCCTGCCAGTGATTTATCATCCGGCCGCCGTGTGTGTATAAGTTGGGCGCCCCTTGATTCGGATTATTACTCCTGACCTCGTCTGTCGTATTTCAGTGAAACATGCTCTGCGCCTATAATGGACTGACGCGACGTCGCAGGCAGGCTTTCATTGGTTCATAACGCCCGGCTTCTGTCAGACTGATACCGACTTATGTAATAAGGTCACTGGTAAGTGTTCCTTCGGAAGGTAATCTGCATGGCCGCTGACTGTGCACCGGTGTCAGCAGAGAACTTGCGATCACAGGAGCCTATCGAATGTTTTCGTGGTAAGCAGAGTGCCCATCAAGATCGTGGGCACGACTCAATTAACATGGTTCGTTCCGAGTCGTAGGTGACAGAAGTTCGAAACTGGCGTTGCAGGTCGCGCACCGCCCCACACAGTCTCATATAAGACACGTTTGCTTGGGTCCCTCGTTTATCTCATCCCAGTCACAGTCACCTTGCTCAACTTTCAACTGGAGTCAAACAGTGATGTCCTCGACACCAATCATCGAACTCCGCGACGTCGAACTGCAGTACTTCCCGATTTGCAGTCGTGGAGAACCGATCCGTCTTCTGCTTGAGGACGCAGGGGTCGCTTACGTCGAGACCAACAATGTTGAATCTTTCAAGGCGCAGAAGTGGGACCTCGATGAGTACAGGTTTAACCAAATGCCCAGGCTCAAGGTATGTCGTATTTTTCATTTCGTGTCAATTCGTACGACGTCGGAGTCACGGTTGAGTCCATCCGAATGGGAAAACTCAGACAATATTCAGACATCGTATTGACTATGGCTGATTTTCGGTAACAGGTGAACGGGTTTAATCTGGCTCAACTAGACGCGATATTGCGCTACATCGCCAAGGCAAGGGGTACGCCTGTCCGTGCTTTCTGAGATAGCCTATACTGACGGCGGGTGCTTAGGCTACGGCGGTAATGGAAACCTCGAAGACGACGCCATAGTCGACATGCTCGAAGCTGCTTGCGAGGTGAGTTGTAAAGTCATTTGTCATGAAACGCCAAGTGCTGAATGCCCGTTTGCGGCGTGCTCTGTTAGGACCTCCACGTTGCATACCAACGGAACGTTTATAATCCTGATGCAGTGCGCGCATGATCTCATAATACTGCTGCACAAGTTCGGCCCTCACAACAGTCATGCTTAGGAAAATTTGTTGCCTTCGTTCGCTTTGCAAGACGTACCGAGGGCCCTGAAGCAACTCGAGCACCTACTCCAACAGAGTAAGAGTGCGAATGGCTATTTCGTATACGAGCATGTACGTCGCGAATTCTTAAGTCACACAAACCGCTTCCTCTGACGTGCACTTCGCATACTTATCAATATCGGCGACAACGCGTATGGTCGTCCTATCAGCCATCCTTCGCCGAGTTCCAACTGTATTACCTCTGTTACTGCCTCTCGCATCTCAACCCGGACCTTCTCGCCGGCTACCCCGGTCTTGCCGCGTGGAGAGAGACGATGAGCGCGAGACCTGGCATCAAAGCATACGAGACGAGCGGACGAAGGAAGAAGATGTTGAACGCGTCCCCAAATGGTCAGAAGCGTGTCGTCTGAAGTGGCGCTGCAGATGCACTGTGCATGAATCCCGTGCACGAAGGCAGGGCATATTCGGTGCTAGTATTTAATGCGGATGTGATGTCTACAGATTGGGCAGAGGGTCAAGGGCTACTCGCTATTGCAATAATAATTGTTGTCTCCAGTGACCGCGAGAAATTGAGGTGTAAGACAAGTGCTCAGGTGGTTTGAGCGTTCTTCAGAGGAATACTCACTATATATCATTAGATACATGGTTGAATTCATAGATACAACTTGAAGTGAGTGGCAGAACAGACGAGTGTCGTTGTTTATCAAGCGAGAAACGGAGCGGGCCCGGAAGTCATACTAGAACCATTCACGGATGCCGCGGATCCGCCGGCAAACATATGTACCCTTCAACGTCTGTTCGTTTCTTCTTTGTCGCACCCTCTTCGCCTCCTCCGCGCCACCCTCTTGAGCTTCTTACCATCCACGAAGCCACTCAGCTTGATCCTGCAGCTCCTACATCTTCGTGAGCACTCAAGCTTCGGCGCGTGCCATGTTCTTCATACTTATGACATCCAGTTACTTGGTATGTATCCCATCGTATTTTCTGAGCACTTTGTGGCTGCGAGTCTGCGTTCATCGAACTTCGTAGTGTGTGATTATGTAATGGAGATCTGGTTGGGTGGCTGCGATATGGGGCGCCTCCAGTATGCCGGGATTGCCCTGCCAAGGAGCGGCGAGGGGAGCCCGTTTGTTGGTCCAGTGGTCCAAGTACGGGTCGCAGACAACCTCGCTGAGGACGAGAGAACAGAGAGGCGGAAAGACGACGCAGGCAGCTGGGATGGCGCGAGGGAACGTTGTGGAGCACAGAGGCTCGGCAAACACTCGGCGAGACCGCGAGCGTGGCGACAGGGCGCGGCGGCAGAAGGGCCCAGTTTGGCCGAGTTGAGTGCCTTGTGAGTGCCTGTCCGTGACTCTCCTCGCCTCCGCCATCTCCTCGTCTGCTGTGCAGCATCCCCGACAGCCTACTCGGCTCTGACAATCCTTCCTGACCTGCACACGACATTGCTACTACACACCGACACACGACGTCTAGTAGCACGTCCAATAGCACCGCCATGGCCGGGCATCGCAGCACGTATTCCAACATCGACTCGGGCGCGCCGTACCAGAATGGCGCGTACAGTTCCTCCCAGTGGCTCGAGAAACAGCAGTCAAGCAGCCGCAAGTCCAGATTCATCGTGAGTCCCGCTATATATCCCCTTTGGTTCGAACTTCGCGGCCTCTTCTCCCCGCCGTCTTCTCTGCCTTCCCCCGCATTGCGCAGTACACAGTCGCTGACCGCGCGTCTCTGCACCGCCCCCAATGCGCCGGCGTTCAAAGGTCATCGGCTCTGTCGTCGCTCTTGTAGTGCTCATCGCTGCCGGCGTCGTCATCGGCGTCGTCGTCTCAAAGCATAACAGCAGCTCGAGCTCCAAGAAGGCTGCGAGCGGCGACTCGACCTCGGGATACGCAGTCGGCCCCTACGGCGTCGTCAAACAGACGGACAAAAACGACCCGAGCACGTTCATCAAGGATGATGCGCTCAAGCAGTCCTTCTACGGCCTGGCCTACACCCCCGACAACTCTCAGCTCCCTAACTGCGGCAACTCCCTCGGTGCGTATTCAGCGCCGGCCGCGCGTGCGTGCGACTCTGACTCAACATGCGCAGATGCTGTGATTGAGGACATCCAGCTCATCTCCCAGCTGACCACGGTGAGTCCTCGGCCTCGGCCCCACCTTCGTAACATCTACGCAGTCTAATCTCCCTGCAGCGCCTCCGTCTCTACGGCGCCGACTGCAACCAATCTGCGCTCGTGGTACGTCTCCCACACGCGCGTCTCGTGAAGCGCGGGTTGATTGAGTTGTTGTGAACAGCTCGAGGCGATCAAGCAGACCAAGGTCAATGTCACCGCGTGGCTCGCCGTGTACAACGTCCCGAACAACGCGACTGCGTATGAGGAGCAGCGTGACAAGGTCCTCGACGCGGTCAAGACGTACGGCACCGACCACATCGGCGGTGTCACCGTCGGCAACGAATTCATACTCGAGTGCGCGCTTCTCCTCATGCTGCGTGGTACTCTTGTGCTGACTACTCTCAAGCTTCATGGGAGCAAACAGCGGCGGCACTGACCCGAACGGCGCGGTTGGCGACGCTGGCGCGGCGCTCCTGATCGCGAACATCACCGACATGAAGAGCCAGCTCTCCAGCCTGGGCCACTCTGTCCCGGTCGGCACGTCGGACGCGGGCTCGTACTTCAACGACAAGGTCCTGCAGAGCGTCGACTATGCCGTGCGTCCCGCCGCTGCTCCGCGTATACGGATTGTGCTGACATATGCACCTGTGTTTGCTGTGGCTGTTTAGTTGTCGAACATCCACGCGTGGTTCGCGAACGTGTCTATCGCGCAGGCTGGGAGCTGGACGTACACGTTCTTCGAGGAGGAGAACGTTGCTGTCGCCCAGGGCCTCTCGAACAAGCCTGACTTCGCCATCGGCGAGACTGGCTGGCCTACGGTAACTCCGTTCGCTCCGCAGGATCGCAGTGACTGTACTGACCTGGGTCTACGTAGAACTCGACGACGCAGGCTGCGATGAGCGACGGTCCCTCGACTGCGTCCGAGGCGAACCTGCAGACGTTCATGAACGACTTCGTGTGCGGCTCGAACAAGAACGGCACGGAGTACTTCTTCTTCGAGGTACGTGACTGAACAGATCATGAGAGTGATCCGGGGACTGATATGAATGGGATAGTTCGCCGACGAGGACTGGCAGAGGGAACAGTTTGGCGGTGTCGAGGGGTACTGGGGACTCTTCCACGACAAGTGCGTTGCGTCGCCTCTCCATCTATCGTATAAATTGATGCTGACGACCTTTGCTGTAGCCGGACCCTCAAGGGCATCACCATCCCCGACTGCTGAACGCGCTGCGCCTCCCGTTCCGTCTCCTCTCATATATCCGCACTAGATCGATTTGCATCCCCGTTCGCGTTCTTGTCCCCATACCTCTCCCTCCCTACTACCATTCGCATTCTCGAACATTGAACCCTCTTCATAGGTGACCCGGACACCTCCCATCACAGTCTAGTCGAACTTGCGTTCGCACTTGATAAACCTTGACACTCAATACCCGCACGCGCCCCCCTACCCTGTCCGGTGATCCGTCTCGTTACTTAGTTATACCTTCTTGATCGGACGGCCCCTGGCGCGCGACCTGTACGCTATGATCGCCAGGCGATGGTTCCGCACTTGCCCCCTCGTGGCGAAAGGAGAGGGACCTGTTTGGACGGTCGATGGACTTCCCTTGGACTATGGCTGTTGTTGTGTGCGCGAGGTGGATAGTGGGTTATGTATAGCTACTTATCTCCGGGACGTAATGGATGTTGGGTTATCTAGCTGCCAGCTTCGCGTGTCGTTGAAATACCTTGAAGAATGGGATACCGTTGGTGGTAGGGTATGTATGAATGGGCGAAGATCAACTGACTGCAGCTGCAGATATCATTGGAAAAGACTACTTGATACAATATGCCAACATAAGAGCGCGAATGCCGATGTGTGCGAATGAAGTCCCAAGTTCGTATGCAAGACGACGATGAATGATACCTAGCTACCGTGAAGTCATAAGAGTCATAAAATGGGCGGTCCATCCCGCGGGCCGTCATACTGTACACTTCCCGCAAGCTCGCGTCACGCCCGCCACCCCATCGCCTTCCGCAGATTCTGCCACCGCGACGGCTGCGCGTGCTCTCCCTCATTGAAGACGAACTCCCACCGGACGAGCAGGTCGCCCTTCCCGACCATCCGCCCGCCCTTGATGACGGGCATCCCCGCGCCGACGATCCGCGTGCCGTCCGCGCCCTCCGCCAGCGTTCGCGGGATGCGCAGCGCGAACTCCTCGCCGTCCATCCCGAGCACGTACGCGTGGTCCGCGTCGCCCGCGCCGGGCGGGTGCTCCTCCCAGGGGACCTGCACCGCGGCGACGAGGTCGTCGCCCTGGCGCGCGAAGCGCGGGTGGTGCTCCTGCTCGACGACGAAGACGATGTCCTGGAAGGACCCGTCCGCGCACTCGTTGCCCATCCCCGGGACGATCACGCGCGTGCCCGTGCGCCAGGCGGGGTCGACGGGGATCGGGATCTTGACGGACTCGGTCGCGCCGCTGCGCAGCGTGCGCGTGATGCGGTAGTGGTGCGCGCGTGCGTGGTAGAGGTCGTCGAGCGTGAGGTGCAGCGGGAACGTCCAGTCCTTGGCCCGCCGCGGGTGCGCGGCGGGGTGGTGCGGCGAGCGCAGCGGCGGGATCGGCGTGCCGAGGTTGATGAAGTCGTAGTCGATCACGTCCGCGGACGTGCCTGTGCTGGATATTGTATCGTCCAAGGGCGGGTCCGTGTCGAGCTTGGACCGTTTGGGGAAGAAGCCTGGCCTTCTTTGTGACGTGGTGCTGTATGCGTGCGTGTTCAAGTTCATTAATGTGCGAGCGTGAATGATCGATCAGTGAGTATGCATGAGAATGTATGGGACGAAGGTGCAGCTGACCTGTCATCTGAACGTTGGCGGGTTTGACGCTTGCGAGGCCAGGTGAAGTAGGCTTCTGCGGTGTGCTGGGGATGAGTTGGAGAGTGAGGAGAGTGGGCGTCCTTGTTGTGACTACCCGGAGATTGCGCGCGAAGATTGTCTTTCGATCGTGATGAGTGCTGCCTGCGCCCTTCATCTCTTGGACGGCGCTCGGTATGGGCATGATTTGCGTCCTCTGGAGTAGAGGGTGAGGAGTGCGCATCACTCCTCTCCTTGCTATGAGAATGCCTTCCGCTTCGCGAGTCGTCACGTAGATCCGACCGCGATGAAGTAGAGTGTCGGTCAGCGTCACTTGCTTCGTCTCGATGCGGCCTATCCTTGTGTAACTTGTTCCGTGTCGAGCTCTTCGGCGAAGACGGAGGTGTTGTGAAGGCAGTGTGTGAGCTTGACCGTCTACGACAGGCGTCAATTGCTCGGTCTCAAGACCATCTAATCAGCACTCACGTTGAATGAGCGTCAGATTCGTTGTGGGTTCGTGAGTGCGAGGACTGGGCATCCTCGCTTCTGTGTTCACGGGGAGAAGCGCTTGCGTCCGGCGCTGAACGGGAATGCTCCCGACGGTGACGCTTCTCAGGGTGAGGGCTACCTCGTCTCCTATGCTGATAGTACTCCAGCAAGACGGTATAGGCCTCGTTGACCTGCGCAGTCGCGGAGTTCAGTGTCCGCACTCTGACACACTAGACGGAGATACAGGCGCACCTCGATGAACTTTTGTTGCGCCTCCTCCTTGTCGACTGTATGGCGGTCCGGATGCCATTTCAAAGCCTGGTCATTGATCCCCGTCAGCACGCCGTTGTACAGAGAATGACACGAACGCACGAGTTTCTTGTACGCAGCTCTGATTTCCTCTTCCCCGACATCATCGGGCTCGAGTTCTAACGCCTCGTAATACCTATGGCTTGGAATAGCGACCGGCATAGTGAGCGCAGAGGACAAGACGGTACGCGACAGAGAACGTGGCAGCTCAGTAAGGGGCACGAAGATTGGGTGTCGGTTGAGACGGGGACGCCTGCCACTCGGCTATGTTTTATGTATCTTGAAGTAATACGGAACGAGGCAGCGGCAAGATGTCACCGGATCTCCTGGTGTGGCTTCAGCGGCTCAGATCACCTTTTGGTGAACGCCTCTCCGGCCCACCTCGTGTTGTACACGCCGATCGGGTATGGCGTCGCTTTCGGTTGATATACCTTTGTGGCGTTGGTGGGCCACTCCCGATTCTTCCTTCCTGTATCCAAAGCTTGTTCTGCTGCGCAGGGTCTAGGTTACTGCGAGAGATCGAGCACAGCCCGTAGGTTGCACGTTGGTGAGGATGCCACTGTGTGGTGCCGGGTACCACTTCGCAACCGCACAGGGACACAACGAGGCAATTTATGGAGTGACACAGCCAGGCAAAATCTGGCGCACAGGTGCAGGACCTACGCCGCGATATTATTCCCTGGTTTCCTCTTGCAGAACAGGCTGGACGACATTCCGAGCTGCATGGCCCGCCCTGGGTCGCAGATCATAACGGCATGACGCGCTCGATGAGCCGCGCGATATAGAATGATGCGCTGGTAGCGATATACAGAAATGAAATCGATGCGGGCACATTTGAGCATGACCCGCGGAGAGCTATAACAATGGTCGGTGCTAGTCGAGGACGCTTCGTGGGCGTGTGGGTTTGAGACGCGTTGGCCGGAATTCGAAACACGCGCACCGCGAAAAGCACGTGGTCTCGATCGTGTCGCTGTCCGAGCCGGTGGCGACACTGCTCAGAGCAGTGCTCTCCGCTTTTCAATGTTGTCTTAACGGTGGTCATGCTCAGAAACCACCGTATGCGCGTTGTAGCATCCGTCTACCTCTAGGTCCGCTTTGGTTCAGGTATCAGTATGGTGCCATACCGCGGGTAGCATAGTACGCGCGTGCATGCTCTAGTGGTCGACGCCTTACACCTAATCGTGTTGAAGTCTCCCCATCGGCAAGGCTAGGTGCAGTCGAGCTGTGAGTAACCCCAACCTTGAAAATATCCGACCGATTTGACGTAACAATTTGTACACCGCTTTTGCTGCAGGAGATAACGCCCCATGCCGACACGACATGTACAAGGCCTGCCGTTTTCTCTGCACGGCCGCATCGATCATACATGGGTTGTCTGCTGCAGCGCAAGAGATCTAGAGTCTAGACACCGTCCGACTGAAGGTGAGCTCGGGTCATGCCCTCGCTTGACAATATATGAATACGCGCGGTCTACAACGCTTCCAGGGTTGCGGCGCATGCGTCCTGACGGCTGCTTGTGCACGACAAGCTCTCTTTTCCAGAAGAATGGCCATTGCCTTATTGTGCATCAGGAATTGCAATGTAGCGAGCGGCAGTCGATTTTCCTATCCGGCATATATTGACGTAGAAATGGTGATCACCGCCGAGATGAACCCGCTAGGTAAGTCATAATGCACCTGTGCCGCGATACCCAAATATGCGGGACTGACCTGTTCAGGTCGCGCACGTCTGTCGTGCTGGCGGTCTGCGGCCGATTGCCCTTGACCGAACTCCATGATGGTCAGTGCCTCCGGGAAACCTCAAGCGACCCTTGCAGTCGGATTGGTGAGACGAAGATCACCTTTCGTGTGCCCTCCGTGTCATCCTTGACTACAAGCCACAGGTATCTACGTTCGGACTCTCCATGATCAATGGAAACGGCCCATCCTGTATCCGCACCCACCACCCCATCGCCCTGCTTCTTCAGTAAGAGCCGAGGTTCGGACGCTCGCATCAGCCCCAGCTGCCTTGTTGTCTGCAGCCTGTCTGCGCCCTCACACCACGCCCGGCATGTCCAACGGGCCCTTCTAGCGGCTCGGACAAGGTTGGCTCTCTCACCCTACGCCTGGACAATGTAACATGTTTTGCCTATCTCTGTTGTACGTTTTGTGTCAGCCGCAGACATGCCTCCGGAGAGCAGGTCATATATTGAAGCTGGAAGTTATGGCCAGTATGTCTACGCGTTCACCCGTCGGCGTCTAACCGACTTTCGTCCAATGGCTTCGACATGGTTCCTTGAGAATCGGGCCATTCTTTCTCATCCGTTGTGGAAATGCTTGCAGCTTCGTCTTACTTACACCCTGCCTACGCACCCAGCTGTGGTTCCATTACAGGAGTCACGTCGAGAAGGCGCAACATTGAGCTCTCATGGTGATGCCTACGCATCGATCGTTACTATTGTCGGTACATCACATTGCACGTCCTGTGTGCACAGTTTAGATTGCATTCGTGGGGCGGTAGCATTGAGTACTGTACAGCCCATCGAAGGTGGCGTCTCTGGCGATGCCCGTCCTTCCATTCACACTGCGCGGAATGGTCCATGTTCAACCGATCCCGTTCAAAGCAGGTCTACGAGCGCTCGTCCAGAAGACACAACCGCGACGGGTTTGCTGGATAAGTCGAACATCCCGCCTCCTTGATAGGCGACAAGGTCACCGCCGTCCTGGTCGACCCATTCTTGTACGCCCAGCAGTTTTTCGAGATTAGTCGAGACGAGTGCACGCGCCTGCTCTTTGGTGATGCGCCCGTTGCTCTCCAGTGCAGCCTGAGGCAGGCCAATTAAGCATGGCTGACACAAGGCCCATAGGTTATGTGCGACGAACCCATGCGGTTTCGAACCGTGTATTGACTGCCTGCCATGCATCGCGAATGCCAACGGCAACCGTTACCCCTGCATCCATGAGAGTGACTAGGGAAGTATCGTTTGTAAGAGGCGGACCCGCCAAACTGAGCAGAAGGGACGCGCGTCAGTGTCGTGTTAGGCACGGCTATTAAGAAGCACCTACATCCTGCGATCATCCCATGTCTGAGGGAAAGGCCTCGCGGGTTCCAGGATGACCCCCACGTTGGCTTCAGCTGGACAGTTGAAGCGACGACAAACACTAAGCGCAATAATACAGTACATGATTCCTTGTACCTACCAATTTGTCCCGCGATAAGATGTGCTTCAGTGGCGCGGAAGAAGACCATCTTCATGTAAGATCCGCGAGCTTCCGCAATCTCGTCCTTGAGCTTCAGCAACGTGGCCATGATGTCGGCGCTCGCGACCTCAACAACCAACGGAATCGCGCCCTACACAAACCGCTCAGCATTCGCTAGCTCCGGGGGACCAGCGGCGACGACAAGAGACGCACCTGGGCAGCCTTCTCGAACCAATGACCCGTCTCGGTATGATCAGGCTCGCCATTCATAGTAATCTCCGTAACGCGGCGATCTGGGTGCTAACGCTCACGCGGCTCGTAGCAGCGAAGGGAGCAGTGCGGCTGATAACCACATGGAGCGCGGTCACATCCTTGATTATGGCGCCATGCTCCAGTGCATGGGCAGACCCAGTGCGGAAAGTGACCGAGAGACCAGCGATGATACTTGAAGAGCCAGCGAAAAGGCTGCTCTTCTCCAGCGAAGAGGTAGCGTATGTTACGCCACCGCGGTGTGCCAAGCTTTTGAGCGACAAGGGACCAGTCAGCTTGCGCACGCACCATGAACCATTGATCACGTACAGGGCATTCCGAGTTCCGAATTGCATTGCGTCCGCTGCGCGTACTACACCGCCCTCATCGCCCAGGATTGTCGGTACGTCACCGTAAAATGGATCATATAACGCGCCATCCCCTGTAGACGGCTCGCCCGCAATCTCCTCGGTACCAAGCGGCGAGCCGAAGCTCATGATGCCCGGCATAATGCTCCCTCCATACAGGTCTAGGACAGCATCTACGTCGTGTCCGTCGAGGGGCCTGCAGTCCTTTCCGGCGCAAGTGATCTTGCCCGCCTCAGCGATAACGTTCAGAAGCGCACGTTCATCCAAGAGAGTGCTTGTACCCCCTCTGCCTCCGTGTTTCTTATGACTACCTCCCTGACGTTCTTGAAGACCACGCGCCCTCGGTGCTTCCTCGTATCGAGTGGTGGGAGTCCCTCCCACTTGACCGCTTCCTCCCTTTCCTCATCCCAGCTAGGAACGCTGGGCACTTCTCGGAACGCATGCCCTTCTTTGCCTTTCCCGATGACCACGCCGTCCTCGTCTGTGCCCACCTGCAGTATACCATCGATCCATACTTTCCGCGGTGTCGCGCCGAGCTGGAGAGGGTGAGAGTCCCAGAGGACGAGGTCAGCATCAGCCCCTTCTTGCAGGACACCGATGCGGTGCGACATGCCTGCGGCGGTCGCAGGTACCGCTGTGACGGACGAGAGCGCCAGGTGCGGAGGAAGGCCTAACGGAATATCTCGTTAGACTCTGGATTCGTGACGATACAGACCACGGACCGAAGTAATGCGCCTGTTGTGCCTCAAACAAGAGGTAGCGACTGTTTAGAACGGGGTGATCTGACTGCAAGAAATGGTTAGGAGAGCGAGCTGTCAATCACCGCCAGACAACGCACTTTCAACACGACGGGTATGCCATTATCTGCGAGGACGCGCGGTGCAAACTCTGAACCTCGGTAAGACTCGCGCTTGTAACGATGGTTGGTTGCGAATATGGCGATGGCAGGTGTTCCGCCCCAGCTGTTGTGCATAGATAGGTCCTAGCGATATCCCGTGACTTGCACGAGAACTACTTACGTTCTTTTGAGTAGGTCAGGCACGAGCCATGCTTCTGAGGCATGATGGAAGGATGCAATCGGGAATTGGAACTCGTTGGTCAACTTACAGAACGGATTGAGAGTTGGGACGATCGACCAAAGAGGACTTTTGTAGACTCACTCGAACAATGTCGTCCAGATCCACTTCCTCATAACAGTGGTTGGCAATCTATCGCTGCCAATCAGTCGCGTTGTCCCGTATCATCACATTCACACGTACCTTCACTCGCCCCCTGAGCACATCCACCAGCGCTCCCATTGTAGACTTTCTGGATAGACCTCACTCCGTATTTCCTCCCATAATCCTGCTTCGGCTTTGACACAGTAAGCATCTTGCGCAAGTTTTATCTTCCGCGCCTCGTTGTAGGCAGATCGAAAGACCAAATTGCATCCATACGATTGCCATAGCGCCTCAGGTTCTCTCCGCACGCTTGTCTATGTAAGCACGGAGTGTTGATCTCTTGATTAGCAAACAATTAAAGGGAATCTTACTTCATGTGTCTCCAGCGCATAGGTTGGTCGCGACCGGCTTCAGTACCATTCAAGCTATGTGGAGGCTCCAAGATCATAGACGTAGGTGACCTGTCGGAGGTCTTACGCAGCTTGAACATGAAGGCCTGGCCACCAATTGCGTTACCGCTTCCCGGAAGAACCTGCACAGATGTCACACCGCCAGCAATGGCCAGCATGAACGCGTCGTCGTGTGTATTGAATGCGTCAATGCTCCTCAGCCACGGTAAGACAGGACCGTGCCTAGAGTTGACATCAAACGCGCCGCGCATGAATGGCGCACTGAAAAGACCGACATGAGAGTGGAGGTCAACTACAGTAGCCAAATGACAAGGAATCCTTGTCAGCGAAACAGCTCTGTGCGCAAGGTAAAGCACCACTCACCAAGCCCTGGAGTGACCCAAGCACCCTCCGCATCATATCTAACCACGTCGCTCCTGCCCGCATAGAACTTCTCGGGGACGTGGCCGACGGCCCTCACGATGCCTTTGTCGAGGTAGACGTCACCATATATGACCTCCGTGCCGTTCCATGCACCCGTCCATATCGTTGCATTTCTAATCAGCGTTGGCTGCGTACCAGGCTCGAATCTGTCCGACGTTTCTCGTGTCAGGAAATTGGTCGGTGGGCCTGGCGACTCGTGCAATGCAGCGCACTGCGACAGGATCGTTTGTGCGTTGGGCGGAAGCCGTTGGATGCGACGTGACCCGATGTCTTCTGAGGCCTGAAGAACAGTATATGCAAGGAACGTTGCAGCCACAAGTATCGTGTATAGCAGAGGAAGAAGTCTGCGCGCTGCAGTAGGACGACGAGTGCTGCTAGTAGTTGCGCTTGATGGTAGTTCATCACGCGCCATCGCGTCGCGGAGGGTTGTTGAAGTTGAGAAACACCCTGAGGATAGATAGCCCTTACAAATCGCGACGGTCCGGAAGCAGTATGAGTGCGTTCAGTGCGTGAGACACACGGTGACTTCGTGGCATTGTTCCTTGCTCGCGGATTATGGGCATGGCGTCATAACTATTTTGTGTGGTGTGATCCATGGATGATTTTCGCGCGCGAATGCAGTGATTTGGGAGAGAAGACGATGGTACCGTTGGCAAGTGCTCGTTTGAGCAGCGCGCCGTGTCTCGACCTACACGCTCACGTGACTAATCTCAGCGACCGTGTCGAGCTTCCTTGAAGTTGGCATATTAGACAAGCCTAGTCCGCGGTCCACAGCATCACAGAGTGTTTCTCCAGTTGGAAGACGTACGTACGGAGCCGAAGGGTCACATTGAGATCTGCATTCAGTAACCGCAACTGACGTGTGCTAAGATCGCCGTTGCGTACTCTGGCCGAGTCTGGCGGGCATGCGACAGTGCCGACGACCAGTGTTCTATGATGAAGGCCATTGATGTGTGGTAGGGATGTATGTAGAAGGCGACAGGTGGCAGTGTACGTTGCTGAATGGCTTTCGTGTCATGACGTACATAGGTGTCAATAAGGTTATGCATAATGTTATGAGGACAATGAGGAGAGTCTGAGATGAGGACGGAAGAAAGCGGTGGGAGGCGCTTGCATTGCTGTTGTCTTCTACCGGAAAGGGTGCAAGAGTGTTGAGAGATCAGAGGTCTTGAGGCCGTATGTAGGGCGACGGCTCTCCTCAGCGCCCTAATTAGGCGATGGCATCTAAGACAAGGGCTCGATCCAAGGAACTTCGGTCGCACTCTCGTATCGAGCTTTCTTGAGCACTCGCCTCGCTTCTTGTATATCGCCGCGTTCATTGGCACGCGTCCACCTCGAAATGACGTCCTTCGCATCCGCCAATGACAAGTTGAGGAGGCCGCCGTGCCTACGGACTACCTTGCCTGTGAGAGCGGCAAGGCGTTCTTGCGCCGTCGCCTGCACCGCCTGCCGGAGGGTCTGGAACACCACGTCGTGTGGGCTGTCCGCCGAAAGATGGGATATGTCGTCTTCCTCAGCCTCGTACAGCTCTTGTTCCTCTTCGGGCGCCGCAAGCAAGATACGCCCTAACAATGTCTGGGTGTACATTTGATGCCGAATGTTGTTCATGCAGCGTGTCCATTGCTTGTGAAATTTGCTTCGCGGACTGAGTTATCTTTTTGATGCAGTGGCCCAACTGGAGCGTAGATGCTACGACGTGCCTCTATCGTCAATGCTACTGATACCGCGTCGAAGCGCAACGACGTACCAAGGCTCTTCCCTTCGCCACCCAGAATGGCAAGTCAGCGACCTCTACGTACTTCTCCAGCTGGTAGTCGTCGGAGCCGGCGAACGCCATCAGGTATGCGCGGATCTCACCGACATACACCTGGCCCTCGTGAACCCATCCTCCCGTGAGACAGTCGTCTGGGGTAGGGAGTTCTTGCCAACTACCGTCCCCGTACCTGTTGATGGCGTCACCAAATTTCGCCTGAGTCGTTGCCGGTGTCGTCTCCTCCAGAGCTACGACGATGAATGTCGCTGGCGATAGTACTGGCGGCGGCGCATCAGACGAGGCCTGTGCGTCGGGTGCAGGTGCAGTAGCGTGAGACGATACGGAGGGCATGGCAGGCGTAGACGGCGTCTGCACGAAGGGTGCTGTGGATGCATCAGACAGAGAGAACGCTTGCGATTTGCTAGACGGAGACGTGGTTTGCCCCTGAAGAGACTGAGACGGGTACGAGTACTCCGTCAGAGGTGACATGCTGTCTAATTCCGTGATTTCGTTGCCCCGGTCCACTGTGTGTTGCGAACTACCCGCTGAGTCATCGGACCAGCCGGGCCCCCTCTGCATGTCTCCGTCAGTGCGTGGCTGCACCTGCATATTCCCCAATGTCTATTGCCCAGTTAGCGGAAGTTTTCGAATATTGCAACAAGACACTTACCTTCCGCAAAGCGTGCTTATAGTCCTCCGTCGTGGCATTCTCCACCGACACCAGCTGCACCGCCTCCAGGCCCAGCACGACGTCAATGTGCGGAGGCTCGAAAGTGCGAAAAACTTCGACGTCAGGGACCTCGACATGCAGTGTCTTGACAACCATCTCTTCGCAGGTGTCGCGTACTGTTGAGAACGCAGGGGATACAGGGCATCAAACGGCACGATGACCGATTGGATGACGGATTTCTGGATCAAAGTATTGATCGCTGGATGCATAGAACTCGCGGCCCCTACGACGATGGATTGGGTAGCAATGCTGTACGAAAACCTTCGCTCCGATTCGTCAATCCCAGAACAGCACGAGATCGATTGATTCTTACCAGAATACTGTACGATTTGAGGGTGTTCGATCAGGTATGCCTTCAGTTGTTGCCACTCGTCCAACGAAAAAGGGGTCTCCTGCGGATACCTCTTTCAGTCATGTCCTTACGTACCTCGCGACTTTCGCACCTACCCTTACGATGTCGAATATGTTGGGGAAGTCGGGGCTGTCCAGAAGATCGCTGAGAACCTTGCGGATGAGAGGCTCCTTTCGCAGGGCCTTGATGTAGTCTTCCTCGCAATTCGACAACGGCGCTGAGACCACAGGAGCTATTTGCAATGTTGAATAAAAAAGTAGTTCAGCATGAGCAAAAATTGTACCCACAGAGTTCCATATTCTGCAGCGACCAAGGGGTCGTCCTACCTCGCTTAACGGGTATGTAATCCGCAGGATTGAGCGAATTGTTAGAACAGCCTGTGTCCCGAGATCGGGACCGTTCGCAGGATTGGAGGTGGGAGTGAGCTATCTGAGGCGGATGATGTGGAAGCTGCGCGAGTGTGGACACGCTGCAAAGTTTCGAAGGTGTTATAGGATAAAGGAGATACAGTAGTCTCCAGAGTCCAAATGCAATGATTGGCCTCGAACGTTTGAACGACTTTGCATGGTTACATAATCGGATCGATCTCGCGTGTAGATCTTGTTGAACGCGACGCGTTAACCACGTGACGCCCTTGGATGAGACCTGACGCGGACATCGCGACGTTTTTGCGCCCTGTGCGACGCGTATGACTTCTGACATTCTACATCTTGATGTGCACCTGTGCGCACGCATCCTTCTGACAGGTTATGTCGGTTCACGTCGCCAGAACTTGGACTACTGTAAACTCAATCCGTTTTACCGTCGTAAGTTAATGGCCATTGACTCCTGGACCACTCACTGTCGGATACGGGGGATCCGGACAACTCTCACTGCAACATGTACACCCTAAACTCCCTTCCCAGTCGTGGGGCGGACCCGAAAAGCCAGCCTAATACCCTCAGTACTGGCCAGGTGTGACGACATACACAATGGTACAGCAGGTCAGGTCGAGGCTGGGTCGAGGTGAGTCGGACTGGCAGTTGCATCTGGATAGCTGACAATTCATTCACGACAAGATCATCCTGTTATATGCCCACAAAGAAGCGTGTGTGCGTCTTCGCACAACACAGAATAGTGTTCATGCGCCACCCGCTACTGGCCGTCGACGCTGGGTGAGCAGCGAGAGCAAGCTGAGACTGAGGTCACGATGGTTCATTGCGTTTACTTACTTATCCCACGACGACTCCACATGAGCGTATGTTCGTAGTTCGAGATGCGTCGTGCCAGCGTCGTGCTCCGCATGCCGTCCACGCGCAAGGCAGACAATCATCAGCACCCCTGATGGAGATGAGTTTAGTCCAACTTGATCGCACAAGCAAGATTCACTCCCACTCGCGGTACAGATGCACCGGGTACCAGGTTTTTTTTTTTGCTGCGGAGGGCCATGCAGGCTACAACGAGAAGACGTGCAACTCGTTTCCTCCCGGAGGAAAATGCAGTAACGCACGAACTCCCATCGAGGAGAACAGTGTAGGACTCGACCGTCATCGCACGCGGAGCTATGCAGCTCAGTACGGCTTGTGTCTTGCAGCTCGACGACGTGCTCTGGTCCATACCCACTAAAAACCCCCGTTTGCCATGTCCACTAGCATCTTCGAGCATCGCATAAACGGACATGGCATGATGCATACGGTCGCCGTTTGGGGCTCGAGTGCCGGTGGAGGACTTGTAATCTGATTGTTGTTGATGTTCGGCTCGGATGGATGATCTGCGACGACGGTAAGTACGCGTCTCTCGCGAGGAACGTGGTGGGCACTGACTATTCCATCGTTGCCAGGGGCGCCGCTCTCACTTTCATTGCGCGAGCGACGCCCCTCTACCCAGTATGGACAAGCGCTAGCACACAACGGTAGCCCGACGAAGCGAGCGTGCACCGGCGGCGGGGACGTCCCCGTACATGACAATTCAGCATAACAACCCTGCACGAGCTTATTGACTGCAAGCATGTTATGCCCCGTCTGCATCGATGCACAACGTTGGTGTCTCGTACGGTGCCTCCGGCACCCACTCTTTCGCGGGCTACCTCAGACCGGAGGCTGGACCCTTTCGCGCGAAGTACGACGTACCGGGTTCATGTGTCCTTATGGGGACTTCAGTGAGGATTTGGGATGCACTCGCCGCGGATCGTTAGAATCCTCGACGTCGAGGCATGGCCTGCAGTGCAGGTTAGTCATGGTGCACCACTCAAATAATGACCAGTACTCACGAGGCCATGCCTTTCCACCCGTACGACACGATAAGCTAGCCTCGTGGTCACCCGCCAATCTGGCGGGTCACGACCAGTCAACGGCGGGACGGTCCCCGTAGAGAGTACGTGCACCTGGCCACAGCGGAGTGGCGCTCCTGACCCTTGGCGCACGACCACACTACAGCTGCTTCCGACTACCCTGCAGCTTGGGTAGCCGGGCCCTAGCCCCTCGCGTTGGAGGACGCATCGGACTGGACGGTCCCTTCTCAAATCGCGCAACGTACGGGTGTGCCCTCAATGGGTCTTTGTTTAGGGTGCCGCGCATAGACACGCATACGGGGCCGGTGGCGGGCGACGCACACGTCTACGAATTGAGGTGAGCATATTGGGTACTCATGCCACAGCGCTGAAAGCTTACGCCGTTGAAGTGGGTTCACTGGCACTAACCCTTTATCCATGGCTCTCTGTTCCGGTCGACGATACAGGTGTGGCGCAGATATGGTGTACCGAGGTCGGTGTCGAGAAAACAGATATGCACAAAAAACGATACCGGTGAGTAGTCATCGCATGATATCCGAGAAGGGGACGTACATATGCCCACCAAAGGCACCGCGCCAGGTGCTGCATGGTCACATATGAGCCAGTCTTCTTCGTCATCCTACCGTGCCAGTGAGCCCAGTGGCCCGTCGTGGACAGGACACGCTTGTCGAGGACCTTTATGGCCGTCAGAAGCCAAGAGGGATGAGGGACAAAGTGGCGTCCGGACGAGGCTTATATGCGGGTCTGTGGGTCCATGTTTGGTTGCGAACAAACAGCCAGCCGCCATGCTATTGTCGGCCATTTCGAGTCAGCCTTGTTCTCGATTTGGGCGTGTGCTTGTGCCACTCGTCGTTATCGATCATCTGAGGTTGATAGAAGCGCAAACAGCATGGCGGGCAGTGTTCATCATCATGGGTTCGGCGAACCGGGCGACATCTTGTTTCTGCTGCGCGACGCTACTTCGCGGAGGGATCATGGCATGGCTGAACTGCCGTGACTTGGCAACCTGATCCTGGTTATGTGTTTGATCATTCCCCAGTCGTACTCGCGGATGGATGTAGGCTTTGATATCCCTACTTTCTGCAGGAAAGGTCGGTTCCTGGCCTGAAGTCAGCCATAACATCGACGAAATTGGACATCGCCTATCGCGGGTTCTGCGCTGCCTTTGCCTGCCTTTGCCACGCATATTCGGGCTGACATGGCGCCCGGCGGCTCAGTGTGGCTCTTCTGTTCCTTTCGTGGTCCGTCATTTTGACATCAGGCACGATCATGATATTCAAAGAGGATATGCACGTCCCGGTGGTGAATCTCGTGACCGCCTCACGAGCTCGACTGGGACATAAAGCAGTTAAGTGGTGTGTTTCAAATCGAACCTCTACTCTTTGCGTCCCTCTTTGCCAGCGCGATTGCGGATATTGTAATGTCGACACCACGACTCATATCACAAGACGGGTCTGTATAGAGCGTCTCCAATGCCTGTAAGTACATCATATCGCATATACCCATCATTTTACGAGTGTCTTTAGGCTCAGTTGAGAACTGCGAACTCCTCCCGTCAACTCACGCCCCATTAGCTGCGGTACGTGCTCCCAGCCTCAGGGACAGTAGTTCGACATCAAAGTACCTACGTCTCGGAAGATCTGCATACCACTACTGAGGTGTAGTGATGAGTTTAGTCTAATGGTTCGCGTTTAATATTCGTGTGAAGAAAATCTAGTCCTGTCACTGTGAATGTATCACTTCCTCTGCGGTCATCGTCCGTCTTCCGTTGAGGTGAGCGCTGCCTGAGCCACATCGCGTAGTGCTACTGGCGACGTGGGAAGGACACTTGAACTCTATGCTCGGACGCCTATCCCGTGGCGCACGACATTCCCAGCCGCTTACCAGTCCGTGCATTGCGGACCAGAATAACGTTAATGTTGACATTTGTACCCGCCGTGGCGCGCTCCGATCGGCAATACCTGCACCATATGCGAGACTTCTGTGAGTATCATTGCATACATTCGTGCGCCTTGTCGACTTCCTGACTTTGCCGCCATGCTATCTATCAAGACCCTGAAAGTGGTCTTCTCGTAGACTATACAATGCAAACCTACCTGCTAGTGTCGAACTTTAAGTGACGTGCTTGCGGGGCACGTTATAAAGTAAAACCTTTGCTCTTCCGTCAAGCCGTACTCTGTACTAGGGCTTGAGACGTTCTACAACATGATCCCTTTGCTGCTCATACTCGCGTCGCTCACCTGCGTATTCTATGCCTTCCGACCCAGGAACGACTCGATGCGACGGAAGTTACCACCTGGTCCAACGGTGTCCCATTGCTGGGTAACTTACTTCAATTGCCTGCCTTACGACCACACCGAAGGTAGGACGTCGCCTTTATAATCGGCCCTTCTGTTTCTGACGCTGACTCGTAGTTTTTGGAATGGGCCTCTCAGTATGGGGAGATATTTTACCTCAAGCTGGGCGGGCAAGACGTAGTGGTCCTGAACACAGCAGAAGCGGCTGATGAGCTCTTGTCACGTCGCAGTCATAACTATTCTAGTCGGGCGACCCCGCATGTGGCTCAAGACATCCTGCGCGGTGGGATGGGCCTTGCATTCTTGAAGTATGACACTCCTTGGAAGGTCCGTTGGAAATCAGAGCTCGGTTGCTTCGACTGACTTGGCGATAGGTGGCCAGAAAAGCTCTGCAAGGCGCGCTTGGACCCGGGCCTTCGAAGCACATTCGCCCAAACCAGGAATGCGAATCCCGCGTGCTTCTCTACGACTTGATTTGCCACGGGAACAAGAGTGTGTTACAAGCATCTCCGAGAGTCTACATGGAGAAGTCTTGGATAATCACTGGTTCGCACCAGTGAGGCGGTATGTGAGTATGATGGTTTCGCTTAGCGTGCTCAGTCCACATAATCGGCGCTGTGTAGGCGACGAGTGTTACTCTGTATGCGATGTATGGCAAGCGAGTCCCCCGCTTCCTCAATAACCCTAATCTGTGAGAACAGGTCTCCGCTTCGAGCAAATTGCACCTATTGACCTCTGAATCTTAGTCACAAAATATACGACATCGTCGACAATTCTCCCAAATGTCGCAGCCAGGAAATTATCTGTGAGTAGGCTGTCAGTTCGATGACGGTGTGGAATGCTGTGCTGATATCACGATGGCTATGTACAGGGCGGATGTGTTCCCGCTGATACGACGTCTCCCAGACTTCTTAGCGCCATGGAGGGTTAAAGCTCATGGATTGCATCTATGGTCAGTATCTCTCCATGGATGAACCGCAGTGAATTGTTCCGATCTAGTGTTGCAGGGAAATGGGCCTCTGGGGAGGACTTGTTGATGAATGCAAGGTGGCACTACGAAGTGGAGAGAACCGGCGTGGGTTTGTCTGCTCGTATCTGACTGCACGCGCGGCCGCAGGTGAAGAAAATGCTCCCGGAAAAGGTTTGACGAAGGGCGGATGGATACAAGATGACTTCCTCGCGTGTAGTGCCGGATCTGCCCTAGAGGCGGGCTCCGATACCACGGCTAATACTATAGTAACCTTCTTGCTCTACATGCTCAGCCACCCGCATGTGCTCCAGAAAGCACGAGCGGAGATCGATGGCGTGGTAGGGCCGAACGTATGCCAGACTTCGACGACGAAGAACGGCTACCATATCTGGTGGCTTGTATAAAGGAGACCCTGAGACATCGGCCAGCCACTCCTCTAGGTATGCCCGCCGCTCTCTCTAAGCACATGTCCCTCGCTGAGGAGTGATTGGAAGCGATCCCGCATGCGACAGTCGAAGATGACTTCTACAAGGACTACTATATCCCGAAAGGATGTACTGTGATCGGGAATGTGTGGGCCATACATCGGGACCCCGAACGCTTCTTCAATCCAGCGCGTTCATCCCAGAGAGATTCTATCAAGAAGGCAAGCCGACACAGTTCAATAGTGGTCCAGTATCGACCGAACGCGATACGTAATTATCACCTTGTCTCGCTAAGTACCTGTCGTGCTGATATTCCATCGTCAGCTATGGGTTTGGATGGGGCCGGCGGTTCTGTCAAGGCAGTCACATCGCAGAGGCATCGCTCTTCATCACTCTCTCGCGCATCCTTTGGGGTATCGATTTCTACGCGCCGCTCGATCCCAAGACCAAGCAGCCCATCTTGCCTGACGTAGCGAACGAGGAGAAGACGTGGAGCGAGGCTTCCTCAGTGTGCCACACGCTTTCAACATCGGCTTTGCCCCACGATCAGCCAAACACGCAGAGCTCATCCGGAAGGCGTTCGACAATGTCCAGTCCGATGGCAGACCATGGGGTTGGAAGGAGATGACCGGTGAAATCGAACGGTTACCGTGGTCGCTATGAATGCATGTTGCAATGGGTCGCCCTCAATGTCCGGTATTAATGGATTCGCTTGAAGCTTGACCGTCGTTGACCGCGTTTTGCTCGTAAATATGACCACTGCACTGCACTTTCGAATGGCACTCATTCGCTTCAGGTTGTGCAGGCCGCTTGTAGTGCCTCTGAGATCGCAGACGGCGTACTCGCGGTACAGGTTTCGCAGAACTTCGCAAGCTTATCATCCCATGGTACTTAGCTTGAACTCATCTTCCTTCTCGTTCTCGCGTAGAAACTGTCAACGTCGTCGGCGGCAGCGTCGTGTTGCGAGAATGAGAGTTGACACTCAGGTGTGACGCCCTCAGAATGTCAAAATCGGACCTGCATCCACGCACCACTTGTTCCGAGGAATCATGGTCGAGTACATTGGCGTGGAAGTGGGACACAAAATCCAAGACACGCACAGGTTCGGAATTCGACAAGTTCGGAGCACGCGTGGTGTCTCGAGCAATATGCGGTCATCCCGGGCCTTTACCGCGCCAGGTATCCATTGGCCACACATGATCCGTGATTCATGTGGTAGGTCAGTGGTAGGACCAATATACATAGCATATGCTCGACGAAAATCTGTATCGATGAACAAACTATATTCCCAAAACAAAAACTGAGGTAGAATAGAGGGTCCGTTTCCGAAGGGAGAGACGATAAATGTCAGTCAATAGTAGTGAAATAGTCCATGGTCCAACCCGCTAGCTCGAGCTTCAACCAATCCCCAGGAGAAATGCGCTGACATTAGCCATCGTACGGGATGACAAAGACATCCACGCCGTAGCACGTGCTATAGTCGTAGTAGTCGCTGTTGTTGCTGTTCGCCTGGTACACGAGGACGTTGCTCGTGTTCGGGACAGATTGGCAGAGCGAGAAACTGTCCGCGTCGTTGTTCACCGCCAGCAAAACATCACCGTTTCGCAGCTGGAATGCGTATCTGTCAGTTAGCTGCTTGGCAGGAGGGTTGACTGTCGACTCACAGCAGCACAATAGATCTTCGGGACGTCTCGGCCGGGCTCGGTGGGGAGCACGAGGAAGCCGACCTCTGCGCCAGAGGCGATGTCGTAGTCGTATGCTCCCAGGCCCTGCTCATCTGGGCCGGGATTAGGGTAGATCGCACCACCCTCAAGGGAGAAGTACGGCCAATCGTTGGAATGCCACTCCGCATACGTCTGCGCTTATGGGTCAGCGATCCGAAACCCAGTAGGAAACCAATGCACTTACGGAGATCGCCCAGTAACTCGCCTCTGGACTTGTCCCAGGGGGACCCCACCCGAGGACGAGCGGCGCACCGGAGCTGTTGGTGTTCGGGAGCGTGGTGTTGTACGCCGTGAGCGTGAAGTTGTACGTCGGGGTGTCGGTGGAGCCACTACCGAACCCCGCACAAGATGCGCCCGTCTGACGAGTGTTCAAAGCCGGGATGGCCGACACGGACGCAGCGAACAAAGCAACGATGGCGCCGAGGGCGAACATGACTGGCAAACGAAGAGCAAAGGAGAAAAAAAGGGTAGCTGGTGAAAGGAGCGGAGCTCTTGAGCATATGTTCCTCGACATACTTGCTTTATATACGTTTCTTGGTTCCGATCGGTACACACCCGGGCCAGAGGGCAATGACGGGACGTCTGCAGATCTTACATATCACGGTCAGTGATCGCCGTCAGTGCTGTATGCCCCAGCCATAGTGCGACGGTCGGCGCACTGGCCGTGGTGTGCACGTTCGAGACTTTTGAACAGGGAGAGCCAAGACCTCCTCCTATGCCTGGCTGAAGGTGAACGTTGAGCATCATTGAGATGTCACGAGGGTACGCTCGGCTTCAGGGCACCGACGGGAAAGACAACTTGATGGCGCGGGCAGCAACGCCCGCGAGCGGTGGATAACTGAATGCTCGACACATAGGGTTTCGTGGCGGTGCTAGGTCCATAGTCACGGAGTGACTTGAAGTACGGATTGCGCACTGTCACCATATGAAGTCATCTCATGGTACCTGGCGTTCGCAAGAAAGCCTCACCTGTAAGGGAGGGGTCATGCCCGCATAGTTTGAGTACACGATATATTTCGGTCTGGGCACGAATGTCATGACGGTTTACAGTCCCGGTCTCGTCAACCGGACGAATGCACTCGGTCTCAATGCGGTGAAGGAGACGGTGACACCTAGCCACCGCGGTAGCCGTGGGTCCTCAAGTTGGCTGGCTACGTGGAACACGACGACTGTCGCTGTAATCCGCCTGGCCATACGTATGTACTAGCAATGATTGGAGCAAGCCTTGTAGAGAGCGTCAGCAAGCTAACTTGAAGTAGCACAGTGCCAGTGTCACTTACGCTCAACGAGCTTTCCCCCAAGACCGTTGGACATTGCCGACGTGCTCATACATACTAGGCGTCCAGTATTAAATACCGAGAGCGTCGTGGAAGCTTGGCCAGAAGCAGATTCACTACTAGATGATGGTTGTGGATGATCTAGCAGGACGACCGCGTTAGCGCTCGTTGAATATGACTCCCATTTTCAAAATGCACTCATTTGCTTCAAGTTGCGCAGACTCGCTTCGCCTCGCTCCACGCCTCCACCATCCGTCTTGTCTCCAGCGTACGACTGCGGTCCCACCCACGAACTGGCTAGGTTATGCAAATTCTCCTCCGACGCCTGTACAATGGCGGATTCAACCATCTCAAGAGCACGTCCTTCCTCGTCCAGCGAGCCCCGCGCACCGTTATCCCTGCGTCTTCGCGGTTCTGCACGTCGGACGCCCAGGAGAGCAATGTGCGTTATCTTCATGTTCATGGCTTCCGGGTCTTGTATGCTTTCCATCGCGGATGCTGTCGACAAAGATAGGAGAGGCCTTCCTATCACAGTGTTTGTGTTCGGTCCTCTTCGGCCCCGAAGGCGCATGACTCTTGTGTAGTGGGAGATGGCGCGAATGGTGACGTAGCGCGGTTTAACGTTCGCTATAGCGAGTGCAAACGACCCTTATCCACAGGATAGCGCAATGGTTCGCCATCGCACACCCCACCTCGTCTTATAGCCAGCGAAGAGAAGTCATATTGACGCGCATCGACCACTCCAGGGCCAGTTCGCTCTTCCTACCAATCTAGCCAGCGAGTCTAGCACGGCCGGCAAGCACGACAACCCACACGCGCACCAGACTCGCACAACAATGTCCGCAGAATTCGTGGAAGCCAACGAGAAGTACGCCGCCACGTTCGGCGAAAAGGGCAAGCTACCAATTCACCCGGCGAAGAAGCTCGCAGTCGGTGAGAGCGTACCTACGCGGTTCCGCGAACGGCTGACTGACTTGTGTACGCGTGGGTAGTAACGTGCATGGACGCTCGCCTGGAGTGAGTGTTGTCTCGCTGGGAGTTCGCAAATGGACCTGACTGACCGCGGAACAGTCTGTACGCGCAGCTCGGCGTCAAAGAGGGCGACGCCCACATCATCCGCAACGCCGGCGGAATCGCGTACGTCCTCAATTCTCACATCCCTTCTATCGACTTACCCCTTCCTTCCTCAGAAAAGACGCCCTGCGTAGCATCATCATCTCGCAGCGCCTGCTCGGCACGCGCGAGATTGCCATCATCCACCACACGTCTTGCGGCATGCTCTCCTTCCAGACGCCCCAGCTCCGCGCGATCGTGAAGGAGTCCGACCCCTCGAACCCCGCGCTCCAGGCGGTCGACGAGATCGACTTCCTGGAGTTCCCGAATTTGGAGCAGAGCGTGAAGGAAGATGTGAAGTGGTTGAAGGAAAACCCCCTCGTCCTGCCTGAGACGCAGATTTCGGGGTGGGTGTATTCGGTGGAGACCGGGAGGGTGAGTCGATGTCACGCTCTCCGATCAATTAGCTCATGCGATCGTGTATTAGGTTCGCCAAATCGTTTGAGTCGTCGCAAACGAGAACGAACAATATGGCTGCGTCTGTACACCTCCCGCGGACAGCATCTAACTGAATCTATAGCGTACAAGCCTTAAATGTAACCGTTCATCTTCTTGCCTTGCTTTGCACTCGCATCGTAAGTTATGATGAAACAATGAGTGCGGGTGATACTGAAATTGCGAGTAAATCTACAATGACAATGTATCGATACAAGTTGATTGTCTGCTGCTGCTGTTGCTGCCACCAAAAAGTCGAAAGCGAGGACCAGATCATACAGGTATCCAAGAGCGATGTCCACATGTACCAGAACCCACAGCCCGAGCTCACGCCCAGCTGTCGATGAGGGAGTCGCGCATCTCCCCGATGACTGCCGCTTGATTTTGTCCTTGTAGCTCTGATTTGCAATATGCGAATGTCAGAATATGGAAGAGAGAGAGAGGTGAGGCAAGAAGACGCACTGAATGCGGCTTCGATGACGCTGATCTCTGTCGCGGTTGTGTCGAGGCCAGTGAATGCGCACCAATCATTCACGACAAGGCCTGCACCGATGACGTCTGAGCCACGATTTACCGTGCCAGCCTTCGGGGACGCATTAGGTCGAAGGAATTTGTGTACAGTAAAACACAAGCGCTCACCACCAGTGGGATCTGCAGCAAGCTGCTGAGCTCGTCCTGATCCTGCACGCTCGTCTTCGGATGCACGAGCCCGCCCTGGTTCGTGATCGCACAGTAGCTGCCTACGAGCACGTTGTCCGCGATCGTCTGGCGGAAGACCTCCACCTTGAGCACGTCCGCGATGATCTCCTCCGTCTCGCGGTCGACGTCGGGGTGTACGAGTGCGACGTAGTCGTTGCACGCGATGACGTTTCCGAGCGCGGAGAGCCGTTCCTCCACTCGCTGGATCGCGACAGCCTCCGGGAGCGAGTTGCGGAGGTGCTGCAGCTCCTGGTCGGTCGTTGTTGATGGCACGAGCAGACCGTGGCGGTTCCCTTTGCAGGTTGGGTTACGAGATGAGACAGAATGCAGTTGTAAGGAAGCGCACCTGCTGTGAGCCGACCATAATGCGTGTTCCGCCTATGCTCGTGTGGACGATGGGGACGACATCGCCGAGCTCGGCCTCGAAGGCGGAGTAGAAGTTGGTGCTGCCCTGGATGGCCGTCAGGCAGTAGCTGTTCGTCAGCTTGGAGAAGACTCCGATGTCGCTGCTGTTCTCGAATTGGATGCCTGTGTGTCGCTCGATCAGTGCGCCTGTCCTCCGAGCAGGCTGCGAGCGATCTTACGGGTGGCCATGTTGAGGGGGCTTGTCTGAACGTTAGGTCGTCTCTGTGTGTGCTTGAGGTTGAGGAGAAGCGAGAGGGAGTTGGTGGGGTGTAGAGGACTGTGGCGGATGGAAGTGCAAATTGACGAGGCGTATAAAACGGCTCTCTGCCACAGGCTGGAGAGACGCCGCGACTGCCGACGCGACTCGGACCAGCGCGGTCACGGTACCGAAAGTGACTATCGTCCTCCCACCAACTGTCCGCTCGACGGTCGGACCACAGCCGCATCATCCATCTGACTCGCTCTCTACGCTTCGTATCTGACTCGCTGCCGATACCTCGCCTTGCTGCTGGCGACCCCTGGGCGTTCTGACACTTCGGAGTCAGAGCCATGCTTCGATCGACAACATCCAGCACTCTGTACCAGGCACGGGCTATACGGAATGTATATCGTGCCCCAGGTCGTGTTCTTGCATGCGGCGACGGTTCAGTTCCTCAAGCAGTTCGTTCCCCATTGAGGCTACGGATCCAGCGCCGCTCATATGTCGTTGCTGCCAACCACTCTGTCACGCCCATCGAGAAGATACTCCTCGATACCATCAAAGTCACAGGCCCAATCTCGTTCGGGACCTACATGCAGATGTGTCTGTCTCATCCCACGGAAGGATACTACATGAAGTCTTCCCAGCAGGTCTTCGGGGAGAAGGGCGACTTCACCACCAGCCCTGAGATTAGCCAGGTTTTCGGTGAGGTACGTTGTGGCAAAGCGTGCGTGGCATGCGAGATGACGACGAAAAGCGGGTGGGAGTAGCTCGCCGGAATATGGCTTCTATCGCAATGGTTATACGCTGGCAACTCCAGGAAGCTACGGCTGGTCGAGCTCGGACCTGGCAGAGGCACGTTGATGCATGACATCCTCAGAGTGAGTGACATGTGTGTCCTCTATATGAATGGTGCATAAATTCGATACTACAGGTCTTGTCGCAATTTTCAGCAGCTCGTGAGGCAATTGAAGCCGTCCACCTAGTGGAGACAAGCCCGAACATGCAGCAACGGCAGGACGAGAAACTCTCGCCGCTTGCTCTCAAGCACAAGTGGGACGTACAATGGCACACGTCCATTGAAGAGGTCCCGCATGACCCTTCGAGGTTCACGCTCTTGGTGGCGCACGAGTTCTTCGACGCGCTACCGTTCAATCTCATCCAAGTACGTTCGCACATTCAGCTCAGATAGGTTCGAGTTGCACGCTCGTTGTTATGCAGAAAACGCAACAAGGCTGGCAAGAGGTGTTGATTGCAGCGGCAGACTCTGCCCAGCCGACGGACCTCACTGCATCGTCTCTGAACGTTGACACCACCTTGGATCGGAAACGCGAGCCTACCACTTCCCCGTCAAAACCGCCGTCCCGGTTCCGCCGCGTGCTGTCTCGGCTCCCGACCGCGTCTTCGACTCTGCTCGGTCTCTCGTCCTCGCGTTTAAAGGACCTCCCGATGGGCAGCCACGTCGAGATATCGCCTACGGCCTTCAAGATCGCGCGGAAGGTCGGCGAGTTGGTGCAGGATCCGGAGAGTAAAGGAGAAAGCTCGGCGGGCAGCGCGTTGGTCGTGGATTACGGGCGGAGAAGGCATTCGGAAATTCGTTCAGGGTACGCGCATTACACCCTTACTTTATGAGCTCCGTGATGTCACAGCTGATTGACCTCGCGTCGATGGAAAGGCATTCAAGGACACAAGATTGTGGATGTGTTCGATCGTCCGGGCGAGTGCGACTTGACCGTGAACGTCGACTTTGCCTACCTCAAAGAAGCCCTCGCAGGCGTCGGTGCGTGCCTTTCTCCTCCCGGCTGTACGCCTCACGAATTCTTCAACCCTGTCATAGCGACGCCCTTAGGGCCACTGGCGCAAGGGTCTTTCCTCACGCATATGGGACTCGCCGCGCGAGTCGAGGCGCTCAGAAAGGCTGCCAAGAGCGAGGAACGGGGCGGAGATCGAGAAAGCGGCGAACAGGCTGGTGGACAAGACTGGGATGGGGAGCCAGTATCAGGTCATGGGCGTAGTGGGTGCGAGGCGAGATGAGAACAGCGTGAGGGTGGAGGAGAGGTGGCCGTTCGTTCAGGATGCGTAGGACTACGTGGGTGCGGTAAGTACATGTCGCCACCGTAACCGCCTATGTGCAAGAGTGCAGCGCTCCCCTGGAGCCATGTTTCTATGTCATTTCGGACGTGGATGGGCTCTGCATTTGTAGTAGGATATCGAGGCTTGGAGGTCGTTTGCCCGTATATCTCATCTCCGGGCGACCCATGTCTCGATGACCTTCCTTTCTGCACGCCCTCTTATGCCCTACAGGTAGATATTTTTCCTGTAGACATAGTATCACGAATCTTGCTGGTCGATGCTGGAGGTTCGTTCGCGAACTTGAGGTACGCTAATACTCATGTGCATGCACCAGATTGTCACCCGGAGTGGGGCTTGTCCAACTCCTTCGACTATCCGTCTTCATTACGCTCATACAGTGGTATATCGCTATAGCCAAGCTAATTACGCCGTAGATCAAGTTATCATTGTGTTGTCGTTCAAACTTCAGTATGTATCTCGGCAAGATCTAGCGATCGCGCGTAGGGTCGTGGGACAAGCGCCATCACGGTGTTCAACATGATCTTCGTATGTTACCGAGCTACCGGTGCGATCGCGCTGTGACTTTGAGCGCGACTCCTGCATCAGTCAGATACGATGGATATTTCCGAGAAGCAGCAGCAAATCCAGGTGAGTACTCGACTCATCCCTCTCAAGGGAAAGGGAGATACTATCTTACCACTGCTTGCAGCCACTGCCGGCCCCGGGCCAGCCTCAGCCAAGTCGCCAAATATCCACCACGATCCAGCGCGCAGCGGATGACTTCGTCCGCCTCATCGAGAGCGAGAAGGTCAAGGCGCGCGAGCCCTTGCAACGACAGCTCGCGGCGCTCGAGCACGATCATGCTCAGTTCCGCGAGCATGCTGCCACAACGCTGGACGCAGCGCTCACGCGCGTCGGCTCGGTGGACGATGAGATTCAGAAGGTGAAGGAGGTGTTGGCCGCTCGGGAGAAAGAGATCGAGAACATGCGACAGGTCGTCGCGGCGCGCGATCGCGATATTACACAGCTGCGCGAGCAACACATGAGCTTGGGAGCACCAGGGACTGACCGGATTAGCGGCAGCCAGCATCAACGCGAGGGCGTGGAGGTACAGGTTCTGCGCATGCGGGAGGCTTTGGAGAAGGAACACAACGAATTGGTTGCGAGCAAGAACGCGCAGATTGAAGCGCTCAATGCCCACATCGCTAAGCTAGAGGCTGAACTAGTCGAGCTGCGCTCAAAAGACGAGGATATCATGATGGCCGAGGCGAGCAGGGACTATCTCAACATAGATGAATGCGAGCAGGTGAGTGCATCCTACGTTAATCAGAGAAGCAAGTGACAAATTGTGTGGTAAGCATAGCACGACGGCCTAACGCCATTCGCGGACTGCTCAATAGTGCTGTCTGCTCCCTCTCCTGTTGAGGAAGATAAAGAGGACAAGGACAGCCTATTCTCGGGGTCTTTCTCTCCAGGTGCTATTTATCTGGAGTTCTCGGCAGCCCCAGACGAGCTTCCATTTCCTGAACCTTCTACTCCTGAACCTCAGCTCCCTGAACCCCTGCCACTGCCTCCCGTCACCAATAGTGATATATCCGAGTCGGAGGAGGAGCACCCCTCTGTAATTCGAAGTGAGCCACTTGTGTTACGAATACCTGACTTTCCGTACAAGCCTAAACGATTCAAACCCGATATTGTGCCACTTACGGAGGAGGAGGCGGCGCGTTGTTGTTATGTGTCGCGGCGGCGTAAGTAAAGATGAGACCAAGTGTTATCTACATGGATTGTGTACCGTACTATGACACTATGGAGTGCATTGAATGCGGACACAGTACGATACTAGGCATTTCTTATACTCGACTGATTATCTTATTGCATACGCCCTGGTACTTACCTACATACGGTCTACTGCTACTGTATCAATGACCTTGCTTCTGACTGCAAGTCCTGCCTATGAAGTCGTGGATGGCGCGTTCCTGTTCTCGAGAACTGGATCGATGTGTGAGCACTTGAGCAGTGTACCCGCTGCGACCCGTCTCAGTCCGTAGGTTGTCTCTGTCTCTCATCGATCCTCTCCTCTCACGAGCCAGCTACCGAGCGTTCGAGCAAGAAACCGATCCAACCAAAAATGCCCATGAGCGATCTCGGGGAATGACGTTGTCCTCTAGATCGTTGCACACAGTACGACCTCTCGAGCGTATCGACCGCGAGACGCTCCGACGTGAGCACAACACCAGGGGCTTTTTTTCTGGCACCGCGATGCGCGGCCGCGTACTACGCATCAGTGGGGTGTGTGTCTGTACCAGGCCCAAGGTCCCTTGAACGTTCAATCTGAACGCATCCCGCCGGCGCGCAGGCCTTTCGTAATGAACCTCGATGACACCGAAGATGTAGATGTCCTCGGTCATCTCGTCGTCGCAGTTCAGCTCACAGGCTGAGGCTGAGATGTCATTAAGTACCCCACGGGCGGAGCCGACCTCGCTGCCCAACAGCCGAGCAATTCCAAAGCAGCATGAACTCCAAGAAGATCATGTCGGCGGGTCTGGGCGCGGAACTATAGGCTAAAGCAGGGGCGGTTCAGCCATCAACGTTCAACGCCATCCCACCGTTGCCGGCGAGCGACATTTCCTTGGGGTACTTCGTCGAGCCGGTGAAGTGGATGCAGTCCTTCATGCAGGGTTGCTAGATGGCGGGGGAGATTATGTGCCTGAACAAGAAGTATCGCGTCGATTATGAGGCAGATTTGCGATAGGGATTCTGCATGTATCGGTCGACGGTGGACGAGGTGGCCAAGGTGGTGTTGTTGTAGTAATTTGTGAAACTCTTCGCGACTGCTTGTTTGATGACTCGATCTGACTTTCTGGCAAAAAACATCCGCCTCGTATAAGTAAGAGAAGTCATGCACATGACAAGGTCAGACTTCGCGGTCAGTACCTAGTCCTACCGTGACGACCGTGTGGCAGAGGGATACGCGCCTCTTGCACTTCCACCTTCACCTCCCACTCCCCTGCCGCGCCGCTGCCTCTACTTCTCCTCCTTCGTACGCTTCCACATGAGCTTCTTGAGACATTTGTCGCACAGCACGACCTTGACCAGCGCGAACTTGTCCTCTCCACTCTCGACGTAAGAGAACGGCAATTCTAACGTCTTGAGCGACGGCCTGAGCTCGTCGACCGCGCGCTGCTCGTGCAGGGGACACCGCGTGTTCCCGCATGTCGTCTCTCCCGCGCCGGAGATTACCTCGGATTCTGTGCGCCAGCGGAGGGCAAACTGCGGGTTGTGAGTTCAACTGGGTGCGGCCCAGAACCGAGAGGGAAGGGCTACTTACGTTGCCCGACTTGTAGTGCTTCAGGTCGCAGACGGCGTACTCGCGGTACAGGTTCTCGTAGTACTTCTTCGCAAGCTTGTCATCCCATGACAACTTGGACTCATCTTCCTTCTCGTCTTCGCGTAGAAACCTGTGTCGAACGTCGTGTCGCGAGAATGAGAGTCGACACTCAGGCTTACTTATGTGACGCCCTCAGAATGTCGAACTCGGACCTGCCTCCACGCGCCACTTGTTTGGAGGACCACTGTCGAGTACATTGGTGTGGAGAGTGAAAGACAAGAGCCGTGCGCTCACAGGTTCGGAACCCGACAAGTTCGGAGCGCGCGTGGTGTCTAGAGCGCGGACAGTATGGGCGCTTGAGCGATCATCCCGGGGCCTTTGCCTCCTCCAGGTTTGGCACACAGGCAGGATCCGCGGTCCATATGTGGTAGGGTCAGTGAGTAGAACCAATATAAACAACATAGGCTCGATGAAAATCAGCATCAACTATGTAAACTATTATTTCTGAACGGAAACTAAGATATTAGAATAGAGGAGTCCGTTTCCGAAGGGAGAGACGATAAAGTGACAGGCAATCATAGTGCAATAGTCCATGGTCCGACCCGCTAGCTCGAGCACAACCAATCCCCAAGAAAACGCGCCAACATTAACCGTAGTATGGGATGAGGTAGACATCTACACCGTAGCAAGTGCTGTAGTCGTAGGTCTGACTGTTATCGGCGTTCGCCTGGTACACAAGGACGTTGTTGGGGCGGGGGTCCGGAACAGCCTGGCAAAGCGAAAAGCTGTCCGCGTCGTTGTTTACCGCCAGCATAACATAATCATCACGCAGCTGAACCGTGCTCATCAGAAAGCTGTCAAGCAGCGGGATTGGGTGTCGACTCACAGCAGCGCAATAGATCTTAGGGACGTCGCGGCCGGGATCGGTTGGAAGCACAATGAACCCAACTTCCGCGCCAGAGGCAATGTCGTAGTCGTATGCTCCCAAGCTCTGTTCATCAGGCCCGGGATAGGGTAAAGTGCGCCACCCTCAAGGGAGAAGTATGGCCACTGGTTGGAATGCCACTCCGCATACGTCTGCGAAAGTGATCAGCGACGCAGAATACCAATAGGAAACCAAAGCGCTCACCGAGATCGCCCAGTAACTCGCCTCTGAACTCGTCCCGGGAGGACCCCACCCGAGGACGAGCGGCGCACCGGTGCTGTTGGTGTTCGGGAGCGTGGTGTTGTGCGCCGTAAGCGTGAAGTTGTACGTCGGGGTGTCGGTGGAGCCGCTACCGAAGCCCGCACATGATGCGCCCGTCTGACGAGTGTTCAAGGCAGGGATAGCCGACACGGACGCAGTGAACAAAGTAGCGATGGCACCGAAGGCGAACATGACTGACAAAACGAGGAGAAAAGGAGAGAAAGATTGGTCGAAGGAGCGGTGCTCTTGAGCATACGTTCCTCGCACACTCGCTTTATATACGTTTCTTGACTCCGATCGGTGCATACCTGGGTCAGAGGGCAATAACGGGACGTCTGCGATTTACATATCACGGGCAGTGATCGCCGTCAGTGCTATGTGCCACAGCGCGACGGTCGGCGCACTGGCCGTGATGTGCACGTTCGAGGATTATGAACAGGGAGAGCCAAGACTTCCTATGCCTAGCTGAAGTTGAACGTTGGGCATTGAGGTGTCACGAAGATACGTCCGGCCTCGGGGCACGGGGAAGACGAATTGATGGAGCGGGCAGCAGCGCGCGCGATCGGTGAATGTTTGATACGTAGGGTTTCGTGGAGGCGCCAGAACCATACTGTAGTCACAGTGTAAGCACGGATTGCGCGCTGTCACCATATGAAGTCGACCAGTGGTGTCTGGCATTGGCGAGAAAAGCCTAACATGTAAGAGAAAGGTTATTCCCGCATAGTACATGACACCCTTCGGTCTGTGCACGAATGCCATGACAGTTTGAGTTCCAGTCTCGTCCAAGCGGACGAATGCATCCGGTCTCAAGGTGGTGAAGGAGACGGTGACACATAGCCATCGTGGTATATGCATTCTTTTCGCGTGTCTCATCGTGACATACCGTGCGTCTTAACCGCTAGCCTATCAGAGATGATGTCTGTTGCCGTAGTGTTCGTCAGCAGGGACCAGCTGCTCCAGATCCAAGGCCACTCACCTACTTACGAGAATGCTTCAATTCCCGAGCTGATGATATTCGCAGCGGAGCGAGATGTCATGCATTTTAGCTAGCTTGAGTGTCACTGGGCATTTACGGCCGTGTATGCAGAGGTACATCCGAGCCAGGGCGAGAGACCACGCAGTGAAGCCATGCGATATGTACGACGACGTTCAAAAAGATGCAAGCCTTCGGCAAGCACCGTGACGAAATGGTGCTCTCACGAGAAGGCGATCTATATGCGGTGGTGCGGAGACATCCATACTGGGATGCAGGGGAGACCCCGCAGGCCGGCCTGGACCGGAGTGGGAGATGCCACTGAGGGGCGGGACGTCACGGTGCTCCCGACCATGTTCTGGTATGTTCTGGCAACGCCGCCATGGCTGGCGCGAATTCCAGCCCGCCCCGTCGCCGCTCTACTTATTGCCAGCACAGCGCTCTCGCGGTCCCACATATACGTGACGACCTACCAGATACCACTTTCCCCGCTCCCTTCTTTCCCAACCACATACCACACTAGCTGATCCATCATGGGTACGGACTACTACAAGTTGCTCGGCGTAGACCGCAGCGCCAGGACGACGACATCAAGAAGGCCTATCGGAAGATGGTACGTACAGCTTGATTGGTTTTGTCCGAATCTGGCTGAATTGCCTCAATCAAGGCCTTGAAATGGCATCCCGACCGCAACAAAGGGTCTGACGAAGCCACCAAGAAATTCAAAGAGGTCAGTCGATAGCTCGGTTGCGTAGCCTCGCATTCTGAACTTCCCGCTGATCATCGTCTGTTAGATCTCCGAAGCCTTCGAGGTTCTCAGCGACAAGCAGAAACGAGCCGTTTACGACCAGTTCGGAGAGGAGGGCCTCAAGGGCGGAGGCGTACCGCCACAAGGCGCAGGAGGCCCTGGCGGGGGCGGCTTCTCCAATTTCGGCGGCTTCCCCGGTGGGACGTTCTCCTTCTCCACGAGCTCACCAGGCGGTGGAGGCTTCCAGAGTAGCGGGTATAACCCAACAGACCCCCAGAAGATATTCGAGTAAGTGCATACGTGCGTTCACTGTCAGCGTATATTGACGCTCGCGCTCTACAGGGCGTTCTTCGGTGCGGGAGGTCTGGGTGGATTGGGCGGCATGGGAGGTATGGGTGGCTTCGGCGGCGGCGGTGGTCGCAACCGCACGGGCAGCATGTTCGCGAGCGAGGATGACGACATGAGTGGATTCCCATTCGGCGGCATGCCCGGTGGCATGCCAAACGGTCGCTCAACACCCCGCACCGGTGCGCGGAGACCATCATCCCCAGCACCTTCCGCAGCACCCTCCGAGATCACTCGTCCGCTCAAGGTATCATTAGAGGACGTCTACGCGGGCACAAGCAAGCACCTCAAAATCGGGCGGAAACTGCTCAGCGGCGACACCGAGGAGAAGGTGCTCGAGATCAGGTGCAGCCGGATGGAAGAGCGGCACGAAGGTGCGCTTCCCGCGCGCGGGCAACGAGCAGCCCACGGGCGAGGCGCAGGACCTCGTGTTCGTCCTCGAGGAGAAGCCGCACGACCGGTTCGTCCGTGAGGGCAACGACATCGTGTGCCACCTTCGCTGCCGCTTGTCGACGCGCTCGCTGGCGAGGGAGGCCGACGGACGGTGGAGCATCTCGATGGCGGAAGCTGCAGGTGACGATCCCAGCGGCGTGGTGAAGCCCGGGCAGAAGACGGTCCTGTCGGGCGAGGGCATGCCGATTCGGAAGGAGGGTGCGGTACGGAGGAAGGGCGATCTGATCGTTCAGTGGGATGTAACCTTCCCGGACCGGCTTACACCAGCACAGAAGGAGGGCGTCCGGAAGGTGCTGGGTTAATAATACACAGCTATTCATGGAGGACTTGACGGACGTTTATCGCATTCACTATGTAGCAATTATCGTTGTAGTATTCTAGATACTCCTCACATTATATGCATATTTCGCTCACCTTGCTAGCATCAGAGCCTTGATCAGAGCGACATATACCGTTCATGTCTGCGACACGGTCAGTGGCATTGTCGGTAGAAAGACTAGAGAATCTGCGACGCATTCACATTTGACAGTTGAACGATTGTTGACGCTGACAGCATGCCAACACACTGAGTACTGGCACAGGCAACGTCTGCCCGACTGCTCCAATCGCTTTTCTTTCAAATCCATTTCATGCATAATGCCTGCTCAGGCGTTCCCCAGATCACTTGACATTCATCATGGCTTCTCGACGTTATGTAAGTTACACAGTTAGTTGTTCACATACACTACCCTCGCCGGACCACTCGTCTCAACGAACAATACAGCACTCTTTTGCCAGTATCCTAGCAGTTGTTGCCTCCGCAGGCTCCCTGTCAGAGGGCACATTATCAGCATCGCATTCAACCGCTTGCAAGCCGGAGCAGAGTCACGCACTCCGACGAAACGGTAGCTCTGGTCGCTCGGGTTGAGCGTCTTGCAGAACCCGGTGGCCGTGAAGTCGTAGCCGACGTTCTGGCAGGTGCACGTCCCGTCGCCGGAGGTGATGACGAGACAGTACTGGTTGTCGCCGCTGGTGCCGAGACCGTCGTCGGGGATGTAGACGGAACCGCGGCCGGCCTCGCCCAGGCAGCCATCGTTGCGGATGTCGACGCCGATGCCGCCATTCACGGAGCAGGCGTTGTCTGAGCGGATTGAACGTATGTCAGCTCAGGACCATGGAAGAGGACAGGCATACGTACCATCGAAGAAGTTGGCGGAGAAGTCGGCCTTGACGGGAGCGAGGAGAGCAAGGGCGACGGCGGAGGTGATGGTGCTCGAGAACTTCATTGTTGTTGGACGCAGATGGATGTGGTGGTTTTCTGAGACAGCGTGCTTTGTGATGAAGAGCTATGGGCTCACTCGCAGGCTCTTATATAGCATTTGGTATGACTTCAGGACGGGTCACTGGGACGGCTGGAGACCGTCAGTTACATGTCGTGACTATGCCGTGACTGAACTCACAGCGCATCCTCCTGGCTTCCTCCGAGTCGGACGTCGACCATTCTCTGAACCACCCCTTCCCGACGCATCGTGCAGGTTTCAGGCGGTGTCGAACTCTACGCAAGAACGTCAATCACCCACCCGACTCCCCAAGGATCCAGTGTCCAGGCGTACCGAAGCTAATTTACAGCAGTGCAGCACCACAGGAGGTTGCGCTCGTCGGACACGACTTGGGACACGACTTGGGACAGTACTGGGCTGAAATGCGCCTGACACGACTGCACGAAGCCGACCCTTTGTGAGCCCAATGATATTTGCCAACGCAAGGCCTTTCGCGTAGAGGCGTCGGTGTCGAACCTCGGGAAAAGCGCGTTTGATGCGCCCAAGATTTGCAAGACAATCCGGATGAATCGTCAACCACTGTATAAGTGGCTATGTCATTGACGGGCGCGGCGATCTTCTGTGCGGACAAGGTGGACGTGCATGTGCCGGTGAGGTCGCGCATGACGTTTGTTCTGTCAAGCAAAGTGACTTCTCGAACTGCATCGCGGCGCATGTTCACTGCGGCAGCGCCTACAGAACCAACTTAGGCTTCCTGGCTGTGACATCGAGACCCGTGGGCGATGCGTACTTGGAGTAAATTGAGGTGCACTGGAGGGTCATCAATGGGTATTAATTCCAAGAAGCATGCGTGAGCCACGCACAGTGTATGTGACCTGGGTCAAGGTACCTTTGCGGTGTTGGAGTTGGAGTCCATCTTTAATGCATCAGCTGAATGTCAAATCGTCAGGACATTGAATTTGAGGGTCTGGGATTGCACCGGTGCTCTTACGCAGTCGAGCGCTTAAGGGACCCATTAAGCTCATCGGCAGCTTCTGTCAGAGCAGTCATCGGACGCAGACACGACACGACAGATGCTTGAAATTACGTCTACATTGGAGTGTTGCCGATTTGAACTAGTCGCGATGTCCGAGGCGCAGACAGATCGACGAACCCGAACCCCTGAACATTGTCATGATTAGCGACTCGAATTTGTACACGATTACCGAGGCAAATGCAAACGTCCCCAGACGAAGACACGAAGGGTGTAGAAAACATACCGGGACTCCGGGCCATGATAGCAGGCCTAAGAGAACGGCGCCAGCAGACCCGCTTTTGCTGGTTGAGGAGTTATAGATACTAAATAAAAGAGCCGATACGTTAGCAGGAGAAGGTGCACAGAAAGCAGATAACGGAGACATCGCCCTGGTTGTGGAGGTCACTGTACTCAAGCAACGCCAACAGCGCCTCTTTCTGCCAAAATTCGCCTGCTTAAGTTAGTAAGGAATCTGAGAGTTAAACTGAGTACCTGCACAAATAGGAGATGCACCAGCGTAGACAACATGATCCGAGCCATAGATGAAGTCCAGATATAGCGCGGCCTTCGACATAAAGACATGAAAAATCTTTCAGATCTACGCCCATTTGTTAAGGAAGCGCAGGAGGTTGTTCCGACTGAGGCGGTCTCCACGGTGGGGCGATCTCCTTTACGACGAGCTCACCAGGAAGCGGAGGCTTCCAGAATGGCGGGTACAACCCGACAGACCGCCAGAAGGGTTTCTAACTCTTCACTGTTGACACATACGCTGACGACCTCGTTCTACAGGCAGCTCTTCAAGTTCGGTATGAGAGGTTCTGTGGTATTTAAGAAGCATTGGAGGGATGAACGCCATGGGGGGCTTTGGGGGCGGTGGTGGTGGTCGCAATCGCATGGGCAGCTAGGAGGATGGATTGAGCGGGTTCTCGTCTGGCAACGTGCTCGGTAGAATGACAAACGGTCCAAGTCCCGTCGCGCCAACCGAGTCGATGAAAGCGTATAGTTACTAGAAAGACACAACTTGAGCCGGAGTTGACTCCCAGTGGAAATCAGACCTGCTGGGAGATGCTCCAAGCTGCTCTGAGCTGCGCGGTGGGGCCGCTGTCAAAAGAGCATCTGCGAGCAGCTCTGAGCAGCCTGGAGCAAGAAATTTAGACTTTTCGCATTTTTCTAGATGCTCGGAGCTGCTCTGAGCGTGAAAATTACGCGTATGCAGCTGGGAGCAGATCCGGGCATATTGCTAGATGCTCCTGTATTGCACTAGCTGCCATAAGAATAATACATTTATCGTGCCCGCATCCTGCGCCGCCTGCGCCCTGCATACCGCGCCCGCGCGCCCACACCCTGCATACCGCCCGCATACCACGCCCGCCGCCTGCATACCACGCCCACACGCTCCCGCCCAACCACCCCACACACCACCTGCATACTACGCCCGCCCGCTTCCTACGTACCGCACTCGCGCCCGTTTCACGCCTTCGTCTCACTCGCATACGCTGGCCACTTGCCGACATTTCCGAGTCTTGGCAGTTGCGCTTCACTTCACCTCGGATTTCTTGCCTTGATTCACCAACGCGACCGGCTCCTGCTGATTCAGTTCAATCGAGCTCGCACACACCTTGTTCGCCTTACGAATCGCGATGTGTGGCGGCGGCAGCTGGTACTACCTGTTCGCCATCTCGTCGAGTGCTACACGACCTGTGGGGTCGAGCACGATGCCAACACTGTTGTGGCTCGTCGGGCGCTGATGTTCTCTGGCTGGGGCTCGGACCTGCCCTGGCAGCCCAATAACACTCCCAGGACGACTACCCAGCCGGCTTATGGACTTGCGCTCACCAGGGAACGACTGCTCGTAGTCGTGCGAAATCTCCTCCACGGGCAAATTTCGATGGACCTACATTTGACGGCGGGAGCATGTGCTTCGGGTACGGGTTTGGCGACGTCGAACGCCAGTCGGACGCTGGCAGCGCCGCGCCGGCGACGATCTCCGCGGAGCGACGATAGTCGACCGAGTTCCTGCGACCACTCCGGCTCGATCCGTCTGGCGGCGGCGACAGCTTGTTCGCCGTGGCGTCCCGCTTCGTTGGCGACGGGCTGGAATCCGGATACGCGCCCTGTGGCTGGTACTGACTCTGCCGCCGTGTGCTGCGTCTTCCTGTTTGAGCGCGACCATCTGCTGGGCGAGCGGATCGTCGTCTTGCCCGACGTCGAGCGGCGCGGCTATTTTGCTGCAGCCCCTCTGTCTTCGCGGGTCGCGTGAGGGATCCACAGGATAAGCCCGCTCGCCGATCTTCAGCATCGTCTCTGCAGTGGGGTCAACGGGCGGGCGAACACAGACGGGCGAGCGAGCATGGAGACGGGCGAGCAAGTGCAGAGATGGGCGAGCAAGTGCAGAGACGGGTGAGCAAATGTAGTGACGGGTAAGTGAGTGTAGAGACAGGCGGGTGAGCATAGAGAGATGGGTGGGCGAGTGTAGAGACGGGCGGGCGAGCATAGAGAGATGGGCGAACAAAGAAATGGGCAAGCGAAGAAATGGGCAGGGGTGCACAAACACTTACGGGACGCAGATCGCGTTGCTCGGCGCGCCAGCGATCCTTACAATGACGTTCACGGGTCTCGCGCGAATCATGCCAACGGATGGATGAGCGGGTCGGTGAGCGGGCGCCGGGTGAGTCAACCAGTTAGGGAACGAACGGGCAAGTGGGCAGTCAGCTAAGGTGTGAATGAGACATGCGGGCAGGATGCCAGGCGAGCAAAAAGGTGTGCGGTCAGGCACTTGAAGAAGGCGCGTGGCAAGTCACAAAGATGCGTGGGCGAGCGAAAGACTCGTAAGCGAATGAGACGTGCAATACACTGGCAGGAGGGCGAACGGGCGGACAAGTCTGTAGTCAGGTGGAGAAGTGAGCAGGTAAGCGCAAGGCCGCCACGGCAGGCGGGCAGTAGACAAGCAGCGGGCAATTGAACAAGCTAGGTGATGGTGGTGGTAAGAGCCTGAGAGAGAGGGGCGAGGGCAGGAAGACGACGACGGCCGTCGCTGCAATGAGATTACGTCATACCAGAGTGGGCGGGAATATCACTGCTATAAGTAATGCGCATCGCGCGGTGCGACCGTAAGTGCTTAACGCAAGGGGGCAGACTCGACAGCGGTATCGTTAGGCTACAGCCCCAAGTCAGAAGCAAAAGACACTAAGCTCTAATGATATTATGAGTTAACTCGTGGAGAAGCTGTCATTTAGTGACTTTACTGTAAGCCGTCAGCAGCTCGGAGCAGATTCGAGCAGATTCCGACGACGCGCGCAGCTCAGAGCAGCTCCGGGCATCTCCCAGCAGATGCGCTTTTCATTGGGGTTGACTGTTACACGTTAGTGCATATAGGGCCGGTGGCGATCGCGGTCCCAAGGGCGCAGTTCGCGACGGATAGTGGCGGTGGCTGAAGCGCTGAGGCCGAGGCCCCGGCCCGTGGAGGGTGGCTGGCGGTCGCCGCACCGAGGTGCGGCCCAGGAGCGTAGAGTCTGCAATCGTCTACGACGTCCACACTCTGCCTTTGTTCATGGCTGTCATGCACTGCGAAACTGAGGATTTCAAGACAGGCAAACAAAGAACAGAGCAACATTTTAATATCGCCTTCGCGGGCCCTGCAAAACCGACGTCACTGCTGCTTTCTTGTCTGAGTCCTCCTCTACTTAACAAGGTCATGTTTAGGGTGAGGCTGCGCGAGACTAAGCCCACGACTCTCACTGGCGGCTTAGTACTGATCTCCAGCCGCCAAACCCCAGTGTCAGCTAGTAGCAATTCGCTATGGTGCGTCGATACTGTATTATATATGACATTCGTTCAAGTTGTAGGCGCTGCATGCAAGACCCCTGGCTACCGTGTCCTCTTCAGGCACGATCTACCCAGGTATGCCCTCCGCTCGCGTTCGGATCATGACTGATCACAAAATTGTTTCTTAAGCAGAAACCTACTATTAGTGTGTGCGCCTCCACTATGTGCGCCTCCACTGGGGCGCTGAAATGATCAGAGGTTGGTCGGTTATACAATGAACCATTCTGCCATCCTACCGTCATTGTGTCACTCCGACTTTGCGACCACGACAAATGTGCACAATCGGTAAACTTCCTACGTACCGCTAAGTACTACTGGCATCTGCTATCACTCCCATCGGCTACTATGAAATAGCTGAACCGGATACTAGAGTCATGCCGCCAATGCGGGAAGACGGGACTGATAAGTAGAGGTGTCAAGTTCGCGGCCACCTTCCCGGAAATTGTGTAGTCTATCGGACCCCCGTGTAACAAGACGGGTTACCGGACTTGCTACTGGGAGGGGTTCGGTCACTCAAGGTACACTCACGTGACGGGTGATCAGTCCGTTGGTTTAGGTTCGGTTGAAGTGGTTGTATTACTGACTACGTTAGCGTAACGAGTAGTAATACGAGGGAACGCGCGAGAGAGAGAGGGAGAGGGAGAAGTGAGAGTAAAGGAAACGGGAAGGTACTTTGGCCAGCAAAGCGTGTCGAACCTCAAGAACTCTTCTTCCTTATATACTCGTATAAGGATCGCCTTAGCGCCTGGCACAGCCTGTACGAGGCGATGCCTTGTAGCTACTAGACGAACGTCGTAAGTTCCAGCGAGTTCTCTACGGTTCGAGATGAATGCAGAATATACATTCATGTACTAGATTATAATATACATACTGAGTCGTTACAATTACCCCCCCTCACAAAGAAAGCGAGGTCTCCGAGTCGAGGGAAAGCAGGTAACGAGATATCAGTGTATCATGACGCGTAAAGAACGTGAGGCATAACTAAGATGCACAGTATCCAAACAATCAGTTCAATCCTCACTGACGGGACCCTATCCTTTCTCCGTCCACCTTCTTGATGTGATCGAGAAACGCGCCCGCATTCCCGTGGTATTGCGGAGCACAGACGCGCAACTCGTCGATCTGGTGCACGAAGAGGTAGGGGCGTCCTCGACGGGCGCTGCCATGCCAGTAACGCTCGACGGCGCGTAACCCGTTAGCGTAAAGCGGGATGTCGACGTCGCGGAGCCATTCGCGGTTGTTGTTGACACAGTAATCGATACCGTGCCGGTGAACGACGTGCTTGTGAACCCAGTTGATCGCGAGTCGAGGAGGAACGGGA